CTGGAAAATGCTGAGATTCAGGTTCATTGAAATTAATGGCTCATTTTCAGGATTGTTTTAAGTTTCTGTTGAGATTCATTATCGTTATCATCAAGTGAAAGGTGATCAAGGCTGCTTGGGATTTGGATGATTACATTGTTAGCATTTGGGATTCACTTGATTCTGATAATCTCATTTGATATTCTGATGGTGAATCTTAGATTATTATTTTTATTGATATTTCCACAATTTCCATGGAAATAATCATGAGAACAACTTTAACTTTTCTTACGATAATCTTACCGAAATCTGAGTTGGATAAAAGTGAGAACGAGCAACTCATTGTATTCCTTGTATATTCATCTTATTTAATCATCATTTTGTTTGAGGGAAGGAAAAAGTTTCCAAAGGTATTCTGAATGCTCAGAGAACAGGGGAAAGAGTCGATTCATGGTATTATCGTCAACATGATTATAATGAAGATTATTAGAGTTTTTCAAGCTTTTGGAGAAAACTTTTTTCGACTCAACTTGAAATCTTTTCAGTTCAAATTCAGAGTAAATATCTAATAGTTCCAGAATAATGAACAGACTCTTAACCTTTTTTATAATAACAATCAAAGAATCACAATTGTAAAGGTAAATACAATCAATGAAGAGACACACAAACAATTGTAACCATGATTAAATTTTAGAATCACAATCAATCAGTTGATGAGAATTTTTCATTTTTCTTGAAAACTCAAAATTTGGAACTTTTTTCTCACCATTTAGATACAATTCATTGAGTTCAATTCAATTCAATGAAATTGAAATATTTTCAGATGATTTAATGTTACAAACTATATATTTGGAATTCATGATAAATCTTGTACGAAAATGCTGATATCGACTCAACTTATTCCTCGAAAAGTTCTGATTGTTTAATCAATTAGATGAAACCATCGATTAGATATCATCAGTTGTTTATCTAAATGATCAAATGATAATGATAACAACAAATACTAAAGATATTGTATAGACAAAAGGAGATAAAAAGAAATTCCGTAATCTTGGAATCTCCATTTTCAGAACTTTCAGAAATGATGGAAGAGTAAAAGAAAATAAAAAAAAAGTTCTAATGATAATGTCGATAATGATTCTGTGATTGTTGGTGATGATAATAAATATCACTAGAAAGAGCAGAAAATAATTCAAGTGACACAAAATGATATGAATCATCAATATATCATCATGAATTATCATGATTCGGATTCTGAGTTGAACACATGAAACAAAAGTCTTGATATTCATCAGTCATCTTGATTTCATGAGATGATAATAATTGCTTCCGATATTGATCAACTTAAATCACTTCTTTTCCTGGTATTCAGATATATATTACAAGACGATAACTTATCATCATCTTCATCCTTATAATCATAATCATCTTCATCATTTTTGCTTTTTTTTAAAAGCTCAATCATTCATTACCTTTTTCAAACTTCCGTTTCCATCTTTTCCCTTTCCGGTTTCGCATTTACCTTCCAAACAATATTTATCATTCATCATCATTTACCTAACCAAACCTCACCCTCCCTCCTTAATTCCCACCGCAATGAAATCTACAAGGTAGCCCAGAGAATGGTAATCAACTCGATTGTTACAGTTAATTGTGATTACAATTAGCTCAATCTAATTAATCATCATTATTATCAAAGTGTTTTTTTTGTCTTCATCGTTGACAATATATTTAATTATGGTTAACATATTAGACGACGACACTTTAAAAATATCAAAAGAAACAAATTGTTGTTAATCAACTTAATTAATATCAGAGAAAAACAATTGTTGTAATGTCAAAATGTTAACTAATTAACTAAACAATCAAGAAAGAAATTGAAAAGATTCATTTTTTATTTCAATTCAGATGAAATCATCTCAATGAGAAATGTTTCAAGTTGAATGTTAGTCTTACATGTTGTTGTTTTTTTCTTGTCTCCAAGATTAATGAATAAAGGAAATGAAAGGATGAAGATGATGATGAGAAAAAAAACAGAAGATAAATGATCGTCATCATCATCATTTAGGCCTGAAAATGTGAAACTCTGAATTTTCATGGTGAACGAAAAAAAAATCATGAATCTTCATTGTTGATTAGTCGTAGCATCAGTTTTTTATGTTCATTCTTGTCTTCGTATATTAATATATATATACAACATGTTATTGATTCAACAACAATTCAGAAAACTTATCATGAAATTTTGCCTCCAAGTTTCAGCTCATTACAGGGTAGAAATAAAGTTCTGAAGGAATTTTTCATCTCTCTCTCTCTCTCTCTCTTTCTCTTTAAACTCAGTTACTTTTATCTGACTTTCTTATGAATTATGTTTTTTTCCTTCAATTTTCATCATCAACATGGTGAAAAAACTTTTCAGTGTAACTTTTTTTCTCTCACTCGCCAATATCACCTCTATCATAATCATCATCTTCTTCATCAAGATCTTTCAAGAGATATGAATATTCTGGTGGTTACCATGTAAGCGCAAGAGAGACTAATAATTACCATGAAAAAGTGAGAAGATATAATATGTATCATGGAAAAAAGTTTTATTATCAAATTCTAGGTGAAACTTGAAGTCTCTCTCTCTCTCTCTCTCTCTCTGGTAATAAGGCAAAGCTTTTGAACCAAGAGATGTAAGAGAATGGAAGAAGATGATGGCAAGAAGAGAAGAAAAAAACAATATTGAGAATGAAAGTTCTGAAAGTTGGAGTGAAAATCAAAGAGAATTTTTCTTTTTTTCTCTACACAGGTGAGATTCTGGGTGTGGGTGGAGTGAGAGATATGTCACAATTTGACAAGTTAAAAGGTGAACAGGGAGTTCATGGGGAGAAAAATATATTCCTTTGAATATCTTCCTCAACATTGGCTCATTGATATCATCATTTGGATGATTTTAATGATTCATTTTGGTGAAGAAAAAGTTCTGGCAAATTTCATGCATGAAAATTTATTGAAATACAATAAAAAAAACCTCTGGAAATTATCATAATTAAATTTCCTGTATATTCAAAACGTTTTTGCAAACACGATGAACAATTTTAATTGTCAATCAAGGTAAATGATTGAATTTATTTTCTTCCTATTCAATGAAAAGTTCATGATATATAAATGAGAATTCAGAACCAGGAACAAGCAATTACATCATAATCATTTAACATGTTTACCCAATATTTTCCCACCAATAACAAACAGTAATAATTTAATTTGTCATCATTTTTCATCATCATCAATTTAGAATCACAAAATCAGAGTAACTATTTTTTTCATTATTCATATTTACTGATATAATTTTCTCTCTCTAACTATTCAAATATAATCAAAGTTATTATTAATAATAATAATTGTTACCCGCAAGTACAAACAATTAAAAGGTAACAATCAAAAGTCTCAATTGAATTAAACAATAATCAATTGATGATAAATTGTTTGGGTAACAATTAAGTTGATCAAATTTGAAATTGAAAAGTTTTTTTTTGTTCAACCAAAGAAAATGAAATATCAATTCAAATGAAAATAACATTGAATTTCATTGAAAAGGATTAGAAGATGAGAGTGAGAGTGAGAGTGAGAATGAGAATGAGTATTCATTTATGTGCCTAAGTATTTGTATAAACATATGCAGGATGGATGAGATATTCATGGATGAAGATAAGCAGGGAGAAGATAAATAATATCAATGGAAAATATTCTCTTGAGGATTCTGACAGAATTGAGACAGAAAAAAAGTTCAATATTAACTCAACGAAGAAAAAAGAAAAAAAATATCATATTAAATTAGTAGATGAATTTATCATCTTCATCATCATTCAATTTCGCTCCCCTTTTCCTTTTCCACTTCCTCTTCAGAAACATTTTACTCTCTCTCTCTCTCTCTCTCTGCCTGTGAATACCCTCATGTATTCAATGGTTACTCATAGAAATCATGATAATATATTAATGTATTAACATTCTGGTTGGTTAAACAATTTTTTCTCCTTCCTCGCCCCTCTCCCTGTGTATATACTTGTCCATTCTGTTGGTCAATTAGACAAATAAAATGTTGATTCATTTTTGAATACCCTCTACCTCCTATTTCCTCATACTCTCACCAAGTGGACTGTCCACCCAAGCAACTCTATTTGTCTATTAATAATATTATTAGATATAAACACTAATACATAATAATGATCATTATCAGGGATAATCTTCAAATTCTGGTATGAAAAATGTTCATGCAAAATTTTAATCTCTCCTTGACTCTCTCTCTGACTCTCTCTCTCTCTCCTTCCTTCCTTCTTGACCTTCTTATTTTTATTGTCCATCTTACAAACATTCTGGTCATTTGATGATTTATCGTTATCATGTTAAGGTGAAAACCTCAGGATAATAACCAATATAATGATCAATATATTCATGAATTTCACTAGTATGATCGTACTCATTTCCAGCCCTGAAATTATATCATAAATTTGAAATCATTCAAGCATTAACCTTATATCCAATTGACAACTACTATAAGTATCGATAAAATTATTTATCAGAATAAAAAAGTTGGAAACTTTCAATTTTTTTGTCAAGGAAGAAAAAAAATATCTTCATGATTTTACATGAACTTTAAATTCTGGGAGAGAAAAATTCTGAATACTCTCAACTATTACATATTGTAGATGATCATGATAATCAAGTGATTGGAGTGCAAACAGTAACAGCAGTTAAACTAATTGTTTGCTAAATTTCCAAGTCAATTGATTTGCAAGTTTAATCATCACCATAATATTCATCATGGTGATTCAGCTAATAAATTCAACTAAATGTTCAGCTATTTTTATAATAGCATTTGTATTGATTGTCATTTCAATTTTCGGTTCATAAAGAAAAACTTTGTTATGGAAAAAGAAAAAGCTTCTTGTTTGAGATATAATTATATCGTTATAACTTAAATTTATCACGAAAGTTTCTGGTTCATGGTGCAAGTGAAACAAAGAAAGTTCTGGGTTTACCTGAAATATCTGTCAAAAGATATGATGAGCAAGTTTAAAACTGAGGCATTTGAGATTAAATAATCAATAGCAAGCCAAGTATCACATATGAAGGGTCCGAGTGGCCATCGTTCCAATAGAGTGTATAGAGAAAAAAGTGGCATTGATATTATTCCTGAAAGAGAGAGAGGAATGAATTTTATTGAGATGAATGGTCAATGAAAAAGGTCACAAAGTTCAGTTGATAAAGAAAAATTTCTTAGAATTCTGTGAAATTCAGTCAGAATTTCACTTGGAACTTTTATCGAATTTAAACTTTCTTGTTTATTTTTCGCTGTTCAGACAATTAGTGTTTCTGATTGATTTATTAGATGAGTTTACTCTCTCTCTCTCTCTCTCTCTCTCTCTCTCTCTTTTCCTCTTTTTCGTTAATTTAATGATTGATTTTATTACCATGAGTCCGGTGGTTGTGATGATGATGATTGATATTTAATTAGTTTGAATGTTGAAAAGGATGATACGTGATCAATTCTGTGAAAGAGGCTGAAAAAATAAAGAAGAAACAATTTTCTTCTCTTTCGATATCTTTTTGTCTTCTTTTCTAATTATTATATTAATTCTTCTCTCTCTCTCTCTAAATATCATCTTTATCATCCATTGATTATCTTCTCTTAACCCACTTCCCACCTTCCGTTTTATGTCCCTCATCTTCATCATTCCTTAACTATTTGTGGTCAAAGTGATTGGTTCAACTATTTTCATGGTTGGATAACCAACAGAATTTACAGTTTCTTACCTACAGAATCAAAGTTATTTCATCATCATCTTCATCTTCATCTTCATCTTCCTCTTCCTCTTTATCTTCTTCCCACCTCCTAAGTCTAACTCGAAACCATTAGAACAAAAATCTTACTTAGTTTTTTTTTCAATTCGAACTCACATAAAACTAACTAACTCTCTCTCTCTCACTTTTTTATCCATCTTCCTCTATCTTGTCTTCATCATCTCTAACATTTTATCTTCCTCCCATGAGTATGACTTGTTGTCTATTAAATAGACAATCAATTGATTACCAAATGATTTATATCGTTACCGTTATTATTTTTATCTTGTTAGTCCAGAAAAAAAAACACAATCAAATGTTTCAACATATCGATAAATAAAGTCAACCAAATCAATTAATCAATCAAATGGAAACCATCAAATGAAAATCAAATAGAAACGGCTAATTGTTGATAATAGTAAATTTAAATTACTCACCAATTAAAAAATCAGCAATTGATAATGATAATAGAAAGTAATTTGAAATAGTTTGAAGTTGCTTATCCATTTTGAATGAAATCATCACCATAACATTACCAACAATTGTTATAATACTTTAATTAATCAAATGAGAGTAAATAATATAATCAAAAACATAGAAAAACAATTAGTGATTAATTAATATACATATGAAACAATTAACCAATTGTAGGGAACAACAAAATCTGCTTTTGATCAAGAGTTAATCTTATCATTAATATTCATTTAGTATCTCAACCATATTGATCAACAATCAAAAGCACATTTTCAAATTGATAAATTGTTTGAAAACAAAATACATTTAAAATTAACGGAAAAATCAATCAGCTGATTAATTAGATTGATAATTTAATTACCTGAAGCATCCGGAAATAAAGGCAATTATTATGGTCTCAGCAATTGAAAAGGTTTCTTGATTGGGATGATTATCAGAGCCAATTATTGACCCGTTATAATTAACAGAATCATTGTAATTAAGGTTGTAATCAGCTGAGTTCAATGTGATTGTATAAGTTGATGAGTCTACAGTTAAATCCATCATCGATTTGATAATTAGTTAATTGTTCTAATGTTATAATTAAACAACAGGTTAAATTACTGTGCATATAAAGATCGACTAAGTAATAGGAGAAAACTTTTTCACTTTCGAATCTGTAAATTGGGAGAAAACAATAATAAAGAAAAAAAAAAGTTTCGTTAATCCTTATGAACAAAAGATTCTATTAGTAAATTGATTATTCAATGAATATCGTTAATTATTATCATGATAATTAGAAAATCATATCATTAACATGAGAATAGACAACAACAACTTGTTAACATGAGATCCGTTTCCGTTTCCATATCAATTCATCATCATTTTAATAGACAAATTTATAAGTTTATTAAATCAGCTAATTGTTGTTTAATATATTTGATTAATATCTTTTCATTTATATTATGTTAATCAACATTTACCTTTACACAGTTAATGAGTTATCAAGTTAATTAACTTTAGTATTTTCCTCATTATAATGATTGTATAATATATTTGATCAGGCTGATTGTTTTTTCATTCAACTGGATTAATGATAATTAAATTGTCTATAGTTAATTGTAACTTGGTCATTCTTTTCAATATTTAGACTTGAAGAGGAAAAAATTGATTAGAACTCGATAAAGGCGGGAAAATGTTATTCTTTCAAATTGGATTGTTTTTGTTTTCTTTGATTCTATTATTTTATGAAGATGATGAGTGAGTTGTGATCATGATGATCATGATGATTTCTCATCATCTCCACCTCTCTTAATACTCATTATCAGCTCTCTAAAAGTAAATTATTAGTTTTCTTTCACTATGGTTACATTATATTCAATTCAATTGACCCAATGAACTGAATAAATCAACTCAATTTTTTTTTCTTCGTCTTCATTTTTACTTCAAACTTGATCAAGTTACACCCAAAGTTTCATCACTTATTGATATTTCAATTGTGTGAATACATGATGATGATAAAAATCTGATGAAGAAAAAAAAATATAACTGATCATCATCATGAACATTATCAGAACATAATAATTTTATCCTTCTCTCTCAACTAAACTTATAAACTTATATTATAAGTTGATCATTATTGGAACACAGAAAAGGATATCAGTTGTCAGAATTATTGAGTTATTATTGATTTATCTTCATCATCTTCTCCATGTAATATATTTGGTGCACTTGACGATGAAAAGACTGATGATGAGGAAGATGATAGAGTGTGAAAATGTTAACATTTCCATTTGCATTCAAAGTCTATTCAATATATTACATTATGTTCAGTATTGAATGAAGATGATGAAAGAGAGAGAGAGAGAGAGAGAGAGAGAAAATCTTTTCTATTTCTTTTTTATCTTCATCATCTTCCAATAACACCATCAGTCTCATTATGAAAGATAAAGATGAGACAAAAATGATGACAAACCTTTAATATTAATCTAACGGTAAATTTGTCTTCTCTTAAACATTTCGATTATGAAAAGCTCTTTCGTCATTCTCTGACTCTCTCACTCTTGCTCTCTCTCTCTCTCTCTCTCATCTTTATCTTCATGGTAATTCTGAAAAGATTGAAATTATTTGGGAAAAAATATATTTTTCCATAGGTAACTTATTAATTGAACTTTCTTACCTTTTAATGTTAATTGTTGATCCTCTTTGTAGATGGTGATGATTTTTTTGATGAAATTAATGATGATTATAATTAATCTTCCCTATTTTCACTCATTGTTTACTTCATTGTTTAATTACTTTAATAAATAGTTGATAATGTTGATAATATCAAAAGAAATGTTAATATCAAGGTGAACTTTTTTCTTCTCATCTCTTTTGATCTTTACTAGATGAATTTGAGCTCACTTTTTGTACAAATCCATGAGCTGTCATCATAGTGGCAAAAAAACGAGAGACTCAGAGATGATACTGATGATGATGATGGAGAGAGAGAGAAAAGAAAGAAATAGAGAGAGATTAAGATGCAAGATGATGAAGATGATGGCTTTTGGATTAAGGAAGGAAAAAAAATCTTCATCTAAATTGAACAGAACTGAGAAAAAAACTCCAAGGGTTATTATCAAGATATTAGTCACTTATAGTAAAATCAACATGATCAGAATATCAACCGGAAGTAGTATTGATGATGATGAGCAAGAATTGAATTGAATGAAACAACAATACAAAATTTTCAACAAAAATCTAACATTGAACAATTAATTTGTTACTTGGGTGTTGCTTTTGTAGTCTCACAGTAAATTGTATTACCTTAATCATAATATAAGTTAATTAACTGGTGGTTTTAACCTCGACTGATTGATTGATTAGTTAATCTTAATGATGATTAAAAAAAATTCCTAATACCACAGAATAGATTAAAGTTGAATTACTATTGATGAGGAGAAGAAAAAAGTTTCTTTTCTTTCTACACGCAAGGTAACATTTCTTATCATCATATTATCATGATGATATGATGATAAAAGATGAAGATGAAGATGAAATTGATGATAAAAGAGAGGAAGAGAGAGAGAGAATGATGATGATGATGAATAAGGAAGAGAGGGGAAATTATCTTCCATGGGAATAGTTTTTCTTTTGAAGAAAAAGTTTTGGAAAAAATTTATCATGGTAACACTTTGGGCTCATGATAACAACAATTTAGATTGTGAATCAACTCAAGATAATAAACATTGCCTGAGGGGAACAATGATTATTATCATCAAGATGAGAAAAAGAAAATTTTTAAATTGTTGTTTGATTATCTTATTGTTTGCTTATCTAATTTCAATTGTTTTGATTGTTTATATGGTGAATTTTGTCTGTGATTTAATCCAATTGAGATTTTATTTGCTAATTGTCGTCACAATTTAAAAGAAATGATTGATGATGATTACTTAGTAATTATGGTTTTTTCTTTTAGCTTGATTAAGGTTAATGTAATTTTTTTTAATTCTCATCATCATTAGGTAATTTAAATCACTTTGGGTTATTGTTTTTGGTCACAATTTAAATTGTTTTCTGTTTACACAATTTAATTGATGTTGATTATCTGCTAATATGCTTATATGATTGTCCAAAGGTAATTCATGGAAATTAACTGTTGATTTAACACACAAACATTGAATTCACTTTAATTGATGTTTGATCATGTTGATTATTTATGTTTATTTTTTTTTCTTCACATCAATTGGTGATTTTGATGAAGGAAAATTGATCAAATAAACTTACCTTTTTCTGTTTTTCGATGATACAATTTATGATGATGATGATTATGATGTTGTTGTTGTTGTCGGTGGTGTTGGTGATGGTGATGATGATAAGATGATGAGGATGATGAAGATTCCGTTACTGTTTATCCTTTAAGTTTAACTGCTAAGGTTGAAGTCAAGACTGAATTTGATTCTGATCAAGAAAATCAAATGAACTAATGGTTAACTTGGTGGAGCCACTTGAATCTCGTATCAAATATTTATCTTCATGAAACATTCATGGGCATTGGAAGATTAGATTTTTTCATCATCATGAAATTTGATCATCTTTCTGTTTATCTTATTCAATAGAGAGGAAGAAAAAAATGAACAAACAAACAAATTTACCTGGAGAAAAATAGAGAAACAAAATTCGAGGGAAAAAAGAAACGTTTTGTAAAATTTGTCTAAACTTTTCGGTCGTTCACTTAATCGTTTCAATAAATATCGAAAATATCGTCAATTATTTGAATCCTTTGTTTCTTCCTAATTATTTTCATATTATTTCATTTTTCGTTCAGTTTTCTGGTCAACAAAAATCAAGAATCAAAGTTTAGTATGTTGATTCTCTAATAGATGTCACCAGGATGAAGAATTTGGAGTGACACCTGGCGGAAGGAAGGTTAAGTTAAATTCGATTTCTATTTAAATAGTCGGAGTTTCTTTAAATTTGCCTCCTTGTTGCTCGTCAGCTGAGTTACTCTTGTATTTTTTTATAGAACAGAACTTGAGAATTTGAGATCTGAGAACTGAGTGGACCTTTAGAATTATTGGACATTTGGAGCGACCTTTTTTTCTTCAATTTATTCTCTCTTTTTCTCTTTCTCTTCGTCTCTAATTTGTTCCATTTACTGTGCTTCAACTTTCATCTTTTTTTCTCATTCTTACTCTCTCCTTTTCTCTCCCTCTCTCTCTCTCTCTATTTTTCTCTCTTTCTCCTTCTCTCTCCCTCTTCGTGTTTACTTCTCTCTTTTCATCATTTAAATTCTTTTCTTTCTTTCTCATGAATTTTATCTAACACCATTCACATCTCACCATATCACAATTTCTAATTATCATTGAATAATTGTTGTTTCTTACTGTTTTTTTCTATCAATCTCTTTCTCTCTTTAAATTTCTCTGTCTGTATTTTCTTTTTCTCTTTCTCTTATATTCTCTTTTTTTCTGATCCGTTTTTTTCTCTTATTCTCACATCTCTCTCTTTTCTGTCTTTTTCTTTTTCTCCTTCTTTCTTCATCTTCTTTTTACCTTTCATTTTGTTTACCTTTTTCTCGGTGTTACTTCAACAACAATAATCTATTGTAGTTAATTATGTCTAATATGGAATCAGATCCTGAAATACTTTACAACGAGTCAGAAGAGGAGGAAGAGGAGGACGAAGATGACTCTGGAAATGAATCAAGTGGTGGAGATGATGATGATGGTTTATCGGTTGCTCTACTTGACTCTGAGCCTGTTGTTTCTGCTAACATGTCCGGTGGTGATCGTATGGAGGATGATGATTTTCCATTTGAAGTATTAACTACTGAACAAATTATGCAACATATGCAAGACTGTATACGAGAAGTTAACAATGTAGTACAACTTCCACCAACCATAACCCGAATTCTTCTAAATCACTTCAAATGGGACAAGGAGAAACTCTATGAAAGATATTATGACGAGGATAGAAAGGTTCTATTTAGTGAAGCTCATATCATAGACCCGGCTGATGCCTACAACAATCAACAAATTAAGGTGAGATTGGCTAAGAAAGAGAGAAATCTCCAATAAAAATCAGTTAACTCTTTTTCATGTCTTCCAATTAACCTACACTTCCACTCAATCTCAATCTTCCAATAACCACCAATATCTTGGCCTAATTTTTTTTCCTTCTTCTTCCTTACTTTTTACTTCCAATACTCTGCTACCTTCTTACTCCTGATTACCTTGTCGTTCTTATTTTCTCTCTCTTATGTTTTTGAATTCTATTAATTATTTTTTTTTTCTTTCTCTTTTTTCAACTGTAAAGAAACTCTCGTATTCCCATGAAATGGAAACTTGTATAATATGTTGTCGAGACTTTCCAGCATCAGTAAGTTAATGACTCTATCTATTAATTAACATGTGTCAACGTTAATCTAATGATCATTTTTCTTTGATATTTTTCTTTCTCTCTCTTAGATGTTAACTGGCCTTGCTTGTGGTCATAGATTCTGTAAAGATTGTTGGAATCATTATTTAACAACCAAAATTATGGAAGAAGGAATGGGAAACAAGATTTCTTGTGCAGCTCATGCCTGTGACATTCTTGTCGACGACCAAACAGTCATGAATCTCATTACTGATAATAAAGTTAAACTGAGATACCAACACTTAATAACTAACAGTTTTGTCGAAGTAAGCAGTTAATCAACGATTTTCTTTTCCTTTGTCTTCTTGACTTTCAATCAATCTACTCAATTCAAGCATTTACCATGGAAGCTTTTAAATCTATCCATCATCATGTTCTAAAATAATCGTTTTCTTTCCAATCTAATTTGACATTTAATGTTTTTCTTTTCTCTTTTTTTTTCTCTCTCTACCAGTGCAATAGATTGTTAAGGTGGTGTCCAAAGCCAGAATGTAGCCACAGTATAAAAGTTCAATATATAGATTTTCAGCCAGTTAAATGTACATGTGGAACTATTTTCTGGTAAAACAATTACACGATTCAACTTCCATCCATTCCTGTCAATAATTATCTCCCTTCACATATTATATTAACCCTCATTACAAAACTCAGAACCAAATAATTTATCTTCTAACTTCAATCCATCTTTTCTCTCTCTCTCTCTCTCTCATCTAGTTTCCTGTGTGGTGAAAATTGGCATGAGCCGGTCAAATGTGATCTTCTTAAACTTTGGAGGAAAAAGTGTGATGACGATAGTGAAACATCCAATTGGATAGCAGCCAATACGAAAGAGTGTCCTCAGTGTAATGTAACCATAGAAAAGGATGGTGGTTGTAACCATATGATTTGTAAGAATCAAAACTGTAAAGCCGATTTCTGTTGGCAATGCCTTGGACCCTGGGAGCCACATGGAACCTCTTGGTAAGATAATTTACTTCCTTGTTTTCTTCATCTTATCTTTATGTCTTTATCTCTCTCTCTCTCTCTCTATCTCCTCTGTCTTACATTGTTTTTCTTTCATTATCATCTCTTTTATGATTGAATGAAAAATCTTTACACTTTTACTTTATATCTTTTCTTGTCTGTTTGTCTGTTTGTTGATATGGATGATGTGGATACGCCACACAAACAAAATCCATTGGGTTGTATCAAATTGCGATGAGCACAAACCACCAGAAAAAAAGTTAAATAGTAAACATTGTAAATCCAGACACAATCATTACCTGGTCATTGATTCCTAATTTTTTTCTTCTTCATCTTGTTGAACAAAGTTTCTCAACCTTTTACCTTTTTTATTGTCATGTGTTCAATTACTTTTTTTTTCACAACAAATCAATACACTGAACATTATCTCTATTCCATGATTTTGATCAATTTTTTATCAGTTTTAATTATCTTTAACTCATCTCTACTTGTTGTTTTATGTATGATTTATTTTCTTTTGCATTTTCCATTATCAATTATAAAACTCCGCTATGTGTGACTCGTGTTGACTTCGTTTTTCATTTATCGCTTACTCTTTTTTTAATCCTAACCAACACACCCAATATTTGGATCTAATTTGCATAAGTTAAACACTTTTCATATTTTTTTTTCTTCCTCTTATATATTTTTCTGTGTCTTTAATTTTTCCCATCTCTCCCATGATTATTTACTATTGATATTGATTCTAATTGTTTTTATCTCCTTCTCTCTCTCTCTCTCTTTTCTTTCCTTTAATTCAGGTATAGCTGTAATCGTTATGATGAGCACGAAGCGAAAGCAGCACGTGATGCCCAAGAAAAGTCTCGAGCTGCTCTTCAACGGTACCTTTTCTATTGTAATCGTTACATGAACCATATGCAAAGTTTAAAATTCGAGCATAAACTTTACGCTTCCATAAAGGAGAAAATGGAGGAGATGCAACAACACAATATGTCCTGGATCGAAGTACAATTTCTCAAAAAGGCTGTTGATGTTTTATGTTTGTGTCGAGAGACTTTGATGTACACTTACGTTTTCGCTTACTATCTGGTTAAAAATAATCAATCAATTATTTTTGAAGATAATCAGAAAGATTTGGAAAGTGCCACTGAAACATTATCTGAATACCTTGAACGAGATATAACAAAGGACAATATTGTTGATATCAAGCAAAGAGTCCAAGATAAATACAGGTAAAAATAACTAATTTTATATTCTAATTATTATTCAGTTCTTGATAGAGACCTTTAATTGTTACACAGTTTTCAATACTTGTAGCATTTTTTTTGTTTGTTTTTACTCAATGACTAATCAATTTTGTCTGATTCATTCTCTTTTTTTTCAATGATTGTCATCATGGTTTTTTTTTCATCAATTAGGTACTGCGATAGTCGAAGAAAAGTTTTATTGCAACACGTTCATGAAGGATATGATAAAGACCTTTGGGAATATTCTGTTAAACTATGACCTTTCATATCGTAATTATGACCCCTGGGTGGACACAGTTTGCGGCAACAGTTAAATTGCTTGGAACTGGAGTGTTTACAAAAAGATGAAAAGAAGATAATTCTACAACTAAATTCCTATTGACAACTAAAGAAGTGAAACAATTTTGTAAAAATTATTGCGCGACTTATATACATATAAAATACCAACTCAATCACGAAACTCCCTTCCCCCAACCCAATCAACTATGCCAACAATTAACCAGTAATTAAAGAGTTGGCTCAATTTTCTTTGGAGGAGATCAGATGATAAGAGACATTCAACAACAACAAATCATTAAGAGCAATCAAGACAAAAGAGCATTTTTTGGATTACTCCCTTTTCCCTTTTCGATATTATTTTTTTCCGTTCTCAGTGATGGGAAATCAGAAATCCCGTTTCTAGAGTTTAAATTATGTTTCGCTGTTATATTGTAACCCGTTGAATTAACACTTAATCACCAAAAATACTTTAAACATCCACACACACAATCACAAAATATAACCAATCCTGTTTCGAGTAAATTTGCTGCCAAAATCCGACACATACTGAAAGATGGAAAACAAATTGATTCCTTTTATTTTGTCACTTGAAACCAAAAGAAAACACAATTCCGAACAAATCTTATTCAGAGAGAGTCATTCAAGAGGTTGTTGGTTTTCATCATGACGAGAGAGCAGTTGAATTATTTAGCCATCGTCATCATCATCTTAATCATTGGAAGAGATCATCAAAGTTTTTTTCAATTCACCTTCTCATTTGTAATAATGTCTTTTTTGTTTCCATCGAAACTTTCACATTCATACTAATAGTAGAGAAACCGATAAGATAATCCATCAAAAAAGTTATATGACCCATTTGAACCGTTAATTGCCATCATTTTGTCATCAAATCATCAACAATTTAGGATAAAAAAGTTTTCTGATTAAGTGCAAATCATTTTGGATAAATTTTCAATGCATGTGTATTATTGTATATCTCCTCTGTGTGTGTTACCGTGAGAGTTGATGTTACATGTAATCTAATTATTAATTAATCTGAATTACAAATTAAGGATTAACTTTGGCAAGTCTCATTTTCAACAAACATCCTCCCTTTATGTAAAAATTGTCATCCCAGTGATTTGATATTCCACCACGACTACACCTCATCAAACCCTCTCTCCATCATCGATACTAACCAAAAGTTTAGGTTCATTTGGTACATTTAAATCAACTGTAATTGAAACATAAATGCATTTGTTTCTCATCAAATACCTGAAATTTAAAAGTGAAATAAGTTACCTCTCTCTCTCTCTCTCTCTCTCTATCATTCTGATATCAACATCATAAATTCATCTTCCTTAATCTTTCCCTAACTCTTTCTCTCACCCATTTCTATCAATTCCCTCTCTCACAAATAATCCAACAATTAATTTTTTTGTCTCTTTTTTCCTTTTTTTTTTCGTCAAACGGATTGAGAAAAAAAAACTCTGCGATCATCATCGAAACCTTCAGAGCAAGAAGGAAATTCACCTTCACCTGTAATTTCAATGTAATTTACAGAAGATTTAAAAAAAACAATTAAAAAATATATTTCTCTTTGTGGAAGAACTAAAAAAAATGATGTAATAGTGTCGTCATTGATTAGTTTACATAATCGCTGAAAACGGCTTGCAAACAATTAAATTGTAAGCATCAAATTTCCGATTTTTAAGTAACTGATATCGGAAAATTTTCGTTGTTTTTTAGTCTTAATTGTGTTTAAAGCTAAAAGTGGATTTTGCTGATTGAGTGACTTACTGTTTATCTATTAACGCTCTTTGTGTGTTACTAGATTTTAAAGAGAAAGAGAGAGAGAGAGAGAGAGAGAGAGAGAGAGAGAGAGAGAGAGAGAGAGAGAGGGAGGGAGAAATAAATTCGCAACAAAAAAGATCAAACTAAAGATGAATGTTATTGGTTTGGTCTTTTTTTGTGTCGCTTTGATGATAATGGAAGGGAGAAAAGACCTTGAGAAAGCAATATGTGATTCTCCCTTTAGGGTGACCCAAAAATCTTGACCTGACCTTGACAAGGTCACAAGTGTAAAAGAAGTGGGATGATGATGGAGAAGGGAAGATTGTATATTCCACAAAGGGATCTCCTTTTTGTACAATTTCTAAAGAGAGGAAAAGTAAAAAAGGAAATGGAAGGAGAGGAGAAAAGAAAAAGGGACAAAGAGAAAATAGTTAAAAGTCTAAAAATGAGTTTACGTAACAGTATAATGGGTTAACTTTAGGGAGGGTTGAAGGAGTGTTGGGGTGGATGAGGGAGGGTGTGGGTGGATGAGGGTGTTGTGGGTCATGTGTAGGCCTTTGTGGGCACAATGAGTTATCCTTTTCTCTTTCCATCCATTGTAACCTAATCCAGAACATCACACAAACATAAGTACTCTTTTAATCCGAACAAGTAAATCAAAATTAAACATTAACCTATAGAGAAGAGAAAAGGGAGAGAGAGAAAAAATTAAAAGTAATTAGTGAATGTTTGAAACAAAAAGAATTTAAATTTAGAGAGAAAAAAAGTCAATGTAAACAGAGAAAAAAAAAATCTATTTTCACCTATTGAAGAGCTTTCGATGAAATTGAAACAAAGTATCATCATGGTTATTTCTCTTCCATCCCTGAATCAGAGATAAACACGTTCCAAAGATAATCCAGAAAAAGATTAAGACAAACCAATGAGCCTAAAGATTATCTTGACATTTGGCTTATCCAACATTCAATTGTATCACAAAGTATTAAGGCTTACCTTTCATGAGAGAGAAAGAGAAAGAGAAAGAGAAAGAGAGAGAGAGAGAGAGAGAGAGTCTTTTTATATTCACTTTAATTTGTTATAACAAAGATGATGACGATGGGGAGAAAGAGAGGATATTTGAAAGACATGAGAGTAAATCGAAAGAGAAGAAGAGGGTGAATTAGACAGAGAAGATTGAAAATATCGAAAGAGATTCTGACCTTGAAATGTTCTTTGAATGTGGCTCCCCCTTCAATTCTCTTTCTTTTCGGTCTTCCTTTTTCTCTCCTCATTCTACTTCTTTCTCTTCCTCTGTGAGTTACTCTTGTTCCCAAGGTAAGTTCATCATGTCCTCTCGTTTTCTCCTTAATTGTTTTTCTATTTAAGAAAATTTTGTTATAATTGTTACACGATTTTCATTTTTTTCTTCCTTTCAATTGTTTAATTAACATCGTTAATTTGTAAACATATTCGCAACAATTAGTTATCCTCATAGTATCCAACGAAAATGGTTAAACATTTGATAGAATCATTTTCTTTTCTTCTCTTTTTTTTACAATTTTCTCTCAACAAGTCATTTACTTTTCTTTTTTTCTATTTTAAGTTAAAATTTAGTTGATTTTTTTTAATCCCGTTTTTAGTTTTGTCTCTCTTTGTGTTAAATCCAAAATTATCTCAATTTTGTTGATTGGAATTAATGTTTTTTATAATGTTATCTCTTTACCTGTCACTCTTTTTCTTCTAATTCATTCCTGTTTCGTTGTTGTCCGCATTTGGATTGGATTGGCTATTGGATTTATAAAAATTACTGTTATTATTGTTTCTACCTTAATCGATCAAACTATCAACCTAATCATGAAGTCTCTTAGAAAGTTAAAGAAAAAGATGCCCATCCAATCAATTAAAGCAAGACAAATCTACGACAGTCGAGGTAACCCGACTGTTGAGGTTGATCTTATCTCTGATAAAGGTGAGAATTTTTTTTTCTTTCTGTTTTTCTTTATTCTCTTTTAATCAATCGATATTGAACCTTTTCTAAATCTTATTCAATGTTTGACCTTTACTTGGGTTTTCTATCCTGTTTGATAGGTTTGTTTAGAGCTGCTGTTCCAAGTGGTGCTTCTACTGGTGCTCATGAAGCTGTTGAACTTCGGGATGGAGACAAAGCCAATTACATGGGAAAAGGAGTCCTTAAGGCCGTACAAAATGTCAACGAGATTCTTGCTCCTGCCATTGTTGGGGTAAATTTACTTGGAATATTATTTTTTTCCTACCTTTGTCTCTGTTGCTAGGGTGTGGAAATTCACAATATTGATCATTAGTTATATGGTCAAATTGATTTCTTAGCTTTGAAAATTGCTATATTTCCTTTCTCAATCTCTCTCTTGCTCTCCCTTTCATTTTATTTTCTTGTTTTTCTATGCACTGATTTTATGGGTTCCTATTCATAGATGTTTATATATTTATTTATAATCAACTGTTCTTTCTGTAGAAATTTGAACCAACCCAGCAAAAGGAAATAGATGCCGCTATGATTCAACTTGATGGAACCGAAAACAAGGGCAAACTTGGTGCCAATGCTATTTTAGGTGTCTCACTTGCCGTCTGTAAAGCTGGTGCCGCTGCTAAGGGTGTCCCATTATACAAACATATTGCCGATTTAGCTGAAAACAAGAATATTATTTTACCCGTTCCCGCATTCAATGTTATCAATGGAGGTTCTCATGCAGGTAATAAACTTGCCATGCAAGAGTTCATGATCTTACCCACCGGCGCAACCTCTTTCACCGAGGCCATGAGAATGGGATCTGAAACTTATCATCATTTGAAAGCGGTTATCAAGAAACGTTTCGGTCTTGATGCCACCAGTGTCGGCGATGAGGGTGGATTTGCTCCCAACATCCTTAACAACAAGGATGCCCTTGAACTGATCAAAGAGGCGATCAGTAACGCTGGTTACATTGGTAAGATTGATATTGGTATGGATGTTGCTGCATCTGAATTTTTCAAAGATGGTAAATATGATCTGGATTTCAAGAACCCCAAGTCAGATGCCAGTAAATGGGTTTCACCTGATGAATTGGCTCAACTTTACAAAGATTTTGCTGCTGATTATCCAATTGTTTCAATTGAGGATCCTTTCGATCAAGATGATTGGGAAGGTTGGAGTAAATTTACCGGTAGTGTTAACTTTCAAGTTGTTGGGTAAGTTAATCATTCCCAAAATCATCAACATTTTGATTGTCTCAAATCATTGATTATAGTTATAATTTTGAATTTTTTTTCTCGACAACTTTAGTGATGACTTGACAGTCACCAATCCAAAACGAATCCAAACTGCTGTTGAAAAAAAGGCTTGCAATTGTTTACTTTTGAAGGTTAATCAAATTGGAAGCATTAGTGAAGCTATTCAAGCGTAAGTCTCATCATTTAGCATCTTCTCTCTCTCTCTCTCTCTTTTCCTTTTTCTGCTACTTGTCTAATCTTGTTCTTTTTCTTCCTTAATATCTGTTTCCATTTTGGGATTAGTCATCTCTTGGCTAAATCCAACGGATGGGGAACTATGGTCTCTCATCGATCTGGTGAAACTGAAGATTCAACCATAGCTGATATTGTTGTTGGTCTTTCAACAGGACAAATCAAAACTGGAGCTCCATGTAGATCAGAACGATTGGCCAAGTACAATCAAATTCTAAGAATAGAAGAGGAATTAGGATCTGCTGCTAAATATGCAGGAAAAGATTTCCGAAAACCTCAATAATCTTAATCTGCTTACTATCATTGAGGTTTTGAAGGGATTTTACCTTATGAAAAAATCACCACTTTACACACTCGGTCCCCCAAACCTCTTAGAGTCTTTTTTTTGTTTGCCGAATTTCATGTTTACAAACTTGTGGTGTCCTAATTTACCAATCAAGAGAAATCCTTTTACAATTATTGTTCCGATTTTCGATTTAAAAAGCAAATCCATTTATTTGATCAATTTTCAGTTGTAAATCGATCAATTTCGATTTGTTAATTTAATTTAAAAAGTGGAAATTTTGTAATCAAAACGAAGCAAATTTAGTTTTCAATTAATTTTAGAAAAAAATCAAAAAATTAACTCCTTTTAGGCTCAAAATTTCCAGAGCTCATCAATCTGTCTCTCTCCCTCTAATCTAAATATATTGGATGAGAAATCTAATCATAATCTCTCAGATATATATTTAAATCTAATCAACTAATTATCACTTCATCTTTCCCTCTATTATTATATTTAAATTATAATAATAACAGTTTATTTAATTACTTTCAATATGTTTTTTCGGGTTTGAAGTGGATATTTATGTAATTCTAATTGTAATTAATTTATCCTTAAAAAGATACATTATATTTCAGGCCGGACAAAAAATGATCGTTTACAAAATGAAACAATCAAGCAAATGGAAAACAAAATTTAATTTCCAACCAACAAGATTGGTAGGGAAACAAATTTAATTTAAATTCATCTTATAATCTCTATAACAATTAACTTAATGTTAACTTTAATTAACTTTAACTTTCCTTCAATTTGTTTACCTTATAAGTTTCCCTTTAATTTGTGTTGATCAATTTGATGATCTCTGTTTCTCTCTCTCTTTAATTTAATCCTTAATTTCTGGTCTTGATTCTGTTTTCCTTTTATAATTAATATCCAATAATCTAATCAATCCTAACGCAAAGAATTATAAAATTGTAATTACAATTAAACGAAAACAAATCACAACTTAATCACATTATTTACATTTCAATTTAATGGAAATAATTTAATTATCCCAATAGCTAATAGTTGTAAACTAATCATCAACTATTATTGCCGATCTATTGATAATAATAATTAAAATTTTCTAGCTAATTAACTTTTTAATTTGTTGACAATTCACACAATTAGTTAATCGTAATCACAGTTACATTTAGTTGGTTGATTAACTTTTTATTGATCGACTCAAGGTTATTTTGAGATTTAATTGTGTGTGGGTGGAAATTGAATCGATAACAATTAACTTATCAGATTTAACTGATTGCTGAAAATATAGCTGTTAATAGATTGGAAATTTGGTTAATTGTTACAATTAGAATTGATTTTATTTACTTTTTGAAGCAAATGATGAAAAAGTCAAAAACAACATCAATTTGAATTGACGATAAATCTTTGGTTCCAAAGATTTGATTCAGTTGGTTGATTGTTTCCTTCATGTGAGCCTCATGTTTTTCCGGATATTTTTCCATGAATTTTTCACTTACACCATGAGAATTGAGTAAATCAATTATGTAACTTGCTGGTCGACGGAGAGTGACCTCAAACGATTCTTCATGACAAACCTTTTCAAAGGGAAGGTCAATACAACGATATTTGGCCTGAATTTGATCGGCATATATTTTCACAGGGAATCCATGGTCTTGCCATAGTTTTCGTGTTCTTTCAATGATTTCAACAACTGAATCGATAAATGATGAATTTGAACCATCAGCTAATCGGATTCTTGGAACTTGATAGTAACTAATTACCACGAATAAACCACCAGGAACCAGCAGAGAATCAACTTTTCTGTTGAACTTTTCAATGTCAAAGAAATGAAGAGCCTCACAAACGGTAATCAGATCAACTGAATTATCGTCCAGGGGAATATCTTCACCAGAACTGACCTGATACATGATAAAAACATGATAACAATCAGAATATTAAAATATTCCAATTACAACGGAGAAAAATAAAATTAAGTCATTTTCAGCTTGACTTATTGATGAATATCAAGTAAGGTTGATTATCTAATTTTGTGATTTAAATAGAAATGAAAAGAATTGAAAATTTACCTTGAATGAAACGTTGGTGAATCGATTCAGCTGATTAGCGATTTCGAGTTGAGGTTCACTGATATCATAGCCGATCACTTGGTCAAAATGATCAGCTAATAGGAAAGTCGCTTGACCAGAACCACAACCAACATCAATTGCTGTTGACCATTTGCCATTAGACTTTGGATTAACTGATTTAGCCAATTGATTGATGATCGATTTAACCAAATCTTTAGTTGGAATTGGTCTCACCTCATTGTAAATTGAGGCCATTCTAGTTGAATCATATTGTTGAGTTGACATGATTTGTTTTAACGACAAACAGATTTCAAATTGTTATGAACAAACACAGTTTTATAATGAAAAGCTTTCTGATAATCATGAGATTAGATTGTAAGATTGTAAATGACCTTGAAAAGTGATTATAGTTAAGATAATTTTTAACCATATAAGGTTAGTTAATTACTATAGTAACAAACAAATCTTAGTTGAGCTTATTGATCAGCTCGACCCTTAGTAATTTTCACCATATGATTGGTAAATTCATGTTTAAGTGATCAATGTATCTTGTACCATATCTTGATTATAGCTCAGAAATTGACCTGAGAAGTTGACCCAAAGTTGATTCGTCGCTGAGTCAATCTCGAATTTAGATTCGAATTGAATTATTAACTTAATTGCTAGAACTTAACTAAAGAAATAACCATAAGCGCGAAGATCCATCAACTATCATACAGATTCTTAAAGCATTTAATCAGTCAAAGAAAAACAAACCGATTCCTTTAGTCGAAGCGATTGATCATCTCGATCAACATCTACAAATGTAAATTCTCATCACCAATCAACAAATCGACAATCATTTAATCAAAAAACTCCCTTTCACCTTCACATTTACAACAACTACGAATAATTTTCTCGACAATTGCAATCACCTCAAGAATCAGAATAACTGTCACCATCATCGACACCCAATGGACTTGTAGGTCCATAACAACCCGAAGATTCAATGACAATTTCAGTAATAACACCATTCGATGAGATGGAATCATTCAAAGTTCGATAAATAGATTCTTCTTCCAAGTTTATTGAATGGATTCCGTTGAAACCAATATAGCCCAAGGGGTCGGTTCCGTTTCCACCAACAACAACATGTCAATAGATTGAAGTTGTAATTGATGAGAAAACTCTAAAAATAGTGAAGAAAATAAAATTCAACTTTAATTTCGTAGGTTTGAAAAAAGCGCTTCTCTTTTTCTCTCTCATTCCATTGAACCAACAATTCTTGTTGAATTTAGTTTTCATTGATTTTATTTTTGTTTCTTTAATTATCATCTCATCTCATCTCATTAGATTGATTGATTAGAGTTTTAATTGATACTAATTTAGATTAATATCATTCTTTTAACTGTGATTGAGATACATTTTAATTTGGTTGATTATCTTTTTCTTTGTTAATGAAACACTTTCATGTTCATCACTTTGTCTCTACCTTGGTTTCTGGTAACATCTTTGGGTTTAGATTATCCTTTGTTAATCATTTTGGTAATTATTTGCTTTAATTAACTGTTTTACTTTCATTTTTATTTCATTTTATCATGTTGACAGTAACAATTAGTAGGAAAATGTCTTGTCCTCTTCATACTAATGCTCCTAATTATCGTTCTTACTATTTTATTCTTTATTTTCTGCTTGTTTTTTATAATCTCTTCGATCATTTTTCAATAATAATTTCATGATTATCTTTTCAATCTAAATTCTCATTTAATATGATCAGTAGTTGCTACCAATATCATCAATATTCTAATGTTATTTACCTTTGAATCTTTGTTTCTTTGTTCTATTCTTTTTTATTTGATTTCTTTGTCTTTCTTTCTTTCTCTCTCTCTTTCTAGGCCTTTGAAATTTACTGACTGACAGATTGACTCATGTGACTCATTAAGACATTCACATTGTAATACATCAGCAAAGTGTCATCATCATGGTTAATCTAAAGGAAGAATTCATTGAGCAAACAAAAGCTGCCCGATTAAACAGAGAAAAAGAAAAGAAAATTCATCTTAGTGCAATAATCATCCAGGTAATTGTGATGTTTCATCTGTCTCATTTTCTGTTCCATTTTTAATCTCTGTTTGTCCTTTTATAGAAATTTTTTCGTGGTTTTATATCTCGTAGACGATTAACCCAAAAATTTATCAACGATTTCAATGATTCCATTAAAGATTGGAAAGACAATGAAGAGAAGCCCCAATTTATTGAAGCATTAACAGCATTTCGAGCCTTTAACAAATTACTCTGGGTAATCAACAGGAAACAAGATCTACAATTGTTTGAGAAAATGTGCCGATACATAATCGCAACAATGTTCAATTGCGATTTAACCGTTGAAAGTAAAGTGGCCTATGTTGTGGTTGCCTTTGAACCAAATTACACCGTTCCCTGGATCCACCAGATTAAAATTATACTTTCCCATTGTTCAAAATTAATTTCAACCCTGAGGCCAGAAAAGGCAAATGAATTTCGCTCTATTATGTTATTCCTTAACATGATGGTTACCTTTACCTCACCCTCTTCATGGCCCATTTTAACCCAACAATCAACTCATGCCAAAGATTATTCCAATTTACGTCCAGTTATGAATCAGCTGTGTACCAATGTTCTTAACACCCTAGTCACCAAAGGATTTCACCTGAACCTTCAAAGTCTCTTACACAAAGGCCTTTGTAAAAGTAATCCGTCCCTGAATAAATCTTCACTCACCGCTGTTTGTACTCTCTCCATGAGACACATGATTAACTGTTCATTCAATGAAATTTCTGTCAAATATTTCCTAATTCATATTCTATCAACTCCTGGACTCATTTATCACCTCAACTCGACATGTCCAGAAACCATGCAATCTTTTCAGAGTCAAAAACTTTTCACCAAATGTATTAATTTCCTCAGTAATGAGGCCACTTCCAGTCAATTATTTGAATCTCTCGAAGCCAATTATGGCCTCTGTCTCTTGGCTAATCTAATCAACTTAAGTTACATTGATCAAGATCAACTTAAAGAGTCATTGATGGACTTTGTGGTATGTTTATATTTTATTCCAATTACTGATATTATTATTATCGAGAGTTTAATTTGTTTAATTTAATTTACACAGATAATTGTTGGTCGACTTCTAGAAGGCTGTCAAAAGTATGTCACTAGTAAACAATCAAGTTTAACCCACTGGCATCCAATCTTGGGCTATTTTGCTCAAAATGTTGATTCTGGGTAAGTGATTACATTTGATTAGATGATAATTTTGATAATTAATTTACAAATTCTATCAATTTTTAAGGCTTCACGAATCATTGATCTATGTGAAAAAGCAACTTCAATTCTTGTGGAGTGTTAAAATGATCAACATTATGTTTGATTCGCTATTTGAAATTACCAAAAATAATCATCGCACCAGTTCAACGAGTTCATCTCGTAAACAAAGTCTAATTTCAACGGAAAGTGGTTACACTAATCATGAAGAAATTTCGACAGTTAATCACTGTGACTCCGATTATTCCACATCATCATCATCATCATCATCATTCCTTAATCGAGCAACTTTTCTTCGACGGGTTATTGATATCGCTTCGATTGCAGTAAACAAGGCAACAAATTCACGTTTATCAAGCTCCTATTCATCAGCAAAAGATAATCGGAAATTTGGTTCACCCGAAGTAACCGTGATCTCACTTATATGTTCAATGTACGTTATCGCCCTTGAAACCCTTTCACAGGTCAAAATGGACATTCTTACCGGCCTTTGTTATCAGGATCTTATTTTACCAAATCTTTGGAAATTTATTTCCTCCTTTGGACCTAAAGACGGTTTAAACGCTTTCCTCGATCTTCTCTCCGTTAGTCCTAAAGCTTGTGCTTTCGAATTTCAACTTTTAATTCTATTCTGTGATTGTGCTACTCACCTGATTACGTAAGTTTTAATTGTCATCTCTTTTTGTTTTTAATTTGTATTCCAAACATATTAAATCAAACGATTTTCTTTTAGTATTTTAGATGAGAAGGAATTTTATGAAGAGCAGAAACCGTTTTCTCTGGAGATATTACATTCGATTTCCTCTTTTCTAAACAATTTAGTCTATCGGATTATCGCGAATAATTTAATAGGTAAATTGTTTAAATTTCAAGTTTGTTTAAGGTTAACTTGTTATTTGATTGTTTTCTTTTCTTGTTTACAATTAGATTTAAAAAACATCTCATCAAGTCAACTTTTAAATTCAACTCATTCACTTTTAATGGTTCTTTACAAGAGAGACTCAAGACGAAGCTATTTACCACCTGATCATTGGTTAATTAAGTAAGTTAATCAGGGAATTTATTGAAATTGATTGTTTTACTAATTGTTTTTGTTTTGTTTTTCTCTCAAGGGATATCAAAGTTGCTAATTTCCTGAAAGATTTAGAAAGTGGAAAAAAATCTTGTCAATTGTTGATGATGAAAGTTCCTCATATCATTCCCCATAAGGAGAGAGTTGTACTGTTCCGTAAACAAGTAAACACTGAGAAAACTGTTCTAGAATTAACTGAGACCTCTTGTTCCTCACCGCAATCAACTTTAATCACAATTCATCGATCACGTATCGTTGAAGATGGTTACCAACAATTAGCTTTACTCCCATCTCAAGCCTTGAAAGGAATTATAAGAGTTAAATTTATCAACGAACAAGGTCTAGATGAAGCTGGAATTGATCAGGATGGAGTTTTCAAAGAATTTCTTGAGGAAACAATTAAGAAAGTTTTCGATCCTTCGCTCAATTTATTCAAAGTAACTTCTGAACAGCGACTTTATCCTTCACCAACTTCTTACATTCACGAAAATCATCTATCACTTTTCGAGTTTGTCGGTAAAATGTTGGCCAAAGCCGTTTACGAAGGAATCGTTGCCGATGTTCCTTTCGCCTCCTTCTTCCTGGGTCAAGTTCTTCACCAACAACAAAGTGCCCTTTACTCATCTATCGATGAATTACCCTCACTTGATCCCGAATTGTATAAAAATTTAACTTACGTGAAACATTATGATGGTGACGTTGCCGAACTTGATTTAACCTTTTCCGTTGATGAAGATTGTATGGGTAAAATTGTTTCTCATGAACTTATGCCCGGAGGGAGAATAACTTTAGTCACTAATGAGAATCGAATTAGTTATATACACTTGATGGCCCATTTTCGAGTTCACCGGCAAATTCGTGAGCAAACAGCCGCTTTTATCCGTGGATTTCGATCAATTGTTAATCCTGATTGGTTAACAATGTTTTCCACCCCCGAGTTTCAACGACTCATCTCAGGAGATAATTCACCCATTGACCTTGGTGACCTTCGTCGTAACACCAAATACTATGGTGGATTTCATAATAATCACAAAGTAATCAACTGGTTTTGGGACATTTTAGAGAGAGACTTTAAACCGGATGAGCATCGATTATTACTCAAATTCGTGACCAGTTGCTCGAAACCTCCGTTACTTGGATTTACTCATCTTAAGCCACAATTTTCAATTCGATGTGTTGAAGTGAGCGAAGATCAAGATATCGGTGATACCGTTGGTTCCGTTCTTAGAGGGTTTTTCACTCTTCGTCGTAAAGGTCCAGTTAACCGATTACCCTCTTCGTCGACATGTTTCAATTTACTTAAATTACCAAATTATCAAAAGAAATCAGTTCTACGAGATAAACTTCGTTATGCAATCACGAATAACACTGGATTTGAATTATCTTAATCACCGCCAGCGAAATGAACCAATTATGACCAAAAATTAATCCAATTCAGTAACTAGTCATGTTGGAAGACTTGGAATCAAATAATTAATCATATTACATGATTATCATCATTTGAAGCCATATTTTTGCATTTCTTTTTTTTTCACTCTTTTTAATTGTCACCATTGAAATTGATTGGTTTTGGCAATCAACACGAAAACAATTAACTTTCACTATTTTACCTCATAAAGACACAATTGATTTGTATTTTGTTTTTTAATTTCACCTCTTTGTTTTTGTTTTGTTTACCTGTTGAATTAATTACCACTAGCAACATGTCAAGATTAACTTTTTTGATACAAGCAAGTTAATTAATCACTTTATTAATCCGTTGATTGTGCCAACAGTTAACTAATTTTAATTCTGGCAATGGATTTTGTTTATTTAACTTTCAATTCAACCAAAAATATGTAAAAAAACACAATCAAAGGTTTAATTTTTTAATTTTCTTACACCATAGAGACTTGGATAAGAAAACAAAAAAAAACACTTAATACAAGTTAATTAATTAACTCAATTAGTTGATTGTTGGATAGAATCAAAGATAAACTTGATATCTAATATTTAATTACCAAGGATTTTCTAGATTAAAATTTTTTCGCAAATTTTTGGATATGAAATTTTTTCATTTCTAATTTAAAAATCTATTAATAGGATTAGATTATTATAATTATAGATTTAAACAGTTAACTAAATCAATTTTGAAAAGAAAAGGATTGAACCAGATTAAACTCTCAGAATAATTATCAAAAATGGCGAACGACTTGATAATATGATGAATTATCTTGATTGTTTCTCAATTGGATTTTGATCAATGAGAGGCTTAAATCTGTCATGATTGAGACGATGATTAATAACAACGATTAAAATTTCAAAATGCCGACAAATTGAATGTTAACCAAAGAGTCGTAATTGTTTACAGGCAGATGAAAACATTGATCCCAGTGGATTGGAAACACCATAAAACTGGGAAGGTTTTGTTTCCAATTGCAATTTAGTTAATTGTTAACTGTGCTTTTTGAGAGGCGAATTAACAACAAACTAATTATCAATGTCAACGATTATGATTAACAATCAAACGAAAAAGATGGCGATGTTATTTGCCAGAACAGTAACAAGTGAAAGATTTTGTTTAACATTTTCTCTTGACAAGCTTATACATACAGGGTGTAAAGTTAGAAGGGTTAGATTTTTTTCCCTTGCGTAAAGAAATGAGATTAGTTTGTTAATTGTTAATTCGTAATCAACTGCTGACTATTTGCGCAAATTAATCTCCTCCTATTAACGTTATTTGTTTTACATCGTGTAGTTGATAGGGAATCTTTCAAAGATGAGGATGAAGATAAATCGTACGACAGATAAAATAGACAGAGAATTCAATCAGAAATTCAGGAATCCTGGTTGAGTGTAGAATTTTTTTCCTCTCTTTTTCGACAAATAGAGCAGCCATTTCAATAGAATGTTAGATGAAGACAATTATTTCTGTTGTTCTCTCATTTTTGCTTATCCTCTTCGTTCTCGAATTTTGAAATAGACCAAAATTAACACAAGAATAGTTAACAATCAGCGTGACTTTAAGCATGATGATCATGGTGAGGGAAATCCTCATCTCATCTTAAGTTCCAAGGGCAAAAGCTTTTAATAAATTTTTTGCTTTCCAATCTTATTCTGCTCTTCTTCCAGTTTTCCTTTGGTAAAATCACTTAATCAGGTTCATTGGATTAAAACAGCAATCAATTGATGATGATTAAACAACTAGATGAATTTTTCAAACAGTTTTCATGATTGATTGATTGATCAATATTGATGAGATAGATGATAAATTTTTTCTTCCATTTGCCAAGTTATAATTACAAGTTATAATTGTACTTTTGTTTTCAAGTATAACAATTGATTACATGCAACAATCATTAACATGCAATCAAAACGAGAAAAAAAAAGTAGAAACAAAGAAAAAATTAAAATTATATTTACTTAATTGTTGTTGTATATGATTGACAAATGGTTGTTGCATTTTATGATTACTCTGTTTGCAATTGAACAATTTACCAACCAGCAATCAACTTTTAAGACAATTATCAACAATATGGTTGAAAAAAGAGTTTTAATAAACTCTTCATGACATTTAATCCGTTGATTGTCATAAATCATTCTTTCCAGAACGAGAATGATGATGATTAGATGAGTGATGATTATCACTGGATGAATGAGAATGTGATGGTGGTGATGGAGATGATGAAGATGATGAAGATGAAGGTGAGAATGATGCTGACCATTCATCAATCCATTCTTCTTTCGGTTTAGTCTCAAAACAATAACAATAACTTATCCTTTCCTCTTCCGCACAAACACCAAAATTTTTGGAACAGGTATCCTTACATATATCATGACAATCTTCATCACAATTGTCAACCATAATTCTGCAACCATGAAAATCACCTAAAAAAAAGAATAATATAAAACCAAAAGAAAGAAAAATAATAATCTAAATTTGAATAGAACAAAAATTCTTACCTGATCTTATAAGTGAAGCCAAAATGAGAAAGAAAAGATAAATGAACAAAGTCTTCATATTGTCCAGCGAACAAGAGTCTCCTTACCAAAGCAGAACGAGGTGACACACAAACAGGGAACAAAATTAGACAATAAATGATCAGAATTGACGATAAATAATAACCATGATTGGAGAAAAAGATAATCTGAAAAGACACCGAATAAAATGATAACTGAACATCCGATTAACAAGGAGAACAGAATGTAGATGAACAAGGGAGTATTTCTCTCTCTCCCTCTCTCTCTTTCTCTTTCTCTCTCAAAGTCTATGTAAAATTAAAAGAATAACATATATACAAGTGATAGAGAAGAAATTGAATAATTAAGAGAAAGATAATTAAAATAAATTCTAATGGAAATCCAGCTTACGCAAGGTCTCAAACGAAAATAAAAATTGGATACAAACATTAAAAAGAAAAAAAATTTTCTTCTTACCGATGACGTTGTTTTCTTTCCCTTCGCCCATGTATTGGCTTCTATCCACTTCTAACTGTTGGGTTATCTTTTGGCAGAAAACGTTGTTATCCTTCATCATCTTAATCCACTGATTTTAATCATCACCAGAGTTTAATTGTCGACAATTAGATTCAAAATTTAATCTCTTCTGGTTAACAAACAATTAAGAAAAACTGACAAAACAAATCAATTGTAAGTAGAAATTAACATTTTCTCTTCTTCTTCTAAATCGAATGTTTCTTTTTTCTATTCTTTTCTATTCTTTGTTCCTCCATTTTGATTTTCTCAATTTCTTTTCTTTTTGTTTTGTTTTTATTTTTCATTTTCTTTTCTTTTCTTTTCATTTGATTTAAATTCATTTCGGTTAATCATTACAGTAATGCCTCTCAAAATGACCCATCGTTATGGTAACATTAAATTTGGAAGATTTTTAAGTTTTAGTTAAGATTAAATCTCATCAAATTGGTATAAAAAAGTGAAGTTAATGAATTGAGAGATTTGTGAGATTAATTGATTTACTAATTGCTTCTCATTTTTTCCTCTCAGAGGCTATCGGTATAATAATTGAAGATGGTTGAAGTTTCTTGTATCATTTGTCCGGAATGGATCTTAAACTGAACGAGCAGCGATTGATTCGTGACCAGTTGCTCGAAACCTCCGTTACTTGGATTTACTCATCTTAAGCCACAATTTTCAATTCGATGTGTTGAAGTGAGCGAAGATCAAGATATCGGTGATACCGTTGGTTCCGTTCTTAGAGGTTTTTTCACTCTTCGATCAACACGAAAACAATTAACTTTCACTATTTTACCTCATAAAGACACAATTGATTTGTATTTTGTTTTTTAATTTCACCTATTTGTTTATGTTTTGTTTACCTGTTGAATTAATTACCACTAGCAACATGTCAAGATTAACTTTTTTGATACAAGCAAGTTAATTAATCACTTTATTAATCCGTTGATTGTGCCAACAGTTAACTAATTTTAATTCTGGCAATGGATTTTGTTTATTTAACTTTCAATTCAACCAAAAATATGTAAAAATACAATCAAAGGTTTAACTTTTTTAATGCCATCGAGACTTGGATAAGAAAAAAAAAATCTTAACATAATCCTTGTAAATTATGCCAAAGGTATAATTGATAGCCAATTATACTTGATTGTTTTCCTCCTCATCTTCGTCATCATCATCATCGATATGATCTGGAATCGGTTGTTTTTCAGCTTCCATCATATTCAACTGCATCACATGTGCTCGACACTCAGCACCAGATCCATGGAAATAAATCTTCTGAATTGATTGTTTCTGATTACAAACAACACAAGTAAATTTACCCGATTTCTTGACCAATTGACTTTGGAAAATTTCACATTGACAACAACGAATCACAATATTTTGCTGGGGCATTTTCTATCCAATGGAAAGCAGAAGACCAAGGAAGACAAAAAATGATCACAAATTAGAAGAAGAAGAATATCAACAATTAAATCAATTAAATTGAATCAATTAACTAAATCAAGATTACACAATCAAATCAAATCAATAACAAAGAGAAACAAAAAAAAAGCTAAACATTAACCCGCCAATGGAAATCGAAACTGCTTCCATCTATTGACCAGGAAAAGAAAAAGGTAATTATATGATTCCATCTAAACTTATTCTAAGAGATTAATTTAATTGTTCGCAACGAGAATTCCATTAACAAATTGACCTACAGAAAAAAATAAACTTAATTAGAAAATAGAAATAGAATAGAAAATCTTAATGAATAGTAAATAACGATTAGAGTTGATTAGATGAGCGATGATTAAAATCACCAAAAGATGAGCAATTATCATGATAATTGTTTACTCACGTTCTATGAACAATTAAATTAAACAAAAAAAGACAAAAAGTTTGTTGCTTTTAAATTTTGATTCTAAATTAACATCGAGGAGAAATTGTTGATTATCTAAAATTAGTCCAAGTAATTTAAAGTTTTCTGTTCAATTTTATTAACTTTTTGAAGATCGAAAAGTTTATTTTCTCAAATCTTTTCGAGAAAAAAAGTTTTCGAATGTTGAAAATGTTCAAATGTTCAAACTAAATTCGAAACTCAAGTTTTGCCCTAATCCATAACTTGAAGATATTTGATGATCAATTGTCAATCTATTTCAATCAATATACTTTTAGTTTACTGACACAATTAAGAGTAAGAATTAAATCATTCCAAGTTTACCAAGACGATAAAGATTGTTGATCATTAAAATAATTTCCATCCAATAATAAAGTTTTGCTGAATTAAGAGACAATTTAGTAATTACAACAATTAATTGAAATTGGAAAATTATTCCACTAATTGTACATCAATATGATTATCGATACAAAAATGGAAACTACTAAATCATCATCGTAATCAAACTGATCATTAACAACGATGGTAAAAGTTAAATTGTGATCAACATTTGAAATTCAATTGATCAAATAAGAAAAAAAAATTAAACAGTAATTTAAACCTTTCTATTTAAAGTAACTGTTGATGAAGATGATTAAATTGAACTTTAATCAAGTAACATGTTTACCCGCCGGAGGCAATTTAAATTTCAAGACTAATAATAAATAAATTAAACATTTAGTTATCAACAATCAACTGATAATAATAACAATCGCTCATGTATTGGTAATATTAACTGTTTACAATTGAATAGGATGAAAACAATTAAGTTAATTTAGTTGATAACATTTTGTTTCAAAATTGTAAATCAATTGTTTCCAGTTGAAAGTTAATTGAATTACAATTGTTTTTCACTGTGAGATTTAATTATAACAAGAAACAATTACAATTGTTAATAAGATTTTTTTTTTGTTCACAATAATTGAATCTTGATAATCAAAGGAAAGGGAAAATTAGTTGATTGTTGTTAATTGAAATTCATTTTCAATCAAAAGTTAACATTTTGAAAAGATTATCACAATTTACCGTTAATGCAATAATTAAATTATCACAAGTTTGACTATGTGAACCTCTAATTACAATTAAGTTATCACAGGTTGTCTTTATGTTGATTAATTGATTGTGAACATGGCAGTTTTTTCATTTCCCGTGTTGATTGATTAATTGTCGAGGGTTAATTGTGTTTAATTGTCAATGAAGTGTTGAGGCCAATGGCCTCACGTCAGTTAATCAAAAGACAATGTTATTAAATGAGAGTGACCGTTGATTGTGTCGGTGAAACTTCAGTAATCATTTTAAATTAAGTAACAATTTAGGATTACACAATATTCATTTATTCAAGAGCAGGGGGTTAATGAGAGAGATGATGATGATGAGGATAAAGGAAGATGAGAAACATTAAAATCTCTATTTTTTGATGAACAATCTTGAATCTTCATTTGGAATCATCATCATCATCATTATCCATTTTAATGTCATATTTGCAGGTTTCATCTTCATCCTCTTGTAATCTGCTTCTCATCAGCATCTCATTTAATTGTTGTTTTAATAGTTGATTGTTGATTATCAATCTTAAGCTCCAATTTTAGTTGATACCTTCTAGCAGGTTATGTTATTAATTTTCACGTTCGCACGTCGACCTTGTTTCAGGCCACTTTTTCCAACTAATATTCCGGTGATCATTTTTATTATCAGTATCATCATGTTGTTTAAAAGATGATGATGATGATAAAGATGCTGAAGAAAATGAAAAGCCAAGTTCATCAAACCCTCTCAATAGCATCAGGTATCAACATCCATTTGATGAGTAACATAAACAACTGACCTAGTCCCATCCTTTAACCTCCTCCTCCTCTCTCTCTCTCTCTCTCTCTCAACTGCCCAGTCCATTTCTTTAAGGTGGACCCAAAGGTTTTCATCATTAAAAGTATCATGAAAACAAACTGGAAATGAAATGAATCTGAAATTGAAAAAAAAGATCGAGAGAGATAATAAGAAAAGCGAGTAAATGAATTTTATATGTTGTTGTTTTGATAATTCAACAGGTTTCAGGTAAAAGGTTAGTGAAAGTTGTACAACTACTACTATAATTAACTAAATTGTTGTATCATCATCACAATTTAGTTAATAGTTGCCAGTTGATTGAATTGGTCAGTCTAAACAGATAGGGAATTGTTTGTGTTCACTTAGTAACGAATTAACTTTTTTTACTGTTTAAATGTTTCAACCGAATCAACTTTTATCTGGTTATTATCTTATTGGAACAATTAGTTGACAATTAACTTGAGAAATTAAATTTGTTTTCTTTCAATTCAATTTCTATTTTTAAAATTGTGGAAAAATAATACAAACGAAAATGAAAATGTATCCGAATGGTAAGTTAATCAATCAATCGAAGATGGAAAAGTGAATCAGCTGATTAGAGATTAAATTTTTCTCTGTTAATTAACTTAATTATTTTCTCTCTGTTCCTTGAAATAGAAATTTTAATTGGACTATTAACTCTTAACCATCTCACTGGAATCATTTTGTGCTCAGTTTTGTTACCATCTAATGGATTAGTGTCTTCGACTAAATCATCACCTTCGAAAACATTGGACAGTAAAGTGATTAATCCTCGATCTTTATCTTCATATTTACCACAATCATCATCATCATCATCATCATCATCTTTACCTTTACCATCTTCATCATATCGATCATCAAATCCAACTCTTCACCATCTTCCAAGTCATCATCAAATACCATTAACACCGTTAATCTCACCTAATCAACCCCATCTATCTTCTGGCTTTAATTCCGGATTAGCCTCTGGATTAAGGGCTAAACTGTCATCTATGTTACCTTTTTGGTCCAGAAATAGTTCACCTAAAGCTGAAAAAAGAGCCTTAAATTTGGTTCGTTTTAAGGAGCAATATCATCGTGGCCTTCCCAATGCAATGGCTCTTTACAATGCTCTTCTCCTTGAATCTCATGAACGCCGGTGGATGTTAAATGATCCCTCTCTTCATCATCCTTATCCTCCCGGTCATCCAACCAACAGAATGCATGCCTCCGAAAGGAAGGTGGGAAAAGTTGTCAATCGAATAATGTCCAATTTCGTCGCCGATTGTGTAGGTGTTGTCATTACAGAAATTTTCCGAAAAGTTGGTGAAATTGCCGGTGAACTTGCTCGACTAATGGTCAGCAATACAGCTCAACATTTCCTCGGTCGTGAACAACTCTCACTACGATCATCATCATCATCATCACTATTATCATCTTCATCATCAATTTTACCATCACCAAGTAAATCTGTTAGCCGGTTAATCCAAGCAATTAAACCCAAAACCTCAAGTGACAAGAAAACTGCCTAATCTTTTGAAGCAGATAATCACAGTTACCATTTCAATCAACTTCATCACCTTAATTTACAATTGTAATCAACCCATCGGAAAATATTGATACAATCATATTTCTAATCACTTTAATTGTTACCCAAGTAAATCAACTTATAAAATATAATCTAATTACAATTGTAATACTACTACTTGTATATTTATCTGTGATATTATGTTGACATTTCATTTAATTGTATCCAAATCCTCAACTCTTAACAATTGATTGATTAATTGGTTAACTTTCAAACTATTATCATTGAAATTGTTAACCAAGAAAAAGTTTCATCATGATTAACCAATTAATCAGACAATTTATATACTATATAATAGTAAATTTCCAACAATTAACCATCTCGTTAATTGTTAATCATTTTCTTTAAACATGTTTTATTTTTCTTAATTGTTTGTGCTCTTATATATTAATAAATATATTAGATTTTCATTTTGTATTTGATTAATACTGTTAATTAACTTGAGAGTTAATTAAACTTGACAATAAGTTTTTCTCATAATTTGGATTGTTAATTGTTGATGATCATCATTATATTAATAATTACATTGTCACAGGAATTAAATATTTAATTTTTGTTTTCTCTTTATAATTATAATCACTTTTTGTTGTTTTCAATTTACAGAGTTTTTAATTGTTACCAATTTAGATTCTGTAGTTAAATTTTGTCCATTGATGTTAGTTGGAGTTTGTTCACAATTTGATTTAAATTGTAACAATTTAGGGAGAGAGAGAGAGAGCTTGTATTCACCAAATTAGATCAATAATTTAAATGGAGATCAGTCTGATTAATCCAGAAATCAATTGATAATCAATCCTTGAGATGATCACAATTTAGATTTACCAATCGATTAGCAATTAATTTCTCATCATAATCAATTTTAAACAAGTTTCTTTCTCCCTGATTAAGCTGATAATCAATTTTAATCACCATTGATCACAACAATTAGAAAGAATCAACAAGAAAAATTGATTGATTTACATTAATTCATAATTACCACTCACTTAAGTTGACAATTAAAATAATTGTTTCTTTAATTTTGGTATCAAAGAAAAACATTTTTCTCTTCACTTAATTGTTGCAATCAAGATTAACCAGAAAATCTCATTCACAATCCTCAATCAACTTTAAATCATCAAGATAATTACACAACAATTTACAGTTGAATCTAATCCTTGACATTCATTTAGATCCAAGCAATTGAATGGTGAATAAAATAATATTTATATATACACATGAGTCTCTGAATCAATTCAAAATAGAAGATAATTTCATGATGATGATGATGATGATGATGACAATTAAGATGATTAGATGATGAAATTAATTGTCAAAGAAAAATGAACGAAACAAAAAAAACAGAAAAAAAAATCACCAACGTCACAATCAAATTGATTTCGGAATGATCAGAATTGATCTTGATTAGTGAATACAAGTCTTTAAATATATTTATAATAATAATAATAATAATAATATATAATATTTATAGTTATATAATTGAAACAATTAAATGGATGATGATGATTATTGTTGATTAGGAAAAAAAAAATGAAAATTTCGTGTTGATGGTTATCAGCTCCATCTATTGGACGACACAACATATACACTTTTTATTTTTTTTGTTTTCATCTTTTAATTGTTCCGATGGTGTAACAGTTGACCTTTCATTTTGACCAATACCTGGACTATTGGGTCCACCACCGGCACCATTACTGGTTTTATGATTTAACATCAATTTAGAGGAACCATTTAATTTGTTGCTATTTAAATTAGCATCATTTGATTCTGGATAAATTTTACTCGAATCACCATTAGTTTTAGTTGATTGTTTCATCTCATTTAATTTATTAATTGTTGTTGTTGTTGTTGACCCTGAATTTGTAATTTTTGGTAATTTATCACTATTGGATGGTGATAATTGTTCATTTGGTGATTGATTGTTTGATGAGATTCCATTGAGTATCTTTGATGATGGTGATGATGATGACGAATCCCCTGAGGTCAATTCCTTGGTGGGTGTTGTCGGTGTGATGGGTTTACCTTCCTTGATCAGGTTGACAATTGTTTCCGCTTCACGGGACAATTCCCCACCGGGTCTGAATGGATTCTCAAAGCCACTGTCAACACTGAGAGAGAGAGAGAGAGATTGGGAAAAGAATAGAAAAAAAAAGTTTTATCAATTATTTTGCCAAAAAAATTGATTCAATCGAAACTCTCACACACAAACAAAACTTTAGATGATTTTCTGATTACATTGGTTTTAATTGTTACAATTTAATTTCGCTTGACTAGGTAAACCTGTGAAAGTGATTCAATGTCTATCAATTACAAATTGTCCAATCTAATTGATGCGTGATCAATTGTCTCAGATCATATTGATTGATTTTCTTTGTTAGTTTTTCTCTTTCACTAATTGTTGTCAATACAACAAAAGGTAAACATCAACAATCAACTTGGAATCAAAAGTTTAACACTCAACATTTAGTTTCTTAATTTGGTTAACAAACTCAATATCTAATCAACCTCAAGTCTTCAGATCAGATTCACATACACACAATTACATGACAGGTAATTAGATTGTGATTATCAGTGTAATTGTCAGTAATTAGCTGATCAATATTTTTGTTTTACGATTTTTGTTTGTATGACAAAATTTTGCACTTCCCTTGATTAACTTGATTAATCTTATTTGCTTGACAATCACCATCATTTATTATTATCATGTTGATTGTTAAAAGCTTCAAAGACTTAATTGTATTCACCTTGATGATGATTATAACCAAAAATAAATGTATCCATCTTCCTGACAATTTAAGTTTGCATGATAAACAATCAAGAAAAGGTAAATAAATAAAAGGATCCAACAACAATTATCATAATTGTCAATACTTTGTATGATTAAGATTGTTGATCAAGGTTGATTTGATTAAATGAAACACTTTTTTTTTAATGTTAATCACATTACAATATAAATATTATTATCATCATCAGCATAAAAATCATTCAGCCAATTTAGTAATGCAATTAGTTGATTGTTAACAATATGTAATATCCCATCAACTAATCAATATATTGACATTGAACCCAACATTTAGTTTAAACTAAATTAAGAAACCAGATTTACTAATTATTGGTCAATATACTATATAAAAATAGCAATATAAACAATCAATTTTCAAGGTAAATCAACACTTAGCAATTTACAATTCATCCAAAAATTTATTGATCATAATCAAAAGATTGTGTCTTGATTTGATTGATTATCGTTTCCTTGGTCAACACAATAACCCAAGTAATCAATACATACAATTAGTAAACAACAATTAATATCTAAGATATTAAAGGTTATATAACCAGTAATAAAGCCCAACAATTTATTGATTGTCAACAGGAGCAATCAACAAAATTGCGAGATTGTAAATATTGGCAATGAGAAATTATCTCAACAATTTATTGGTAATAAATTAGGTCTTTGTAATTAAGTTACAATTAAACTAAATTACAGGTAAATTTGGTTTATCCTAATCATCTTGAACTATTTAAACTATTAATAAACAACAATCAACTAATCATAATCATCAACAACAACACAAAAAAGTTGCATGTTAATAGTTAATGTTTGACTTTGATTTAATCACTTTGATGATATTATATCATAATAATGATGAAACTTCCGGTTAATTTATTATTAATTTATCATCTTTCGTTTATTATGATATAATAATCAGCTGATTGCTTATTGTATTATATTGATGAATAAATTTTACATGTAATCATTGATTGATTTCAATGATAATAACTAAACTTAATTGTTATCATCTTAATATCAATAGTTGTGTGTGTGTGTGTGTGCTAATTAATTTGAATATTTGCCACTCATTAATTGTTAATGAATCAAATTCAGGTAACTATGGTTTCTAATTTAGTAGTTGAATAAATAATCATCATGATTACCATGATATTAAATATAAATGTTAACGATAGTAACAGTAACCTAATAATGTCCAAATTAAATCAATAATTTGAATACAAAATGAAAAGCATTTCAATTGATTGAATATACTTTTCATTTGAATGACAATTGGATTAGTTTGATTTCTCAGAATGATTAACAGTAAGGATTAATAGGATCATCTATTAATACAGAATTTAATTTTAATCATTCCAAATTGCAATTAACTTTTTAAATCGTTTGACATACAATTTTTAAATTGTACCAGGAAATACAGCAAAGAAAAAGTCTCATCATCATTGGTAATTAATTTAATTTACTTGTCAATCAACAAGATAATTGTCACAATCTTTGATAATTAGATTGATAACAAACTAAATCAATCGTATGTTGAATTGATATTGTAACAATTAGAATTACAATTAATTGTTTGTAATATTTTCATCGAGTTAAAATTAGTAATTAACTTTTAGGTGTAAAAATTAATAAATCAATTGATAGGAATAAGTTAGTTAAAGGTAATCAACAATTGAATTAACAATTAACAATCACAATTGGAATATAATTGTTGAGGTTAATCATCAGGATCTCTTGAAATGTTACATGCAAACCATTTAATCATTTGAAATGGTTAAACTAAATTAGTAGTTAATCATAATAACATAAGTATTAATAACAAGAAAAATGGATTATAATGATTATGATTAAGGTTGATTGAGGTTAAGAAAGGTTTGTTAATCAATTATTAATTGTGAGAAGAAACAAATTTAATTGTAATTGATTTCTTACCTAATTTTCCTTTCCATCATTTTAACTAAATCCAATGTTAATTGATGATGATCTTGATTGTGATGAGGATGATTAACTGTTGTCGATGATAATGTTGAGTGAGAAATTGATTGTTGTTGTTGATGCTGATGATGATTAGTATAATTTGATGTAACTGATGATGATGATAATGGAGGATTAATTATCCGGGAAATTGTTGTACAACAATTGATATTATTATTATTATTGTGATTGTTATTATTGTTGATTGAATTGAATGTTGATAATGGTTCGGGTGTCTCTGGACTAACAATAGACGCAGGTCGACCTGATTCATATAAAGAGACCCGAACACGGGAAGGCCGATCAATTATCAATGAACTGGATATCGTTGAATCGGAGGCCACTCGACTTCCCAATCGACGGTTAATTGGATAATGAAAATGTATCGGTTGACTATAATTACTTATATGGTTTCCATTGAGGTACCTGATATATTGAGAGGATAATTTAAATTACGATTAAAATTACAATTACAATTAGAGTTTGGTAAAAGTTGGTAAACAATTAGGGTAATTAAACAAAATTAATTGTCTATGTGAATTTAAATAAATAGTTAACTTGGTTTTCTAGGAATAAAAGTTTTCTAATTGAAACAATTAGAAATTTAAATTTTGATTGATTAGTTGGAATTGATTATCAGCAATTGTATTGGTTTGTTTAATACAATTTAGTTTTAATCATTGAATTGAATTAGATTTAATTGATTGGGTATTGGAGAGATTGTTTAATTTAATTTAATACAATGATTAAGGATAAACACCAACAACAATTTATTAGCAACACAATTAATGGTTGCGGTGGGCGAGTTGATTAAATATCATTTTACAATCATGATTATGATTGTTGATTATAATCTGAATTAAATTAAATACTCAATGTCTAATAATAAAACAATCAATTTAATGATAATCAACAATTTGAAATGAAATGATAATATAACAAAAGCCCAACCCAATATATTATTAAGCTCATCATCACGTTAATTGTAAAGGTAATCAGTTAAATAATAAGATTCATTTGTTACCTGGTCACAGGTATTATCATTATTGATGTTGACCATAACAATTTAGTAATAACAATTTACATTTACAATTACAATTAGCTTGATAATTCAATAATTAGTGTAAACCTTTACCACGAGTGAGAGTTAATTGTTTCAATGTAAATTAAATATATTATTACTAAATCGGGTTAATCAATTATCGTGAAAATAAAAATTACAGTTTAACTATTATTATTACAATAACTGTGAGAATATGAATATTTAAACAATTAAGTAACTGTGAATAATTAATCTCAAATACGAGATAGTATTTAATGTTAGTTAATTAGTAATTTAGAAATATAATTAAGAAATAATAATTAGCTATTAGATTAATATTATAACATTAGTTTAAGGAAGACAATTAGATGATAGATATTATGTATTATCGTGGTTTGGAAATTGATGAGAGAACAATCAATTGATTAGTTACAATTAGGAAAATTTAATCAATTATTTGATTAAGGAAAACTGCGAAAAATGAGTTAACCTAAATTAGGTAAATTAGGTCACTAGGAATTGGATTAGTTAATTGTAACGTGAAGGATGATAGGATTGAAGTATTAATATCTAAGTGATATAAGAGGAGAAACATATGACTTACAGCATTTTGAATAGGATTGTTGATTAATTGTGATTAATTAAGTTAGTTAAATGTTGTGATATGAAAGCACAGATATATAAGGATAAATGATTTAGTTAATTAATCAACATTTGAACACAAGGATAAAGGTAATTTAAGTGATGATATTGATTTGTGAAGCTCAGAGATTATCTAATCAATTGAATTTTTTTTTGTTCATCTAGTTGATGAGTTTTATTTTCTGTATTGGTTATCGTTTTCATGGCAAAGTTTCAACTAAATCATGATGATCAAAGATGATGATTAAGTGAAAGTAATTGGATGAAATTATAAACAAAGCAAAAAAAACAGTAAATGAAGCAAATAGCCAAGGTTACATGTAACTCTTTGAGATTCAATTGAAATATAATGTCTATTCAAGTTCAACATGAACAGAAACCAGAATTCTGAGTAAGGAGCAAGATCAGTAAAGGAGGAGGAAAAGGGAGAGAGGGAGAGAGAGAGAGAGAGATGAGGAAGATGTAAAAGAAAGAGAGTGAGACTGAAATGATAAAGGATGAGAGAAGTAGGAAGATGAACAGTTATGATTCCATGAGATTGAATATCAACTCAGGCAGATATTTGAATTCTCTGAGTGAAGTAAAATTCCTATGGTGAAAATGTGAATTAATCTCAAAGGGTTAAGATTAATGAATTAGTTCAATTGTAAAGAAAATGATTGACAATTAAAATTCATGATTGAGATTAGAAATTTTCTTTTTTTATCATATTCATTGATTGAAGATTTAGGATCTGTCTTTTTTTTTTAGATGATCAAAAAAAGAATCATAATTCTAAGGTTAAGAGGATGATAACATGATGGAAGAATAAGAAAAATCATCTATAGAAATTCAGTGTTCATGATAAGTTGATAATAATAGAAAAGGTGACAAGATGTATTATAGCAAATGATTGGAGGTTGACTTGATTCGTGATCAAGTTTCAGGTATTTTCTCATCCATTGAATAACTTTGGATTAAAAAAGAGAGAAAGAGAGAATAAGAAACAAAAAAGTTTGTTGGAATTACTGAATTTTTCAGGATCATCATGAAGACGATAAGGTTAATATCATCTTTATAAATATATTGGAAAAGGAGATCAAGTGATAATCGTTCAATTGACTTGGATACGTTTCAAATGACACGTTTTTTTCTCGTTATATTTCAATTCTGATTCAATGAAATTATTTTCATTTCTCCTTCTGATTCACCATGAAAAGATTCAGAGATCGAGAGAGATAATTTCATGAGCAAGAGAGAGAGAGAGAGAGAGATTCAATTGAAATCTCTTTAATTGTTAATATCTCTTGGACTGTGATATGTTTATTATTATCAGAATTAAGATCGACTGATATATAACAGGATTCAAGTTGATTGTTAACTTGGAATCATCATGATAACAAATGAAGACAAAGGAAAACAATCACCATGAGCCACACCCGTATTCTTTGGGATAGTTTCATGGTGAAAAAAAAGAGACTGGAACTATGAGTCGACTCAAGAAATGATAATAACTGAATCACCAGAATTTTCTGAGTAACCAGACAGTCACAGAATCCATGGAAACGTTATCATTATCCTCATCATGTTAAAGAATGAAAACTTTTTTTCCTGATAAAAACAATGATACTCAATATTGTTAATTGTTAGATAATAATGTAACTGATTCTTTAATTGTAACAATTAGATAACAATAACGTTAAACATCAACAACTTTAAAGCTTCTTGTGTCTGGTAATTTACACCTGAATTACAATGTTACCTCTGTGATTATGATAATAAAAACACAATTGGGAATGAAAAAGCTTAATTAGTTAACAGTAGTAAAGTTAATTACGATTAAATTGTTCATTATGATGATGAGCATCATTATTGACAGATTTCAATGTGATAACTAAGTCAAGGATATTTAGGTTAGTTTTTATTCACAGAGGGAAAAAGTATCAGTCAAATTCAAGGTTATTTGGGTTAGAGAATCAACTTGATGATTGAAAGATAACATGATAACCTAAAGATATTTTCAGGGTGAAAATTATCATCGAAATTTCTGCTGATGAATTACAACAAATTGATGAGAATAATATTGAAACGGATTTTCTTTGGTTAGAATAAGAAAAGAGAGAGAAAGAAAAAAAAAAGAAAATATTAACAGAAAAAACTGAAATTGATCCAAAAAGAGAATCAGTTTAAAAATAGATAATCACTTTTTCCTTATTCTGTAAGTTCTGGTTTGTTTTTCTCTGAGAATTCAGTTGTTAGTTCTGCAAATATATGGAGTCAAATCCAAGGTAAAATTGGTAAGAGAGAGAGAGAGAGAGAGAGAGAGAGATCAGATCTTATCTTGATTCTTATCGTCGTCATTATCGTTGGAGACTGACACAGAATTTAAATTCTGTTCAATGGAGCAAGGAAAATGCTCTTCACTTGAATATCACTGAATTCCGAGGAGATCATCATCATGATAATCCATCATAAGATATTCTAGTCTTTAAGGAAGTAATCATTTCTTACTTTTAATTGACTCTAATCATGTTAATTTAAATTGTTGTTGATGTTCATTATTGTTCAACTAATAATAATATGAAACGTTTAATGTTTTTTTCTTGCAACGATCATAATAATCAAACTTAAGAATCAATTTTTAGTTACACTTTGAATTGACTTTTGTTAATTGTTGTAATACAATTAACTGAAAAATTGATGATAATTGTTAATGAGAAGAGGAAAATGTTTCATGTTGATTGTCTTATTTTCAATAATTGATCATTTTAGAATTGAAAATAACGCAATCAAAGTGGAACAATTTATCCAGAAAATTGAACAAATTGATTATCTTTGAGATGAACGTATTGGAAACCAAATAATCAATACTGAGCAACAGGATAATAACAATCAAAATGGGAGTGTTACACAATTAAATCAATAATCAATGAGAAAATCATTATTCATTGTAAATCAACTCACCGTTTTAGTGGTTAATCAAAGGTAATCGATTCTATCGGAAAATTAAGATTGGTTGCTGATTGAAATTGTTGATGACAATCAGAATACTAACACAATAAGATTACACACTGATCACAATTTAGTAACAATCAAATGTTAATTGTAAACCACAAGAGACACAAACTCACAATTGGGTTGAATGTGTTGGGTAACAATTAATGAAGAGGAAAAAAAACTGTGACGATTAAAAATATGATGATAATACAACCCTAATGATGATAATTTATTAAACACTTTGTTAATTGTATCGTTGGTTAGATAGTCAAATAAAGACAGAGATAGACAGAGGAAAAACAAATCAACAGAAGCAACAAATTAATTCACTAATCATGTACAAAGAGGTTCCAATTGTTTGGGAGATTATCAAGTAAACAATTAAACGTGAGAGTGAATTAAATTAATTTAAATTGAAGCTTAAACCTTATTCTATTTTCCTCTAGCAAATAGCAGATAAATACAATAAAATGTTAAGATAACAATTAAATTAATCTCTATTAGTTCAACATTAACAGAATTAAAAAAAAAATTGTCGCATCAAGTTAGTTACTTTTTCCATCCAATAGATGGCACTGAAAACGAAAGTAGCGACATCTGGTGGTGAAAAAAGTAGAATATTAATTTGGTTTTATTTTTTGTTTTTCTTTCAATTATAATTGAATTGTCTCGATTGATTGGAGACCTTGATCATAAGTTAAGTATGTTAATTAGCATATTTTTTTGTCTATTTTTCTTGGTAAGAAGAAGAAAAAAATTAACTAAATTAGATCAATCATTTGTCTACAGAATTTGTTGTTTTCTTATTGTTCAGACTAATTTAATTAGATGATAATTGTAACCTTGGACAATTTAGCAAAACAATTGATAAATTTTATGATATTTGTATTTGTTTAAAGATGATGAAATCAATAACTGTGTTAAGTGTTTGAGGTTAATAATCAATCAAAGGAAGAAAATAAATTTGGTCAATCTTTGGGCTATTGGGTAAAGTTGAATTGATCAATAATGATGATGAAAATTTGATTGTTTAAATTTTTTGGGTTGATTAAAGGGATCGGTTTAAATAGTAGGAGGATAAGGATGAAAATTAGGATAATCATTAACCCTTTTTTGATTGTCTTACCAATATGAGTAAATGCAGATATTATATTAGTTTAATCCAACTCAATTTAGATTTGGGTGTGATCAAAACAATCAAATCGTTAGGCATTAATATTATATATATATAAATAGAAATTTAAGTTAATTTGATTTTCAAGTAAATTCTCTTTAACATTAATCAATAATCAACGTTTGATTGCGTGATGGATTTAACAGTAAAAATATAATTACAATTAACCCCACACACAAGGAAGAGGATTTCAAGTGTAACTATTGTGTATTTGTTACCTACGATTTCATGATGGCCAATCGTTAGCACGTTAATGATTAAGGAAGATGAAAATTATATATAAATCCACAATCAACTAACTATTTCATTCACAATTGAGACAATTTACCAAATAATAACAATCAAAATAGAGTAAATTAAATGATAAATGTTTGTACAAATTGAATTGAAATTAATAGTTAAGAAAATAAGTTTTCTCATTCATTTGTATGGGAAAAGAGTAAATAAAAATTTTCATTCTGATTCCGGGTTTTTTTTTCATCATCATGATATCAATCATTAATTAATTATCATCATGATTAATTATTCAATTGGTGAAAAATCCTTGAAAGGAAAAGAGTTGATTACATATTAATAAAATGTGATTAAGTTACGAGTTCTTATAAGCAACAATCAAAAAGATAATCAAACTAATTATCAAAAGTTATTTCGTTGATACGACAATATTTATAATTGCTATTAATTATTAATCTACTTAAAGTTAAGTTATAATTGTTCAACAATCAGTTAATCGTTAAGTATATTACATATTATTAATATAAGTCTCATGTTTACAATTAATACTGATGATAGGGAAACAATCAAGAAGAGTTTGGAAAAGTTATCAATCTAATTGTTAATGAATTTTTGTTTTCCATTTCAAGCAATTTAAATTTAACCGTTAATTGTTTATAGTTGAGAGAAATAGAGAACAATTGAAATTAATTAATTGGTTAATGTTACTACATAGTAACAAGAGATTATTCAATTTTTTTCAGTTAATTAATGTTAGAATCAAGGTTAATTAATTTTATTCACTAAACTTACTAGATGTAAATGTTGTATCAATACAATTAACCGGATTGATTAAAGGTCTTTGAATGATCAATGATCATGATAAATATTTGATTGACACCTTAGATGATTAAAAGTTAATTAGTCGTAATCAAGTATTGTAAAAGGAGAGATGAAAAATTTCATAATCATCATAAATTGTTACAGTTTATGAACAATTATTTTCAAGATCAACACAAATTCAAGGTTAGTTGATTATCACCAGAGATGTTGATGGAAACTAAAACAATGAATTAGAATTGATAGTTAAGATTATGTGGTAGAAAATCAATGAGAAGAAATAAATTGTAATAACACTTTTCCGGTCATTATTGTAATCATTTCCTGTCGAAAGTACCAAGAGAAAGAAGCGGGAAAATATCATTGAAATGACTTAAAGCGCCTAAAGGCAAAGAAAGAGACACAACAATCTAATGGTAAAAAGGATCGCATAAGTTTCCTGGTAATTTAGGTTAGCTGATTGTTGTTAACCGGGAAAATGGTTGAGAGTCTATGACTTAACACTTAAATTCATTGATTTGTAATAACAATTTAATCACAGTTTCAGAGTGAGAAAAGAGATTGGCAAAGTAATGTGAATAAGGTTACAAGTAAATTGTAGTTGATTAGTTGAAGATTTTGATTAGATAATTATTGGAATTGAATGGAGATTAAGATATTGACAAAGAAAAGGTTTAAGGACTTACATCATGTTGTGTTTAAGAAGAAAACAAATGTATGTTGATTAACTGATGTTAATTGTTGAACCAAATTGAAGAAGAAAAATTAATCAATAACAGAATATTAAGTTAAGAACTTTCAATGGATTTTAACTCAGAGGAAAATATTGAAATCTTTTCATTGGGATGATGGAAATGATGGAAAAAGAAAATGGTTGTAAATGTTAAGTTGCAAAAAAAGAAGAAGGAGAGAAAAAGGGAAATTATTATGGTGATGATTTTGAAGAGAAAATTTGATTGGAAATAGAAAAAATCAAGAAGAAGAAGAAATTAAAACCAATAATGTTGAAGAGAAAATGAAAAGTGAATCAAATCAATGAGAGAAAATTTTTCAAAGAAATTATGTTCACCATCATAACACAACCAATAGAATAGAATAAAAAAACTGGAGAGAGACTCACTTGAAGAGAATGAGAGTTACTTTTCTCTCTCTCTCTCTCACTATTCTCACTCAGAGTAGAGATGATGATGAGGATGATGATGATGATGATGGGGAATACACCTAATAAATGAATGTAATCTAATGGTTACAATAAATAACAAAACCACAACAAAAAAGGAACCAGGGCAAAGAGAGTGAAAAGTAAATCACATAACCGAGAATTAATTAGGTAACGAAGGTCTTTCCAAATGTAACACTACATTATTATGTATTTAAAATTGTTCTCCAACAATTAAAGTTGACATTTATTAGAGAAAAGTAATACAATTAAGAAAAGAGAAACTATTTGTAAACAATTAAACAATCAAATAAATAAATCAAAGAATCGATGTTAACATTTTCTAATTTGATTTTCTAATGAGAATCAGCGACACCTATTGACTAATTTATTTAAAATTCTTTTTTTTAATTTCTTTTATTTTTTTTATTCGTTTGTTACTTTTGATTTAGTTGTTGCTCGTTAATTATGTTTATCTGTTGATTGTTTGCTAATTATTTTAATTTCTTTGATTAGTTTAACATTCAGTTGATTTGGAGAAAAAGAACAATTGAAATTAATGATCAGCTAACTGTTTGATTTTCTATTCTTTTCCATGTCAACCTTTTGGTTACTAAAATTTTTCTATAAATTCAACGGTTTGTTTTCTTTGTTTAGATTTTTTTTTGTTATTCTTTTTAATTGTTTTCTAATTGTTTGATTTATTCTCTATTCTTAATTGGCTAATAATTTTACATCTTTTCTATTTCAGGTGGATAATCTATTCTTCCATTTGGTTCCCTTTCGTTTCTATGTGTATGTGTAATCGTTTTTAGCTGTTCTATATGTTTGGTGATTCCTTTTGATTCTGGTTGATGAGCTTTTTTTTAAATATATTTGAAAGCAAATACAAATGATTCATTCATTTACTTTCAGTTTTTTCTTTCTGTCTCCATCTCCATTTTATGGGTTTACTGATACAAGTGAAAGAGGAACCATATTGAGTGAGAAATTAATTGTGAATTTTGTTTGGATTCAAGAGTAAGTATATACAAAAAGTAAACATGATTTTTTGGAATATCTATTTTTGCTCTTTAACAAAGGAAACAATTCAAATCATGTTTAACCAGAATGTTTATGTTTTCTTAACCATTTATTTATCTAATTTCTTTTCTTTTTTCTTTTTTTTTTCTTAGATTCTTCAATCCAGTTCATTCATTCATTCAAAGCTGGAAAGATGAAAGCCCATTGGAATGTATATAAAAGGCTAAGATGACGATGATGATAGTTATTGATTCCGTTTTAATGATTGAAGATGAAAGTGAAGATTATCATTCTGAAGATATCAAGAAAGTTTCAATAACAATGATAACTTATTATCCACATACAACAACAAAAGGATGGAAGAGAGAGAGAGAGAGAGAGAGGAACAAAATGGTTTCAAATCGTAATGATGGTAAAAGAAAATGATCAAGGAAAACAATGGATACAATCGTTTTTTTCCCGCTTCTTTTTTTACTGATACATTTACATCCAGTTACTCGCAATCAAACGATTGTCATGATGAGATAGTAATGATTATCTTAATCATCATCATCATGAAAATGATAATAAAGGTGGGAAAATGATAAATGTAATGGTAACTTTTATATTCGTGATAAAAGTTTTTTTTTTCTTAAGAAAAAGTTAGTTTTTTTTCACCAAGAAGTGATAACCTTTGTTATTAGAAAACATTAATCAACATGATTAAGTTAGTTACGATAAATTGTTAGGGTTGAATTGCATTTATCATTTATCTCATTGAAATTTTTTTTTACAGATCGATAATAATAATTGTGATTAAGTTTCACTCTCTCTCTCTCTCGCTCCACCATCATCAACCGCCTGTCATTCAATTAACCATAAATTACAATTTAATTAACTAAGGGATTCTCCCTATTAATTAACTTACAGTAGTGATTAAAACTTTCTAATCCCATACTAACTAATATCCTAAACAATTATCATATTACAATTAACCACACCCAATGAAATAATTGTCTCGATTATTATCAATAATTAACAGTATCTATTGATTGAGAAAGTAAATCAATTAGATGATTGTTTATTATTATGATATATCGTTTTAATTGTTGACGTCAAATCACAATGTAAGCAAATTTATATCAATTAACTTTCGATCATCAATCAAGGTAATTATTATATTAATTTTTTTTCTTCCGAATTTTCAACAATTTAAACCAAAACCAACCTACTTGATATTGATCATTATACAATCAATTGTGTAACCAATTGAAAATTAATTATCAACAGTTTTCACTAATCGTCTAATTATGATTTACCTTGATAGATAGAGAGAGAGAGAGAGAAATTAACTAAACAAAGTCAACCATTAAATATGATGATTAACAATTAGCTAATTTCTGTTAATGAAACTACTGAACTTCAATTTGTTCAAGATGAAAGTTTCATGATTAAAACTTTATTTCATTGATAAAATGACACAAAGAACAATCAACAATTAGATGATTGTTTATTCTGAATGAGAAATGTATTCCAACTATGAAGATGATTAACTATCTTAATTATCATTGACAGATTAATGACACAAGTTAAATTGTAAATCATTTCCTGGCTTTTAAATTAGCAGTTTAAATTGTTACGATTTCAAGGTTACCAATGTGTTCAGACAAACATGGAAAACTATTTACAGACTAAATTAAAGATAATCTTTAATTACAAGACCAGAACAAAATTGCTTAATCATCTTAATCCTTAATCTTGATCCTAATCTTTTCCAAACCAAAACAATTACAACCCAATTACATTATTATTATTATTATAACAATTGTATTGGAAACAATAAGAAAAGATATAAGATTTTAGCAGAAATAAATGATTAAATGAGTAACATTTGAACCTTTAAACAAAAAGATTGCGGATTAGGATTAGGATTAAGATTATTGTAAACAAAAAAAAATGCAATTGAAATAAACAACAAACCAATTACTGGACTAAATCCAAATAAATTGTTTATAAATAGCTTGGTAACATTATGATTATCATTATTATCATCGAGTTGATTATTGCCTTAACTGCGATTCAACAATTTCATCTGAGGAGTCGCCCAAGAAGATGATGATGATGATAAAAAAGTGAGAGACTCAGATCGCATCTTGAGAGAGAAACTTATCATCTTCATCTTCATCTTCATCTTTAACTGTAACTTTATCATGAGAACCATGAGTCTACCCTGCATTTCAAATACTACACCCAAAAGCATTGGGATGATGATGATGATGATCAATATCAACGCTCGTACTCATTATTATCTTCATCATCATCTTGAGAGCATGATGATGATGATAAGGAAGATGAGAAATAACAAGAATTCCAAGCTCATCATCCATCAGATGAATATTTTTTTTCTCTTCATCTTTTTTTTTCTAGGAAGTGAACATTTGATTCAACTTTTTCTCTCTTTATTATTTACAATTTGATCATTAATTGTGATGATTAAATTGTTACTAATTTTTAATGCTGAATCACTTATTTGATATAAATTCAGCTACTGGATTTGATTACATTCACTTGATTGTTGTTATTTACTATCAACACGATTGACATACAAAAAATATTGATCAATTTTCCTGGAATATGAAAACTTTGATTGTCAATCAAAGTGAAACTCAATCAATTTATATTACGATGAACAATTAGATTTATAAACAGAAATTCTGGTTAACTATTAAATTAAATTGTTGAATAAAAGTAAAATTAATTTTGTTACTCACTCAATTGTTGACAATATTGTTGAGAAGAAAATTAAAATCCTATTAGATTAATTGTATTAGAAATGGTGTTGAAATGATTGTTAAATGTTTAATTTGTCCGAAGAAACAAAAACAATCAATTTAAACAAGTTGATTACAATTAACTCACAATTGTACAAAAATAATCCAAGTTAATTGTAACTATTTGGTAACTATGATGATCAACAGACAAACTCAATGTAAAAGCAACAACAGACAAAAACATCAAGTAGTTTTTTCATCATCATCTTTATTTATCATCTTCTCTGTCTTCATTTATCATCTGTCTCTTTCTCACTCATCCATCTCACTCACATCTTCCTCTTTCTACCTCTTTCTATCATCATCATCATCATCATCATCATCATCATCATCAATATGTCTCTTCCCTATCATCCTTATCATCAACTCATGTCAATTTTCATGAATGAAAATAACATTAAATATGAAAGAAAGTTTTTCCAATCCTATTGGTGTTAATTATTAATTATGAAAGAAAATTAAATTAAATTATCTGAGAAATTAATTCAGTTAAGTTGAGTTAATGACGATTAATTGTAACTCGATGATTTTAACAATTAACCTTCATCGTGAAAGGTTAATCACAATATGATTTGACAGTTACAATTATAATATTATCAATCAAATTGATAATTAACCAATTTGATTGTTGATTATTTGATAAAATCACTTTATTGATTTGATTGAAAACTATTAACACTTGATTGAAATGAAATGATTAGCTAATTAAATGGTTCATTGGTCCAAAAAGTTGAAATTATTATTAGTAAATTGCTGAGGGTTTTTAACAATCAGAAAAACAATCAAATCTAAAGGGAAACAATTAACATTAACTATTGTAATTTATTCTTGATCGTTTTAATTGTTTACACATTGATTAAGACATCGTGATTATGATTAAGATAAATGCTTGACACTCCTAGATTATTACTAAATTGTTGTAACAATCATACTAACAATTAAGTCACAACAATTTTCACACTTACAATCAATTATAAGACATTAAATTAATTGTCTACTAATTTAGTAAACAATTTAATACTGAAAATTGTTTGATTATGATTGAATATATGAAAATTATTATTAAATTGTTACTAAATTTTGTTGTTGTTGTTGTAATGATTATCATTAGTTTATTACTTTAATTATGATTGAATGATAACAATTTACTTAATCATTTTTGATTCATCATAAAGTGAATTTTAATTTTAATGATTGTTAATCATGAATTTGTGTTGGTTAATCAAGACAATTTATTTTTATGCATCGTGACTTTGAATAACTTGATTATCGAGATGATTAACTCGGAGGTGTTATGCCCCAGTGGGTGGTTCAAATTAATCCACAATTAAATTATCACTCTAACAATTAACTGATTGTTAACATAATCCAAGTTTTATGATTAAGTTAATTCAATGATTTATTATTATCATTCTGGTTACTAATCAATTCCAGCTTGATGGTTCCTTTATATCAACAATTAAACGACACAAATTTTCACGCTTATTATATACAACTAATTGTTCACCTTTTAAATCAACAATCAATAATCATTAATTAGAAATTAACTTATTAATTGTTATCTCATTAGTTGATTTTTCACTTTTTCCCAATTCTTAAATTACTCCAATTTTAATCAAACAAATCAGCAATTGAATATGAAACACTTATTATGACCATTTACTCGTCAACAAATTGTACAATTAGTTAATTGTCTCAACAATTAAAAGAAAAGTTTTTTTAATTCTTGTTTCTAGTTCCCTCTGGTGGTAGAAAAGGTAACTAGAGCTTCTATTCTCTACCGTTAGATGTCACAGTGATACAGAATCTCTTTCAAGGTTTAACAATTAATTTTAATTCAATTTATTGATTGATGATTAATTGTTGGTTTTTCATTTGATAATAAATTTACCTAATTTAGATGAGTCCTTTATTTAGCCTCAACATGAAAAAGCAAATGATTAACTTATAAAACAATTGAGAGTTTGAGTTACCAAGTTGAGGTTAATTCAGTTTTGTTTTTGTCGTTTCAATTACTCACAACAATTAACCTTAATTGTAAACGATTAAGACGGAAATTGTTTAATTTGATGACAAAAAGTATTGTAGCAAAAAGAAATGTATTCATATAAATAAGATTGTAAACTAAAATAATAACAATTTACAACCTTGACGGTGAAAACTGGTGAAAGTAATTTAATCAGTTAATCAAGATTATTACTTGATTATTGATTTGAAATAACGACAAGTTTTCCAGCTAATTTAAATATTTAAGTTAATTGTTTGAATGTAAATCAAAAGATTAACCTTGACAACGATTATAACAAATAAATCGGCAAAAAGGTAAAAAACAAACAATGACAATCATTAAGCCAACTGATTTATTACTTATCATAAATAATGTATAATATCAATCGAGTTGATTGCAATAAGGTAACGACAATTAACTGTAAATATTGACCTAAACAATTAAATGAAACCAAAAACCAATGAATGGACAAAGAATGAGTAACATACTGGACAATGAAAACTGGACAGATGATGATGACAAACAAAAAGTGATGAAGACCAATGAAAAGATGGAGAGAGTTGAATGAGGATAAAGATGAGGATGAGGATGAAGATGAAGATGAGGATGAGGAGGAAGTTGATGATAGTATAGTGACTAATAAACACGAGTGATAAATAGTAATCTTGATAAACAAAATTGCGATCAGATTAGATTATCGATCAGACTAAATAATATGATTAATCTAATTGGTTTATGAATAAATTGATCGTAAAGCCAAAAATTCAATCAACCAAATTGATTTGCAACAAAATCAATGACCAACCAACCAAAATGAATCAAAAGTAACCCGAAATTTGAACTGATTTAAAACTACAATTGTAATCAACTGAATGAAGAAGACAATTAATAATTGAATGAAGCAATTAACAGGAAAAAAATTCTCTCCCAATAAAATTAATACAACAATCTAATTGTTTTTGAAAAGTTTCTGTGAATGTGAATCTTTTATGTTGATATTCATGGTTAATGTTATATTTATATTCACAGAAAGGAAAACATGAATGAAGATGATATTAGTTTTAGTGGAAAGGGAAATTGATGATGATGAAAAGAAAGAATAACAAAGAGAAGATGAGATGATGAGAAAAAGAAGAAAATTCTCTTGTAGAACTTTTTTTCTCTCTCTTTTTCCTGTCACTTCCTTTTTCGGGTTATGATTTTCAATGTTATCCATTTAATGTCTCTGGGAATTAACCATAACTGAGGAATCATATATTTCCCAGCCCTCTGTCTCTCTCCAATTGTAATCTAATAACATTGTGCTCGGTGTGTCCACTTTGGAAACTTGTCAAGGTGTAACTTTGGGCTGGATCGGAGGGAGGAAAAGATGAGGATGAGGAGGTGATGATAATTGTCAACAAAGTCTCTTTTTCATCATTCAAATAAATCATCATCTTGCCTGTGGACATTTATCACCATTGTAATCATCCCCGAATCGCTTTGTCTTACTTATTACTTTTGTCTCCAATGTGAATTAGTTAATTGTTGTTGCTTTGTTTTTTTCTCATCCTTTTGATTGTTGTTGGTTAACCAGTTTTTTTTATATTATATACAAATCATTGTTTCCAGAATTAAATTGCCTAATCTGATTTAGATTTAATTGTTTTCACTTTATGGAAACCTTATCAAGTAATGTTTGTATTCAATTTCATTTTAATCGCCATTGATTTATGTTAATTGTGATCAACAATCAAGCTTTCTTGTTGTTGTCATGTTATTAAAGGGTTGATATTGAATATCTTTCAACCAGAATTTTTGTTTCTTTTTCTGTATTACCTTGACCATGACAGAGATATCAACATGATATGTTAATCTGAATATGAAGCATCATCATCATCGTCATCATCATCATCAGTTTTATCATCACGATGAGAAATGAAAACGATAAGGATGATAATGAAGATGAAACAAATACATTTGAAACAATAAGATCTGAAAATTATGTCAGAATCCAATTACGTTTTCGTAGGTAAATTTTATTCATGGTGATAAAGAAGATGATGATGATGAGGAAGATAAAGAGAGAGAAAGATGATACACTCAATCATCTTCTCACTCTCATCATCATATTTCTTTGAGTCTTTAAACTTTGTCTCTGGATGATGATGATGAGGATGATGAGCTTGAAGAGATGGCAACTCATGTGTAAAGTTAAATGTATTTTGGTTTGACAATTTTTTTTTTCCTCTTCTTGACAAACTTGAATTCAAATGTTGTTTTTTAAATTGTTGCAATTGAAATGATGATGATACACAATTGTAACTTGAATGCTTAATCACAATCATCATAATAATGTAATAATAATAATGATAAGGGTTCATGATTTAAATTGCAATTAGATTAGATTGTTATAATTTTTACTTTTTTTTCTGGTAAAACTCAGGCAAAGAAAATAATTTTCACCATCAAATTGAATATGTATTTTTTTTATTGTTGTAATTAGATGATGTGTTGTTAGTGTTATCATTTTATCGTGATTTATTCATTATCAACAATTTACCAGGAATCAATTGTTGTTTCTGATTCAGTAATAAATCAACATGTTAATCAACAAGCTTGTGATTAACATTGGTTATGAGTTTTCATTTGAGATGATGACAAAAGATTGAGAAAAAAGTTTTTCTTTTACATTTCAATTCATTGTAAGTTCTGAAAATTATTTCATGTTGACTGTCATCCTCATCTTCATCCTTGTTGTTGTTGTTGTTGTTCAGGAGTTCAGTCAACTAATGATGATGATGATGATGATGATGAACACGCAAAGGATGCTCAGGGTGGGGATGATGATGAGGATAAGGTAAAAATAATCAACTGTTTGTTTGTTGCCAAAAATTTTCCTTCTTATGTGAACAATTTTTCCCTCGAACTGAAAAAATTCAGAACTCGAAAAGTTCAAGTTCGTTCTTAATCATCATCAGATGATGATGATGATGATGAACCATATTCCACCCACGTAAACTTATATTATCTTAACAATTTAAGATGATTTCAAGTGTAACCCATTCAATTTAATTACGTTGAGATTAAATTTTGTTGTTTACTCATTAAGATGTGATGATGATCAACTTTTCTATTCGCTAATTGTTCACAATTGATTTACTATTTAATCCACAATTAGATTACAATATCTTTCTGTTAATAATATTGTTTTAAAGTTTGTTTTGTTTTCAACTTTTCTTTCTCGATGATAATTAACTGTGATAATCAAATGTTTCCATTGGTAATTAAAGGCTCAATTTCATGGATAATTAAACTCATTCCTATTCATCATGTTGAAATCATCACTAAACAACAATTGACTTGATTGTGGACCTTAATCACTATGAATGTTAATTATTATCATGGATTCAGGATGAGGAAAAAAAATCTCACCAGAATTCAGACTCAAATTAGTTGACAATTAACTGAATATTCATATAAGTTAATATCTTCTGGAAACTAAATTAACAGTAATCATCTGGTTATTAAAAGCTAATCTGATATTAAATTGTCATAATTTAGGTTAACAACAAGACACACAAATGATTACTTGATATGGTTAGTTAATTGTCCAATTTAAATATTCCCAATAGTTAACACATTAGATGAACAATCAACCAGCAATTAACCCTTTGATTTAGTTACTTGTAACTCTCATATTTATAACAAGTTGTTGCTGTTGATTAATCAATTTGCAACTTGATTTGATTGTTGATGACAGATTTAAATGGTAAACAGTATTGATTAATTTAAATTGTTTTGATTAATCGTTAATCACTGTACTTAATTACCATCATGATTTTGTTAATTGTTGATTGTAAAGAAACGCGAGCAGGAAAAAAATATAATTTTCTGGTTAATTCATTTTCTCGTTGGGAAATGTTATCATAATAATAATTAACTAAATCAAATTAACTGGTAAACTAATCAAGATGATGATGATGATGGATGATAAAAACCAGATGATGATGAAAAGTTTTCATGATGAATATGAATTTACATGAATGTGAAAAACAAATTGATTACCATGAAAACTTTTCATGATTAAGATGAAGTAACATTTGATTGTTGATTAGTGGGATTGATTATGATTGAATCAAAGGTGAGATTGATTTGATAATCTAATTGTCACCGTTGTAACAATTTAGAAGATGATTATTTAATCAGATTAATCAATTACGTAGGAAAATCTAACAATTCTGGTTCTGGTTAAATTAACACTCTAAGGGAGGAGTTGATTTAGTAATTTGATTGTTGATGAGTTGATTGTGATCATTGGGTGGATTTTAATCAAAATAAATTGATTACCATTGTCAGTTAGGTTTGATTTTAATTTAGTTGATTACGTTGATTTATAAAAAAAGGCAAAGTAACCAGAAAATTTAAGACCAACAATTAACAAATTGTTACAAAAAAGGGTTATCATAATTTGTAGATCTTAATTATAACTATTTACATGTTAATTGTTGTCTCTTAATTGGTCCGGTGAACAGTTTACAAACTTTTTCAATTGTTTCAATGAAACAATTTAGTTAATTGTGTAAAAATTTACGTTCCTTTGAAACTAAATTAAGTTTCCAATCATTTGATTGTAACCTTCACCTTGAAGGTAACACCTTGTTCAAGGTTTAATTGTAATTAATAGATTTAATTAACTAACTAACTTCCTCCTCCTTAATCATAAATTAACCATGATTACAATTATAAATTGTTATGATCATGATTTTCAATCATCATTATCACCAATGTGATAGTATTAATATAATTAACTTTTCTTTGTTAATTATTTTCATAGTGAATTAAATTTCTCACCGTTTGATTGTTACTTTTTCTTGATTGTTTACAATCAAGAAAAGGGAAACAGTTATAATCTGTAAATTGTAATCAAAAAAGCATGTTAACCATTAACAATCAACTGATTAAACAATGGTCATGATAACAATCAAGCTAATCAAATATTTACAATGTCTGATTAACCCTTTGAAAGTTTTGATTAATTGTAATACTAAAGATTACAATGATTAATGATCATGATAGATAATTATGATAAACCTAACAATCAGTAAATCATCAACAATTTAGATGAAACAAATTGTGAGATGAAGAGTTAAGATAAAAATGAATAAAAAAGTTGCCATAATTTTGGATAACATAATTACACCCGAATATTAAATGATGAAGATGATGAGTTATCTTCATCATCTCAAGATGATAATGATGATAATCTTGATCATCTTCATCATCAGCATCTTCAAGTGTCTTCAACATCATTATGATTACAATCATAATCATCTCAAGATAATATTTAATTTGTTTCATATTAGAGATGAAGAAAAAAAGTTTCAACTTGAATTCACTTGAGTTCTGGTTTATCTTCATCATCTTCATCTCGATTCTAATCATCATCAAGATGATTAGTCTTCAATGATTGACAGTAATATAAATCAATGGTAAGAAGATGAGAGATGGAAATGAAGAGGGAGGGACTGGTGGACATGATGATGATAATGATGATGATGATGATGATTTAGATTCGTGAGAAACATGAAAAAGCTTCTGATACAAAAAAAAGTAAACTGGAAACTTCAGTTGGTCAGTTGGGACATGATAATGTTTCCGATAGCTGAGGATGGACATTGAATCAGATGAGGATCATGATGAATGTTTAATAACAGCAAGAAAAATCAAAGTTTTCCTCCTACAACTCATGGTCATCATCATCTTCATCTCCTTGACATTTGACACTCACATCAAATGATAACAATCAATGATTATTATGGTAATGATGACAATCAGATAGTCAAGGTGAGGAAGAGAAAAAAATTCCGTCTCAGAACCAGAACCGGAAATACAATTGTATAAATTTCCTTGTCCATGTTAACCTGGTCAACTCTCATTCTAACAAGAGGTCAACTTTTTTTTTCAAGGGTCAAGAACTTACCTTTCACTTGAACTGTTATTATTTTGATTTCCACCATTGGAATTAAATTTATCCTTAAGTAGATCATCATCATTATGATCATAGATTAGTGTCTCAACCATTGACCCTTTAGATGAACCAAATGAAACTCTGAGGATGATAAAGTTTTATCAATAATTAGGTTGTTGTAAATTTACATAAACAGGAAGCGGAAATGATGCAAAAATGATGAAAGATTAGTTTGAGGATTAGTGCTGATGGATTGGAATTTTTTTTTCTCTCTCTCCAATAAACTGATTAGATCAGCTAATTCTCCTGTTTTCTAGCTTAATCATTAACAATTTACAATTTTTTCTGTGTATGATTTACTTTTATTGATTTATTGATTGACTTTTTTGACTGATTGTCAAACTAAATTAACAGTTTATGAGTTAATTGTAACTTACTATTGTACCTTAAAGTTTTATTACTTACATAATATTAATGTAATGGTTAATCAATTGATTAACCATCATTGATATGAAAGTTTTATTCTTGATAATGTTTGTTATGAAAGTTTCATGATGATTAACGACAAACAATCAATTGATTGACAACTGAATCAACTTAATATCAGTAACTTGGTGAATTTTGTTTCTCTGTGTAAACTTTTTTTTACTGTTATTTCTGGTAAAACAATTTAGGTCAGTTGATTGTTTTACATCAATGGGATCAAATATTTTGATTACAATGGTGATTAAATTGTAATCAAATGATTGATATAAGGTGTGGATCATCATGATGACCTACTCATGAAGTAGGAGGAGGAGGAGGGAGATGAGGTGAAGGCGGAAGATATAAAAGTTATCACATAGGAAGTAAACATGTAAACACGAATTGGGAGAAAAAATATTTTGGGTTCGATTTCATTAGAATTTTTTTGTCTTATCATCTCTTTTATCATCATTCTATCTTCATAGATATTTTTCTACATCCATGTCTCTCTCTCTCTCTCTTTCTTTCTTATCCTTGGCCTTTACCATAGTCGAAATGTAGAGCAGAGAGTGAGTGAGAGAGAGAGAGAGAGACAAGGAGGAAGGAGGAAGGGGAAGTTCGAGTAGAGATCGATAATTTTGTTCTTTCTATTATTGAACATAGACTGAGCTTCCAAATGGATGTAAACATTTGGGGTATTATTTTGTACTCAGTGTCTGAAGATTGAGGACCTTTGGGGTGGAGGATAAGAGGATGAGGAAGATGGAAGATGAGAGGATGAAAGAAGAAGAGGAAAAAAAATTCGCTTTCCTTTTTTTTCTGGGCTCGAACTTGTAAAATGTACTAACCTTTTCAGTACCGGGCTTTTTGACCGAGCTTGACGCCGAGATTTATATATCCCATGTTGATGGTGATGAGACTGTTGGTGGTGGTAAGGTTGGTGGTGTGTTGTTATCATTGTCGGTGGTTGTGAAGGTGGAAAGGGTTGTGTATGTGGAGCGATTGAGATTGAAGATGTTATTCCGTTTGTTATCATTATTTCATCTTCTTCTTCTTCTTCTTCCTTTTTACCACAATTTCTTCCTCCAACTTCATCACCTTCACTTGAACTTATAAAAAATTTTTCACCTTTGTTTTCATCTTTTCTGATAGTTGGTGAAATAGCATCAATTCCGTTTCCGTTTGTTTCATTATTATTGTTATAAGCTGATTCTCCAATTGTTGACACCGGTACAGTTGATGGACTCATAAGATTTTTGTTTTCCTCTTCTTGATTAAAATGATGATGAATGACTAAAGATAATTATATTATGTTGATTGTTGATTATTATCATTTACCAACTGAATTACGATAAGAAAAGTTGAATTTATGTGACACCGAACAAAAAAATTTTCCTCCTTCTCTTTGTCAACTTGTGAACTGAATGTAATATATTATTATTATTACGATGTTTACATTGAGAAAGATTTACTCTGGAAACTGAGAGTAATAGTTACCAAGCTGAACCGAATCACTGAAATTTCAAGTGAAGAAAAATCCGAAAAGAGAAAGAGAAAAAGAAAGAGATTCAAAGTTCGAGCCTTGTGGCGCCATCTCGAGTTTCGAATTTGAAAATCACGAATTTATTATTATTTTCACTTTTTTCATATTCAATACTCTTGATAAGTTTTAATTTCAACAAGAATAATATTCATATATTTTAATAATTATTTTAGTTACACTTGATAACAAATGCTTATTATTATTCATTTTTTTCGTCATCATTTTGATGGATAATTTTTTTTATTAATCCGATCAGATAAACTTTAGTTTTATTGAAAAGTTTGATATTAATCACAAGGGAAATAAACAGTAATATATAAAATGGAAAATTAATTTTACTAATCAACGATTAACAGATTATCTTTTGGTTATTTTCTCAATAATTATAGTTAATCAATTCCAAGGAAAATGTGACAAGTCGTCGGAGAACTTGGTTCGGCTAAAAGATGGAGAGAGAGAGAGATGGAATTAAAAAATCGAAAAGTTCGATAGGATAAAAAGTTCTTACCACATGAATTATCAATCGTAACCTTTGACAGAGTCGGTGAGTTATCGGTATTAATACGATTACTCTCAGGTAGGATTATATTATTTTGCTAGAAAGAGAAAAGAACAAGTTAATTATCATTTTGTTTTCGATAAAGAAATTTACCTTTACAGGTAAGATGAATTTTCCTCTGTGAGAGGTTTTTGTGGACGATATTTTCCTATGTAACATGAGAGTACAACAAATACCATAAGAGAAGATTAGAAATATAATAAAATCAAAGCCAAGGTTCCCTTTGGGTCCATCTTCATTTGGATGCATCTCCTCCTAAGAAACACAAGCAATTAAAACTGATTGGCCAATAGTTGATCAATCCAACGAGAAAATGATAATAATTACCAATGAATTATTGATAAATGTATGAATAATTGTTAATCCATTGGTACAGGGTATCACCATGATCCAGGGTAGAAACATCCTTCTACTTTCCTATGATAATAAAATCCCAAGTGACATCGAAGTCCAGATAAATTTGATATTCAGTTAAATTGTTGATGAGCAATTAACTTTTACTTACAACACAAACTCCTATGATTAATAATACTGATGATAATAAGCTCAGTGTACAAAAAAAGATCACCATGAATCCTAATGATATAATACCTGAGATTATATATGAAAAAATGTTCGATATGAATAATAGAATTGAAAAAAACGTTCTATTTTGCATATAATCGATATTCTTACCGAAAATTTTCTCACTCGATGCCCAGATTGTTCCACCGGTAACAACTGTACAATAGTAAATCTGTTGGAGTTTTGAGAGTAAAACAAAAAGAAAAAGAAAACATTGAATCGAAGATGAAAATAATGAAAACGAAGAAAAACTTTATTCTAAATTCATTGAAATTCTGAATAATAATAAGCTCTTTTCTTCATAGTGTACATGACATTCAATTTATTAAGTGTCTAGATTGAGAGAGAGAGAGAGAGAGAGAGAGAGAGAGATCTAGTTCATATGTTCATTTAGAAAACTCCCAGGTGAAATTTTATCGAAATTTCGACGAGAAAATAAAAGAAAATGAATAAAACAAAAAGTAAAAAAGTTCTACTTTTACAACATCGAAATTCAATATAACACCAGAAGGATTTTTATCGTTATCATTATTCTAGTTTCCAAATAAATAAAACATTGTAACAATAAACTAGAACGAAAGAGATGAATGATAAGAAATATAAAAAAGTTCTAACTCGGAATCGTCGAACTTGCGATCTCTCTCTCTCTCTCTCTTCCTATCAATTCTCGATTGAATTGTGATTATCTTGTTAAATTTTCTCGTCAAAAATTGATACCACAAAAGTAACCTTGTTATCAATGAGTTCTAATAACAGTTCGAGAATTAGAACTTTTTATTTTCACTCTAAATTACTTATCGAAAATCAATAAACCCAAAAATAGAGACAATTTAATTAATTATCATGTAGAACTGAATTAAAATTGAAATAAAAACCCCATAACCTTGGGCAATGATAATCAATTTAATCAGCTTGTAACCATTTAATAGTTTATGATTAACAACAATCTTGATGATAATCAGATAAATACATAACAATTAGATACAATCTAAGTGTAAATGATAACAATTGAACCTTACAACACAATAATACTAACAATCAAATCAAATATTTGATCTTGATAATCACTATTTCATTAGTTTATGATCATTATAATAATTCAACAAGTATAATAATCATTTTAATCATCATCATGATGAAAATAATGAAAAGGTAACACTGAATCCAGATAAAGATTCAATCTATTCACCATGATAATTGATAACAATTACCATGAATGAATCAGAAGGGTTTATTGTTCATATCATGAATCTCATATCTTTCAGATTTGAGCTGAAAATCATGAAAATCATCATGATAAAAGTTGACTGAATCTTATCAATATCAATCATATTAACTTTCCTATGGGTTCCTAATGTAATAATAACAACAAGAGATGAAGATATTGATACTCATGAGTATGAGGAAATGATTCAATGTTCCAGAACTTTGGTTATTATTTCAACTTGGAAGTCAAAATGTTCTAATTGTAAATGTTAACACATTCAATGAATTAAGTTGATAACATTTCGTTTTCTCAATCAACATTTATTACTAAAGGAATTCAATTAACTTGATAAAAGTTAATCAATTAAACAATTTATCTCGATTCTAATCACAACATGAGATTCATTGATTTAAAACTGTTTATATCTCAACGAATTAATTGTGAATCGTGATTAATTGTGATGATTAGCAGTTTGAAAATTAAATCAGTTAAAGGGTAAAGTTTATTTTAAAATGATAACATTTAATTTGCTCTGAAAATTAAGGTTAACGAATTGCCAATTTAAATATTGTTTGGTTAATTGTAACAATTTGATTTGTATTGATTAAGGAAAACAATTCAACTCCAATTCATTAATATGAGAGATTTAAATTGAATGATGAATTTACTTTTCTGTCTTCATTAAGCTATTGTTTGTTTTCCATTGATTGTCAATCTAAATTGTCAACAATTGAAAATAAATTGTTTAGAAATTGTTACAATATTAATGAGATATAATTCTCATCTTTTTTTATCATGAAACTGAATCTCTTTATCATGGTGAAAGGATTTTCCTTTGTTAACTTTCAATGGAAGGAAAATTTTTTCCGAATCGGAAACAGAGACGATCAGAAAATTCTGAAATGAATTCCGATAAATATTCATATTCCAATTCATCAGCATCATGATAAGTTCTGAATGATAATATTTAACCTTTGAAATGAGTACAATTTTTTGGGTCACCTTTTGATTAGTTATAATTGAATCAAATTGTGATGATAGATATTGGAATTGGGAGGAAAAATTTTCATCATGGTGATGGTGAACTTTCAATCTGAGTTGAAATATTAAATCAGGTTCAATGATTCACTCCGAGAGGATGAAAATGTAATTAATTGTGTTGATCATGTGAAAGAAAAACAAAACAATTAGTTGATTGCTGTTAATTCTGATTACGTATGAATATATATACTCATGGGAATCAGATGATTCTCTGAATTCTGTTCAGATTGATTCAATTCTGTTCATTTTGGTTGGAAATGTAATTGATTCATTTCCAATTCAGGATAATACTCATGTTCATTAAAAGAGCTCATGAAATCTCTGCAATAATCTTGATTAGATTGGAAGAAAACAAAAAACTTTTCTCATCAAATTATCTCTCGTCGAGTTTCAAGAATCATAAAGTGTAATGGTGGAAAAATAAAAGAGTTAAAATCGAAATTTAGAAGTTCAGTATATAAAAGTTCAGTTGCATGGAAATCAAAATGATCAATCCAAAGTTCCAGAACTTTAAGATCATAATCTAAGGTAATCTGAGCATCAGAATTAAACTAATGATAGATTCTCAGATTGTGATGATAATGGCTCAGTAGGAAACGATAATAATAACAATCATAAGCCATGATAATGATCATGATGATGATCATCTCAATGATAATAACCCATCATGATCAACTGAATACTTTCAAGAACCGATTCAATAAAAAAATATCACATTAACCAACAATCATAAAGTAAAAAGTTAATGATAATCATCAGAATGACCAGAGTGACCAAATGGTCAATTTGATAGGAAAAAAAATTGGAATTTAAAAAAGTTCATTCCCTGAGCTGAATGTATTAATATGACATATATATGAAATGCTATGAATATTATTGCTTAGAGGTTTTCCTTGAGGGCATTTGTATCAAATTTTTCATGGTAATTGCAACATGAATTTAATTAAATAGTTGATGATATTTTTTTTTCATCTTCTCATGAAAACAATCAACTTGAAATTAGTTTATCACCAGTAGATTGACATCATTATCATGGTAACAACTTTGAAAAAAAAGTAAACATGATGAAAAATATGATTGAAATTGAATCTACGTCATGATGGTGAAAGTTCAGACACTTGAATACTACATGTTAGTTTCATGGGATTCACCTGAACAAAAGTTGTTGATAAATTTGATTTGTAATCAACAACATGTTGAACATTGATCAACAATCAACGTGGAGTTGTTGATGATAAAAGGAAAGATGAACTTACCTTGATGGAGGGAAGATTAAAAAGTGAAAATCTCGAATATTTCGAACCTTTAATAGTTAGAACTTTTTTTTGCCATTCTATTTTTGTAACTCTCTTTTCTTCTGGTGAATTGAAATTTTCATTCTCAATGAATAATGTGTTTACCATGATAAGAATATTGAATACATGATATGAATTTGATTCATTGAAAGTGATGTTTGTGATTTTTTTTTCATCAGGGAGAAAATTTTTTTCCTCATATTCGAGAAGAAGAAAAGTTCTAACCTTTGGAAAGCAAAATATGATACATGTAGATGAAATTCACATCGAATTTCACTCCAATCATTTCAGTGTTAAAATCGAATTGGAATCTGTAATTTATCTTTCACTTATTTGATAGAAAAACTTTGCGAGGATTAAGAATTACTCGAAAACGAATCAAATATCGAACTCAAGAGAAATGGAACAAAAAAATGTTCTAAACTTTAAAGTTCCAAACATCAGATAATGAAGAAACAGAGTGAGAGAGATTAATTCTTGGTCTAATATCATTCGAAAAAGAAAAAGAAAAATGTTCTAATGAGAAAAGTAAAAAACAAAAAGATGAAGGTATTAGAATGATGAGTAAAAGAAAATTCGACCAAAAGTTTCGAGAAAAACTCATACAGAACTTATATAAAATTCGAGAAGTGGGAAGAAGGAAACACGATTATATCATGTTATTAATTCGATAAGGTTTCTTGAGATAATATTCTTCTCTTATTATTATTATTATTGTTCTCGAAACTTTCTCTCTCTCCCTAGAACTTATCTTCCCCTTCTCGAACTTACATATTTATATACATAATACAAACGATAGTATAACAATAAAAGTTTCAGAACACTTTACTTAGGAAGTAGAGGAAAGAAATAAAGAAGAAAAAAAATTATATTCGAAAGCTAAGAATCGAGAGCAAAAAAGTTCTAACACTTGGAAAGGAATAAAAATTCATATTAACTCATATTCGTGAATATAAAATAAATATATGAAATTCATGTAAATATAAGTCAATTATTGATCATCATCATCATCATCAACTTAAGATGATGATAAAAATATTAGCATCATTATCATCATTGTTATCGTTCACCTATTGTTAATAGACTTGAACGGAATCGAGGAAAAAAAAGTTCTAAGATGATATTTATCATGGGGAAAAGTGATTATATTCATGATAACTTTTGACTCTGAAAAATGAGTTATTATGAAATATAATGGTGCTCATCATCATGATTAATAACTTAATTGTTACCTTATAATAATATTTATCAACAAATTGTTCATTATGTTGGTATAATAAATCACCATGGGAATTTATTAATTTAGATATATAAATATAATTTCATGTTTTCCACCAATCAAACACAATTAGTATTCACTGATTATCATTGATTAAATTGTAAATGGAAACAATTTGATTAAATGATGATGAAACATAAATTGATTGATTTTATCAGCATCGGGCTTGAGATTAACATGGTAATAAGATTGAGGATTGTGATTGTGATACAATTGAAAGATGATTAAGGTTAATTATCGTGGAGAAAAGGATTTAGGATTATGATGATTAACTTTAATCATCTTCCAATTAAACTTACCAATGATAAGATTCCATAAGCCATGACTCCTTTTTGCAGGGAAACACAAAGGCAACACTTATTGGAAAAAGTTTCCATGGTGATTAATTCAGTAATTAGAATTGGAAATTGATTGTCAACTGATTTTGAAAGCAAACGATTAACTGTATGGTTAATTAAATCACTTTAATTTAGATATAAGTTCATGATAGTTGATCTGGTTGGTTAGTTAGCTCATCTGATTAGTTTGTCATCTCAATTTTGGTTCAATTTTGTTGGATTGATTTACTTGGTTCATGATTTGAATTCTGAAACATTGAAATCATGAAAAATTTTCAACAATCAGAAAACTTTTTTTACTATTCCAATGATTGTTGATTGTTACTTGTTTCGTTGTTACAATCAAAATGATTGAAATATCAACTCTAATTTGATTGTGAATTTTAATCTGCGCAAGGTTTGATTCTGATCAGAATCGAATCACAACTCAGAACTTTTTTTTCTCATCGAATCTTCAATTTGATAACTACTATACTTTTCCATGCTCAAGTAGATTGATTCATTTGTTAATCTCCATCAGATAGAAATGATATTAACATAGAAAAGGGGATGAAAAGTTTCTGTCGAATTTGTTATTAGAACTTTTTTTTTTCTCTTCTTTCTTTCGAATCGGTAATTCTTTCCCTCTCCCCTTAGATTAATTTTCAATAATCAAATTAAATCATCATTAATCACTATAACTTATTGTTACCAATATATCAATCCAGATTATCCAGTTAATCAATCAAAATTAGAGACACAATTTACAATGACTATTTGATTGTCACCACATAGAGACAGTAATTGATTGTTGGCCTAATTTAGATCTTTACACAAGAAAATTTTAATTGTTACACTTGAGTTTTCACATAATAAATTTGTTAATTGTAGAAATGATTACAATCAACAATTAACTCTGTAAATAATTATAAACAATTGTAATTTCTTTCCATGAATAATAACTTACAACGATAATTGATAAATCTAATTAGCAAAATTTCAAAGCAAAGTCTAATTAATTGTTTCGCTCACTAATTTTTGATACATATCCGGTAATGAGATTTTGCATAAACAATCAATTAACTAATTGTGACTCATAAACAATTAACTTCTTAACAATTAGAAGCAAAAAAAAGAGGGAAAATCTTTCCAAGGGTAACATTGGATTGAGAACCCAAAAAGTTAACCAGAAAACCAGGAAGATATTGGAAGATATTTTTAGGCCTTAAGATTAACAAGATAATCTTAATGACGATAAGATGATGATGAAGATAAGGAAGATAAACTCTCTCTCTCTCTCTCTCTCTCTAGTATTCGAATTTGTCTCTTTTCTTTCTTTTTTTCTTTCGTAAGTCCAACCTTTTTTTTCATTTTCTTTTCTATCCTCAACTTTTTCTTCCTCCTTCATTTTTATCTTTTTTTTTCTTTCTCTCTCTTTAGTTTTTGCTCTCTTATTGTAAACTTAACAATTTGTTGATTGTTTACAATTAGCTGATCATTTGGTGAACAATTTATCTGGATTAAATGGTCAATCAATTAGACGAATAACAGAAAAAGTGACATTTTAAATTTTTCATTTTCGTTTCGTTTTTTTCGTTACTTTCAACTAACAGTTTCGATTAACGTTCATCATGTAAGTGTCTCAATCGAAATCATTTTGATCTTAAATCATCTTCTTAATTGTTGTGCTACCAGTGAATTTGTAATATTTAACCTTTTTTTTCATCTAATTGTAGTTGATTAACTTTCTAATCATGACTATGGTTAAAGGTGCCTTCGGATCATCCAATGTTAACAGTTTATCCATGATAACCAATGGTCATTATGGTTTAGATGGTGGATTAACCTCTCGGACTAAAGTGTTTACTAAATCAGCGGATATGATGAAGTTTGATGAAGATGAAGGTGACGGAGATGATGACAGTGAGGGTATTGGTGGGGGTGAAGATGAATTAAGTAAAACTGTCCAAAGTATTGTCAATGGTGATACTTATCATAAACAACGTGTCGGTAATATCGATGGGTCATTTGCCGATAAAGGCGGTGGATCTTATCAGAATGTGACATCTTTATATGTCCATCCTGATGAAGATGAAATAATTGATGAACTAGCTGACCTGGAATCATTACCTGGTGATGATGAAGATGAAGATGATGATCTTAACGAAGAGACTGAAGATATTGTTGGACCATTAGCATCACCGGGTAAGGTTGACCTGTTAAAGAATAACTTTTATCCCCATAGGCATCATCGACTTTTCCCCCAAAATAATCAGCCCAAGGGCTTAATCCAAGGTAAAACTAATCCGTTAACATGGGCACTTAACGAAAGGCCATGTTCACTTTCATCCGATGCTCTCAACCAGATTATGGTTAATCGTGGTGCTTCATCGGCATCTAATCACTCAGGTAACTCACCTTTGTCACGATCATCATCATCTTCATCTGAAAAGGTCATTCTTTTACCTCGACTCTCAGCTCAGTCAATTAAATGTAAACAAATCAATTGTACTGACCCTGATTGTCCAAACACTCATCTTCATAATCTATACGGATTATGGTCTGATAAAAAACTGCCAATACTACCAATCTCTTTATCATCAACAACAATTAATGCCAACAATCAAGTGTCAAACACAGATCCTAATGTCCTTCGTCTTCATGTTAATGGTCAAACTAAATTATCAAACAATCAACACAATCAAATGAACAAAAAATCAACAATCTCAATGATTTCACCAACCGCTCAATCAAAATTAACCAACGACAATCAAACCAATGGCTACAAGAGGTTGGATACAATTAATCATGGACAACAATCATCACCATCATCCTCATCTTCATCATCACCAATAGGCTGCTCATCATCATCAACTATGTTAACTAACGATTCAACAGGTTACAAAAATTTACAACAATTAAATCAACAATCAAATGGTAAAACTACTTGGAGACATTGTAAGAATTCAAGTGAAGTGATTTTAGTTGCCAATCAGATGGATTATAATTCATCAATGAAAACCATTTATCACCAGGCAAAGTCTCAAAGGTAAATCCACAATTAACTAATCAATTGGACGAAATTCATATTCGAGAAAAAGAATTCGAACAAAAAAAGTTCTCTCTCTCTCTTCCGATTAATATTCAATTTTATGATAAACTAGAATAATAATATCTCTATGATTAGAATCCTAATTCAATATAATCCATTAATCGTATTCACTGAGCAACAACAATTATGATAATAGACAGATGATAGAATCAAATAGAAAAGTAGTTTTGATTAAATTAACGTTGGTTGAGATGGTTAATTGCTTGGTTAACTCGAGTGAGTGAAAAATAAGTTTAACCAACAACAATACTAGTATACAACAATTAACTTTGATTGTCGTTGGCAAAATGTTTACCCTCCAATCTAACCAACCGTTGAAAATATTTTTAAGGTCACAATATGATTTAGTTTATTTCTTGCAATCATCTTAACCAACAATCAAGGTAATTTAGTTGATTCAGTTTTCTGTGTACACGTATATACGTGTGTATATAAGTTTATCCTTGTAATTAAACAATTTAATTTCACCCATTAACTTGTATCTAGTTTAAATCATCACCCAGTCTCCAACCATCAAAACCTTTTCCTCTTCAATGAACTTTTTTCATTCATGTAGATATTGAGATAACCTTTACTATTTACTGAATTCACCTTGAATCCGACCAACAACCTTAATTATCTAGTGTAACAAATGTATTAGGATAAATTGTTGAACAATTTAAACGAGAAAACAAAACATAACTAATTACAATCAATTGCAATTCCCATTGCAAAAGTAAATCTAGTTAATAATTTTCCAAACAATTAACCATCCAGATCAATTTCACTTTGGGTGTTTTGATTAATCTAATTATCTTTCCTTTTCAAATCAACAGGAAATGTTAATTGTTTCAAGTTTCGTTTTTTTCTTCTGCCATTTTGTTTTTAATTGTTTATTATATTTTTAACTCTCTTCTCGACAATTAACCTTAATTGTTAACGATTTACAAAGAGATGAGCTTTGCAATCAATGAGATTGACTTTGTGTGTATCTTTTGATTTAGTTAATGTGTTAGTTTTTTAATATCAATTAAGAAAGTTAATTGTGATAACATTTCCTGTTACTTTTGATTTTATTAATCACGCAATTTGATGAAACTGAATTAATTTTAATTGTGAACATTGAAGAAGCTAATTTTTTTGTTTTTCCGATTTTTTTAAAAGCTTTTCAATTATTAGGATGAGTTGATTTGAATTATGATTAAGTTTGTTGTTGCTGTTAATTGTTAATTGTTACTGTTGATTGTTTTGATATTTGCTTTGATTGTGATTTATTAACTAGCTGTTGATTGTTAATCGTTGGTTACTTGTGAATGTATCATTTTTAAATGATTAACAAAAACTTCCGGGTCTGTTTTGTTTTCAATTAACTAAATTGTTTCAAGACTCAATGGTTTATGAAAAAAAAAATTAAATTTTTAACAATTAACATGTTGGTTTTATAATGATAATCAATTTAACACTCTGTTGTTTAAAGTAAAATAATTAACTTGATTGTAGTAAACAAAAAACATTAACTTGCTAATTCATCTTAAAATAAATTGTTGATCATGTTAATTGTCACGATTAACTAATCATTTCATTAACAACAACAACAACAACAACAAACATCAACAAAGTAAAAACAATTGTTCAGGTTAATTGTTTGTGGTTTATTTTTTGATCATCATTAACTTAATTTCATCTGATTAACTGATTAAGGAAACTGAGGAAAAATAATAAATGTCTATCATTAGATCAACCTTGATTAGTTTGTCAAATTACAACAATTTAACTAATTTAGTTTGTCAATTTTAAAACTTTTATATTATCTGATCATTAGCTTAATTGTTTCAACTGATACAAATTATTACTTTGAAAGCCTTGATAGACTGACACTCACAACAATTAACCATGACCATCGTTATCATCACAATCAACTGATCAATCAATTGATTGGTAATCGTAATCAAATTAAGACAATTGAAACTTTGTTATTGAAACAAACACACAAACAAACAAAATGAAACAATTAAGGATAAAATCAATTTCCTGTAAACACAATTAAAATTAAACATGAGAAAGTTTCAAAAATGAATCAATATTAATCATGATGATAAATTGAGCTGATTAATTTGATTGAATCAGCTGAAAAAAAAACTAAATTGTGATCCTTTAATCATCCCGAATGATTTTAAAATTAAATCATACCTGTAAAAGTGGATTAAAAATTTATAATCTAAATCAAGTTGACTATCATCAAGTAGGAAATTAATTTGATTTGATTGACTAATCTATTATTTATTTCCTAATAACAGTTAACCAACATGATACATAAAAAGTAAATCGTATTCACATCAATCAACAAAAAACAACAACAATCAAAAGTATCAGCAGTTAATTTATTGGAACACAATAAAAGGATGAAGATGCAGATGAAGATGAGGATGGAGATTAGGATAATGATGATGATGGAGAGAGAGAGGAAGATGATGAGATGGCAAGAGGATGAAAAGTAGAGTAGCATCATAATAGATTGAATATTTTAATTGTGATGAGATATTTTTTTTATGTTCTTTTGATTGTTGCTTGGCCTGATTATCATTTTTGGACAATTTATTAAATTTCCTTGATTTCATGATGATAATCAACTGGATTATCTTGATTGGAAATTTATTTTTTCAACAAAATCATCTTCACCATTGGAAACATTCATGATTTGATTGTAACTCAATTTGATTCGTATCATGTTACATGTTTAAACTAATCATTTGGGTTATCATCACCATGATCATCATGAATATAATCATTATGATGATTAAATTTAGTCCCAAGTTAATTTAGTAATCAATTGTTTATTAGATCAACTTGATCACAGTTGAAGTAAATTGTTAATCTGATCTGGGTTTTTATATATAATCTGTGATCTTCTTGTTGATCATTATGAAATTTTAATCCAATTGTCAGTTAATTTCATTAATGGAATCCAAGTTTCCACAATTAATTTCAAAACTATTTCACTAATTAAATAATGATCAGTTGCTTGTTATAAATAAAACTCAACAATCAAATAAATTGGAACAAATTGTTTCAATTAGAATCTAATGTTTACTCAATTTCTTTTCGAGTTTTTTTTTCGAGTCTCGAACTTGTTTGGTTCTAAAAAGTTCTAATACTTTCTCATCTTTGCCTCTGTTGATTGTTTTTAACCAACAATTAGTTTTGATTACGATTCGAGGATTCGATTGTTTAGTTGATTGTCTTCTTCCTTTGATTCAATTGTTAATCAACAACAATAAACAATTTGATAACTTTATCATTGCTCCAATTGCTTCAATTGGTTTTTCTTGTTGTCATTTTAATAACAATTTAATTTAAATCATTTCACATATGATTGAATGTCAATTGTAACTGTTTTTGATTATAATGATTAACTGATCAATCAGTTAATCTCAATTTCCTATCAACTGATTAACCTGATCCTTGTTAATGGTCAGTGACCCAAATTTTGATGTTGTTTTTTCAATATTAATAGTAACTTTTTATCAACAACAATTTAGTTAATCATGACTAACAATCATGATCATCAATGCTAAAGTAACAATCAGCTTAAATAGTTTGACAAACCAATTTAACTAAGAGTCTAATTGTTTCACTCGTTATAATCAGTGTTAAGTTAATCCAACTAATACTACTAACAAACTGCTAACAATTAAACTCCAATGATAATCAATGTTATCATTAAGATTATCAAAGAGCAGAATAAATAAATTACAAGTGATTAGGTGACAATTGAATCGCAATTAATTGCATCCCAATTAGAGTCTCAAAATAAAATCATTACAAATCTCAAACTCCTCAAAGTACAAACTCACAAGAGCTACGATAAAACTGTGCCCTCGGGGCTCGAGAACCATTAACATACTAATTATAATGTCGATTCCCTCTCTCAGAACCAAATCCTCTTATCGACAGAAATTCATCAAATATCAATAATTGACCGATGACCTCTCAATATTTGGTGTCATTTCATGAAACACTTTCATGAATATCAGTCCAATACATTAATTGATCATTAGAATGTCTAATAATTGCATCTATGGTTTCATTCAATGATTATAACGATATTGTCACATTGATTTACTCGTTGATTGATTAATCATTTAACCTTGACGACCTTTCAACTAATTTGATTATCATGAGTACCAATTTGATCAATATAATGATGAAATGGATTAAGGTTAAACTTGATGTTACCTGATGATAAAAGATTAACTTGTTTTCATATTTAAGGTCAAATAATAAGTTTTTTTTTTGATTAAAATTGACTCACTTTGATTGTTGTTTATGAACAATTTAAATTGCTTGTAATCTGATTGATCACTTTTGAGTATAAAAGGTGATGATGATTTGTTGATCATCTTAATAATAATAGTAATTGTTGTAACAATCAATGGGAGGTTAATATTGGTTCTGGTTTCTCAATCGAAACCAATTTAAATTGTATGATGTTCAATACAATTAATTAGATTGTTCAATTTAACTCAAAGGCATTTTTAATTGTAATTTTGTTCAAATTTATCCTCAACAATTTTTGATCCGATTACAGTTAATTAATTAGTTACACTTAACCTTGACTTTTCCGTTAACTTTGATTGTTAAAATAATCAACTTACAACTTGCATTCATAATCAACTTGATTATTGTGCTGATCACTTGATCATCACAATTAACTTAAATCATATATTGATTTTTCAATTCAGTGTATTGGTAATCTGTTTTTGTTTCCCTCGGTACAGTTAATTAATTGTTGTAGTTTTCTAGTAATTAAATGTACAATTAAATCATCATGACAGGATTAATAGGAATCAACCATAATAATATCAACAGTAAACAATTAATCTCAACAATCAAAATTGATCATCACAATGAAAGGTAAATTATTGAAACAATTAGTGCTTTTTTAGTGACCATTAAAGGATTGGGTTAATTGTGATTAACTGGTTGATCAGCTAATCAACCAAATAATGAAAAGTTATTTTTATTACCTGTGAACCTTAAGGAAAAGACAATTAAATTAATTGATTACCAAGTGATTAAAAAGTAATGATTCTAATCAATAGTTTCATAAAGAGGATAATCAATTGAATGAAATTTGATCAACTAAATCAGTTAATCTCAATATAAAGCATCAAGTTAATCATGTTATCACCTTAATTGTAGTTTTCTGTGCTCCTCCCAATTAAGTTAATTATTAATCATGATCAAAGTCTTAACCATAGGAGGAAATTTATTTTGAATATTAATAAATTATTATCATAATTTAATGTTCACTTTAGGATTGGAAAAGTAATTTAATATTATTTTTATTATTTTCATTGAATAATTTAAATGATTTACATGAGTTCCCATGTAAATCAGTTTCTAATCATGAACATAATGATTTACAATAATTTACAAAGTTAATCATGATTTAGAATTGAAAATAAATTTCTTGTAATCCAATTTGTTGATTGTTCATCAGCCGGTTGATTAATTTCCTATGTAAATAATGAAAACAGTTGATTGTTGATTCTCAATCTAGACAATCAATTTTAAACATATTAATATAAATACAATCAACTAACTGTCAACACAAGTTGTCACAATTTAAATAACAATTGACAGTTGATTAAATTGAGACAAAAATCCTTGATATTGAAAATTTATTAAATGTATTAAATTGACATTTTTGATTGTAAATCAATTTTGATTGATACAATTCAATAATTTCAAGAAATCAATCCAAAAAGTATAAGCTAATTGTTGATTTCCTTTAATATTTTAACATCACAATCACAAGTTAATTATGATAATCTTTACCCTCTCATCTGGATTAACTTATTAACTCAATAACTTAATTACCTCAACTTGATGATTTAAATAACTTTCACCTAATTGTAAAATCTATGAATAAATTAACTCTGACATGTTAATGGATTAATATAAAACCTTTAATGATGATGATGGTGATGATTTAAATTTCAATATACTTCAACAATATAATGCTTGTTTTGATTGCTATCATTACGATGATTGATTGTTTACTTTTAATTTTGTTAATCAACTATTAGGAAATATGGATCAACGGGAATCAGATTAACTCCTGATCAAGCATTGGCTCGTTATCATCGCCAATTTACCTGTGAAGCGGTTTCCTTAATTGTCCTGATAATTGCTGTCACCTTCCTAATTGCTACACCCTTCATTTTAATTCCAATTGTTGCCTTTCCCGATATTAATCAAGATCTAATCAGGGTGATTATGTGGTTATCGTTGTTATTATCAATTATATTCACGATTATCGGTGCGTTAATTGGTAACGTTTATTGGTATTATGATCAATCAACGGAGACATTTAAATGGCGATTTCATTTCGGCTCTGGACCTAAACACTATTGGGGATCAACTTTATTTAATTTTACCAACAATCAGCGACAATTTAATCATCATAATCATCAAGATCGTCCATCATCTAATCACAATCAACAATTTGCTAATCATTTGCCATCATCTGCAATTGTTAATCATGTTTAATTGAAGATCTTATTGTTTTTTTTATCAATTTCATATTTTTGCTTAATCCAATTCTGTAAACCCTAAATCTTTCAACAATTAAAGCTTAATTGCTTAAACGTTAATTTATTCAGTATTTCAATTATCTATAACAATCATAATTGTCAACTACAAAGTGAAAGAGTTGGGTAATTCAAGGTAGTTTATGATTAATCAACTTAATTGTTACCTTGTTACCTGTTGATTGTAATATTTTTTTTGTCAAATGATTTACCTTGAAAATGAGCTAGTAAACTAATAACTGATTATTTAATTGTAAAATTAATCAAGTTCATTAACGCTAAGGTAAACATAGAGAGGGTTTAATTGTTTCAGATTTTGAATCATCATCATAATCAAATTAACCAACAATATAATGATTTACAATTAAAAAGTAATAAAAAAAAAAGTTTGTCAAAGCTTAAACTTTTTCCAGAGGAAATTGTAATTTAATCATAACAAACAATTAACTAACTCTCAATAGTTAACAAACCTAATAAACAATTAATTGAACAACGGAAAAAGGATAAAATAATAATCCAAATTATGGTGATGATTAACTAATCACAATTAAGAATCCAATAGCAACCAATAAGTGAGAATGAGATGAAAAAAAAACAATTTAAATAAATTGGAAACCATCAACATTGAGCTCAGTTAGTTGTTAAAATCAGTTAATTGTTGGATAGATCAACCAAATTAACTACACAGTCACTTGGTATTGTGATTAACGCTTCATCATGATTAAATTAACTACAAAATCAATTATTCCAATCGTAGGAATCATACTCATCCTACCAGGTAAGTGAATGAAAAAAAAATTTCTCCCAATTTCTTACAATTAACTTTTTTTGGGTACAATTAAGGTTTGATTCCAGTTGATTGTCAACAGATTCCAGTTGCAAACAGCAGCATAATTACACCTACAACTTCAAGCGATATGTTGACAAAAATTTGTCTAAATGTCGACGAGTATCGGTCAATGTTCACCTCGATTCTTGGTGACAACAGTGTCTTCAGTCGGGATACAATCGCTCGGATGATCACTTGGGTCGATTGGTTTTATGGTGCCTACAATAAGTACAAATGGTTAATTGATTTCGCGATCGGTGCACTGACCACTTTATCCGTGTTTCTACCTGGTGGTCCATTGATTCCCATCGCAATCAAAGTTGGAATGACCATTGTGATGGATCCAAATATGAGACGATTAATCAAGGAAATCATGTACGAGGTTTGGGCCATGATCCCTCCCAGTGGCTCGGAATCATACAATGTCGCCCTCGAAGGTACCATGGTCGTTGTCCGACAATTAGCTAATTCGACAGGTAAATTATACGCCAAAAGGTCAGTTGATGGTCTTCTCAATGGGTCAACCCCATCGCCCATTGAAAAAATTGATTGGTCTTCGATAATTGCTTCTCTAACAGCGCAATTAGTTGATCTTCAACGAAGAGTTTACTCTTACAATTGGAATTGATTAATGTTCGAGTGGAAAAAAAGTTCTAATTGTTGATTTACTTTCGATGTTTCTTTATTATTTTTATTTTTTGCTTTTAAAATCAATTAATTTCTCTTAATTTAATTCAGTTAATCGTTTGTGTTAATTTAGTTTAAATCAATTTATTAACAGTTTTGTTTAATTTAAAATACATAAAATCTTTCAGTTTATATAATATTTTTTGTTTTTGTTTTTGTTTTGTTAAATATGGATAATAATTAAATTTGATTAAATTAATTATCATCATTATAATCAATTATATATTTATAAGAGTATTAATTTAAAATAAAATAATAATAATGATAAAGGTGTAATAATATTAACTGTTGTTTGTTTGTTTGTTGATTGGTGACAATTGGCAATCATGGATGATGGGGTTTAGTGTTTAATTAGATTTGATTGTTGATAGAGTTTAGTTAATTGTTGTAATCCATGGAATGACCTGAGGTGATATTTTTGAAACAATTTAAACAAACGGGAACTTTTTTCTCATCCATTTGGATAACAGTTGATTCGTTGATTGTATTTTCATTTGTGACTACTTGTTGTTGTTTCGTTGTGATTGATGATGATGATGATTTATTAATTGTGTTAATGGTTTCAGCTGTAGGTAAATTAACACCTAATGGATCGTTAAAAACAGAATCATTATAATCATTAACATCAACAGTTGATTGTTTATTATTGTCATAGTGTTTGTGGTTTGTTGATTGCTCTGGTCCCGATGAAGAATCATCTTGTTGATTAGTTAATTTTCCTGAAGATGATTCTGATTGTTGATCTGTTTTCTCACTTGTTAATTGTTGCTGATTTAAACGATGACCTGGTAGAATCATTTTCTTTTTAATACAACGGATACAAAATATTTGTCCACAAGCCCAACAGTGAAATCGAGCATTAGATTCGTTAAATATATAGAAACAAGTTCGACACTCTTTCGAGTTACGAAAAGATTGCCAATCGAGAGCAACAGATTCCATACAAGAGACTAATTGATTAACATATTCTTCAGTTGAATCAATTGTTTCCTCTTTACTTAAGGCTTTTCCATTAGTCGTTTTACCGATGATTACATTAGCACCATGATTCTCAAGGTTAGTTTCAACTTCATCCGCCGAGTTGTAATCATCATCTTTACCATAGGAAGCGGATGAAGATGAGGTTTCCTCATTTAGACCATTGGATTCGTTGGCTTCCTTTCCAGCGGCTATTCTAGCCTCGAGCCTCATCATACATTCTTGGACAATTCGTAAAGGTGAATCAATAGAATCAAATGAATCACCGAAAAATGATTGCTTATTAAGATCTTCAATCTCTTCCCCATTTTTGTCTATCAGATCAGATGAATTTGGACCGTTTGATTGTTTCGTTTTCTTGATTCTTTCCTCTTGAGCTTTGATATTCTATTGGAAATGAAACAAAAAGAAACAAAAGTTAATCAACAATACAAGTAAATAAAACAACTAAATCAGATAGAAGATAATTGTAATTACCTCCTCCAAGAATCGTATGTGATCCTCTAAGCTTTGAATATGTTTGTAGGTAAAAAAAATTAAATCATCACTTGATTCCCTCGGATGAATTCCAATATCAAATCGATTGTACATTGATCTCCAAAAACGAACCACTTGAGGGCATGTATTAATTTCGAGGAAACCTAAAAGTCCATTGGGAATGGAACGTCGTTTATAATAAAGTGGATTAACATATTCGGCTCTATCAGCGTCGAATAAAGCCCAAAGTGAGAAAGTGTTTTCCTTGAGCATCCAATCAAATCTCTCTTTATCACAATTACCAATAAATGTACCAAATTGACAAGAATAAACGTGATCATGAAGAGTTTGTAAAAATTTCTCATTAAATTCAAAATCAAAAGGAAACTGTTGAGTGATTTGCCAAACACAATCAATAAATTGGGTGAAAACGGGTGCAATTTGCTTTGGATCGGGTTGTTGGATAAGACCACATCTCATCGTAAATCGATGGCCAAAAGCTAACCATTCTTTCTCAATGAGAGCCTCAAAACCATCTATTGTCCGATAATAAGGATCAAGTAAAATTGAAGCTAAGGAACAAGTTTGAGCTGTTCGATCCCAACCATCAGAACAATGAACCATCACAGAGATACCATCACGAACCGAAGTGGCAATAAATAGACCAGCATCTAAAACCGATTTGATATGCTTAAGCCAACCACTAGCTTCTAGGGCACTTAGAAAGGCATTAACGGAGAGAACTTTAAGTTCACAGGCTAAAGAAATGAATAGAGAAAAAAAACAGACAAATCAATTAGAGAAGTTGAAAATTAAAAGCATAAAAAGCAAGGAGAAAATTCATTTTCATGAAAATCTATTATATCATGGAAGATATTTAGATTATTATGATTTCCCTGGCGAGAATGAGAAACTCTCTCACCATCCATTAATTTTTGTAAGCTCGATCTCATTACGTGAATATTTTCAATTGCATAAAAATGGTGTTTAATATTCCCATAGTAAGTTTTATCTTCGTAACCTTTACCAGCAGCTTTATTGGCCATAGCATTAATCTAGGGTAACAAAAAAAAAATGATATTGATTAGAAAATTGCAATTGTAAGGGTTAAATGAATGATTGACTTTGTCTATTCAATCATTTTCTGTTACTGTCAAACTCATATTTCTTACCATTGGTCTTGTATCAACAACATATAAACATTTTGATCCTTGATTGGCAGCAAGAATAGATTTTAATAACCTTTCATCAGCGGTACATCTTGTATTATATAAACCAGGTAAAGGTTGACTACTACGACATATACTTGCTCCATTTGTATGACGATAGGTTAAAACGGGAATTCGAGATTTACTCCGAAAAGTGGCACTTTCACGTAGGGTTTGCTCATTTTCATTACAAGGTACAACCAGGTAACGTGGATAAGTATCACAAAGAGAATAGTCAACATTAATATCGGTTATACTCCAATCATCATTTGGAAGGCCCATTCTTTTATATTCATTGATAATGTTAAACTTATTCCATGCGGTTAATTTATCATTTCCTAGATCTTCATTGAAAGCAGAATACTGGAAACAAAATAGATCATTAATTGAGGTTGGCTGGGAAATTTGTACCAAGCTAATGTATATGTCATGGGCATCTTTCTCCTTTGGAATGACAAAGGTAACACAGCGAAAATTTTTACATCTCAGGTGAAGTGGTGTTCCACTCGAAGAGGTTGATAATTTTTCAATTGTACCCAAATGAGAATGGAGAATCCATGTATCACGTTTACCATCAGTGTCGGTAAAAATTAGATGAGTCGGGGTCAGGAAAAGGGTTCCTAAAATACCAGAGGCAACTGCACCATATCTACTGCTACCAGAATTTTGTGAACTAAAACGATCCAATTTACGGACTCCATCAACCTTTTTTTTTTACAAATTGTAGTTTATGTTTCATGATCATACAAAACAAACACACCCACAAGAAGAGAGAGAGAGGGAGAGGTAAAAAAGACAGGAAAAAAGAGAAAAAAATTATTAGAGAAATCAATTGGAAATGAAAAAGAATAGAACAAAAAAAATTCTATTCCATTTTATCAACCATATTGTTTGTTATTCTTCATCATAAATGGAAACGTAAGTAGAAACACAAAGAAACATCCAAATTGAATGAAGAAATTATTTCAGAGAAATTATATGATTGAACTGAACTGGTGAACACAATGAAAAATATATTAAAAACGTTAATTGTTACAGGTTAATTAATAGCAATTAAGAAAATGAAATAAACAACCAAATCATGACAAGAATTGGGTAACAAACAGTAAATGGATTTTCAGAAAACAAATGACTTTCATCTTGCAACAATTACATTCCACAAGTTAAACTCTTACCTTGGCTTTTTTAATATAATCCATGGTGTGGAGAAAAATGTAAAATAAAACTAAATTAATTAACTACAAATTAACAACAATTAACAGTTACATTTAAAAGTAAAAGAAGATAAAAAAAAAAGAAATTCAAAATTCTGTTTACTTCTGTTATTCTAACAGCAGAATTCGTAGGTTTAGCCAATTCGGTGTCTATTCTCAGGGAATGAAAACATTCGCGGCTTTTTTTAACTTGATTACTTTTCGTCTAAACGAAAACAATTAGAATTAATTTCTTTAATTATTTAGAGTAGATTTTCATTTTATTCTCAAAAGTAGCAAATTTACCAAGTGTAAGGTCCAAGGATAATCTATGTTTAATTGTTCACCAGATAAACAAAAGAAAAGTGTAAAATATAAATGTGACTCTTTGGATCCAATGGTTTGTCCAATTAATTTATTATTTTTTTTTTCTTTGGAACAAATCCTAATGATTTGATTTAATTATCTTTTCTTTTTACTATTTTTCTTAATTAGTGACAATCAATAGATTGTATAATCATAAGATAGTACAAAGAAACAAGGATATTGATATTAATTTGGGTTAATCTTTTTCTCCTTCTTATCCTATCTCTGTGTCTCCTTTTTATTGTCACAATGTGTTTATGTTTTTATTCAACTTGGTGTTTACTTAATTGTCGATTATTTAGAATAAGATTACTGTTCAATTAACTGATTAAGAAGATGAAATAAAACAAAAACTAAGGTAAGATACATGTAAATACAAAGAGATTATATTAAATAATTTAACCTTTTCTTTTCCCTGTATTTACCAATATAGAAATTCATTTATGTATCAATCTATTTATTGGATCATCTGTTGGCCGATTTCACATTTCAATGGATCAAATTTTTGATTATGTTCCCAGAATTGATTACTCAGTGTAATCAACTTCTAACCAGATTCCTAGATGTTTAACCATACACACCATTCATATACTAATAGGATTTACATACCAACCAACATCAACTACCAGTGACAATATAATTATCATGATGGGCTGATGATGATGATGATGATGATGATGACATTATCATCTTGTTAACAGTGTTGATCGTTTATCAATTCAAACAGTAATCCATTTCTTATATTTGATTCTTTACTGTTTTCTGCTACCATTTTCTCCCTCTCTCACTTTCTCACTATCTCTACAATTATTAATATAATCAACTCTAAATTAACATCAATTCATTTCTATCACAAGATTTATTAATCATCTCTCTCTCTCTCTCTCTCTCTCTCTCTCTCTCTCTTCAGGTCTGTTCATCATTTATTACTTTATATCAGATTATTTTGTCCTCATCTTTTATTTACAAATTGTATGTAATTAGTTTTAATAACTGTTTATTCATCATCCTCCTCATCATCAACCATTTTCAATTAATCTTAAAATCTTTTCATCTTTCAACTTTTCTGTGATGACGATAATGATGATGAATGAGAATCCAATCAATTAATTTTCACTCATATTGATCTCTATATTCAAATTGATGAATATCATTCAATATATTCAGCTAATCATAAGGTAATCTTTTAATTCACTTGATTAGATAAATGTCAATATCTATGATTAATAATAAGTTTTTTTTACCATCTAATTTTTACTCAGGTTTTTTACTAAAATGGTTAATCTACCGATTAGATTGTCTGGTAATCCACCTAAGGATTAACTTTTCTAATCATTTGGATAACTTTCAAGCCAATTTATCATCCTGATCATCAATAAACAGCAATTGAAATGGAAACAAATTCCATCATCGGCTTTCTTATATATCATAGCAATCATATTTGATCATTAATTACAATTACAAGTCACCTTTAATCATGATAATACATAATTATAGGTATCTCTTTTTAATTCCTTCCTAATCAACAACTTATCCAGAACATAATATTTCTCACTAATTAGCAACTAACCAATTTAACCATACTAATCAATTCTATCTGATTAATGTAATAACTCATCTTAAACTTTACTTAAGTTAACAGAAAAGGGTTAACACTAATTTAACTCCAATTCCAATGGTTTTTACCTGTTATCCCATATCTTCATTGTCCTTGTCATTTACAACATTAATCAATCTCATTATCATTTACCTGAAATTACCTGAGTTTTTCCTCCCCTTTACATGCTAATAAAATGATACCATAATTTGTATCATGATGAGCAATCCATAAACTCCCCCACTCTCTCTCTCTCTCACTCTCACTCACTGTTAATTTAATTTTCTTAGTGTATGATAAATAGTAATAATTTAATTACGACTTTGTGTTAATTATTATTACCATTTTATCGTTCATGTTGGAAGCCTTTTGACCCTTTAACATTTACCCGAGTTTCCATCCTCTGTAAACAACATGGAATATAATCTTTATCAGTTAAACTAATTCTACTTTTTTTTATATTTTCTTTTCTCTCATCTTAGTTATCATATATTTATATATATCTTGGCCTCTCCCATTTTATCATAAACGGAAACAGAAACAGTATATATATTGTCCCAAGAAACATATATATATGAGCAAAAGTCACTACACTAAACTAATTTCTTATCAATTCATTTAGTTTATCATCATCATATCATTACATATTATAAATGATATTAACCAGGATGAGAATATATATATTTATATCTCTATTTATTATATATGTTACTCCCCCACCATGTTACTTTCTCTCTCACTCTCCCTTGGGATAAACACACAGATCTCAATATACTCACTCTTGTTGGTGTTTTTTTAAGGCACTATGATCAAAGGGAGGAACTCAAAGAGACTCCTTATTTCCTGAATATGTGTCACATTAATATATTTACCTAATGATCCGATCACTAATTACTAAATTGTTCATTAAGCTACAAGATGCTCAACAAGAAACTTGATTTGTCGTGTTGATTTCGTTACAAATGTGACCATCAAATTTTCAATCAAAAAACTCACCAAAGTCAAAGATGATATCGAAAGTGTGAACATCCTCATCATAACCTAATCTAAATTTTCCCTTTCTCGTCATCATTATCATCTTTCTTTAGGTCATCATCATGAAGAGAGCTTATCCGTAGACAGTATTACAACTTTTCCACTGTCATGGAGTTGCTCTCTTTCTGGTTTGACCTTTTAACCAGCATGCTGACCACTGACCCACCCTTTAGATCAAAGTGAAATTTCAACAATCAAATCTACAGGTAAACAGAATCAACCATATCCGATTCCCTACCGTTTCCCTTAATTGTTGTCTAAATGTTGGAAACACGATTGAGTTTCTCTTTTTCTGTCTTTTCCAACATTCTATGTAAATTAATCACGATAATCAGTCTTAATTGTTATCCTCTTACAACTGGAAATATTAGTCTTTACCTTGCTAACAATTAACCTTAATCACGATTGAATTTTACTCCTTAACAATGGTAATCATTTTGATTATATTGTAAAGTTTGTTGTTGTTGTTGTTTTTTTTCATTGAGAGTCAATGAAAAATGATCAAGGTAATCATAGCAATTTAAAATTTTAATTTGAAGAAAAAGCTGAAAAAACTAAACAATTAATTCAATTGTTTAAATTTATAAAAATTTCACTGAAAAATTAATCCGTGTCTTAATAACCACCAACAACAATCAACTGATTGTTATTAAATTTAGTTTCTGTAAACGTTTCTGGTCAAATTGTAACAATTAAGAGTTAATTTTTCTTTCAATCTCAACAATTTACACCTACAACAGAGATTCACAATTAATCATCTAATCACAATTTAATTGTATCAATGGATGAAAATTAAACGATAATAATAATTAAAAAGTCAATCAAATTATAATGAAAATGAAAATGTAATTGATTTAATTTGTTACCTTGAAAATTAAATCTAAAACTTATCTAATAGTTAGTTGATTAATTGTAATTAAAAATGAAAAATAATGATAATAATCATAAACCAGATTAACCAACCCAATGATTTAACAATTAACATGTGATTAACTTTTTAATTGTCTAATCAAATCAGGGTAACAAGTGATTACATTATTTTCAATATTGTTCAACACTGAATTAAATTGCAACACAATTAACTAACTAACAACAGGTTAACATTAAAAAAAAAAGTAGATAACAATTAAATTTGATCAAAAAGCAAACCTCAAATTGTAACACAATTTATTGATTTACACAATACAGACAAGTGAACAATTAAAAATATATTGTTTGTAATAAATCAATAAATTGTTACAATTGATTTACTTTGATTCATTTATTAAATATTATTATTACAATACAATTTACAAATACTACATAATTTTAATTGTTGTTAAAAAAATATAAAAAAAAAACTCATCAAGAAGCAAAAATTGAATTTGAATTAAACAATATGATCAAAAGGACAGCAACAATTAACGAGGTGTGGTTTAAATTAATTAACTGGGTCAAGGAGTAAATGATTAACAAATTGTGACTAGTTGTTCATTCAGAATAATCATCCAACACTGAAAAACATAGTATATTAATCATGATTAACAGTTGATTGTTGATTAACCATAATAATGAATCAACAATTAATCAGATGTTGAGATTATAACTGAATTGAGACAAAACAAAACCAATTGGAACCTTGATAATTAAAAAGTTAATCGTCACAATTTAAGATTCTTCAAGGGTCGCAATTAAATGCTCCAGCGGGATCAATTAAGTTAATCGATTTAAATTATTCAGGGTTAATTAATTTACGAGTTAAATTGTTAGGGGATAAAATGTCGAATCAGTTAATTGGTGTTGACGATTTTAACCACAATCAAAATTTGAATTTGAATTTGCTTCGCCAAGATCGTTAATCATAATAACAATCAAATCGTAACTTTTTGTTTTCTTGTTAGATCCAAATAGTATTTATATTATAATCGTTGGTGACCAGTGGTTGAGAGGAAGACATTGAGTTGGTGATGGTCAGTTCGATGGTCAATCTTATGGTGAATACTTTTTGTAAATGGTGATGACCCCATAGAAGGGCAGGAAAGCAACAGCCACGGAGACAAATAAAGTACCAGCGCAAAAGATTAACGAACCAAGTATTGGGGCGAGGAATAGTTTGGACGCGAAAACGGCCCCACGAATGGCCTTTCGCTGGATCGGATTTTCCTTCTTGTATCTGTATTTACACCCGAAGATGCTGAACTTTGAATAGTGGTCACCGAAAAATTTTAATCGACGAAGTGGTTCACCACAACGATAACAGAATCCAGTTTTACACCGATTACAGTGCATGTGATCACAGCCTCCACTTTTTTGGATGAAAGTCTAAACAATTAACGGTAATTAATGAATTGAAACCAATCAGAGAGACGAAGAGAGAGATCAACAATTAGCTAATTGTCAACTTACCTTGCATTTTGGACATCGTTGAGCATTTAGTTGACCTTGACTTAATTGTTTCGCCCAAACTTTAAGTAAACGGTCACCTTGACGATACTGACCACAGGTTAACCCTTGATGCCAAGGGGCATGACACAAGAAACACCAATAATATTTACACTCGGGACATTTAACTCTAGATAATTAAGGAAAATCAAAATGAGAAACAATTAACTTTCAATCAATTGTAAAGGTAAATTAAGTTAATCAATTTTTTCTTTACAAAATTAAGGTTAAGATTTTAAAATATCATTATGATTAACTGATTGTTATAAGATGACTTAATTTAGAAAGGAAGAGGAAGTTTGATTGTTGAAAATGAGATTAACAATTAACCCTGAATTGTATTAATTGTATAATTTGTTTATTATTAATGTTTAATGATTCACCTTGATTAACAATTATTAAATTGTTGCCGTTTCTTATTAATAAAATTTAGGGTGAAAAATAATTTCTTGTTTTCAAGTTCAAATGATAATCAAGGAAGTTGAATAATCTTGATAGTTAATTGTAATGATTAGAGTGATGATGATCATCAATGGTTACAATTTAAACGTTGAATTAAAATATTAACAAGATTGGGTCAAGGTAGTTAAGTGTTAACAGTAACAACAATTAACAAACAACAAGTAAATTGAAGGTTAAATTGCTCAGTTAAAATAAGACAATTTATCTGTTGAAAATTAAACAAAATTTGGTTAAAAATAATCATTGAGAAAATTAATCAACAATTGATGGTTAATTTAGTTGATGCTTCCAATTTAATTGTGATTAATTGTAAATCAGCAATCAGTTAAATATGTTATATAAGTTGTCCAATGTTTTAATTGCAATTAACTTGATAATCATTTACCTTGATAATTATGTCTGAGTAATAATAATAACCAACATAGCAAACTAGTTTGATAGTTAATTAAATTGTGATTAAGATCAGTTGATAGATATCATTTACCTTGAATCGATGATAAGTTAATTTAACAATTTATTAATTATCTAAGATTATTGAATTTGATTGTAATGTGTATTTACAATTGTATTCACAGGAATCAAGAAAAAGTATCATTAAAGGTTGACTTTTGTTGTGGTTTAATCACAATTAAGATTTGATTAGAGGCTGAAAGCAATTAAGGAAATCATTTTGATGAAAAAAAAAACAAATTAATCAACAATTAGTTGATTGAAATGATTAATATGATGATATTTATATACATTTGACTTCACATTGAATTACAATTAAATGTTGATTGTGATTTAACTTTTTCCTTGTTAAACTTAATTTGATTTAAATTTTTTGCTTTTCATCAATTTGTCTATTGGTTAAGTTAATCATAGAGAAGTTAATTGTTAATCATTTAGAAGTGCAAGAGAAAAAACAATTTAATTGATTACGTTTGCTTTTCAATTAGTGATTTAGAAAATTTTTTTAATTGTGATTTACCCTTTTTTGACCAATTAATTGGTTAATTCAACGTTAATTGTTAGCCAACAATCAACAGTAAACTTAATTGTTTATCTATCGATTTATCTAATTTGGTCTGATTAATGGTTCTTATTTTATCGCAATTTATTTTTTAACAATCAACTAATTGTTTGATTAATCTAGTGATTGGTAAAAAAAATTTTCAGTGCAAGTGATTAACTTCACAACTAATTAACTGTTAATTTTATGAGATTGAAACAATTAAAGGTTGGCTTTTATTTACCTGTTGATTTTTGAACAAAAATCTGATTACAATTAATTGTTACTAGTTTTTTTCCACTAATTATCAGGGTAAATTACAATTAAGCGATTTGTGATTACTATGATTGGTAATTTCTCATCGATCAGAATTAATTAGTTCAATTTCAGTTAATTGATATTGAAATAACGGTGATTAGTTGAGTCAATTAACTGTGATCGCATCAACAATCAACGGGAAAAAAAAGTTTAACAGACAATTGATTGTTTAAAGTAATTGTAACTATTTAAGAGTTAATTGTGGTCAGTGATTGTACAAGGACTATTAATATAAATTGTTGACCAGTTGACAATCAATTTGATTGTTGTAAATTGTCAGAATCAAGAAAAAAAAACAATCAACATGTTGTTGACTTTACAAAGTATTATGATGATAATGCATATCGAAAGGCCAATGATCAGCAATTAGTTAATTGTTGTTCTTCAAATAAAACAACTTTCCTCAAGTCATCATTGATTAACTATGGTAATAATTGTTGGACAACAGGTTTCAATTGCCATCAATTATATTCCCAACAATCAAAGTTAATCATTATTAAATTGTCATCACCAAAACAATCAGTAAATACAAAATTAAACTGAAACAATTGAAAAGCTAATTGAATTAAACATTAGGACAAATAATCAACAAATAGTGAAAGTATATTTGAAAGCTCAATCAACTCAACTTGTAATAGTTAATTAACTACTGATGGAATACAATTAAACAAGACTAATCAGAACTAATTGTAACCACCACCACCACCAATCAATTAAGCTGATTGAAAGGGTAAGGAGAGAAACGTTGTTAATTACGTTCGTAATTAGATTGTAATTGTTGTTGTATTAATTTCTCGTTGATTCTACCAATTGGATTAACTGTATTCTTACCTTGAATTTGATGGATCTTTTTTAATTATCTTCTTCATGGTTCTTAATTGTTGACTACTTTTCAATGTGTACATGGTTGAACATGATGGACAAGTTTTCGAGGTGAGATTACAGTTATTTTCCTGAATTAATCTGAAATAAATGTCTCTTAATTTACTATCCAAATGATTGGCTATTTCTTCCGGATCAATAAGTTCATGACAATGAATATTAATACATTCAATCCTCATGGAGCCCATTTCAACCTGAGAGGCAAAATATTGTTTCAAACAATCAACACAAGTAATATAATCACAGCAAGAACGATGGGTTATTGGTAATTCTTGGTAGCAAATTTTACATTCATCGATATTCAGGTTATTAGTTTTATCCTCATTTGAATCACTTTCATTGGGCGATTGATCCATCATCCTGGTCATGATTAATTCACCTTCATCATTGATAACACCAATTACTAAACCAGAATCACTATCGATGATACAATCACTTTTATCACAACCAGTTCCATGTCCACCATAGGAAACGGATGAACATTTCATTTCCTTTTCGTTTGGTGTTTCATTATCATCGTTTTCAGAGGTTGTTGTTGATGATGATGATGATGATGATGGTGATGGTGATGATCTTGAGGATGATGAGCAAAAAGATGGCGTCGTTGTTGATGATAATTGTAATATATTCGTGAAGGTTGATGTAACCGTTGAGGTTATGGATGAAGGTGATAATATAATTGTATCCGTTTCCATTAAAACAAAACTTGTCACCTTTGTTAATTGCTACGGAGAGAGACAACAAAATTACTTGTTGATTTACACCTTTCACAGTTAGTTGATTGTTGTTGTTGTTAAATTGTTGTGTTCGTTGCTTTTGATTAATTAGTTTGTGTCACTGTTACAATTGTTTTTTAAATTGATTTCAAGTCTCGTTGGTTGATTGTTACTCTTGAAACTAAACAAAAGTATTCAAGAGAGAGAGAGAGGGAGAGAAATAGATTGTGTGTGTGAGAGAGAGAGACAGTCAGATGATGATAGAAAGTGAAAAAGAGAGAGGATGATGATAAGGAAGAGAAAAAAGTGGGAGGGAAAGTGGGAGAGTTTAAAAGGCGTTCGACAAATTGTTTCAATGTCAACGAGTTTTTCCAATTCGTTTTGATTTTTTTTTCTTCGTTGTTTTTGCCATAAGAGGATCGAAAGTTAATCACAATTAGTTAAACATGATCACTATACCGACGATTAACTTTCAATACTTTAAATCAACAGAGAAATTTGTTAATTGTTCAATTTCTTTAATCATCTTTTTCCTTTCGATCGATTGATATTGTTAATTATCTATTGATCGTTGTTTCCTAATTTACTAATCACAATTTACCTTCAATTTCAATTCACGATTTTAATGAATCTTAATAATTTTTGTCTCTTGTTTATTGATCAACAATTTAAAATTTCATTGAAAATGTTTAATTGTTTAATTGTCAATGGAAATGAAATGTCATTGAAAGTTAATTCACACAACTAAAAAATTTAGAAAATAATTAACAATTAATGACAATTTAACTAATGAAGAGATTGGAAATTTCCAGTTTATTTTATCATTAATTTTAATCAAGTTTACAATTTAACTAATCAACTCAATTTAATTATAATCAACAATTAAAACCAGAAAATTGAAACTCAATCAAAGTTTAAAAAACAATTGACTAATTTACTTATCTAAACTTTGATAACAAATTTTAACCTTTTAATTGTAATCAACTAATCAAAGTAATTAACTAAGTAATCAACCGGAAAATGATGACTTCTAATAACATAATTTACTAATTGTTATATAATATTAGGTTAGATTAAGCCAATGATAATCAATTTAACTCTAATCTATTTTTCTGATTTAACCTTTTTCGTTGATTGTTAACTTTTTTCACTTAATTAACAGGTTAATTGTCCAGGTATATAATAGACAAAAGCTAATGAAGGTGTTTAAAGTCAAAAGAAAAACAATTAACTAATTACTACGTTTAGGAGGTTGAAATTGTTTAAAATAATCAATTAACTTTGATTGTTTGTGATTTTCAACAAACATTTCAATACAATTTAACAAATTGGATCAATAACAGTAAACAATTAAAACTGTTCCAACTTCCTTAATTATTCACACTATTAAAAATACATCAATAGATTGTTACAATCAATTGACCTCCAATAAGAAGATAAATTGTATCAACTAATTGTTAACCTTAATTGATGATTAGAAATCAATGTTATGGTTAAATTGGTTTAATTTTTTCTTCTCATCTTTTATGAAAACAAATACATATTAAAAATTTATATTAAATTGATTGAGGATTGTAAATAAAAAGTGAGGGGAATTTAATTAATTTGGGGTATTTGATTAAGATCAATTTTTGATTAACGAAGGATTAAGATGTTAATTGTTAACGTGTATTTGGTAATCTTTGTCCACTGAATTCACTGTTTCCAAAGCAACTTGCAAAACTTTGACAGGCACAAGCACAAGACGAATGAGATTCAATTGTGTACAATTCAATTTCTCGAGTTACTTTTTCATTAGCAGTTTTATAAACAGCAACCTAGGGATAGGATTTAATTGTTGATTATTAAATTTGATTGTTAAATTGTATTTTTTTTTCTTTATATACTTACAGTGAAATTACTTGCAACTCTATTGGTTGGCATACAATCAAATTGCCATGAGAAACAAGCCTGAGGGCAACGTAATATCTCAACTGATGGTGGATTATAAATTACATTTGGTTCATCGATAACACCAAATTTAATTGTTGTTAATTTGGGTTTACAATCATCATTAATGGTAAAATTTAAACCAGTACTTTCAATGTTACGTCTAATTATTTTCTCATCAGCTTTGGCATGATCATTGACAACAAGTGATTTAAATAACGTTTGTGATCCTAAAGCATCAACCTGAAAAAATTAAATATAAGAAATTCAAGTTTATTCAAATGATAAATTATCTTCGTTAATTGTCAATGAAAAAAAAAGACTATTAAAATTATACTTTACCCGATTAAGGAAAGCTTGTGATTTGATGTAAGAAACTAGCGAATCAATATTAAAGTTATTTGATGGATGATTAATATAATTGATTGATGATTGTTTCGATACAATTGGGTTTGAAATCTCGTTACTGGTGTCCATCCTTCGGGTTGACCTTTCTTGTTGATGGTCAATATTTCTTGGTGATTGATAATAGATATTCGTATTTGGAACAGGTTGAAGTTGTACCGGTGAATTGTGAGAGACAGTTCTTGCTGGAGGTTGATTCATTGTCGGTGGAACATAGGAACTTGACAATGCCCTTGAAACAAGAGGTGCAAATTGATGAGTATTGGTCCAAGATCTAACTTCATGATTTTTATTTCCATCAGAATAATAAGAATGATGAAAAATCTCCTTATTATTTTGAACATCATATATCTTTCTATGTCCAGTAATTACTTTTGGTACAGTTGGTTGGGTTGTAACATATTTTGGAGCATAATTGACCATCGGTCTTTGGGCACGAGTTAACTGAGAAGCTTGTGGATATTGTTGTTGAGGCCATGATTGTGATGCCGGATGAACGGAATGAAATTGACCAGGTTTATTATCAATTGATTGTGATGACAAAAAGGAAACCAAACAGGAAACAACTAAAAGAGAGAACAAAGAACAATTAGAATTACACATTTTTATAAATATGAAATATGAAAATTTCCACACAATTAAGACAAAAAACTGAGGACTAGATTAAATGAACAAATAAAATTTAAATAAAAACAACTAAACAAATAAAAAAAAGTAACACCAGACAATTAAAATGATCCAAAATACTAACTATTAAATCCTTTGACTTTGATTCAACTCTTTTTATACAAAAAAATTGTCACATTTAATTGTCCAATTGGTGATTAGTCACCATGGTTAGAATCACCTTTGTTTCACCTTTAACATTTCAACCAATTAAATTAAAGATTTTAACAATTTAACCTTCTAAAAATAGATAATCAAAAGAAAATCAGTTAATTGGAAATCTTTTTCTCTCTTGACAACAAATTGTTGATTCGATTAAAAGAAAAGAATCTATCGAAAAAACTTCGATATATCGATCGTCTCATTTTCTCCACATGGAAAACAGCTGATCGGGTGAAGAAAATTGTTAATCCAAATAATTGAATCAATTGATTTTCTTTTATTTTTAATTAGTTTTTTTTGTTTCTATTTGAATTTTGATTTTTTCTTTTTTCTCTGTGATTTTTTTGTTGATTGTTAACCATGACTTCGATCAATGGAATGGTCGCTTTTATAACTGGAGCTGCTTCGGGTCTTGGTAAAGCTACTTTGCAACATTTCATCTCGAAAGGAGCTCGAGGTGTTTATTGTTTCGATATGCAAGATTATCCCGATAAGGTGGAAGGTAATTGTTTCGCTGGTCGTCGAGGTGATGTTAGGAGTGAGGAGAATGTGGCTGCTGCTTTGGAAGAATGTCACAGTAAATTTGGAAAAATAGACACAATAGTTAATTGTGCTGGTGTTTCAGTTGCTTTTAGGGTGTTTAATTTTAAGAAAAATCGGCCTCATGAATTGAAAGATTTTCGTGATGTCATGGAAATCAATGCAATGGGAACCTTTAATGTCAATCGATTAGCGGCTGGTTATTTATATAGAATACACCTGATGAAAAGAATGGACTTAGAGGATTAATTATTAATACTTCGGGAAATGCTGCTCTCGATGGACAAATTGGACAGACGGCTTATTCTGCTTCAGCTGGAGCAATTAACAGCATGACATTGCCTTTAGCTCGTGATTTGGGTGTGGTTGGAATACGTTGTCTTACAATTTCCTGTGGATATTTTAAAACGCCACTTCTCTCATATCTCCCAAGTAACATTCTTGAATTTTTAGCTAATTCTTCCCTTTGTCCCAAAAGATTAGGAGAACCTGAAGATTATGCCAAATTAGTGGAAGCTATTATTCAAAATCCCTATTTAAATGCCACAATAATCAAATTAGACGGTGGAATGAGAATGTTAGTCTAAACAATTAACCATTAGCGTAACAAAATTAGTGCTAAATAGTAATTTTGTTACTAGATCAACCAAAAAGTCTCAATTGTTGAAACTTTTGTCTACTCTCAACAATATGACCAATTTTTTTTGTACAAAAAAAATGCATTTCAAACTTATGTAAATATTAACATTGAAATTTAGAGTAAATTAAGTTTCTTTTCACAAAAGCAAAATGAAACTTCATTTATCACAATTCTAGTGACTCTAAGAGTCGCTATTAACAGATGAATTTGTATTTACCAACATAATCACAATCACAATCAAGATTATGATTATGATATGTGTATGTAAATATCAAATGTATTAATACATAAAAAAAAGTTACAACAGAAACCAGGAGATTTAGATTAGGAGTAAACAATTAAGACCACCACTTGAACAATATTAGACTATAAACCAGAATGATAAAAGAAACTAACAAAAGTAAAACAATAAACAATCAGTAAATTGTTACGTTTAATGAAAAAATTTGGGTAATTGAAATACAACCAAAAAATCTCAATATGAATTTACAAAATATGAATGAATTAATTTGTTTTGAGTGAATAGAAAACCAATCGATATATTCAGAGACTGAATGATGAATGAAGTTTCATACAACTAATACATCATGAAATTGATTCAATCAGATTAACCGCCTGATCTAAAAGTAAGTGGACTTGCAGAATCACCTTGCCAATTATTTAATTGCAGTTAATCAGGAGTAAGAATGGAAACTGCCCTCCCAATAATAGCATCTTTGCGAGGTTGACCTTTAATTGTTAACCGAAAAGAATTACCAGCAATTAACTGTAAACGGGAAATTTTATCCAAAATATTGAACAACATTTCTCTTGGTTGATCACTAAAATTAAGACTCGATTCCAAATACCGTTCAAGTAAATAGACATAAGTACAATACTCTAACCTGTTGGGAACGATGAGAAGATGTAATTATTATTCAAGCATTAGTATTAATTGTTGCAATTACCTTATTGTCTCGTGTGATTGAAGATTGGGTAAGTCATACTTGAACAGCATAATCGCAACAATTAGTTGATTGATAATTATATTTTTCTTCCAAAGTGGATCAAAAGATTTGACAAATTCAAGATAATCCTCGTGATATGATGTATCGAACTGGATTATGTCTTCTAGTTTAACTGTCATTCCCTTTCCCTTCACCTGAAATTCACAATACAAATTCATAAATTGGTTATTTCTCTGTCATCCAACAATCAAGAATTAACTCACCATCCAAAGTAAATTGTCCAAATCAAACGCGAACGTGCTTCTCATTGATAATATATCAACCAAAGTACCTTGGACCAAACGGTTTTTATCTTCAACGGGAAGCTCGACGAATTTGCTTAGTTTTTGGGCCATTAAGAGTAAATAATCAACTAAACCATTGTAATAATCAATAATTAGCAATAAATTATCCTTAGTGGTCAATGGGCAGGCCGAAGGCTCATCAAGAGCCCCATAGGCTAACGTGAGTTCAATGAGTCGAGTTTCCTCCATTGAATTTAATGCTAATTGTTTCATGCGCTTTTCATTTATCATGTTGATTTGCGTTGATTTAGTGTCAATTATATGATGGTAAACATTCAAATTCAATGTACTAGATGGTTGGGTTTGTAAAGATGATGATGAGATTGGCAATTCTGTTTCATTTTTAATTCGAGCTCTGGTTGATGATGTTAGATATGAACATGATGAAGTTGATTGAACTGAATTCCGATAATTTGTTGAACAATCTGGTTCAAGGTTATTAGATATCGACTCGACTTTTATTGACACACCAATGGCACTTTTATGGTCTAAATTACAGGAATCATCACTTTCTTGCTTTCGATGATCAGGAGATCTTGTTGATGATGATGATGATGACGATCTTTGTATTAGACTTGATTGAAAAGACCCACGTTGGACTGAATTACTTTTAGGTGTTTTATTTGATTTTACAAGACGAGGTTGCAAGTTCTGATTTGAAATCTTCTTTTTAAGTTGAAACACTGATTTTTTATTAATCCCATGTGATTTATTAGTTGAATTTTTCATCACCGACACAGTTTCCAATTCTCTATCTATTTTTGATCCATTTAAACTTCGATCAAGTATTAGAAAAGTTGAACTTTTCCTTTCGCTTTTTATTCCAATGTCACAATTTATGCTTCCATCGACATCACAGTTTGTGCTATTTCCGCTTCCTTCTTCTGTTTTTATTATTTTAGGCGTTTTTCCACAGATACTCATCATGTAATGGAAAAATTAACTAATAATCAAATTGATTACGAGGATTAACAATACAATTTAGATAAACACAGTAATACTATTATGAGAAAATTTACTAATTATGAGTTGAGATGAGAAACATTATAAAAAATTGAATTCTCAATCAAACTGAGTTGATTTAAAAGTCCAGGTAAACGTTAAACAATCAGTTAAATATTAACATTGAAACTATGGATTGGGGAAAATTAGGTAACTCTAAGTGATTAACAATTAAATTAACAAATAATTATAGCAAAAGCACAATGATCGCTTAAATACTCATAATAAGAACACTAAATTATCATCATTTGTTATTGATAATTATCTTGATTGAACATATTGAGCATGTATCTAAATTACTACTTAGCTATAAAGATTGGTCTCTGTTAATTAGACCATGATAAACAATTAACTTTTTCGCATTCTCTATGCAATTAGTTGATTATTATCATTCACCAATCACAAGTTGATCTGAAACTTTTTAGCTCCATTTCGTCAGTTTTTTACCTCTCTATGTGATTAATGATTTAATTCATTTCGTATTTAAATTGAAAAAAAACTTGAACATTTGAAAAAATCGCCTCTCATGTGAACGTGTTCATAGTTATTAGATTTTATCATTCAAAATAGACAATTAAGGTGCGTCTAATCACATTGATTGTATTTGATTACTACAACAATTAACAATCGGTGTTGATATACTTGGTGGTTAATTTCCAGATTCAAATCATTAAAAATTCATATAATCATTCATTGTAAACCATGATAGTGATTGGAATCACTTTTCCAGAGTAATTAACAAATTTTCATTTTTTTCTTCATTAAAAGATTGAAATTGTAATTTTATTTTCTCCTTTTCTTTGTATCATACCCAATGAGTTAAACTATTTTTTGGATCTCATCTTCACTTTCATCTCAACCCTTGATAATTATTAATATTTACAATCATCAAATTGGATCTTGGGACAATCAAACTAACCATTAATCAACTAATCTAATTTGTTAATTTTTACTTATTGTAATTTCCCTCCACTCTAAGTTGTCTGGTACAACTTTTTCCTCCTCAGGAGGAGCTACAGCACATAAACTGTAGCAAAGACGTTAAATCATCGCATCCACCAGGATGTTAATATTAATAATAATTGTTAATAATAAATGAGTATCACAAAAATTGCGTTAACAGTGGATAGAAAACCAATCAATATATTCAGAGACTGAATAATGAATGAGGTTTCATACAACCGATATATCATGAAATTGATTCAATCAGATTAACCACCCGATTTACTAGTAAAATTAAAACGACTTGTAGAATCACCTTGCCAATTATTTAATTGCAGTTAATCAGGAGTAAAAAGCGAAACTGCCCTACCCATTATAGCATCTTTGCGAGGTTGACCTTTAATTGTTAACCGAACTGAATTGCCAACGATTAATTGTAAACGGGAAATTTTATCCAAAATATTGAACAACATTTCTCTTGGTTGATCACTAAAATTAAGACTCGATTCCAAATACCGTTCAAGTAAATAGACATAAGTACAATACTCTAACCTGTAGGGAACGATGAGAAATTGTAATTAGTATTGAAACATTAGTATTAATTGTTGCAATTACCTTATTGTCTCGTGTGATTGAAGATTGGGTAAGTCATATTTGAACAGCATAATCGCAACAATTAGTTGATTGATAATTATATTTTTCCTCCAAAGTGGATCAATAGACTTTACAAATTCAAGATAAGCCTCGGGATTCGTGTTATCGAAATGGATTATGTCTTCTAGTTTAACTGTCATTCCCTTTCCCTTCACCTGAAATTTACAATACAAATTCATAATTTCATTATTTCTCTGTCATCCGACAATCAAGAATTAACTCACCATCCAAAGTAAATTGTCCAAATCAAATACGAAAGAGCCTCTCATTGATAATATATCAGCGAAAGTACCTCGGACCAAACGGTTTTTATCTTCAACGGGAAGCTCGACGAATGTGCTTAGTTTTTGGGCCATTAAGAGTAAATAATCAACTAAACCATTGTAATAATCAATAATTAGCAATAAATTATCCTTAGTGGTCAATGGGCAGGCCGAAGGCTCATCAAGAGCCCCATAGGCTAACGTGAGTTCAATGAGTCGAGTTTCCTCCATTGAATTTAATGCTAATTGTTTCATGCGCTTTTCATTTATCATGTTGATTTGCGTTGAATTAGTGTCAATTATATGATGGTAAACATTCAAATTCAATGTACTAGATGGTTGGGTTTGTAAAGATGATGATGAGATTGGCAATTCTGTTTCATTTTTAATTCGAGCTCTGGTTGATGATGTTAGATATGAACATGATGAAGTTGATTGAACTGAATTCCGATAATTTGTTGAACAATCTGGTTCAAGGTTATTAGATATCGACTCGACTTTTATTGACACACCAATGGCACTTTTATGGTCTAAATTACAGGAATCATCACTTTCTTGCTTTCGATGATCAGTATAAGATGGCGATGAACTTTGTACTAGTCTTGATTGAGCCCATGGTTCATCTTGGGCTAAACCATTTGTAGGAGTTTGACTCGGTTCTACAAGACAAGGAAAAAAGTTCTGATTCGAAGTCTTCTTTTTAAATTGAACAACTGGTTGTTTATTATTTTCTTGTGATTTATTGGTTGAATTTTTCATCACCGACATAGTTTCTAATTCTCTGCCTACTCTTGATCCATTTAAACTTCGATCAAGTATTAGAAAAGTTGAACTTTTCCTTTCGTTTTTTATTCCAATGTCGCAATTTATGCTTCCATCGACATCACAGTTTGTGACACTTCCGCTTCCTTCTCCTGCTGATGGATCTTTTTTATACATTGTAGACGTTTCCACTGATGCACTAGTAATGGAAAAATTAACTAATAACCAACTTGATTACGAGGATTAAAGTAACAATATAATCTAGATGAACACCGTTAAACTACATATGATGAAAACTTAATAAGATGAATTCACAATCGAACTGAATTAATTTAAAGGTCCAGGCTAATGGTAAAAAATCAGTTAAATATTAACATTGCAACTAAAAGCTGAAGAAAATTGGGTAACTATTAATATAAGTGATTAGCAATTAAATAAAACAATTGAATAAAAATCATTTAAATACTCAAATTAATATGAAAAGACATCATCATTTGTTATCTTGATTGAACATGTTGAGCATGGGTCTAAATTGCTACTTGACTATACAGAGTTTTCTTAGTTAATTGGACAATGATAAATAATTAAGTGTATTATCACTCTACGTAATCAATAACTAATAATTCATTTGTAACTTTTCAGTTTGATCTCATCAACACTTTGCCTTTTTATTTTATTAATGATAATCAATACACTAAAGATGAGAATATGCGAAACTACAAGGCTATTTTCTCAGCAACTACATGTATAAGTCGCAGAGACTCACGACTTGAGTGATATGAGTTTGAGCGGTACTTTATTGTTTCTCCGCTGCGAATCCCCGATTTCAATAGATTTTGTAGTATTGTCGTAGATTCAGTTCGACCTTCGGTAGTTCTGGCAACTGGTGATCTAACTGATTCTCGGACATCAGCTCCCTTTGGTTCTGACCAATTTGAACAAGAATGGAAATGGTATGTCCATGCATTGAACTCTACTCGAGTCACTGAGAAAACAATCTGGCTTGACATGAGAGGAAATCATGGTAAGCAAGAATCATCCATTGTTTAACAATCAACCCTAATCACCTCACCTGAAAATTTAATTTATTGTTCAAGTTACTTGAAGGTATCTCTTCAATTACGATCATAAGCTATAACATTTTCTCACGAGAAAACTTTATTGTTTCATTATGTCAACATCTTTGTAGGTTTTGTCATTTCTCCAATTCAGAGACAATCATTAATCCATCAAAATTATCATATTCTCAACATTATCATTACCCTTTCATCATTGAGATTAGAACATGACACAATCCGCCCTCTTTCTCTCTCTCTCTCTCTCTCTCTCTCTAGGCTCATAGATCAATATTGATTTTTTGAAACTCTTTTCATTACCAATCACCATTTAAATTATTCTCTTTCTCTTCTTTTTTTGACAGATGCATTTAATGTTTATTCTTGGAATTCGACTAATAATTATTATCGTAAATATACTCATCGAGGAAATCAGAGTGAAGGACATTATATGTACACTTTGACCAAAGGTGAAGACAAATACAATTTCCTTGGAATCGATGCTTGTCCTCAACCTGCACCAAAACGACCCTACAATTTCATTGGTCATCTTAAAACAAGTGACCTGGACTCAATTAAACAACTTTTAACCAAAGCTCCAACCTCTAATAGCACAATTTTCTTTGGACATTATCACATAATATGAAGACACATTGACAAGCTCCTCAGAAAATCACTCAGGACTAGCAAAATGTTGAAGGAAAAGTTACAATTCTAATTAAAAATTTTGATTTAGGAAAGTTGACAAAGTAGAAAAATTAATTAATCACATTTTAGATATGCTGGTTAAATTAAATATATTAATTCAATAAATATAGTTAGAATAAGTTTCATCGAGCTTGACCTTCAAACGACTTTGCTACCTTATCCTAATATAAGGACCAGAGCAACTTTGATATTTAAATATGACCACGAGTATCACCTAAACTCCCATAACTCAAATATTGTACTAACGATAAACAGAATTCGCCTTGAAAGAATCACAATCCCATTCTATTTATTAATACTCTGAGTGCGTGTGTTTAACTTTATAAACTTGAGTGACATTAACAGAAAAACAGACACTTAAAGTGCGTCTAATCACATTGAGTGTATATGATTACTCCAACAATTATTAATCGGCGTTGATATACGTGGTGGTTAATTTGAATCTCCAGTCTGAGCAAAGTTCTGAGACAATTTTCCGAGAAAATTTGACAATCATCACATTGATTTACGAGTTTATTTTATTTGTTTTATTAGTATTTGGATTGAAAATGATAAAATTGCTTAAAAGTCAATTGTTTTTTTCAAATCATTAAAATTCATAATCATTTGTAAACCGTGATAGTGATTAGAATCACTTTTCCAGAGTAATTAACAAATTGTCATTTTTTTTCATTAAAAGGTAAGAAAAAATAAAAGACAAAGTCACTGATTAGAATATATTTTTTTTTCTATCATTGGAGATGATGAAGATGAAAACACAGTGAGATCTTTAATTATTTAGGTTAATTGCCAAAGTTTTCCGCTGATTGATGATTAAGTCTCAGCTGGACGAGGCTTAGCGAGGGACATTGTGTTTCGCTCTCCGTGTTTAAGTCCAATGGCGAATGAGTAAACCAGCGAATCAACTATAACACCTTCTTCGTGATATTTGGCCAATCGATCGAGAAGACCATTGATTGGAACTTGAAGAACATCAACAATTCGTCCATGGGCCGAACTGGAATTTTCATTCTCGAATTCTGAGTTTTTCGGTGATGGATTTTGCAGAGGATCATCTCCATCGATCATCACTGATACTAAACTTACTTTACCAGAAGAGACAACTGTTCAAGAAGAGAGATAATTAAAAATGAAAACAATTAAAATTAATCTAATTCTCTGCAAATATAAATTACGTTTTAATCATGATTACAGATTAATCAATAAGTTAATCAGTGGGCTTGTCGATGGTTATGAAATTTCTAGAATCTCATTTTTACAACCAACTTCAATCTATTAATATTATTTTCAACTATCAGCTAATCACAATTAAGATTATCATGTGTGTATAAATGTCAATAGTAAATAGATGACAAAAAGTTACAATAAAACCTGAAAATCTCAACGACTGGAAATAGACAATTAAAACCACCACTTGAACAATTAGACTGTAAACTATCAGAATGATAAAAGAAACTAACAAAATTAAAACAATTAACAATCAGTAAATTGTTACGTTTAATGAAAATATTTTGGTAATTGAAATAACCAAAGTAAATTAATCAAATCAAAGATCATCTCAACTTGATAATCGGAAAAGTGATCAGATTAGCAAAGTAAAAACAATAACAATCAAATTGTGTCTTCAAGCATCGTAATCAATTCAAGTGTTAATCTCTCAAGAAAAAAGCAATTTATTGACCTTGTTTATATATTATTAATTATTTGAAAGAAATTAACGATAATTAGTTAATTATCTTAAGATTTACCTTTTTTTTCAACAAGAAAAATCCAAATTCAGGAACAGAGTTAATTCAATGAAACATTCAGTTGATTAAAAGATATTGATGGTTAGTGGATTAGCAATTAGATTGATTTGGTTCCTCATCAATTAACTAATTAAGTTAAAATCTCTTCTCGTGGGTTAACAATTTAACCATAAAAGTATCAAAGATGATTAAACCTCTTCAGTAGTTTAAGAATCAGTTGATACTTGAATTGTAATCAATTGTAATCATTTGAATTAATCTTTGCTTTGGTTGACTTTTTTGTTTCTTCACTAATCAACTAATTGTTCAAAACCATAATTAACTAATAGTCTTACATTTACAATTGTCTTCTCAAAGAAATTTGATATTTCATCAATTAGATTTTCATAACTGTCATCTACCATTCTAATTATCTGATAATATATCAATTTGATTGTTACGAATAGCAAACAATTAAGCAGATTAATTGTTGACCACAAATTTACTTCATGAAAAACTTTCATTAACCAATCGCTCACTAACAATAGAACTGAATTAATAAAAAAAGGGACAATTAAAAATGAGGGAAAAATGTAATAACTAAATTAACGATTACTTGATTAATGATTGAGATTAATTTTCTAGGTTAACTGATTGTTCAAGGTTAAGGTAATGTTTGTTTCTGAAAAAAATGGTATTGGGAGGAAGATGATTAAGGGATAAATGGAGCATATTGTTGAAACAATAATCTACTTGATTCGCACTATTAACAATCAAAAAAGTAAAACAATTAATAAATTACTGAGTGAAACAATCAACAAACTATGAGATAAACTATGAAAAGCAACAACAACAATATTGACATTGAAAAGCTTTTTAATTGCCGAGATATTATCATTTGATTTGAAGAGATGGAGAGAGTTAATTGTTCAACTGATTGTTATGATTAGTGGAAAGATAATTACCTGGATCAACTGAGGTTGGAGGTGAAATGATTTTAATTGCGGTGGATGTGTAACCAGTATCATCTTCAATCTCTCGATGAGCAGTTTCCTCTGGGTCACCATTAATATCCATCACTGTTGCCGGAAATTCAAGAGTATAAGACTTTAATTGGGCTCGAAATTGTTTAACCAGAATTAAACAGTCACACATTACCCGTCGGCAAAGTATAGCGATGGTAACCAGGCCAGATTTATCGGATCCATAAGCGTTTTTCAACTTTTTCACCTTTTCAACGCCTTCCCAATAACGATCTTTACCTGAATCATCACGATAATGGAAACGAGTTAATTGTAAAACTTTACCGGTGTAAAGAGGTTCCTCCGAGATTGATTCACAGGTTCCATGGTCCATGATCACTTCCTTAGAATAGGATGAAGATGAAGAAGATGATGTTAGGTTTGTAGAAGGCATCGTGTTATTATTATTATCGCTGTTGGAAATTAGTAACAATTTATCAGATTTGGAATGAGGGTTAATGGTGTTAGTTGATTGTTTGGGATCACTGGGCATTCTAAACGATATTGTCTCCAACGATCGAGATCTTATTGATGTTCAGAGAAGGGGAGAGAATGAGAGAGTTAGAGAGGGAATGAGGGGCGATGATAAGAGTGAGAGGGTAGAGAGAGAGAGAGAGAGACGAAGGGAAAGGTATGATTAAGATAGAACTGAAATTGGGAAATTAAAATGGAGAAAAAAATAATAACAAACCAGAGACAAATAGATGAAGAAAATAATCAACAAGTGATGGAGAGGGAAAGAGACACACAAGGTTGATAGAGAGCGAACCTTAGAGAGGAGTGACAAAGATGATGATTATCATTGGGTATTCATTGGAAATCAATCAATATCATCAAGGGGAGAAAAAGTGAGATAAGTTAATGATGAAGATGCTCCTTCGATCGTCACAGTCTCTTCACTTGCCTCTCCTTCAAATACTTTCCAGAGATTTTCTCTCTCTCTCTCTCTCTCTCTCTCTCTCTCTTTCACTATTTACGTTGATTGTTTGTCTTTTAAAAGTCAAGATGCACAATTAACATGATTAGATGATGATCAGGGATGAGGAACAAAAGACAAAAATTTCCCTTATTTGGGTGTTTGCATCGCACTTTTGTCATTCGCCATCATTTTTCTCTCTCAAAGTAACTATTTCTTTCCAATATATGTAATGTTATCACGTGGAATATGAATGATTTATCCTCTCATCATAACGGTAAATTGTTTCTTTCAATTGAATCAAAAGTTAACCCAAAAAACGAGAAAAATCGAATCGAAAATCAAAAAGTCAAATTAAACCAGGAAATGAAAATTTCATTAATCGAATCAAGATCGAAATCAATTAAATTAATCTTTAGCTTTTTTGTTTACCTAATCAAGAGATTACCTGGTTAATTACTGTTAATTCTCATTCTTTTGTTACAGTTAACTAGTAATTTGATTAATTAGTTAAATTGTTGTCACTTTGATTATATAATTTCTTCAACTTTATCAACCTTTCCAATAGATTTCATCTTCTGAGGGCTTGGTCTTTTTACCTTCTCTCTTAGATCAACAGCAATTTACCTTAATCATCTTGATCATCAAGTTAATTGTTTGTGTCAATGTTTCAATTTACTAATTAGAAAGTACATATTAACTATTTAATTAGATAAATTGGATAATCCGGAAGAGAAAAAGAAAACAAGGTTTGTATATATTTTTACATTTTCTTTTTCCTCTCTTATTATTATTGATACAATCGAAATTATTTATTTTCTATTCTAAATTTTGTTCTTCTCTCTTTCAATTTTATTTCATCACGAGGTGATTTTCATGATGAACACGCACTCAATCAATGTTGATTGATTTCCCGTGATTCCTTTTCTCTCAACAATATCAACCATCAAAATCTCTTGCAAGGTAAACGCTATCACTTATTCATCCCTAACAATATGTAACAAGAACATGACAACTGATTAAATCGTTAATTGTGTTTCTCTTTTCCCATTCACCATTTACCTGATTTCTGATTATCATCATCAACACTTTAATTGTTTGCATTGGCTGAATTTCAATTGGACTCAGGAAGATGAAGTTAACAATCACCAGAACCGTTTCCATCTCATCATCATGATGAGTATTTGAATGGATGAAATTTTATTTATAAACAATGAGGGAAAATGATTAATTCATTGCCAACTCTTTCAAATTGATAATTCAATTAATCTAAATTACAATCAGTTGATTTTCATATTCATTTTAATTACTATCACTTGATTGTTTCAATTTCCTTGTGTAAATCTCATGATTAACATTTCTCTTCCTATTTCAACCCTTTTTTTCATTATATTGGATTTTCATCAATGATTTTTTCCTCTCTCTCTCTCTCTCTGTTTGTTAATTGTTACACTTAATTGTAGTGATCAAAGTAAGATTTTGATCTAATTTTCTTTCTCTCTCATTCTCTCACCCAGGTAATCATCGAGATGTTAATTCAAATGGAAATGTTAATTGAGATGATCAATGATCGCCAACCTAGAAATGTAAATATCTCTTTGATTATGATTAATTCTTGTGATTAATCATTTATAATTCCGGTTGATTTAATCCTTTAACTCTAGTATGATGAGATATTAAGAAATTATCATCCTCTCTCTCTCTCTCTCTCTCTCTCTTTCTCTCTGAATTGTTCAGAGCAATCAGAAAACTTCAACATTTTCATCATTAAGAAAACTGAGTCTTCATCAAACATCAAAAGATGTTAATTATGTTCAACAATTTAACCTCTTTTTGTTCAACTCAATTTGAATTAGTGAATTAATTTCACACTAGTTTAAGATTCTACTCACAATCAACTTAGTGTTTGAGGCTCAGTTTTATTTAAAGCAATTACATTTTACCAGGACAACAATCAATGATTTTGCCGATTTTCAATTAATTGTTGACAATTGATTCTAATTAGATGTAAAATCGTTTCGTAAAAAAGTGTCCACTTTATTAATTTGAGGTCAAATTTGAAAAAGTGTATTACAAAATTAATTAGGTTTCTAATTTAATTAACAACTAAGTTTAAGAAAAATTGTGATTAGCATGATGACGATTTCTTTATACACAAAATCCATTGAGTATCACGTCTCAAGGTTTCTATTTTTCACAAAATGATTAACTAATCATGATGATTTCCTATTAACAATTTGAAAAAGAAAGAAAGAAAGAAAGAAAGAATGCCACAAGAAGATAAAGAGGGAGCAAATGATGATGAGAAGATGATGAAGATGATATTGATAATGATGAGCATGTTGATTTAGAAATGAATTTGAAAAATTGAATAAGTTGAAAAAGAGGATAATCAATGACGGTCTTAATTATTTGGTTAATTAATTTGTTTCATTTGATCAGCATTGATTGAAACCCTTTTCCTTGGCTTATAGTTGAATCACTTTTGTCAATCAAAAGGTTAATTGTTTAATTGATGCAGATGAAATGAGATGAAAATAAATTGACAGTGACAATGAAGCTTTGATGATGATGAAGATGATGAAAGTGATGTTGGTGTTAATTTGTTGATTGTGGTGGGCAGATGAAAATAGTAAGATGAGCTCGTGGGTTTGTTGACTTTCGATGACTGGAGAGATGCGATTTCTTTTTCGAAACATCAAAATTTAAAAGAGAGAGAGAGAGAGAAAAGGTTGTAAAAAAATTCTAGCGAAAATTAAATACGATTAATTTATGTTTCTTTTGTATGAATAGAAATCCAGTCGACATATTCAGAGACTCTGGTATATACTCCAGGTAGATTGGGTTTCGCACAACCGACACCCCATGAAACTAATCCAATGAGAACTGATTTACCATCCGATTTAAAGGTAAGTGGACTTCCAGAATCACCCTGACATGAATCTTTACCACCCTCTTTATAACCAGCACATAACATGTTGGAATAAATAGTTTCCCGTCTACCCACCGATTTCATCCACTGTTGGCACGTATTTGAATCAATTATCTCCACATCAACCTTTTGTAGTACTCCAAGGGAAGCGGGTACACCATAAGTCGTCCTACCCCATCCGGTTACCGTGGCCATGGAACCAGTAAAATTTTCACCTTTCGCAGGTAAACAAACAGGTATAATGTGCTGCTTGAATTCAACCTCATGGGAGAGTTCAAGGAGAGCGATATCATTTTGATAAGTGGCCGGATTGTAGTCCTCATTGACGACCTTTCGTTTCACCCCGAACTCTTCGTGAGTGAACTTTTCCGTTTGACCTCGTAAATTGTAATCACCAAGACGTAGACGTAAATTTGTGGCCGGTGTCCTGAAAATAGAAACAATTAATCAATTGAATAGAAACAAATAAAAACACTTCAACTTTAATCTTCTTTCTTAATACTTGACCAAAAGTAAACAAAAAGATAAACAGTTAATAATTAGTTAATTACTTTCCAATAAGGAAATAGTGATTAGTTAATTACTCTTAATATTTTCTTTCCACTGGATTACTTGATTTCTTAATTTGTTGACTTGACATTGTTATAATCTTTTCCATTCATCATTATCAATGATTAGTAAACAGTAAATTGATTTTCATCTTTAATTGTAAACAATTATCGTTCTAATGGTTAATCAATTGAATCATTCGCAAGATAATCATCACCTTGTTATCCATTCCCATGTCTATTTGGTGGGAGGTTAAGGTTAACCTTTTGATTGGTCTTTATTGGAGTAACTGTTTCCTTCATGATGGTTAATTGTTAATCTTAATTAACACACCTTAAGATTGATTATTAATGAGAGAGGAATTAAAAGTATCAAGGTAATTTTTTTCTTCCTTTTTCTCTTGATGATTGATTGATTTGATTTTACAATTAATCGTGTTTACTGTTGATCATTATCAAGATTGTGATAGTTTGTTAATGAGAAAGATCAGATTGAGAGATTTAATTTGTGATAGAAAATTGTTAAAGATAATTAATAATAATTGCGACGATTTTTAATCATAATTGTGAGGATAATTTTTCCATCACGATTATCAGTTTAATCTATTGGTTAATCAGCTTCATCATTTAGGGTTGGTCCGGTAACTGGTTTTTAATCAATATTGATATGGTTTAATCTAATTTAATCTATGTAAAAATTTTCAAGATTTGTTGTAAACACTTTGTTTTCTGTCCGGTGAAATCAAAACAATGTAATTTGAAAAGTCATGCGTAATTAAGCCAGGTAACCATTCACATGTTTACCTCTAGCATGATAGTAACTGTAATTATTGTAATTAATTCTGACAATGAGTGAAAATATGAGTGAAAATTTTACTACAATAGTGGAGGCTGTTCCTGATGTTAATCACTCTCATTCGAACAAGCCAAAAAAAGGTCGACCTAAAGGACAAGTAGTCAAAGAAAATGAATGTAAGTACTTTAAATTTACAATTTACTCAATCAATGTCATAACCAAAGACATTCATTCAGTAATTAGTTCTAACACTTTTAATTAAGACAATTCATTTTCTATTCAGGGACATTTGAAAAATGTATTCAGTTATTAGAGAAAAGAAAAGAAATGGAAAAAGATTTCAAAAATATTTACCATAAAACCAACGCTTGGAAAAAATTGATACAATCATTAGGCTGGAATAACACTCATAAAGAGGTTTCAATCAAATTCAAAAATATAATTTCTTACAGATCGAAACAGTTGAAAAAAAATACTGGTGAGGATGGAGATTATACCAATGAAACTCAGGTCGGGCAGCTCATGAACCTCGTCAGGTATTTCACTGACTCTAATCATAAATACAACCCTCCAAAAGTAATTGATTCTGGTGACTGTGAATTAAATGGTACCTCAAACTGTGAGCCAGTAATAGTTGATGATGTTCAAAAAAATGTGGAATTCGATGGTGATAAATGCAATAAGTACCCAGATGAGTTCTTAGACTTCATACACGATAGATACAGCCCAGTTCATACCTCTGAGTCTGATGATGTCAATATATCTACTGAAATTATCAGCTCATCGCAGAGTGAGACCTCAAGTCAAAAATACTCACAGACCTTTAGTCAAAGTTCTGAGACATCAAGCAAAAGAAAAATAGACGATTCCAAACTTGGAGGACAAACTCAAGAGAGAAACAAGAAAATTAGGAATAAGACTCATAGAGAAATCGCTTTGATGAATGAGAAGCACGCGGCGAGACTGACTGATTTATTCGGCTCTCTTGTGGAAATCACCAGAGAAAATTTCAAGAGGCATGATGAAAGAGAAGAAAAAAGATTGAAATTGCAAGAAGCGTTTCTCAAGTCAAAAGGAATTGTTCATGAAGAGCCATCGACCAGCAATGACAATAACATTGGATTATCAGATCAAGAATAATTTTCCAATGTAATGATCCTGATGTCCTTAATATAATTAATTCTAAACAACTTTTTCTTTTTGATAAATTATATAAGTTTATTACAAATCAAATCTCTGTAATCATTTGCATTATTGAATTGAAAGGTTTTTGGTTCAGGTAAATCGTTCTCATACTCATCATCAGTTAGTTCAGAATTTTCTTGTGTCGAGACTGAGTTTATCTGATCCAAATCAATCAAGGTGAGATTATTCAGAATTACAGAACTAATTATAACATCAGCTGCTTTTTCCAATTTTACAATCAACTTACTATCTCTTAGTCGTCGCCACTTTGATTTCAAGTCACCGAAAGTACACTCAACAACATTTCTCGCGGATGAGTGGGCCTCATTATATTTTTCTTTGTGAACAGCAATCATGGATTCAGTTTCATTACGATAAGGAGAAATGATTGGAATTGGGGAGAAAGAATTTGGATAAGCTGAATCACCAAGAATAATAAATCCTGGAGGTGGATATAAACTTTTCTGGTAGAGCATAGAATCTTTTAAAACATTAGCATCATGGCGAGCACCAGAAATTCCTGTGATTGCATATCGAATAAGGTTTCGATGATCAGATACAATAGTTAGATTCATTGAAGTTCGAGAATGACGATCGAAATAATTTTCCACTCTTTCAGTCGGTACCATGATCTCAATCAATGTTCCATCAACCGCACCGACAATGTTATGATGGAAATTTTTTCTTTTGTGTCTTCTCGAGAATCCATTCGCTATCACAAAACATTCATTCACCTTCGGTAAAGAAATCAATTGATCACGAATGGAAAGAATTTGTGATAAAACAAAGTCCAATGAGTCCTGAACAGTTGATTTTGGAACATCGAATAGTCTTTCTAATTGTCGAATCGTTGCTTTAGAGCTTATCCATTCTAAATAAATAATGACTTTATAACGAATTGGCCATTTACTCCTCTCAAGATTAGAACACTTGGAAATAAGCCAGTCAAATTGTTTATGATTCAATCTGAAAATTTCGGAAAATTTGATTTCATAATCATTCTCTGATGCCATTGTAAGATAAAGCTCCATCCTGGTTCTGTGAATATCTCTGGGAATTGAGTCAACTCTATCCAAATTTTTCATTTTGTTATTGAATATTGAATCAGCACTCATTGCTACACATGATAAACAAAGATTTAACAACTCGATAGTTTTAATAAGCACATTGTCAAAATCTTGTTCGACACCAAGATCAAGAATATTCAAAGACTCGGTTGAATCAATCATAATTTTTAAGAAAATAGACACAAATTCATTTATAAAATGAACACGTGGTTGATCAACAATTAGTATCATTTTTTGGTCATCAGATAAGATGAAAAAATGCTTAGATATCAAAAGTTATCTTAGTTTGCTTATCATTGACTGCGTGAATGATTTAAAAAGTGGTTGTAAACTCAAAGTCTTTGGTTGTATCTTTTTACATTGATATTCATTTTTGAATATTAATGTAAATTCTAATTGATTTCTATGTTCAATCTTTTAACATTGATATTCATTTTTGAATATTAATGTAAATTCTAATTGATTTCTATGTTCAATCTTTTAACATTGATATTCATTTTTGAATATTAATGTAAATTCTAATTGATTTCTTTGTTCAATCTTTTAACATTGATATTCATTTTTGAATATTAATGTAAATTCTAATTGATTTCTATGTTCAATCTTTTAACATTGATATTCATTTTTGAATATTAATGTAAATTCTAATTGATTTCTTTGTTCAATCTTTTTACATTGATATTCATTTTTGAATATTAATGTAAATTCTAATTGATTTCTATGTTCAATCTTTTAACATTGATATTCATTTTTGAATATTAATGTAAATTCTAATTGATTTCTATGTTCAATCTTTTAACATTGGTATTCATTTTTGAATATTAATGTAAATTCTAATTGATTTCTCATGCTCAATCTTCTTGTGTTACTATTCACTTTGAATAGCAACGTATATTTCCTATTCATTAATTGTTCAAATGACTCCGGAATAATTTCAGCATTAGAACTTATTTCAAGAGATTCTTCTTCTTCTTGAAAATCTTGAAAATTAATGCTAAATAGAACCTCAAGAATTGGTGACTCAAAAACTTAAAAAACCAACACAAAAAACACAAGGAGATAATGAAAACGAAACAACTGATTCTAAATTAATTAATTTTAATTCTAAAATCAATTTGATTTGTTTCCTACTTGTCTTTATTAGATATGTGCTGTCACTACTTTCAATTTACAAGGAAATTTAAACTCCTTTTATTATCATTAATTTACATTAATCCACTTTAAGCGAGATTAATTCAGATTAATCTAAATTGAACTAGTTACCGGACCAACCCTTAATTTCCGATTTTTAATCTTGGTTAAAAAGATCAACAGCTTAGGTTAATATGTTGAAATTAATTTTGACTAATCAAATAATATTAATTGTAAGAATTAATTATCATCAAAATTAGACATGATTTCGTCCGGAATAACAGTAAATGTTAACCTTCAATCGTTTGTCAATTTTGTGTCTAGTTTATCAAAGTTTTATTGATTGTTACAAGCAAAATAATAATTACTAACAAACTAATCAGTTTGATGATATTATTTTAACTGTTTAATTAGTTGCTTACCTTTCAGATTAACGGTTCAATTGGGTTGATTATAAACGATATTGAAACTTTTCCATTGACGTTAATCAACTTTTAACGACTTAATCATGATCAGAGTGATTGTAAATTTCAATCGCAAACTAAAAATAACAGATTAACTAAGAGCCGAGGCAAATCAGATGATTAAAAATACAACAATTAAGAAGGGTAAAGAGTTATTAACCTAATATCTTATCCTCGATTACTGTTATAATTATAACAGAATCAACAACAAAACTGAAATCGACGATCACTTAATCATGTTTATATTGGATAATACAAATAACCATTCAAGTTGATCGAAATAATCAAATTACAATGATTAAGTTATTTTTACAAGAAAAAATTACGATATTTGTTTAACTTTGCAAATTTAATCAGTAATTATTTCATTTGATTCTGATTGTGATGCTGCAATTAGATGATATTAGTTATCATATCCTTGGATTGTTAAATTGTTACTTTAGGGATCACAACAATCAACTGAATTAAAATCAAGAAAAAATGATGGAAAAGCTTTCCAATTATTGATTGTATTGAAAAATGTTTCATCGATGATTGATCACGATTATTATCATTATCATTTGATTGTTTGGGTAAAAAAAGACTTCATCTTCCTTCATCATAAATTGATGACAGGTTATAGCTTATTTAATATAATGATCATGGTGATTATCAAAAATATTACAATACTAATCATGATAATAATAAATTAATCAAGAAAGAAACAATTTATTGAACCTTATCAGAGTTGGAAAATGTTTCATCTTGGTGATAATAGAGGTCAGTAAGGTAAAGAAAATGTTGCCAAGTGATAATTAATTTAATTGTCATTAACTTACTTGTAAACACAATGAGCCGCAGTTACAACCCATTTATTGTTAATTAAGGCTCCACCGCAAGAGATTTTCTGATTGAAATATTGTCGCTTAACCACCGCCGCTTGCCAAGGTACTTCACCGAAACGAGCATTTCCTCCACCAACGATTTTTGAATTTCGAGCATAAGTTCTGCCACATTCTAATTGTGATTAAGAATAAACAATTAACTTTTCTACAATATAATAGGTTAATTGTTCCTATTTCTCTCTCTGCATTCATTATCTTAAAATTAAGGATAAGAATAGATTCTGAGAAAAATATTACAATCAACATATAACTAAACATGAAGAAAAACTTTAAACGTATCCAACTGAGTTATGGGAAAATAATCAAATCATTTAATCAATAGGGTTAATTGTTGCTGATCATTTTGTTTTCTCATTAAAAAACTGTGTTAATCAAATAAATCTAATATCTGTGAATATCATCTCGATATATTTCATTGATTGATAAACTATTGTCACGGTATCATTGTTATATATGGTGAGAGAAGATGAAAAAATAATTCTAATTATGATGATAACTGTAATTTCATTCATTTTTTTTCTTATTCAGTGTTTAATCATCCATTTTTAATTTTTTTCTTTTGTTTCGAAACAGTTATCATCATAATCATCAGCATCTTTATTATTTCATTGATTGGATGAGTTAATCATAGATGAAATTATAATATGTATTCAGGACAATTAATCAGCTGGATAATCCTCATCATCATAATCAAACATGAAGATGGAGATGATTATTTTTTTATTTTTACTTACCTGGTTCAGCGATGACATTTGCTGATGTTTTTTTGATATCTTGAGGGACACAACATGACCATAAGACACCACCGCTACACAGGTCTAAAGGCCGTCGGCCGGACATCCAGCAGGACACACCCAGGCCACATTCATGGGAATCGCCTTGGTAAAAACATTGCTGGGGAAAAGCTGTAAGAAAATGATGAGAGAGAAAAAAAGAAAAGAAATTAGTGAAATGATGAAATTCATTCAGTTCTCATTTGGTATCAACAACAATCAAACGAAATTAACTCAACAATTAACAGGAATTAGGAAAATCGTTTCTCATTCTTAGTCCTTCTTCCAGTTAAATTGTTATATCACTTTGTGTGTTTATCATTAACCTTTTCTGGTGGAAATACAATAAACCTTTAATTGTTCAACCAAAAGGGTTAACAATTTAATCTTCATCAATCCTTTGCTTTACTGAGTTTCTCTAATTGGTTTGATTTTCAAGAAGTTACATCATTACTTAGATTAGATGATTTAGATGAGAATTTGTGTTAATATTGATGATGATTATCATTAGAGCTACGAGTGGGTTTTTCTGCCATGATTATGATTAATTGAGTTAATTTAGTTCATTCAGAGCTTTGAATTATATGAACTTTAAATTTGATAATCATTTAGGAACTGGTGATAACTGTGAATCTGTTTAGGTTTTTTTTGCTGTTAATAATAATTAACAAACTTCAAGTAACAAAATTAATAATTATAATTGATAATTTTTACAAGTTGAATTACTTATATTTACTCATGAAATCATTAGAAACAATTAATTGTAATAAATGATTAAATTTACCTTCCCATTTGAAACAATCATCTTTAACGATGATAGGTAATTATTTAGAATCATGATCTGAATTAAGATTTAGAATGTGATTTTATGATTTAGATGATGATGATGATTACAATTATCTTGTTGTAAAATCGTAACATAAATTAAAACAAATGGTTAAATGTAACAAAAGTGAAAATTAAATCAACCTGTACGCGGGCGATGCAAAATTAAATCAACAATTTAGATAGAAATCAAAGTATTTATCAAATTGAAATTGGATGACAACATTATCTTCACCATGATCACCAACAGAATTATTTATTTCTCTACTTTTCTAATTCAAAATCATCATTCGTAATCAGGTAACTAATCAGGTAAAGAGGATAAAAAGGGGAAAGAGGATGATCAAGACGATAAATGCGTGTCTTGAATCATATATTATTGACGATCATGATGATATTTATATTAATTTGATATTTGTTGAAAAAAAAAGTTCATCAAAATGAATATTCAGGTTGAGTTAAATGATATTGAAAAAGGGAGAGAAATGATGAAGATGAAAACAGTGATGATAGGATGACGAGAAAACCTAATGATGGTGAAGGGAAATTTAAGTTGACGCTGAAAAGAAATGACCTTGATCGTCAATGTAGCGGTAAAATCGATTGCAAAAAATTACTCCTTTCCTAATCATCATCATCATTTGACCTACAGTCGAAAACAGTAAAAAAAAGATTAACCTTGAAAAACATTGATCTGGGTGATGAGGATGACAAGTTGTATCGTTATCATCATTCAATGAACCAAGGGATTCAAAGGGAAAGTTGAGTCATCATCGGATTAGATCAATCAACTAATAACAATAACAATCAAAATTTAAACAAAGTTATCAAATCCACAAACAAATGACACTGAAAATAATATTAGTATTTTTGATAAGTCAGCATAATCTTGACCTCTAAATGGAGGAGAACCTATTGATCAAAGCATGATTATTGACTTTAGATAATCAGATACATTTAATCAAATCAATCAGAAAGAAAGTCAACGATTTATAATAATAACTAACAAATACATGAAAAGATCAAGATCAAATATCAATTTTCTGAATCAACATTAGAACTTTCAAGTTATAATAAAGTACAAGATGATTATCATCTTCATCAGAATCATCTAGACGGAAGATCATTCACCTTATTGACCAAGAGACTTACATAAGGATGAAACAAAAAAGAAAAACAAGAAGGAAGAGAGAGAGAGAGAGAGAGAGAGAGAGAGAGAGAGAGAGAGAGAGAGATGATGATCTTCTATTCCTTCAACATTTTTCTTGTATTATTTACCTTTTATATGTTAGTAATCAATTGAACAGTAGTTCAACAGGTAATTTCATCATTGATCATCATCATCTTCATCTACACCAACAAACTTATGGCTTAAGTAGCTGGGTGGGTCTAATAATCATTTACTTATGGGTCACGAGGATATAACTTTTTTCCTAATGAATGATTCAGTTCCTACCATGATATTGATTATATCAATTAATTATTTCATGGTCATCATCATCATCATTAATGGGAGTTAAAAGTTTCTGAGTAATTAACTGATTGTTTTACGTTAATAATAATCCTTAAAACAGCAATCAATTTTTAATCAGATATCAAAAAATATAAAAAAAAATTTTTTATAGTAAATTGCTGAAAATTGATTGATTAAATTGCAACGATTATAATATTAATTACTACAGAAGAAACCGGAACGGAAAACTTGATTGAAAATCTAAACAAGATTATTAATTTAGTGTTGATTAACAAATTATTACTTAAAATTGATTTAACAACATTCAATTTTATTAATGTATTGTAATAGCTAGTTAATTGTTGACTAATTGTTGTCGATAATAAGATTTACAAGATCCATCATCAAAGTAACATGATTTAGGTGATTTAGTAAATTGTTGGGAAAGATGATTGCGATTATTTTGACAGATTCAATTATTATTATGTCAAATGTTGATCAGATGTTGATTAGATTAATTTTAATATGTCAACAGTTAATTTGGTTGAGACAGTAAATTAACTTGATTGTTATACAATAATAAATTGTAAGAATCAGACACCAGCGTGTTTAATAATTTTATAATCATAATATTTAAATTGATTACTGGATTAAGGTTAGAGGTATATGATTATGATGATGCACATGATTTAGGTTGATGATTATGAATTGAAATTAATTCATTTGACTTTCAATTTGAAATATATGTAATATTTTAAATGGTTAGTTAATTGTTGCTGTTTGAATCTCGATTAGGAAAAAAAATTGGATTAACCTTAAGGTAATTACATTAACCAGTAACAGTTAATCTGATCACTGATTAAGTTTCAAAATTGAATTAAATGATGAGCCCTAATTGTTAGTTAAACGTTGTCGTCCAAAATTATATTAATGCTAATTGACCGAGACCAAAAAATCAAGATAATCAACAATTAAATTATCAGTTAATAGGATTTACAATCAATTGTAATGATAGATAAAGACTTTTAAATCTCATTTAAATAGGTTCATTCAATAGATTGAAATTAATAGTTGGTTAATCATGGTTAGTTGAATAATTTGATGATAATCGTAATCATTTGAATCATGATCTTCATGATTAAGTTTTTTTCATTATGATTACGGTTAAATTGTTAATCTAAGACTAGGGGTTAGATGTTGAAACCTTTTTATTTAACGTTGGTATCAGTTGTCATTAAAATCAATTGTGAATCATAATCAAAAATTATTAACGTTAATTTAGTTACAATTAAGGATCTCCATGAAACAAGATAATCATCTTAATCATCATGATTAAAAGTATCTATTAATTCATGATGATAAGATGACAGAAAGAAATTAAAATTTTAGAAAAATGAATTTCAAAAGCTACAATTAATCAAATTATAATCTCATAATTCAGCTTAAGAAGACCAATCATAATCAATTATTTGTAGGCTTAATTGTTTCAAATGATTAACACTAATCATGAAATTTATACGAATAAGAAAAAAAACTTGCTTATAGTTGATCACTTGGAGCAATTAACTTAAATCATTTTTGACTCTTTCCTTGATTGTGGTTGATTAGTTTTAACTTGCATCAAGTTTGACAAACTTTTTAAACCAATTAGATTAAAGATGAGATTAAAATTAGATTTTGATTGTAATCAAAAGTCTCAATCTAAGATCAAATTAAAAGGTGTTAACAACATTATTAGATTACTATTTATATAAATTGTTTGATCATTTCAACTTTCCTGGACAATCAACTTTCACCCAAATTGTCAATATAATATAAATACAACAATAGAAACAAGGTTAATTGAAATAATAAAGGGTAATGTTTAACCACAACAATCAACAAATTGTTAATATTAAATAGAGTCAACAATGAATAATTATCATGATAATATCAAATCTATTAATATAATTAAATTGTGAGTGAGATTTTCCCAAGAGAGATACAAAAATAAACTGTGTTAACATGATATTGACAAAAAAATTAACCAATAATTAACAATTAACTGTAATTGATGATAATTATCGCACAGCAGGATTAAGATGATCGACCAATTGAAAACTAATCATAATTAACGTTTTAATAGTCACTAATCTAATGTTATCATACTGATTCAATTAGAAATATAAAACTGCAATAAAAATAATAAGGTAACAACGCCTGAGGTTAAGATATTTAAGTTCACAATTAAGAATCAATGTTAATTTTATTATTGTATGTTAGTTAATCAAATTAAAAGGGAATTTGATTTAATATATTAACAATTAATGAGATTCACGTTACACTGATACAATTTAACATTCAAGTAATAAGGGAAACTACATTTTCTAACCTACTCAAATTAATTTCATTACGATTTAATTCAGGTCAAAGTTGCTTGAAAGAACCTTATTTAATAACAATTAAGCTATTAATGATTCTTTAATTAAATCCTCATATCATATTATTAATTAAAACTGTTGATGATCAAGTTTATTGGTCTACAGGTAAAATCAATTAATGATTAGGTTGATTGTTACGATTTAGCTCACAATAATTATGGTTGAATCTCAATTTGATTGTGTAAAGGTTAATAATTAGGTTTGCTCTCTATGTAAGTTAATTTGAATAATTAGTTAATTGGTGGTTATTTGTTTAAGATACAATTAATGCTATTAATAAACTAATTGGTGAGTAAATTTTGAATGAATTTACTAATTGTTACCATACACAATTAGTGAATAAAGGTTTGTATTAATAATACAGACTGTAACTGATCTGTTGGTTAAAAGAGCGATTCTAAAATAATTAAATTGTTAGTTAACACAATTTAATTCCAATGACAGTTAATTTTTAATGATTGGGTTGTAAATTAAGAAATGAACAAGATTCACATTTATAATTAAATTAAAAAAAAAGAAAATCAATTAAAGTTGAATGATCAATAATAAAAAAGTTATTACATTCACTTAATCATCATAATTAATATTTTCTGTACTGGTTTACAATTAGTTAATTGCAATTGATAAACTAGATAAATTAGACGATGTTTTGGAGTTTAATTAGTATTATTAATTAATTAATAACAAATTGATTAATTTTCACTGAGTGTCAACACTGTAATCAAATAACAGTGATAATGTTTAAAAATGTAATCAATGTATTAATATCAGTGATTTAATTGACACAATTGGACGATTAAAATATTACAAACATTTGATTAACTGATTTGAAAAAACATCAAATCAACTAATGATGATAATGATGAATATTTTGTGTGTATTGTTGTTACTTTATTGGTATTTAATTGTGATCTCTATGAATTAGATCGATAACAATCAGAAATCAATATAATTGTAGTAAATTGTTGCTGATTGTTTGTCATGGATCAATAAAATCAAATAGAGTATGAAAAACAAACTAAATCAAATTGATACAAAAACAGACAAACTAGTTTTTAATCAGAGTGAAACAAATTAGTTCAAATAATGATGACAATCAACAACAAAACCAAATTAATTAACCTGAAAATAATCACAACACACAAAACTAAAATAATCAAAACAATTACTAAATTACTTTGAACATCCAATAAAAAAAAATTCAACTGAAAGTTTTGACAATTGTTAACACAATGATTGGTAATCAATCAATTTCACTTGTAAACTTGACCTGGAAATCAAAAGGTAACAATAAGATGAATATAAAGTAAATCAAGTTCATTGTCAAAGACTAATTGTTAATCAGAATAAAAAAGAAATCTATGAATTAGAAATGGAAGAAATTTCGATTTCTCGAAGAAATAGTCGAAAAATCGTGGGAAAATTGACTTGACCCTTAGCCTGACCTTTCAAAGAATTAAAAAAAGAGAGAAAGTAAAGATAAGAATAGAAAAGGGAAGAATCCGAAAGGAGATTATTCAATTTTCGAAGTGACCTTTTTTTCAAGATTAACCTTTTACCTAAAAATAGAATTGATGAAGATGAGGATGAGGATGAAAAGGAAAACAGGAAAAAATATTTTTATATTCGAAGGAGAAGAAAAAAATTATTATACTTGTTAGGTCAGTTACTTTTCCTAATATATGGCAACCTGGATGATAATGATGATAATAATGGTAAGTCCGAAAGGGAGCGAGGATGAAAAAGGTAACATCATTATCATCTTGCTTTTCAATAGGACAACAAACTTTCACCTAAATAGTTTTGGTCCTTTTTGTGATGGCGAAAATGATGGCGAAAACAAGGTCACTTTAAAATAGCCATTTACGTGTGTAAGTCGCCATTTTTCAATTTCTTTTCTATTTGTATAAGTAACAGTAATAGTTACAATTAACAACAACAACATTTCATTGAGATGATGATGATGATTATTAGTCTTGATTATTTTTAGTTGATTCACAATCAAATCACAAAGTTTTAAAGGTGATGGAGATAAAGATGATACTGGTTAAGATCCACTGATGATGATGATGATCCTTGCTGTTGAATACTTTCTTTAGATTTTCTAATCACATACACAAATTATCATTTCTCATTTAATTAATTACCCGTTGGGCTTATGAGGTTTGTTGATGATAATCAGAAATAAAAGAGAGATAGAGAGAGAGAAACAGCTTAATCATGATCAAAATCATGATCTGATCGTAATCATTAACATCAATGTTAAAAAGAGTCCAATCGATATAATCATTATGTATACATGTTTTGATTTAATTGTATTAAATCATTTTCGTATTAATGATCAATTAAAGAAAAGAAAGCTCATGTTCAATTCATGATAAAATTGAGTAGCAAAATTTTCTTGAATTAAATTAATTGTGTTTATATTTATATCGACCTGAATCAATTGTGTATATTGGGTGATCTCAATTGAAGATGATGCTGGTCACTAATCAGAAAAAAAGGTCTTTAGCCGAAGGTTTTTAATGTTCATCTTTTTGATTGATCGATGTAATTAACAGCAAACTGTGAATTCATTAAGTGACTTTTTTTTCTGTTATAATTGTTGACATAAATATAACAACAATCAAGGTATGAAAAAAAGTGTCGAGAATATTTCTCGTTTAAACAAAGTTCTGTCAGGTTAATCGGATAGTTAATTTCGTTTAGATTGATTTTCAGTTATGGAAAGAGATTAATTTTGCTTACATAAAACATATCTTGCAATGTTAAGGATACTCCATAGGGCTGAGATAGGCTGCTTAGGATCATCATCAACCTTATCAGGTCCAGTTAATTGTGACAATTTACCTAACCAAAATTTCCAATCAGCTAATTTATTGGTTGTTGAATTAAAGGCCGATGTGAAACCTGATGTTGCTGTGGAGGAGGTGGACGAAGACGTATCCTTAGAGAAACGACTTAAAAAGGGTCGTATTAAATTGACTTGGTCAATGTTGATGAAGACAATTAACACTGTGACTAGAAGCACTCTTTTAACAATGTACATCCTATCTTGGGTGGAAACAATAAAACAATATCATCGGCGTCATTCGGAGTTGGTGGGTTGGATGTGGAAATGAAAATATGAATACAATCAACACACAAAATAAACAAAGTTAACTGATCATCGATGATGGATAAAAGGGAAATAAGAGAGAAAAAATGAAATAGAAAATTAAGAAAGAAAAAAAAACTTTGAGAATTACAGATTAATTGTTTGAGATAAGTTGTTGTTGGTGATGATGAGAGTAAAAGGATGAGAAAAAAAGATGAAGATATTGGATAGAAGAAAAGAAAAATAAGAGAAGACTAAAAAGTAACAAGGTAATATGATGAGATGAGGACAATAATGTTAGGTAATGATAATGATGAAAACGATGAAGATGATGATGATGATGATCGGTTGATACAAAACAGCATGATTATGATGATGATCAACAACAACAACAACAGAACTAAAAAGATGAGAGTGAGTGAGAAAAAGATTGAGGTAAGTACAAAACACCAAGCACTGAATAAGAAGGAGGAGGGAGGGAGAAGATAAGATGAAGAGAGAGAGAGAGAGAGAACGGGATAAGATGTAAGTCAGTGCAGAAGAAGATGATGAGAGGATGACCGGGACAGGATGAGCAAAAGAAACAGGTAAGAATGAGGTTAGTACGCTCAATGGCGCGAGGTTGCTTTTTTTGTCTTGTTTATGTTGTTGTGCCCAATGTTGTTCAATCATCATCCTGAGTATTAACTAAGAAAGATGAAGATGAAGATGAAGATGATGATGATGATGATGATGATGATGATGATGATGATGATGCACCTCGATTAGAGCTCCCATTTTTTTACTTTGAATTGTAAGCTGAAAGTGATCTGCAAAAGTGATTATCATCTCATTCACTCCAATTCCTTTTTTTCATACCATCATCTTTATTGTGAATCTTTGCTTCTGGTTGGATCTTCATTATCACAATTATTGAAAAAAAAACACGGAATTGAACAAATTTATGCAATAATTAGTTGAATCATTAGTTTTCATCAATAATTACGTGGTTAAAGTAATTGTTGGATTATTACTGGGGTGAGAGTATAGTATTGTTATCAGTAAATTGGGGTTTTGATGATTTTAGAAAGCAAAAAGTTATTATTATCAATATTATTAGTATCAATGACTCTTCATTATAACTTATAGACTTGTTAGAGTCAATTATTATAATAATCATCAAATGGTTAATTTTGATGTTAAAGTGTTAATGATCACTTGTTGATTAACATCAAAATCTGTACAATTGATTGATTATTGATCGCCGATTATCTGACAATTTACAATGCAAAGAAGATGATGAATATATATGGAACAAGAATGCGAACATGAATCATTTTAATTGAATGGAAATGATAATAATCTGATTTCTGCAAACAATTTAAACACTTCATCGAATCTCATTCTTGTTCCATTTTATTTGCTTCTCTCCAATTCAACGAATACTGTTATCATTATTGATGATTATTACATACCCTTTACTTGCTAATTAGAATTATGTAAAGAACAACAAATGAGAGAAAAAAAATAAGTAAACAAGTATAAATAATCTTTAAATAATGATAACAATAGTGGACCATCAAGATGATTCACAATTTGAATGGAAGTACGATCAACAATAAAAGCTAGAGAAAAAAAATCGAATCTTTTTCAAGCTGTGAATGAAGAAACAATGTGATCAATGGAAGAAGATGATGAGGATGATGAAGAATCACAGGAACCATAAGATGATGGTGATGAAAAGAATAGTAAAATGAACCACTTAAATGGTTTAGTAATAACATTGTTGTTAATGACAACAAATATGATGATGATGATGATGATGATAGAGTTAAGTGAAGTGATTGGGAAGAGATAAATAGTTACTACATTAATTTAGGCGTGTTAAAGGCGGAAGTTTCCACAATTTTGGTTGGAGACATAATTTACTGCATCTATTAATACACATCCTCGCCAATAAGAATATCCAACAATCGGGTAACAATAATTTAAACTGTGCCATTCTTTTATTTTTCCCCTTCTTGCTTTCTCTTTATATATACACATTCACATCTTTATTCAAAGTCAAGGTTGCGCTAATTTACCTGTAAGAGAAAAAGAAAACAACAGCAATCATCATTCGTCAAGAAAAAAGGCATAATCATAATGAAGAAGATGATGATGATAACAACAGTAAGTAATCAACAAGTAATCACACATTCACATATTATTACTTTTGTTGTTAAAATCATAATACAATTAAAATTTTCTAAATATACATAAAGTGTATTATTTAATAGCTACTATATTTATAAAAGAAAATCATTACTAACCTTTGAAGGTCAAAGAAGAAAACAAAATTCAATGGAAATTTAAAATTAGGTTTGTAGGCCTAATATTTACACTAATTACACAGAAAAACAAAAACTGTCACATAACAAGTAAGAGAGGGAGAAAAAGAGTAAGGGAGAGTTAATTAACTAAACTAAAAACAGAAAAAGAAAAAGAAAAAAAAACAAATCTAATTAAAGGTTAATTAATCAAATGCATTTAAATTAAGAATCAAATTAACAGTTGAAAGGGTTGAATGACTCATTTTAAATTAGAAAAGAATAAATAAAAATTCTCTTGATTCTGATTGGTCAATGATCTTTAGAATGTGTGACATCTATTGATAGATTTTTAATCTCTTTTTTTAATTCTATTTGTTTCTTTGTTGGTTTATTAATTTTAGAATTTAATTTTTTAATTTCTTAAAGTTAATTACTTTTTTCTTGGTGATTTTTATTTCTCTTTATTAATTGCGGATTAGTTTTGTCATTAATTGGGAAATGTATTCCATTTGGAACTGGATTAAGTTAACATGTTATGAAAGGTGAATCAAGGTAAGAGTTTTTTTATTTTGTGTTGAGGTAAATTGTGTTTACTTTGTATTCAATTTATCATTAATTGATTTAATCATTTTTTTGTTGTTATTCTATGATAACTTAATATTCCTTTATTGTCGGTGTAATTACCTGATTTTAATTGTGTTTCTGTGTTTGTGTTAAAATAGAAAATTAATCGTTTAATTATATGTATCTCAGGTAAGATCTTTTTAACATAATTCTATTAATACAAAAGATTCTAAAGCGTTAATAGTTTGACTCTCTTTTTTTGCTTTTTTTCTGAAGGAAAGAATTTGCTTGGATTATTATTAGTGTTAATCAATCACCGATCAGGCTGATTCGTTAATCATGCAAACCATTTTGTTCTTTTTGCTCAGCCATTATATCAACATCTCTCAACGTTTTACTCATCATCTTCATCACCCCAACAACAACCTTTTTTTAAAAAGGTGATTTCAATATAACAGTGTTTTCTTTTTTTGGTGGTAAAATAATTCATTGACTGCTGCCATTATGCTGATGTACAAGTTGCTGTTTTTGTTGTTGTTGTTGTTGTTATGTTACTTTAATAGTTTGTCAGCAAAGAAATTAGAGAGAGAGGGAGAAAAAGCAAATTTTCCAATAGCCTCAGGTTATTATTTCCATTCATCCTTTTGTCTCAAGAGCTCTACTTGATTAGCTCCGTTATTAATCAGCTTTCTTACTGAATTTTCAACTGATCACCTCAAGATTTTTCTTCCAAATACAAATATCAGTAAAGTGAGAGAGAAGGAAAAACTCTCGAAGTGTTTACCTCTCTCTCTCTCTCTCTAATTATTCTCTTCCTCATCCTCCTCATCACCATCACCATCATAATCATCCTCATCATTATCAACTTGATGTTCTTCTATTACTTTATTGTTGTTATATCATCTTATTATGATGATAATAATCACCATCACCAGATAAACAAGAACGTGCTTAAACACATTGGTTTACTCTCAATATCAACAACTTGTAATACATAACCAGAAAAGAAACATAAACATTAGATGTTTCTCTCTCTCTCTCTCTCTCTCTCTCTCTCTCTCTCTCTCTCTCTCTCTCTCTCTCCCCTTTCCCTCTGATCATCTGATTACCCTTTTTCTTGATCATTATTGTTGCTAAATGATTTAGATCATTTAGATCATTTTATTTCTCTCCAGGTCAGTTTGACCTCGCTTGATAGCTTTTACCTTGAAAAGAAAAAGGTAAGAGATTTATGGCCACAATTAGCTATCGATGTTAGTTGTTGATCAACCAACCGGTTCAGGGATATTTAAGGTGAAAGATGAAAATTGTATTTCCATGATGATGATAATGTTGATGATTGGACCATTCAACCCTAAATTTGATCAATATCCTTAGTTTTATGGTGATGATGATCAGTCTAATGGTTAAAGTATCAATATATGAAATAATTACTTTAACTTGTTCCTTTTTTTGTTCTTTAATTAATTTAATTTACTTTAATAGTCTTGACCAGAACAAGTTAAATCAACACACGCAAATCATCAATTTTTTTTTTCACTAATCAATTTGATTTACTTTTTTTTTCTTCTAGTTTTTCCAATATAATTGTATAAATGGTTAACTGTTGACTTTTATTTGACGCTAATTGTTAATCAATTGTTCCAGGAATCAATTTTGTTGGTCTGTGATGATTTTTATCTTTGATTGGTTAATAATAATTGGTAAGTGATAATGACTATTGAAAACATTATCAATGAGAAATTAATTATATCTAATTATATTTAGATTTAATTATTATTCTTTTTTTTCTTACTTTGAGATGATCTTCTAAATTTAATGTCATAATTTGTCTGTAATTAACATTGATTGTGTTTGATTCCTTTGCGAAAAAAAGTAATTTAAATTACAATCACGTTACCTGAGAGTTTGTTTTTGTTTGTTTTTTAATTAACATTTTTTTCTATCTCCAGGTTGTTTTCTTTATAATGATGATTCAGTTTTTACTGAGTGTGATTAATTAATTGTCTACCAGCAATCATGGATACTTTTGGGATTAGCTTCAGGTTAACCAGAAATACGGATGATGATGATGATGATGATTATCTTCCTTTCCTCTCTCAAAGAATCAAAACTGACCTTTTCCAGGACCAGAATTAACACCGTATCAAATTGATAAGATTATTGATTATTAGTTAATCTTTTAAAATTTGCCAATATTTTGAGATGATTACGAAAATGGTAACAATGTTGATTAATGAACAACCAGAATGTTGATTAATTTAAACGATATTATGATGGAATCTTTTTCTTCAAAATCATCAGAATTAAGATGATTTCTTTAACTTGTTGACAGCAACTTAAATGATGAAAGAGACAATGATAATTAAATTAATTTTCCATGAAAAAAATTAAGTATCCCTTTTGCTTGAGATGATTAAATATATATAATTAGGGTCCAAGAATAAATTGTGTTGACAGATCGAACTGTTGATGATTCAATTTTTCAAATTGTCCAAGATTATTGATTAACTTGATGGTAATTGTAGTAATTTGGAATCAATTTGATTTTGAATTTCTTCCAATTGATTGTAGAAACTTTTCAGTTGATCCGAATCAAATTCCAGTGAATGTTGTTTACACTTAGTATCTTCATTTGAAGTTGAAAGAATTAAATCTAATTGAGTTTTAACCTTCTCCAGATTAGCGGCATTATTTTGATTACATTGAACTTTAATCTTCCAATTAACATCCTCTAATAGACTTGAAGATAATCCAAAGGTTTCCTGTTTCAATTGATTAACCTTTTCCGTTGAACAATTGGCCCAAACTTGAGCAAAAGTAACAGCTTTTTCCTCTGAAAGTCCAATCTTCATTAACTGTGGAACCAATGATTTCGGCTTGGATACATTGTAGATCACTTTTCGTGCCAATGTAGTCAAACAATCAATTAAATTATCTAAATCATCTGAACTTGCAATATCAAACAATTTAATTAATTTCTCCTCTTCCTCTGAATTGAATATTTTCACATCTTCATCAACAGTTAACCTTTCAAATATACGAGTCATCAAAGGCTTAAATCTCGACCCATCCAAACCATTAACCAATTCAATATGATTTAATACTCTACACAAATTAAACCATAAATAATAACAAAGAAAAATATCAAATTAACTTAATCGTTGGAAGCAAAAAAAACAAAATTGGGAGAAAAATTAAATTCTACTTACTCAGAATCGTCTCCAAACATTTCCAAACAAATGCGAGTTAATTGTCAGGCCAATTACGATAAATTCACTTGTTGGAGATGTTAATTAACTAATTCTAAAAGAATTAATAACAAACAATAACCGAGAACAATTAATAAAACGCCTCAAATGAATTGCGAGAAACAATTGATGGAAAAAGAGAAGACAAATAATCAGCTGAATCCATAGCAACATAGAAAAGAAAGAGAAAAGAGAAGAGAACATTTTTCTCTTTCTTTTTTGTTCTTTTCTTTCTTAATCAACAACAACAACAACAGAATATGTTAGTCCGTAGGTTGGGTTGCTTATTAATTCAGTCTAATTGTGTTCCCTTATTTTCACCTAAATTAATTAGAATGTCTTCCAATTTATCAACTAAGAAACTAATTGCTGTTTGTCAACTTAATTGTAAATCAAATAAAGATGAAAATTATGTTACCAGTGAAAGATTAGTTCAGGAAGCTTCGGCCTATGGATGTTCAATGGTGTAAAAAAGCTTGATTGTTGATAGTAATTTTACAAACATTACTTTTACATTTTACAGTTTTTATTTCAATATTTGATTTTAATCCAATCAATCCAATCACAATTAACTTTTGTATTTGTAACACAATGTGTCCAAAACTGATCTGTATCAGTCTATAATTAAAATTGAAGTTTTTAACCACAATCAACCTGTTGGTTAGTTGATTTTTTCACTTTGATTCAAATTAGAATCCAAGTAAATATTGATTGTAACGATTAGTTATCTCGAATACTTGTTTCATTAATCGACTATTATCATTCGCTCGCAATTTATCGTGATACTCTTCGTTAACGGCCACCAGATCGGACAATTTTCGTTCGCAATCTTTGATCTTTTTGTACACTTCGTTTTCTTCGAGATTGATCTTGACATTTTCGACTAATTTTTCTAAATCTATTTTGTCACTTTTTAATTGTCGAATATTTTCTTCGAGAGATTTTTTGTCCACGATAAGTGAACTTTCCTTCTTGTCGATTTCATCTCGAAGACCATCCAGATTACCGTAAATGTCGATGTCCTTTATTAAAGAATCAATTTTGGTTCGAAGTGATTCCAATTCCGAGTTTATCTTTGATTCTAGTTGATCAATTTTATTTAAATCTAATTGTAACTTTCGCCTTTCGTCAATTAAGGTCATTTCTGTGTCTCCTCCTCCGCTTCTGCCCGAAGTTCCGTCGTTACCTTTCAATGTCTCAATAAATCTTATATATCGACTCGATTTGTCTACTAGGTCAGCGATCGATTCTCCAAGTGAGGTCATTTTTTCCATCTCATTATTTAGATTGGCCGAGAAATCAGTCAGAAAACTGTCGATTGTTGATTCTTTTTTCTTCAGGTCACGAAATTTTTCCGCAGTTTCTCCGTCTTCGTATGCGATTAGCGACGATTTTTGCTCTTCTATCGAACGACGAATCTCTTCAAGACGATTCTCGAGATCGCTGATCTCTTTGTTATCTCTTCGAACTTGAGCCAATAATCGACTTCTTTCACCGTCAGTATTCTGATCACTGGTTAGATCGTTTTTCTGTCTCTCCAATTCTCTTAATCTATTAAGTCCATTTAGAACTTCTTTTCGGAGTGATGAGTTCTCATTACTATTCGATTCTTCTAGTGTTCTTTTCTTTTCGGCCAATTTCATTATCTTATTTTCCAATCGATCTGATTCCATGGTCAGTGAACGATTAAGACTTTCAAGCTCTTCGAATCTGAAAACGAATCAAAGATAAACTTAGAACAGGTGAAAATAGGATAACTGAAAAAATCGAAATTGAACAATTACCTTTCTCGTTGTTCGCTGGCGAATTGCCTTTTCAATGAATTCCATTCAGCTTCGATTTTCTGAATTTCTCTTTCACCAGAATATATTTCATCTTCTTTAGCCTTTTTTTCCTTGTATTTGGCCTCCAATAATTCGGATAGTTCAGAGTTCTCATTTTTGATCGCGTTAATATCTTCCAAAATGTCCGCTGAGTTTTCACCGATTCGCAGTCGATCCCAATAATCGTTATAAACAGATAACTCAAGAGTCGCTAATTTCAATTCTCGAGCTAATGTTTCAGCTTTTCGCTGCCACATGTTCAGTCGAGCCTCTTCAGCTGACATCAGGTCACATTCCTTGGACAGAACAGCGATTTCCATGGTTAACTCGTTCATTTTAGCTCTTAAAACACCCAACCAGTAAGTTTTATCTTGAACCATCCGCCGAATAGCAGCCGCTGATCGACCTCGTCCAGTTTTCGGTGCCATCAAACCAGTTGATGTGATCGGTCGAGCAGTACTAAGTGGCCTCGCCGAAGACATCGGCCGAGAGGACAAAACTCTACTAATAATCACCGAATCCATAATGTCCAAATTTACCAAAACAATTACCACTTAATACCAATGCTAAGGTTACATGTAATTCAGATTCTTTTTACTTTAATGATCATTTCAATCACAAAACACTCATCAATTCTTGATCAATCTAATTGTTACACGTCCACCAAAAATATCCTCTTAATGATTAGTACTTCTTATTGATCACAACTGATTCCTGACAAAATAATATTTAGAGTAACAATCAATAGGTAAGAATCAGAAATTCATAACAAATGGGTTACCATGGGAAAGAAAAAAATGCTTACACTTAGTATCTTCATTTGAAATTAAGAATTAGATTAAGAATTAAATCTAATTGAGTTTCAACCTTCTCCAGATTAGCGGCATTATTTTGATTACATTGAACTTTAATCTTCCAATTAACATCCTCTAATAGACTTGAAGGTAGATCACTTTTCGTGCCAATGTAGTCAAACAATCAATTAAATTATCTAAATCATCTGAACTTGCAATATCAAACAATTTAATTAATTTCTCCTCTTCCTCTGAATTGAATATTTTCACATCTTCATCAACAGTTAACCTTTCAAATATACGAGTCATCAAAGGCTTAAATCTCGACCCATCCAAACCATTAACCAATTCAATATGATTTAATACTCTACACAAATTAAACCATAAATAATAACAAAGAAAAATATCAAATTAACTTAATCGTTGGAAGCAAAAAAAAACAAAATTGGGAGAAAAATTAAATTCTACTTACTCAGAATCGTCTCCAAACATTTCCAAACAAATGCGAGTTAATTGTCAGGCCAATTACGATAAATTCACTTGTTGGAGATGTTAATTAACTAATTCTAAAAGAATTAATAACAAACAATAACCGAGAACAATTAATAAAACGCCTCAAATGAATTGCGAGAAACAATTGATGGAAAAAGAGAAGACAAATAATCAGCTGAATCCATAGCAACATAGAAAAGAAAGAGAAAAGAGAAGAGAACATTTTTCTCTTTCTTTTTTGTTCTTTTCTTTCTTAATCAACAACAACAACAACAGAACATGTTAGTCCGTAGGTTGAGTTGCTTATTAATTCAGTCTAATTGTGTTCCCTTATTTTCACCTAAATTAATTAGAATGTCTTCCAATTCATCAACTAAGAAACTAATTGCTGTTTGTCAACTTAATTGTAAATCAAATAAAGATGAAAATTATGTTACCAGTGAAAGATTAATTCAAGAAGCTTCGGCCTATGGATGTTCAATGGCCTTTTTACCGGAATGTTTTGATATGATTAATGAAACTAGAAAAGATACTTTGGCTAATTTGGAATCACTAGATGGACCTTTGATTGCTAAATATCGTGATTTAGCTAAATCATGTAACATTTGGCTGTCACTTGGTGGATTACATGAGAAACGAGAATCAAATGGTAAGGGAACAATTTTTTTCTCTTTTCTATTCAATCAAGTGGTAGACATTTTGTTTTGATTTTTCTTCTCTTCTTCGTTTGTTGTCTTTGTTTTAGAAAATGGAAAAGCTTCTAATGCTCATATTGTGATTAATAACGATGGAAAAATTGTCTCGGTTTATCGAAAGACTCATCTTTTCAATTTGGAGATTCCTGGAGTTGTTAGATTAATTGAATCAGAGTTTTCAGTGGCTGGTGATAAAATTATTCCACCAGTAGAGACACCAGTTGGTAAATTGGGCCTTGGTATTTGTTACGATGTTCGTTTCCCTGAGCTTGGTATTTCTCTGGCCAAATCTGGAGCCGATCTATTGGCTTATCCTTCATCTTTCACTGTACCTACTGGTTCGGCTCATTGGGAGGTTTTACTTAGATGTCGAGCTATTGAAAATCAATGTTATGTTATCGCAGCCGCACAAACCGGTGTTCATAATGGTAAACGATCTTCCTGGGGTCACTCGATGGTCATAGATCCATGGGGAAGTATAATTGCCCAGGTTGGCGAGGATGTTGGTCTAGCGGTCGCTGTTATTGATCCCGATCTACAGAAAAAAGTACGAGCTAAACTTCCCGTTTGGACTGATCGTCGGTCCGATATTTATGGTGAGATTATTCCAGCCGCTGAAGAAGAATTAAATCCAGACGAACAAAAGGAATACTCTTTTGGTCCTGTTCGTATTAATTCATGTCAAGTATTTTATCGTAGTAAATATTCATTCGCCTTTGTTAATCATCGACCTTTTCTTCCGGGACATTCACTTGTGGCCCCACTACGAGCAGATGCCATTCGATTACCCGACTTGAAACCAGTCGAAATTTCAGATTTTTTCACCACCGTACAAAAGGTGCAAAAAGCCTTGGAATTGGAATATTCGTCTACATCTTCTCTTATCGCTCTTCAAGATGGACCCGATGCCGGTCGATCAGTTGATCATCTTCATGCTCATATTTTACCGCGAAAAAAAGATGACTTCGATAGTGACCTAATTTATCGCAAACTCGCAGAACACGATAAAAGTAGTAAACCAATTAGAACAGCAGCCGAAATGAAACAGGAAGCTGATCAGATGCGGAAATATTTCTATGCATCGACCAAGAAATAGAAAAACAAACATCAAAAACTGTCATTAAAATAATTAATTACCAAAGTGATGGAGAAAATTTGTTCAACAATCATGTATACCAACATCAAAGGCCAAATCAAATTGTGCAATTACCACTGAATGAATTCAACAATCAACTAGTGAATTACATTATTATATTATTTCATTTATATTTACCACAATCGAGAAGAAACAAAAAAAAAGCTTGTTAAATCTTCCACAATGATAAACTAATTGTTGGGTGATTATCCATTAACAATAACTAGGTGATATTGATAATCTCGTTTCATTGTTACTTAAATTGAATCAGAAAAAAATCATAATCCATACAAATATTTTAATGAATGCGAAGCAATTTAATAAATTGTTAAACTTTTCCCTTTCGATACTCACCAAGGGAGAGACAATTTAATTGTGTTGATAATCATCCGGATGTGTCCAAGTATTGTAAGTATGTAAACAGTGATGATGATCATTTCAAAGTGATAGTAAACAAAATTTCATTAATTTGTTTTCAATTGTTGAATTAAACCATTGTAACCAAATAACTGGATCAAAACTTATAATTATCACTTTTGACTAAATCAAATTGTATGTTCAACATTCAGATATTTTTCTGGTGAAAAATGTTAAATCCAAACAATCAATGGATCATATAAATCATTGTAAAATCAATTCAAGGTTTACAACGATAAATTTTGACCATTATAATTAAATGGTTAACAATTAACCAGTTGAATGATGTGAAAACTGTTTAAAAATAACATCCGATTGAAATAATAATCAATCTCACTCATAATTCAACAATAAAAAAAAATTTGTTGATTCAGTTTCCAAGTAAAAGTTGATTAACACACTGAAAGATCATTTCACTTTCATTATATTAATTAACTGATTGTGTGTCGAAAAAAAAAGTGATTTAAATATAAGTGAAAATGATTAACCATCAATATTTGTTTCCATTTGTGTTAATTACAGTTGGAAATTATTTTAATCCAGTTTCAGCTGATTGTCCGATTGCTGCTGTTCCCGTTGGTGGTTATGTACTTTCCGGTTGTTCAACACGAACCAATTCAGTTTGTTCAATTCAATGTAGTTCAACGGGAATTGTCCAGTCGCAAATTTGTCAACCAAATGGACTTTGGTCTGGACCACAATTTAATTGTAAGTAATTAGATTGGTGAGCAATTCGCACACATCCAACAATTGATTTTCCTTTTTTTTCTCGTTCAGGTTATGGTGGTGGTAACGGAGTAATTCCTGGTGGCGGTGGTTATGGTGGAAACTTTAACAACAATAATAATAATAACTTTGGGTCAACTAATTTCGGTCAAGGATTCATTGGTCAAGGAACTTGTGTCAGTTTATCTGCTCCGGCCAATGGTTACTATTCTGGTAATTGTGCCCCGGGAATTGTTGGTGGAAATTGTATTTTCTCTTGTAGATCTGGAACTGAATTAAGAGGAACCTCCATTTTGACTTGTCTAAGTTCTGGTACCTGGTCAGCAGGAGTACCATCATGTTCAGTAAGGAGTAAGTAATTAAATGGAACAATTAACTTTTCCAATTTGATTTTCGCCGTCAAACTTAATTGTTTTGTTTTATTTGCCTTTTCTTTCATCAGCTCGTTGGTATGTTTTGGTTCGACGTTGGTTTGGTTGATTGTCCTTCTTTATTCAATGATTCTTCCAACATCCAAATTGTTCAAGTTGATTAGTTATCCATTTCATTAGAGAAACAATTTGATTAATTATTCTAATGTTGTCACATATCATGAACATTTATTTATCAATCGTTTCTGTTTCTCTCTCTTTTCTATGGATTTAGGGATATTTTTCAGTGATGCTAGAAAGGGAAGAAATTTGATTAATTAACTGTTTTAAAAATCTAATCAACAATTAGCATGAAAATTGCATTTATTTTGAGCAAATAATAAGAAAAACAGAAAAAAACTCCGAGTTTTCTCATTGTCATATTGATTCAAGTTGATGTTTCGTCTGTTTGTTGATTCATCTCTTGTTAACTATTAAATTATTTGTTTGTTTGATTGATTAATTTGAATAAAATGCTCGGCATTAAGCACAGATGAATAAACAATTAACTTCTTCAAACTACCCAATGGACTTTCATGGCTTCCAATTTGATCTTTTTCACTTCATCTTCCAAAAACTTACTAATAGCAATTCTTTTCTCCTCAAGAATTTGATTTGATTTTAATTTTCCGTGTTTCTCATAAATCCAGTTAATCAAATCACGATCAAATATAATCGGACCCTCTTTCCGAATATAAATTGTTACTCGTTTCATAATCCTTGGAATATAAGGTTCAACATTAGGTAGAATCTCATTCATACCAATATGATAGAAAGGTAATACTTCAATTTTCTCAATTGCGGTTCCATTTTCTTTATCGGGTGTTTCCAGTGCCTCTAAAATTAGCCGACCAATGCCCCATTTAAAATGATAAGGTTTAACACCATCAACAGTTTTATCACTCAAGGTAAGTGGAGTATGAGAATCACAAGGTAACAGGGAGATATCAGATTCTTCAGCAACTCTACCCTGAGGGAACCAATGTAACAACCTTTTCTCCTTCAACAATTGAACAGCAAAATCAATGGCTGGCTGATAGATTCCGGATCCTCTTTCAATTGGAAATGTATTACCAGTGGCAAAGAACCAAGTATGCCAAGTTTTGGTGAAACAAATATCATCCGCAGCGGAAACCCACCGATGTCGATACATATTAAACTGCCAAGACCAAGGTAACAATGCTCCCCATAAAACTGGATCATCTAAACATGATGAATGATTGGAAATGGTTAATAAAGGTGAACCAGATGAACCATTATAATTACTTTCCGCTGCTTTTAGAAAAGAATCATGGTTAACTATGGTAAATCTATTTAATTTGGTCCATAATTTACTTAAAAGACCAACAGTTACCACACTAACAGCTGATCCAAATTTAACCAAATTAGATCTTGATGATAATGGTTTTCCCAATGGGAACAAATCAACTCTCCATGGTTTCCATTTGGTGGTGATTATTGTTGGTTGAACGGAATCGTTTTTCCTCCCCATTCCATAACTTAATTGTTGATTAGAAGAAAAAACACTAAATTGATTGTATGAGAGAGAGAGGAGAAAAAAATATAAAAACAATAATACAATATAAAGATAAAATTGTAACCATCAAGAGTCGACAATTTAACAACAACTGAGAAAACAAAATAAACACAAACATGAGCAGTCAAGAGGCTTAAGTTTTAAGGGGAACATGGAACTGGATTTAACTAGATGTTGATGTTTATCTTTAGCACTCACCTAGAGATGATTAGACTTCGCTAATTGTTGCTGATAGAATTGGAAAAATCGCTATTTAAAAAGAACAATTAGTTGATTGGAAATTAAGGTTAACTTGGATTGGAAGAAATTTTTATATTGGCGCCTCAATCAATTTCTAGGTTCATCTACAATCACATGGTTTCAATGCTTCTTGAGTAAAGGAAGGAAAAATTTTCTCATTTGTTTTCAATCTAATTTTCGTATTTCATTTTTCTAATTAATTAATTTAAATGTCATTTAAAACGTTGAATTCACTGCTCAATGTCACTAGAAGATATAATATTCATCAGGTAAGTGTTGGTATGATTTTAAAGAAAATTAAATGATCTCCATTTTGTCTCTGTGTTTGTGTTTGTGTTTTGTTTTTTTTCCTTCTATTTTTATGTCAATTGTTATTTCTTACCTGATTTTGTATTAATTGTTTTCTTTTTTTTTCTTTTCCTTGTTTATCATCAATTTTTTTTTGTTGTTCTCAGGTTCAAAGATGCTGCTTTTCACATGGAAACAATTTAAATACCATTGGTAAAAGTGTCAACTATGGTAGAGACATTTTCTTTGGGAATAGTTTAATACGTTCCTCTGGTTACCATTGGAATGGTTTTTCTTTGTCCAGATCATTGATTAGTCCAATGGTTGGATTGTTTCATAATCAACAGAGTTATCGTTTTATCGCCACAGTAGATATTCATGATGATAAGGAGGCTAAAGAAAAGAAAAGAAAAATGGAGAGAACCGTTCGATGGTCTATGTGGGGGCTTCTTGCCTTTTTCTCGGGCTCCACGGTGATGGCTCTCTATGAATGGGGAAAACCGGAGGTTGATAATGATGGTAATCCAATTTTAGATGAATTCTCGGATAAACCTTCAGTGATACAATACATTTTGAGAACAATTTACAAAGCTAAAAGAGAATGGCAGGTTTACAAAGATCCATCTCGAGATGTTCTACTTCCACCACCATTGGAACATCCATATATTCAACCTAAATATACATTAGTCTTAGAATCGAATGGTGTTCTTTTCCATCCTGAATGGACCTACAAAACGGGCTGGCGATTCAAAAAGAGACCTTTCGTTGATTATTTTCTTAATCAAGTTGGTCCACCATTATTTGAGGTTGTTGTGTTTACTTCGGATTCAGGTTGGACAACCGCTGGAATGATTGAAAGTTTAGATCCTAAAGCAAATGTGATGCATTGGCTTTTCCGTGATTCGACAAGATATGTTAATGGTGTTCGTCTTAAGGATTTAAATGGACTTAATCGTGATCTGTCAAAAGTTATCATGATTGATTGGGAAAAAGATGCCTGTTCATTGAATCCAGAGAATTGTTTAATTTTGAATAAATATGAAGGTGAAGATCCTGATCGTACTCTTTTTGAATTGGCTCTTTTCCTACGAACCATTGCCATCCAAGATGTTAACGATGTTAGGCCAATAATCCGACATTATCAACAGTTTGACGATCCATTGGAGGTGTTTAAAGAGAATCAAAGATTAGCACTGGAACAGGAAGAGGAAAAGAAACAAAAAGCTAAAAGTCAATCATTTGTCAGCACATTTAAACGAAAGTAAATTGTCAACATCAATTTAAAACTCTCACAATTAAACAAAATCTCCAACATTTTGGTAAAATCAAAGCAAAAGGAAAACAATTGTAGTGAAGGAAATTTTTTTCCCCAATTGATGACAAATTGAATATATTAACAATTGGAATTGGAGAAGAGGAAAAAAATCTTATATCCAATGATGACTACAATTTAAGGCGAAAACAAAAAAAAGGCTTAATTGTTACCTGTAATCAATTAATTTCATAGTATTTATTTGGACACATTATTGTTTTTTTTTGTTGATCTAATTAAAGATCATCTTAAATTGAACAAAGTTTAATATTCCTCCAATGTGTCACCAAGAGAGAGAAAAAAAAAGACAAAATAGATAAATAATATTAAAATTTTTTCCAAATCCTAATTAAAATCAATTTCTCACAATTAATCAAACACAAATACGAGAAAATTAACATTCGAAACCTTAAAGATCAATTATCTCTCTGTAAACACAAATCAATCGATTGAATTGTTTTCACTGATGATCGTCATCTTATTGGTAGATAATCAGTTAAACAGTAAGAATTAAACAGAGACAATTAATTTTGATTGTTGAATATTTGGTACAATCAATTGTAGTCTAATTTTTGAGAGTTCAGGTTATGTTAACATTTTGATTCTCTGATTGAACAACAACTAAATTTAACTTGTTGGTTGTGGGCCAGAAGAAGAGAGTAGGAAAGATGCACTGGGAAGATGAATTGAGAGAGAGAGAATTGTGAAGATGATGATGTGAGTGAGAAAGATAAACGAAAAATATATCACAAGAATGATGAAACAATTTAGAAAGAACAATTTTTAAGAATTAAGAGAAAAGTAAATAAGCTTTAACATTGATCGTTGCGACTATTGAAAACAAAAGGTCAACTCATACCTCTAGTAGATTTGTATCGTTTTTAAGATCATTTAATTAGTATCATCATCGAAATTAACTGATTATCTTCATCACCATTGATTCTACAATTTGATTAAAGAACAATTAACTTACCTTATAGAGAAAAGGATCATCTTGGTAACCAAATTAATCCATTGGATCTTCACAATTGTGTTTTCACCTTTAAACAAAAAGGGTTTCGGTTTATAGTTAAGCGTCCATTTTGTTTTTAGTTTAATTTGTTAATTGTTTCGCCATCCAATTCATGTGAATTCAGTTTAATCGTCATGGGAGCCATTTTGTCTAAATTTTGGTCGAACAAATCAAATAATAGTAACAACAATCAACCACAATTAGCGATCACTGGTCCACCACCGAGATTACCTTTACCTCCACCGCCTCCAAGGCCTTTGGTTTCATCGCCAGTGGACAGAAATTCAGGTAAGATGAGATATTAATTGTTTAGAATTAATTGCTAATTGTTGACCATTTTCACTCGAAACAATTAAATTCTAATTTGAAAGAGAATGAAGAAATATCATTAGTAAAAGAGAACATGTTAAGAGAGTGAGATGAAGAGAGTGAGAGAGAAAAGAGAAGAAAAATTTTCTTTTCTATTTAGTTAGTTAGCCTTAAGCTCTTCATCGTAATCATCAATTCCCATGTTGTCCGTTGCTCTTTTTAATCATCACAGTTTTTCATCTTCTTCTTAATTGTTGTTGAAATGAGAATATTTAAATTGTCTCATTTAATTGTGAAAATTGATTATTTCCCAATAATTGGCTCATCGTTTCTTTAATTCTTCATTTCTATTGATCGTCCCCAGGAAAGTCAATTAGGTTTCTTTAAATCAACAAGTTCTCTTAATTTCAATGTTAACCTTAATTCTTAAAATTTAAACTGTTATTTGACCTAATTGTTTTCTCTCAGTGTTGTTTTTATTTATTCCAAAGTGACTCATTAATCCTTGATTACGCTTCTTAACACATTTTCTTTATCTCTCTCTCTCTTTTGCCATAATCTCTAATTTGAGCTTATTTCTTATATCATAATCTTATCCATCTAAAGTCATCAATATTTGTCTCTCTTTCTATCTGCCAATTCAGTTTCTTTTTTTTCTCAATTTATCATTGAAAATTGTTTCATTTTAATTCCTCGTTCCATCTTGATTGTTCATCTAAATTAGTGTTTAGTGTGTGACAATTAAATTCCCATCATGGGTTGTATATTGTCTTTCTTCAAATTCAATAACAATAAATCATATAAAATCACAGAAAGTAAGTATCGAAATCCAAGTCGCCATGTTGTTTTATTAAATTCTATTCTCTTTTACTCTCTTCCCCCTCTCTCTCTCTCTCTATGTCTATTTGATTAACCATCTATTTTCAGTTTTCACTTGTAATTTTAATGATAATCACAGTGATAATAATTCTATGTTCAACATGACAACCATGAAATTATTTCCTTTCATGATAGAAATCACCAGAAATCTAATTATAAACGAATCAAAATTCAACCTCTTCTTTCAATTGTGATTTCTAATTGTTTTACCCAAAAAAAAAAATTCTCCAACAATTAGATGTTCCCTTAAATCTTCAAAGATACTCTCTTTTAATTGAGATTATTTACTAATCATGAATAGATTATCTCTCTTCTTCCTCATCTTAATCAAGCCCCTTGACCAGAAATTATTGTTTCCTCTCTCTCTCTCTATCTCTCTTTACTTAATTTCAATAATTCCATAAATCTAATGACATGTTAATATAAACAATTTGTTTCGTTTTTATTTTCTATTTTTAGAATTTTTTTCTTTTAATCTCTCATGTAACCAGAAAAAACCAGTTAACCAGATTAGTCATTTTTCCGTTGAACATAATTGTTTATACTTTTGATTCCCTTTGACATGATTAGTCAATAAGCTTCAATAGTTGATTTATTTTCATGTTTAATTGTTGTGCTAATTGTTGGAAAAAATGTTTTCTCTTCACCATGTTAATCATCAACAAGGTTAATATCATAAGGATCATGATTTTAATTGCGATTAAAATTGATATCGTTGTCTAGGCCACTTTTGATTTTATTATTTACCTGATTAGCTTAAGAGTATATTTAATGTAACTCATTTAATAGCTGGTTGATTAAATCACTCCGATTTACTTTTATTAATAGACAATTAAACATATTCACTTATCAGCCAATATTTGCAAACTACAATCAACAACAATTTAATAGCCATTTTCATTCAATAATCGTAATGGTTATCGTTTATTTTCAATCAACTTTTAATTGTAACAAATCTTAATCATTACAAGTAATTATGTTTATATTTTTATTGATTATCAATTCCATGTTTATTATCATAGTGTAATAAGAATTGTTTTTTTAATCAAATTAACAGTTGTAACAATTAACACAATTATCTTGAATGATTGTTGTTTTTGTGAAAACTGTTTATGATTTTTGCTTTAATTTAATCATTTCAATTATCATATCAACGAGATGCGGTTGAAGAAAACAATTGGATTAAAATTAAGACGTTTTGATTATTAATAATTAACCCTGAAATTGATTAATTATTGAAATCAAATGAATTCTTCATGACCAATGAACGTTTAATTGTACTGAATAGTTTTTCAATTGGTCATTCAATGTTTAGTCCTATGGACATTTTTGGGATAGAAAACATCAAATGGTTAACAGATTGTCCAGTTAATTGTCTTGATTAACTTGATTGTGATTAATTTCTCATTTAATTGTTACAAAATTAACAGTTCTGCTATAATGATTAATACTATGATTGAGTTTAAAACTAGAACTGAATCAGAAACAGTTAGTTTAGTGTCAATGAAAAGAAATACAATTAATTTCATCCATGAATTAATTGTAATGGTGATGATTACTCATTTCTTTGGTTAGATAATTTATCATTATGATTAGTTAATTTTTGCTCTCTCTCTCCTTTGTTTACATTATTAGACTCGAGGAACAATTAAAATTGTTTCTTTAATTGTAAATACAATTTAGTTTAAAATGATCTTTGAAAAAGTTTTATTACTTGAGAAACGTTTTCTCTTTATTTATGATTAACTCTTGCTGATTGTTATTATTGTTGTTGATTCACAATTAATTTTGGCAAAGAATCAACGATAAATTGTGTGCAGAGTTAAAGGTTAAAATATTAAATTGTTATTAGTTAAATTATTATAATCAAAAATTAAATCATCTTCATGTTATATTTACAATACTTTCTAATCAACCAATTCACAATTAACAACAATTAACTTTAACAACATTAACTAATCTAATAAATTAAATGCCCTCACAGTTATTGTCAAGGTGTGTATATGTGTGTTTATAATCAACATTGATTAACCAACTCAACAATTAAGGATTTTAACGTAGGCTTATTGTTGATGATTATACTTTTTTCATCTTGGGTTAGGTTTACATTTTCATTCATATTTATATAAAAAATTGTGTGTGTCCTTTTTCATCAAGTTTACTATTAAGTCAATCAAATCAATTGATTGTTGGTGAAAGTGTTTACAATTACTTTGTAATCTGTAAACAATTTAAACAAATTAGTTAGTAGGTTGTCAAGCTTGCCAATCAAGATTAGAACATATGATTGAGAGAAAAAAAAAGATTCTCCAAGAAGAAATAAGAATAACCTTCAAATGTTGATTACGAATTTATCTCTCATCTTTGCTAATTCTATCCTTTGATTATCATGTTAATTCATCATCATCTTAATCATCAAAATTTTCATTAGGCTGTGAACAATTTGTTGACTTTTTCGTGTCAACCACTTTTTCGTTTATTATTACGATGCTTTATTATAGCCCCTTAATCAGCAATTTCTTAATGTTTTATTAATTATGATGACATTTAGCTTAATCTCTCAACCTTAATCGTTTTCTTTGTTTTTTTAATCAATTTTATTTAGAAGGTGGTGAAGACAAATCAACAAATCATGGGAGAAAATCATCAAAAAAGCAGCAGCATCAACAACAACAGCCAAAATATCAGCAATCATTACAACAATCAGGCCCACAATTAGAAAAATCTTCGGGTAAAAATGTTCCTCCGCTTTCTAGTCAAGTAAGTTGAAAATTAATTTAATCGTCACAATCAACAGGGTTAATTGTTCACTTTTTATTTGTTATTTTCTTTCAGTCCTTTGTTTACAAAACGGTTCTGGAAGCAACTGTAAGTGATGCCACGGTTAATGAAGAGGAGGCCAGGATTAATGCTGCCGAAGCTCCTGGTCCTTTCGAGATTGAAACTGACCTTTTAAGTCCAGAAATCGAAGAGGCTGTAATCAAGATTCAAGCAAATGTCCGAGGCTATTTAACAAGAAAACTTTATCGGGGAGTTACACCGGACCGGTCAGTTGAGACGAGCCAACAGCCTTCAAATGTTGTCGGTCAAAGTCAAGGTTAGTTTTAAGATGGAAGTGATTAATTAGAATCTAATAACTTTTATTGATATTCTTGATTGTTCACAGAACCAATTGAATCATCACACAATGAACAAAGTTCATCAGGAATTCTTGCTCCACCGCCAAGTTTTTCAGATACTCCCAAAGAGTTTCCTCTGGATCATGATGATAATAAAACAGCCGCTTCACAAGGGAAACAAATTGCAGATAAACTAATTGAATTGGAGAAACAAGTTAGCCAACAAGAAGCAATTAATAAACCATTGGAATCAACATCGACTGTTTTCAAAACTGTTGATGAGGTAATTTCTAAAAAGGAGAAACGAGAAAACTTTAATCATGACATTGGAAAAGTTGATTATAAACAATCTTCAGTTGATTGTGTTGGTGAGAAGTTGAAAACTCAATATGAAAATAATGATCATGTTCAGCAAGTAAACAATTCATCAGAACGTCAATTGGAAATTCCATCCATTGAGACAAGTGAATGTACCGGACCTGAAGAGGCAGCGATTAAAATTCAAGCGGCATTCAGAGGTTATCAAGTTCGGAAAACTATTTCAAGGGAAACCTCACCTTCACATACGCGAGGTGAAGATGAAGATGTTGTTCATTTACGAGAAAAAGATGCCAATTCTACTCAAGATCCAGAAAGAGAATCGATTCTTGTTCTTGATCAACTAGAGGAATGTTTATCTCAAGAATTGATGAGAAGCTCAATCAATATTGGAGATGAGACATCACTAAGCTCATATTCAACTGATTTCGACTTAAATTCAAGTCTACAAAGTAACATCTCATTAGCGGCCTTAGCATCATCATCAACAACCAAAACAACACATGAGGATGAAAATTCTGACTCTAAATTACCTTTATTAACATCGAGTAATTTAGCAAAGACCAATGATGAAAATATAACAACAGCTAAAATTAATGACGAAACACCAACAATTCCTGATGCAATCGAATCTGAAAATGTAAACAAGCAAATTGTTGATGTATCTTCAGTTGATCCATTAACAGTTTCAATCAATAATCAAGCTCCAACAGCTGATGATTCAGTTAATCAAACGGAATGTTTTGATTCATCATCTAAGGTGGAGGATACATTAGAAGTGATTAAATCTGAACCAGTTTTGTTTGTTCCCACCGATGAAAAAGTTAACGCCATTGATGAAACCGATTTAATTGATGGAATGGTGAAAATTGATAATCAAGAAATTGATCCGGTTGTAATTGTTGAATTAGATGGTACATTAGATGCATCTGATGTGTCAAAATCAAATGATAAACAAATTGATGAGCCAAAAAGCATTAAAAAGGAATCGCCTAAAAAGTTAACAACAATTGACTCAGAATTAGAGTTACACCAATCAATTGAGATTAACAGAGTTGGTTCAAGTTCAATCAACGAAACGAAATCCATTGATGAACCAGAAGCAGAAATCGAGGAGCTCGAAGTTGAACCTTTGTTTTCAGAACTTGTTTCACCTTTAATTGAATCAACGATCCAAAGTAATCAACAAACTTCAACTAATGATTCTGTTAATTCATCACAAAAAGATGAACAAATTACTCCACCAATTTGTGATGTAACTTTATCACCATCACTTGCGGAAATAGTTACAAGTGATAATCAAAGTGACCTTAATGCTGATGGAAACACACCAATTAGTTTAATTACCGAAACTAGTGAAGAATCTAAGGAAACAGTTAATAAATTGACCAAAGAAGATTCATTTGGATCAGATATCCTTGTTTTAGATGATGAAAAAAATGATACTCTTTATGATCCATTTGAAGATAATTTAACTTGCAACCCACCAACCATTCAATCATCGGCTAATAATCATGAACAATTAACAGCATCAGCAACATTTGCCGAGGATAATTTGATTAAATCAGTTGTAGATGATTTAAATAAAGATAAAGAATTACTCCTTTATGAAATGAATTCAGGATCAACAATTAAAGATGTCGACTTATCAGATATGAATGAAAATATTAACGAGATTAAAGATGATATTTTGGTCAATTTGGATGAAAGTGATGACGAAGATGACGAAGATAGTCAAAAACGACCAGTTGAACAATCAGTAAATTGTGTATCCAAAAATAACTCGATTGTTCAAATTCAAGACGAAAATCAAATGATTGAAAAGGAAACTAAGGATCTCAGTAATTCTGCAAAACAATCAAAAGATGAATCAATAAATGACTCGACAACAACTGAACAAAACATTGATTCAGAATCACTACCTGATGGTCATGTTGGTGATTTGATTAAAACTGAAATGGTTTCTACTCCAGAACAATCAGAAGCTGTGGCAACAATTAACGAGCCTTCAGAAAATGTTTGTAAAAAAGTGATTCCGGATTTATTTGATTCACAACCAGAGAAACAATTGAATATTGAACTTGCATTCTCACCAAGTGTTGGTGTTATTCAACAATCAATGATTAATCATGACAAAAGTTCAATTCAAGAAGATGTTGATTCTTCCAGTGTCTCAACAAACCCTTTCTTAAATCAGTCAGATTTTGATTCAGATCTCGACTTGGGAAAAATCATTCCCAGTGATCAGAAACCAATCAATCTTGTTGGCGATGAAAATGAATCAACGAGTTTAACAACACAACAATCTTCGCAAGAATCAACGACGACAATCAAACAATTAGAATTAACAACATCCGAAGTTGCAATTATCAAAGATGAAGAACAATTAAAATCAATTGTCCCAAAAGAATCATCCGAGAAATTAAAACAGCTCGAGATTCTTGTGGCACCTCCGATTGAAAGTCCAAATACAATTCAAATTACCGAAACTACTGCAGATCTTACAAGTGCCATTACTGAAGACAATCAATCAAAAGCTGATGAATCACCAATTAAACATGATGATGAAGACAAATCGCCAGAAAATCAGTCCAAATCTCCTGTACAAGAAAATTTAAATGAGACAATCATTGTAGTCCAATCTGAGGTATCAAATGAACAATTAGCACCAACGGAAAGTGCAACAACATCAAACAATCAACCAACAGTTAATATTGAGACAAATGTTGAGAGCAATATAACAACAATTAACGAACCACCAGTAAATGATGATGAAGAAGTCGATACCAGCCCAGAGAATGGAAATCTTTTACTAAGACTACAGGATCGCGATACTCGATCGAGAAGTCCAAATCCATTTAATCGTAAAAAGAGACGACACAAAAAGAAAAGTGGACCTGCTAATTGATTAACCAAATCAATCAAATTAAACAACAATTAACATGAATCTATGTCAACAAAAACAAAGATGAACACGAATTTAAAATACCTGGACAACCAAAAGTGCATTTTACACGGAGATATTGATCACAATCGATTTACAAAAATGATTAAGATTAATTGATTATCATTATTATTACTATTATTATACTTATACAAATAATTAAATTATAATGACGAAAATAAATGAAAAACAAAATCCACAACATGTATTAGATTGTATTGGAAACAAACTTTGAACTTTGAAAAAAATTTAAGCATCAAAAATGCTTACAACTGATTAATTATCTCTAATTTTATTACAGTTAAATTACAACGAAATTAAGATGATCATTAATTTAGAAATTGTGTTGACGGAGTGATTGTTTTCTAACTCAATTAACAATTAAGCGAATCTGTTGTTCAACTTCAGCCAATTTTCATGAGTTTTCCCACTTCGTTAATTTTCATTTAATTATCTTAATTTAGTTAATTGTCTTTTCGCTGATTAGAGACAGAGAAACACAAGAATATGTTCAGATTAGAATCGAAATTAATTAAATTTGATTTGAATCGAATTCGGGTCAGCGCCATCTGTCAGTTCTTTTTGCAACTATTCGAAAAAAAGGTGTTTCGGTTTTCTGTTTTTGTCTCTTTCTTTTTTCTTAAACTGTGATCTTTGAGTGTGTTTGTTAACAGAATTTAATTTAATTTAGAATTAATCAAAATGTCTGCAATTCGTGTTGTCAATCCTAAAGCTGAGGTCGCCCGACACTCGCAAGCTTTAAACATCAACATCAGCGGAGCTCGAGGTCTTCAAGATGTAATTAGATCCAATTTAGGTCCACGAGGAACAATGAAAATGTAAGAGTGAAGCCTCTCCCTTTTCTTTATGGGTTTTTCACTTATCCTTTTAATAGCACGTGTTTTCAATGATTAATGTCCTTTTTCTGTTATAAATTGTAATCAAATTTTATTCTTTCTACCCTTAATTAGGTTGATCTCTGGTTCTGGTGATATTAAAATTACCAAAGATGGAAATGTTCTTTTACACGAAATGGTAAGAGGAACATTTTCTATTCTTTTGTTGCTTGGAAGATTTTGACTCTATCCGGTTAATTTTGGTTTTTCTTTTGATTTCTTTTTCTAGCAAATTCAACATCCAACCGCATCTTTGATTGCTAAGGCTTCTACAGCTCAAAATGATGAGACTGGTGATGGAACAACATCAACCGTTTTAATCATTGGTGAACTTCTCAAACAAGCCGAGCTTCATATTAGTGAGGTAAAACCTAAATCAGATTGGATTATCTTTGTATCTCTCTGGTTACACCTTAATATTCAATTTTCTGGTTTTTTTTCTTGTTGTTTCATTTCTCCTTTGTCTTTAGGGTTTACATCCAAGGGTTATTGCTGATGGTTTTGATTTGGCCAAAACTAAAGCATTGGAGGTTTTAGAATCGGTTAAAATACCTTATGCGGCTCCAGACAAAACTAAACTAATTAGTATTGCACAAACTGCTTTACGAACTAAGATCAATAACCGAATAGCTGATAAATTAGCTGATATTTGTGTTGAGGCTGTTCTTGCCATCCAAGCGGAGTCAAAATCTATTGACCTTCACATGGTTGAAATAATGGAGATGCAACATCGATCTGAAGAGGAAACTGCTCTCGTTCGTGGTCTAGTTATGGACCATGGAGCTCGTCATCCTGATATGAAGAAACATGTAACCAATGCTTATATTTTAACCTGTAATTGTTCACTTGAATATGAGAAAACAACAGTTACCTCTGGATTTTTCTACAAATCGGCTGAAGAACGAAACAAATTAGTCGAATCAGAAAGGAAATTCATTGCTGAACGTTGTCAGAAAATTATCGACCTTAAGAATAAGGTTTGTACCGATGATGGAGGTGAAAAGAAAAACTTTGTTGTGGTTAACCAACAAGGTATCGATCCTGATTCACTTGATATGTTAGCTCGTGAAGGTATTGTCGCTCTTCGTCGGGCTAAACGTCGAAACATGGAACGATTAACCCTTGCTTGTGGTGGAAAACCAATGAACTCTTTTGAAGATTTAACCCCGGAATGTCTTGGATTTGCTGGTGTTGTTTATGAACAAGTTATTGGCGAGGAAAAGTACACATTCATTGAGGAATTGAAAAATCCTCGCTCGGTTACCATTTTAATCAAAGCAACAACCAAACACACTTTAACCCAATTTAAAGATGCCGTTCACGATGGACTTAGAGCAATCAAAAATACCATTGAAGATGGTTCATTGGTTCCCGGTGCTGGTGCTTTTGAAATTGCTGCTTATCAAGCTTTAATTAACTACAAACCTGAAATCAAAGGAAAGGCTCAACTTGGAGTCCAGGCTTTTGCCGATGCGCTACTTATTATACCCAAAACATTGGCCTCAAATGCTGGTTTCGATGCCCAAGATGTTATCGTTAAATTGATCCACGAATATAATCGTAGCAAAAGCATGGTTGGTATTGACCTTAAAAGCGGTGAGGCCATTTTCCCCGCTGACCTGGGAATCTTTGATAACTACCGGGTTAAAAAGCAGCTTCTCAATTCATGGTAAGTTTAATCATCTTCAACAATTTTCCAAGTCTTAATTTAATCATCTAACTAATTTGATTATCCAATTTTTCCCTCTTTTTTTCTAGTACCTCGATCTCTTGTAATCTACTTCTTGTTGATGAGATCATGCGAGCTGGATTAACTTCATTAAAAGGTGATAAGATTGGTCAGTAATTACAATCAATTGCGTTAACATTTTCTAACCAAATTATTGGTTTTTGCTAACACATGAAAATAATAAACGTTTTTTTTGCTAACAATTTAACAGGAATAATAAGTTGAATTAATTATTGATCGTGAAAAAAAAACAAACTAATATTTACTTTTTTATTTTCTACTAAATTGTCACTATGATATAATCACATCAATTATCACCAAATTATAATGATTCTGATTGAATTAGGATGAGTAAATTGAAGATGATCCAAGATATGAGAGCAATTTAAATTGATGATAGTCAAAAGATGAGAAGTACAAATGAATTAGAAGAAGAAAAAAACTTTGACACAGAAAAGAAATTTGAATCTCTAGAAAATAACAAAATTATATAATAATTTAGTAAAAGATTATTAATTGATTATTTGGAATCCTTTTTTTGTTCGGTACTTTTAAAATCAGTTAATTCTAAATAAAATGAAGTCCACCAAACGTAAAGGTAAACCAATATTGCCCAGAATCTTTCAAATCCAAAAATAAGTGACTTTAAACCATAAGCCATACAAATTGAGAAATTGAATAGAACCTGAAATCAATCATTGAAACAAAGAAAATGGTTAGAAATCAATTTAGTTAATTAATTCAATTTACTTACATCACAAACCAAAATAAGCATAAATATAATGTGTCGGGGTTTAAGAAAAACACTCCAAGATGTATCTTTCGACTGAGATGAAAGTCCAACGTACTTTTTGTGGACAATGTGACTTAACCAGGAAACCAAAGGAATATGAAAAAGTATCATCTAAATGGATCAACGGATGAAATGATTCAATTTGTAATTAGGTTTTTAATTGTCTTTCGATTGAAATACTTACATTAATGCTACCGAAAAGATATGGTAATGCAATTGGAATCCAGTTTCCATCAATGTACATTCCCCAAGCAAAGCAAACACCCCAATGACCATCAAGTAAATCGCCAATAAACCAAGGACCAATTAGTCCGTAAATAGGGATAATCATCATGACGATAAAGTAATGATCGATTGATGAGAGAACCATGAATTTAAGGTAAACTTTGTAGATCAAACTTGATCGAGCTCGTGATTTGATAACCGGTCCTAATTGGAAGTAAGAAAATTAGTTCATCAGATTAAAACGATCAATTTAATGTCTGATTGATTAATTGTGTCTGCGACGTTTAAAGGTTTCTATCATTTGTTTCTATAAATAATATTTTTTTTTTACTTCTTGATGGTTAATTCAATCAATAACTTGAGTTGTTAACAATTTAGCTAATTGATGGTTAGCTATTTTTTCTCATTGATTAGATTAACTTACCTTTTTCAATTAGATGCAAGAATCTCATGGTAAAGAGAGGGAAAATTGCTACGAACGCCATGAACATGGCCATACATTGGAGCTAAAGAAGTTCATTGATTAATTAAAGTTTTACCGAACAGATTTTGTTAATACTTACGAAAGCACGAGTTGAAACTCGAAGCAAAAATCGAGCTGCGAACGGAAAATCTGGCTTGGATTTATCTAAGGAAAACTCTACTATCTCTGTATTTTCTTGACCATGTTCGTCCTAAGCGATTACAATTAGAAGGAAAAAATAGTTTAGTTTAGATTGTTATTGGTTTTTGGGAAGATTAACTTACCGATGCTCGAACTTGAATCTTATGTAATCCAATTGAGTATTTCTTAGGATTCCATGGATGAGTGAAAAGAGGTTGATCTTTCGAGAACCTTTTCATTGGCTTCCAAGGTTCGTCGTTGATTCGAACTGAAACTGAGTCGATTGGACTTGGGGAGAAGGCTAGAACACGAATGTGTGTTGAATTAGCGATTCGATGTAAGGGTTCGTAACGTGGCATTTTAAAAAGTGCAGATTTTGGATTAGTGATAAGAATGATTGGCCATTGTTCTAGTTTAACATCGACGAAATTGAATAGTCCATGATCAACTGCGGCCACTCGAAACATTCGCTCATCTTTCCAATCAGCAACTTCAATCTCAAGGTAACCAGTGCTTTGGGTTGCATACATTTTGGGAACCATTCCTACTATGGTATGGAAATGACCACAAAGGTAAGGGCCAGTGATTAAGTTCCTTAATCCAGGAGTTTGGGTTATAATAGAAGAGGTTGGATAATGTCCAAAGAAAATTGTACTATTAGAGGTTGGAGCTTTGGTTAAAAGTTGTTTAATTGAGTCCAGGTCACTTGTTTTAAGATGACCAATGAAATTGTAGGGTCGTTTTGGTGCAGGTTGAGGACAAGCATCGATTCCAAGGAAATTGTATTTGTCTTCACCTTTGGTCAAAGTGTACATATAATGTCCTTCACTCTGATTTCCTCGATGAGTATATTTACGATAATAATTATTAGTCGAATTCCAAGAATAAACATTAAATGCATCTGTCAAAAAAAGAAGAGAAAGAGAATAATTTAAATGGTGATTGGTAATGAAAAGAGTTTCAAAAAATCAATATTGATCTATGAGTCTAGAGTGAGAGAGAGAGAGAGAGAAAGAGGGCGGATTATGTCATGTTCTAATCTCAATGATGAAAGGGTAATGATAATGTTGAGAATATGATAATTTTGATGGATTAATGATTGTCTCTGAATTGGAGAAATGACAAAACCTACAAAGATGTTGACATAATGAAACAATAAAGTTTTCTCATGAGAAAATGTTATAGCTTATGATCGCAATTGAAGAGATACCTTCAAGTAACTTGAACAATAAATTAAATTTTCAGGTGAGGTGATTAGGGTTGATTGTTAAACAATGGATGATTCTTGCTTACCATGATTTCCTCTCATGTCAAGCCAGATTGTTTTCTCAGTGACTCGAGTAGAGTTCAATGCATGGGCATACCATTTCCATTCTTGTTCAAATTGATCAGAACCAAAGGGAGCTGATGTCCGAGAATCAGTTAGATCACCAGTTGCCAGAACTACCGAAGGTCGAACTGAATCTACGACAATACTACAAAATCTATTGAAATCGGGGATTCGCTTTGGATCGAAAACAATACTCAAGTGAATATCACTAATCTAAAAGGAAAAGAATAGAAAATGGAAAGATTAATTATTTGAGATGGAATGAATTCTCTTTGATTATTTTTCTTCTTCTTCTTCAAATAGAATCAAGATAAATTACTTACTTGCATGAACCACATTAGATGATCAGGATTATCTCCCATTATCACGGAATCTTGAGAAGGTGATATGATTGTCGGTGGATTAAAAATGTCACCCTCATAATGATTATCATCTATGTGGCTTATTTGAATGATGAAAGATACAAGGGATCCAATGATGACAACAGCAATTAGAAAGAATGTTGTAGACAACATGATCAACTTTAACTTATTTGAACAATCAATGATTGAAATAGACAAAGTTAATTACTAACTAGAGGAATAAAAAAAAGGATTTTGAAACAATTAAAGTAGAGAAGAATAAAAATTTACAGCAAAGAAAATCTATTATAAAAGATGATCTTTCTTTCAATTATTCTAAACTGTATGTAGAGTGGTTTGAATGTATAGACAACAGGATGATGATTAATTCCAAGAAGCCAGAAAAGATGATAATAAGAATTTAATTAGAAATAAAGTTGAACAATTAACAAAAAGAAAACACTTGATTAAAAATAGTTCAACTAGAGGATTGAATTGAAAGAATGAGGTTCCAAGTGAATTGTCAAAATTATATTGACAACAGAAAGAAATGGAAAATAATCAACACAATTAACAATCTTATCCATCCTCAAATACCATATAAAACTTTAATCTATTTTAAATCAGTTGAGAGATAAAAAATAATCAGACAAAAGTGATTAAGTTAATTAGGATTAAATTTCACCAATTGAATTATAGACTTGATATCAAGAAGAAATTGAAATGAAGACCAAGCGTCGAATTCGGATCCCGGTTGGATTCAAAGTAGAAAAAAAGATAACCGAATATCTGTTAGAATTTATATTTCTTTTTAAATTTCATTCTTTCAATTGATTAGCAACAATTTAATAAGAAAATTAATCTTCTATTGACAATGAGAATATAGAAAACAATCAAATCATTCAGTTTGACGAAATTTAATTAATTAATTATCGAATTAAAGTAAACCGGTTGTCAGAATTTTCCAATTCCGATATCAGAATATCGACTTATACAAACAATAGAATTGAAGTAAAAAGTTTAATTGTTTATCTAGTTTAAAGAAAATAGATTTGATAAAATTAACTCTATTAATCTCTTGATTGTAGTAGAAAATTAATATAATAGTTAAATAGAATAATAATCAAATTAGAAAACCAAAATTTGGATCCAAATCTCTTAATCCATTCGAGAATCAAAAGCGACACCAAACGGATTAGCAAACAAAAGAAAATTAATTTTTTTTTCGGTTTTTCAATTAACTTAAATTATGATTAAATCCGCCGGAAAATTAACTCGCATCAACCCAATGGTTAATCACTCCAATCGAATCATTTGATAATTCAATCCAAAGGCTGAAATAGAAGATGAGAAAACGATTATCTTCCCAAAATTAGAAATTAAAATTTCCAATTGAAATCAATCAATTTCTCGATTAATTAAACGAAAAACTGATTCACAATCAACTCAGTAAATGTGAAAAAATGTTCAAAACTTCAAAGTCTAATTGTAGTTACAATTAAGAGAACAAGGAAAAACTGGAAAGAAAAGTTTAAAAGGTAAAAAGAAACAAAATTTACCTTTGGAAAAGTTTCTTTCGATTAGTGAATTAAAACTAAAGCAACTTGATAGTTAATTAGAAATTAATTAATTAGTTGTAAATGCTAATCAATTGTGAGTAGATTTCAATGAGAAGTTGTTAAAATGGTTGATTGTTTATCTGATCCTCTGGGAACTTATTCCAATAACGATAATGTTTTATACTCATCACCAGTTTTGTTTTAACAGGTTTAACATTAACCGTTTCAAGTGATTGGTGTTGATATGATTAATTGATTGCCATTCGATTCCATTGATTGTGATGGTTAGTTAATTGTATGCGAATGTTGCGGGTCGACAAAAAAAGAGGAAAAAGGGGTCAGCCGGGATTTGAACCCGGGACCTCTCGCACCCGAAGCGAGAATCATACCCCTAGACCACTGACCCGAATTTTAAATAAAATTGGATTAACATGGTCGAGTCTTACACTTTAAGTTAATCAATGTATTTTCAACAAATATAAAGCTCCTTTTTTTGTTTGATTTGGAGTGAAAAAATTGATTGCAGTTTTTTTTGTTCTTGTTGTTAAATTAGTGTTAGAAGCTTATAAGCTCTTTTTTTACGATCTTTTTTGTTTGTCATTGTGAATTGTGTATATATGGTGATGTTGGGTCTTTTTCTTTACTTTCCAAGCAACATTGACTATATTCTATGGGGTTAATCCGTTTTCAGATTTATTCCCATTTAATTGAATTTTCGTGTTTCAAATATATGTATGTATATATAATATATATTTATTACATTTATGGTTGGACTTGTGCTTGTTTTTGTGTTTGTTGTTGTTGAGCCTGCTCTTGTGATTGCGGTGATTGTTGTTGTTGTTGTTGTTGAGGTGCTTGTGTTGCAGATTGTTGGGGTTGTGGTGCGGTTTGCTGTTGGATGGACTGTTGTTGTTGTTGTTGCTGCTGCTGCTTTTGTTGTTGTTGCTGTTGTTGTTGTTGTTGTTGTTGTTGCTGCTGCTGCTGCTGTTGTTGTTGTTGTTGCTGTTGTTGTTGCTGTTGCTGTTGTTGTTGTTGTTGTTGATGGGTTGGTGCCGAATTAAAAGTGAATTGCGTTCCCAAAGGTGAGTCCAATGGTAAGGAAATTAGTTGGATTGTTGTAGATGATGGTATCGAATTAACATTAATATGTTGAGGTTGAGCTACAACTAATGATGAAGGTAAATTATTAGCTAAAGTTGTGGTATGATTGTTGTTTGCTCGATTCCCTCGATTTCCACCTGGATTTAAGTGAGTTTTTCGATGTCGATCTGATTAGAATTAAAAATAAAAAGTTAAAACCAAAATTTTCATTATTTAAAAGTTTGAAAGTTAAAAATATTTTTGACAATCAGCTGTCTAAGCTAATAAATATTTACTTACTTAATTTATCTTTACGATAAAAACCTCGACCACAAATATCACAAGGAAAAGGCCTCTCTCCAGTATGGATCATAGAATGTCTTCTGAGGTGATTTTTCTGTGAAAATGAACGTCCACAAGTTTCACAAGTGAATGGTTTATCACCTAAAAATAGAAAGAAAATCAACAACAAGAGGAATAGAAAAAGAAATAAACAATTAAAAACACAATCAACTTGAATTTTCTTGAAAAATTGATGACAAAAAAACTAATACATTCATTTAAACCAATGTAAATAATTACCTGTATGTGTACGCATATGATCAAGTAATTTACATCTATAAGAAAATCCTGATCCACAGATTTCACATGCACAAGACTTCTCCCCATGAGCTTGTCTTGAAAATAAAAAAAAAGAACACACAAAAAAATACAGAACAAATTATAAGATAAATGTCAATAAAAGAAAACCCTTAGTTATGACATAAAGAGAAAATTTCTACCAACCTTATATGTATTCTTACTCTTTCAGCACTAGCGAACAATTTACCACATTGTTGACAAGGGACACTTTTTTCTACTTTTGTATGCACCGTCAAATGACTTTGAAGTTCGGTGGCACTTTTGAATGGAATTTTGCAAGATGGACAAGCCCAAACAACTGACGCAGTTGTATAACTTGTGATGCTAATTGTATTATTATTCTGGGCAACAGCGTTATTGATAGTTTGGGTGGTAACAACAGGTGATGTAGCAGGAATTAAAATACGGTGGGTTGATATTAACCGCTGAAGAGAAAAAAAAGAGAGTAAGTTACATTAGAAGAGAAAATAAATTGAGAGAAAAAGTTGGTGTAAGAAGGTGAAACAAACAATGGATTGAAAGATGAATTTGGTGAGAGAGAAAGAGAGAGAGAGAAAGAGTAAACATGAAGGAATAAATAAAGGAAATCAAAGGATTGTGATTATAATAAGAAATAAGTAGAGAGAAAAATAGTCAAGAGAGTAACTAAATTGAAAAGGATCAGAAGGGAAGAAAAATAGGAGAATGATGAGAGAATGATGAGAGAGATGATGATGATGATAATGATGATGGAAATTGAATAAATTGTGGAATAATTACTTCGTCAATACCCTCTTTACATTCAATTGGATTTAAATTGATTAAAGGGAATTTATTGGAATTGGTTTGAATTCTTGTTTCCATCTCGTGTTCCCAACCTTAAACTTACAACCAGAACAGAATAAAACAGCCGATTGAGAGAAGAAGATGAACAGAGAGATAACAGTAGAAACAAAAAAGTAAAAGGTCCAAAGAGAGAAGTTAAAGGAGAGTGTAAACCAAAGGGAAAAATAGAAAGAAAGAGAGAGAGAGAGAGAGAGAAGAAAAGAAAGAGAAGGAAGAAAGAGAATTAACACTAAAGAGAGTAGAAAATAAAATAGAAAGAAAGAGAAAAAGAGAGAAGTGAAAGTAAGACTATGTTGGTGTGTGGAAGCTGCAGTAGCAGCAGTGATAGAATAATTTTGTATCACAATAACAATAAGATAATTTAGAATTTGGCAAAAGTCTTAAGATTAATAAGATCGGGTAATTTAAGATGATTGCTAAAAGAGACCCAATAATCACAATTAAACATTTAAATTGTAACAATTAAACAAGAAAGAAGAACAAAAAATTCTCAACCAAAAAGTCAATTAAAATGAATAAGAGACCGAGAAAGAGAAAGAAAGAGAATTCAAGTATCGATATTTTTATATCGATACATTGGACGGTAAAGAATAAAAAGAAAAGCGGTAAATTGAAAAAGGAAAAAATTCGAAAACAATAGTTAGTTGAATGGAACAACAGATGGCGCAGTTTTTTTGTTCTTTTTGTTATTAATTAATTGGATTATCTTTTAATTTTTTTCAAGTTTATTATTAATTGTTTTCCCTCTAAATATTATATCTTATCATGGACAATCAGTTAATCACTTGTTTCCATTTGTTTATCATTAAGGTTGTAAAGAAAACTTTTACTTAATTAATACAATTCTGAGTCATTATACTATCATAATTAACTAATTGTGATCAGTTAAATTGTGATTTGTTTTTTTTTGCTGTTTTCATCACCAATTCAAACAATTTGATTGTATTCAAAGTTACATTTTGTTATTTTGTTATTTTCATCATCATTATTATTACCATTGTTATCCAATCGTTTGTTAATGATGAACAATTTATTTAATCAACAATCGTATTGTAACAATTTAACATCTCATGTGTGATTCAATTTAAACGGTATCTTAATGGATTAGGATAGTAAGTGAGAAACAAAAAATTAATGAGAAAAAAAATCAAGTTCAATGAACGTAAATACATCCTCTTGGTTAATCAATGAAACAATTTAATTAAATCTCAAACTAATTGTCATGTCAACTATCAAATCATATATATATACACACACACAATTTATTTCATAAAAGTGTAAAGGTTAATCATCATAATCATCGCCATGATGATGATCAGCATCATAATAATGACATAATTATATTAACAATTAGTAGAAAATGAATGAATAACAATTGTAATATCTAATTTGGTGTTGATGAAATGTTTAATTTTACAATTAAAGATGAACAAAAAGAAACTGATGAAATGATTAATCAATCGTATCATCAAGTAATCATATCTTAAACCATCACCAGCAAATCAGTAATACAACAAATTTTCAGACAATCATGATCAATTTTGATTCAATTGCCTTCCTAGTTTATCATCAAAGTCATTCACACTTACACAATATCAATTGTTATCATTGTTAATCAATTGACAATCTAATTCATGTAACCTTTACTCCTTGTAACCCATCAAAATGTATTATCAATATTTCATCATCTCATCAATATATTGATATGCATACATGATTTCTGTTGATGATGATGATGCTAATTTCACAGATTCGTCAAAGATAAACATTTTTATCATCCTCATCCCCATCCTCATCCTCATCATCTCCCTCTCTCCTTCACATTGTAGGCTAACTGTTCCTGTATCAATCTACATCTTTTCACATCAATGCGATTCTGCATCACAATCACAATCATCATCATCATCATCAATTGGATCCGTTAACTTTGTTTTTTTGTCCAATATCATTTTATTTTCATCTTATCTTTTTGACATCGCCTTTTTTACTGCTCCCTCCTGTTTGTTTCTCTCTCACTCTCTCTCTCTCTCTTTCTTTTCTCTTTCTTATCTTCCTATTTTCTTCACGGTACTGTTACTTCATTTTAGACATTTGTTAAACCAGTCCTGTAGTTGATGATGTTGTCACTCTTGTAGATCCATCATTTTACCACCATTAAAAAATAACCATCACCATCAGTATCACCTAAATATCACCTAAATTTCAGTCATCATTTATCATTAGTTTTTAATTGTTACCTTCTTTTGTCAAACTATGACCTCCATCTTAGGACAATATCCAATCAACCCTTTGCTTACCGACGAAAGGTCCAAGTCTAGTTTTAATATCGAAAAGTTGACTTATTTTCTTGAAGGTGATCAAGAAAAAACTCTTAGACGTCGAGAGTTAGGTGAGTATATTTAGTTAATTGTTGTTAAATTGTTACCTTTGAGTTTGGTAATAAGAATAATTTTCCCATCTATTTTGTTTGTTTCTTTCATTTTCGCAGAAAAAAAGTTTTATGAAGATGAATTTCCAAGTGATTTGATAAAAGTTCCCGTTGATTATTTGGATCATTCTGAAATCTATACCGAAGCATTGATTAAAGCGGCCAGAATTTACTTCGAAGCATTTAATCTTGAAGATCCTCGTGAAGTGCTTGGAATCGCCGATGCTTATCATTATGAAGCTTCACCTTTACTTTTACACTTTGCGATGTTCATTCCAGCCTTAATGGGACATTGTAACGATGAACAACAAGCTCGATGGTTACCTGATGCTATCGAACTTAAAATTATCGGTACTTATGCTCAAACCGAATTGGGCCATGGAAGTTATCTCAAAGGTTTACAGACTGAAGCGATTTATAATCATTCAGATCAGACATTTACTCTTAACTCACCGAACCTTGAGTCTATCAAATGGTGGCCTGGAGGATTAGGTAAAACCGCTAATCACGCAATTGTCCAAGCTCAATTGTTCGTTGATGGTGTTTACCGGGGACTTCATCCGTTTATTGTTCAAATTCGTGATATGGAAACTCATGAGCCACTTTCTGGAATTGAGGTTGGTGAGCTTGGACCAAAGTTCGGATTCAAGGCAGCCGATAATGGTTATCTCAAGTTATCCTCGGTTGTTATTCCTCGAACCAATATGCTGATGAAAAACGCTTTCATTGACGAGAAAGGATGTTACCAAGCTAAAGAAGCAACCGATAAGCTTAACCTTGGGACGATGTTGTTTGTTCGTGTGATCATCATTGACATGATGTCTTTCAACATTTCGAAAGCGGCCACAATAGCGACAAGATATTCAGCCATTCGTAAGCAAGGTCCAAATCCTGATTCAAACAATTCAAGTGAAATGAAGATAATTGATTATTCAGCTCAAAGGTACAAGTTAATTCCGTGTATCGCTTTATCGCACGCTTGTAAAGCCGTTTTCATCTCACTAATGACCGCTTTCAAAGATGTCAACGAGAGCATGTCGAAAAGAGGTGATTATGGATTGATACCTTTACTTCATGCAATGTCTTCTGGTCTTAAAGCTTTGACCACTGACCTTGGGGCAGCGGCTGTTGAAACCTGTAGACGAGCTTGTGGAGGTAATGGATTCCTCCTTGTTTCCGGATTACCACGAATCTTTGCCAATACGGTGGCTGCGTGTACATATGAGGGTGAAAACACCATTTTGTATCTTCAAACAGCTCGTTATCTATTCAAAATGGTTCGAACCTCGACAAACAATACTAATCACGCCAACGATCAAACGGTTTCCACTTCTATTGGTTATCTTTATCGAGTTACAAGGCCGAATATTGGTAATCTGGGAAAAAGCGAAGGACGAATTGTTAATGATGTTGAAGGTCTATTACGATTGTTTTCTGCTTCAGCTTATTACCACTGTCATCGAGCTTTCGATCAAGTTGAATGTCGAATGAGAATCCAAGGACAATCATATGAAAAGGCTTGGATCGAGTGTCAAAATGATCTTATCAAAGCGGCAAAATCTCATCTAATCTACTATATGTTAACCAAATACTGGGATTGGGTCTCGACAGCGGATAAATATGATGCCACAATTGCCTCGCTTTTACGACGATTGGCCTGTTTTTATTTCGGTTTCACGATTGTTGAAAGTAAAGGTGATTTCTTGGCGGTTGGATTGGATCTAAATTCAATTGAGCAAATTCAAGATGAATTATCAACGCTCATGACTGAATTACGACCTGATATGGTCTCTCTCGTCGATGCATTTGATTTACACGATATGGTTCTTATGTCAGCTTTAGGTAAGAAAGAGACAATCAAGATGATTTGATGAGCAATTAAATTTAATTGTTCTTTTTAATTGTAGGTTGTAAGGATGGTAATGTTTATGAGCGTCTATTTGATTTGGCAAAAAAAGCTCCTCTCAATCAAGTTGATCCAAACCCATCGTTCATCAAATACATCAAAGACTTAACCAAATCAAAACTTTAATTAACTTGTAAAGTTTAATTTTCCACATGGAATCAAAACTCTCAACAATTTAATCTCATCTCTAATCATCACATAATTATCACAATCTAAATCTATATCATATATATATTTGTTATCAATTTCATGAGAAAATTATTTTTAATCAAAAATCATCATTAATATTTGTTCAATATTCAAAGTGAAACGTTGTAATTATTAACAATTACGAACCAATCATCATCATAATAATTAAGTTTCTTCAAACAATCTAACGGTAAATCCAACAAGTATTCAAACCTGATGAAAAAGGTAAACGCATCAATTGATTAAAAGAGTAATAATTATAATATAACAACAATTTAAGGCTTGATTAATCAGTGAATCTGATTAATGAAAGAGAAACTGTTTACCATAAGGTTAATAGACTTTTAATTGAAAATTTTTAATTTTCTTCCAATCAAATTGATAATCATCTAATTCAGTTCTCATTTTCATTGAGTACCAACAATTTGATTTAATCATGAGGATATTCAATCTCATGGCCATTCATCTTTAATTGTTCTTGATTAATAGTATACTAATTGTGTTCGTATTAATTGTGATTACCTTTCATCTTTTGTCTCTCTTCTCAATACTTACTATTGATATTGTTTTCATCCTTTCAGGAGTAATCAAGGTAAGACAATTGAATTAAATTGTAATTGTATCAAATTTATCATCAATTTGAAAGCTAAATTAGATTCAAGTCTCAATCATCTTGATACATAATCAATCAGAGTTAACAAACTTGTGAATCTCATCACCAACAAGCATCACATTATATGAACATGGAATCACTTAAACTGATCAGATTATCATTAATAATAATTCTTATAATTATCATCGATTTAATCATTGATTCTAATTGTAAACCTGGTGGTTGGTCTTTCAAGAAATTAAATCTATGGGGTCGATCGTCTAAACCATCATCAGAAACCTCATTAGAATCAGAATCAGATTCGAGTGTTAAATTTGCCGAACTGTGTGAATATATTTGCAAAAAGGAACCGGAAAAAGGAGTAAAATATTGTGATTGTGATTCAAATGATTCTTTAATATCATCACCATCATCATCATCATCATCGGAACACAATCAAATTAGTTTAAGTGATTACTTTAAACAAGAAACTAATCCATCAATGAGACAACAAATGTGCTCATTGATTTGCTCAGAAGATTCAAATGAAGCATCTAAATATTGTGAATGTGATGACTCCAGAACTCAAGGTAAATCAATTAATAGTAAACAATCAATGAAATCTTCAGGTTTTCAAAGTTTATCAGATTATTTCAAGTCAAATAATAACGGTACCGATAAAACAATCAACAGTGATGAAAACACTCGTCGGCAATTATGTGAATACATTTGTTCAGATGAAGATCCTGATGAAGGAAAATCTTATTGTGATTGTAATAAAATTAAACAAGAGCAAATTAATCTAATCGCTCAACAATATCATCACAATTCAAATCAACAGCAAAGACAAGAAAATCCCAACAACAATATCAATGGAGGTGTTAACAACAATTTCTCAATTAAAAATCTATTACCAGTTAATCATGGTCATTCTCGAGAAGATATTTGCAAATTAGTTTGTACAATTGAACCTGAAAGTGATGATGGTCAGTGCGGTTGTGATGATGGTCAGAGTGAGAATCGATTCCGATGGCCATGGCAATCGATTAGACAATGGTTCGGTTAATCAACAACAATTAACTTGAAAGCAAATTAAAAACAAGCTCAGAAATCATTGGGAATCTCAGTTGACAAAAAAAAACTTTGATCTTCTTATTTTTACCCCATTAATTGTGAATCAATATATTCAGCCTGTAATTAACCATTGATTGTAATGATTGATTGTCACCATTTAAATGATCAACATAATGTTAATCAACTTTTTTTTGTTGTTATATTTATAATCCATTGAAATTGGGATGATTTTAAAACAGTAATCAAATCAATTTTCATGGTTTCTTTTCAATTAACTTTAGATTGCTAAGATTAAATTGACAATTTAACTCAACTTTTCACTAATTGTCAACAGTTAAGGTTATCAATCGATTTGGTTGATTACTTTAAGAATTAACTTATTGACTTATTAAAGAAAAAAGTTAAATTAAGATTAGATTAAAACAGTAAATTAAGAAAGAGAAAAAAAATTAAACCTTATTATGATTAAGAATGAAAATAAATCAACTGATCATTGAAGCAATTAATCAAATTGTATTACCGATTATCAACTTACCTTTAGATCAACAAGTTGAACAATTAACTTTTTTTTTCACAATAACAATCAACTTATTTTGTCAATGTAAACAATTTATTTATTGTCATAGTTAAAATTGATTATAAATATATTTGTGAGGATTAAAACAATTAATCAGTTGAATAAATAAAATTTGATTGTTTGAACATTGATTAAGTATAATAAATATATAATAGTTTGATTAATTGTTGTGATAAAGTTACTTAAATACAACACACAATTTACTAATTACTGTTGGATGATGAAGATTAGTTGATGAATGACCAGATCCTTAATAAATTTGATTGATTGTTGATTAAACCATTTGACAAATTGTTGATATGGTCCGATCACGAGATTGTGATAAAGGTATTTGATTAATTGCTGCTAATTTAGTTTTCCTATCAGAGCAACGGTTAATTGTTCTGACCACTGGTCTACATACAAAATATAATAGAAACGATGTCAATGAGAAAGCACAAACGAAACCAATACCAGCCATAATTGCCAACGAAGACATGGTTAATTGTGAACAATTAGTTAATCAACAACAAGAAACTGAGCAAAAAATGAACGAAACAATTAAGAAACTATTAATAACACAATTGATGATGAAAACGATAAATAAATTAACCAAAGTCCAAGATCTGTTAAGGTGTCAAACTGGATAATCCAAATGATGAGGTTAATTGTTTAGTTTCCAGGTTACAATTAGATTTAATTGACCAGGTGATCATTGAATTTGAACAATTAAGATGATATTTTCAAATTTAATTGTAATTATCAACTGATTATTGTTGAAATTTGGTTGATCCTCTATCCTGTATAATGGTTGAAAATGATTATTAACTAAGAGATGATTAATTGTTGGTGATTAATTGTTAAGTCATTGAAGGTAAAGATGAAACTAATAGTAAATGATTAAAGATAATTGTGGAAGTGGGTGGAGAGAGTGACAGTTGATTAGTGTCAATTCATTACAATAATTACGTTGATTGTATTAGTTAGTTAAATCTTTTTTTCTCACTGGTGGTTGATTGTTGAATTAGATAAACAATTAACGAAACAAAAAAATACCTTATGATTAGTTAATCATTCAATGTAAACTATTAACATTTAAGTTTAGTATTTGTCTCTCAAGTGATCAACCAACAATTAACTGTAACAATTTAAAACATAATACATAAGGAGGAGAGAGAGAGAGTAACAATCAAAGTTAATTATTGAAGCTTATTAACAATCATTTTGATTGTGATTCGTAATTACGATGACGATAATTAATTACTCGTTTATATTTACTGTTAATTGTGAACAATTTCATAATTGTGGAAATTTATTCAACTAATTTAACAATTGATTGGGTTGATTTATTCAACGCAATGATTTGTTAACAATCAGTTTTAATTGTTATTCATAATTTGATCAATCATTTTAATCATTTGTCAATATCTATATTTGTATGTATTTAATTAGCTAATCATTTCAATTAGATAAATTAATTAGCTGCTAATGAATAAATAATTAGAAAGTTAAAGTTTGATGATCTTTTCTTGTTAATTAGTTTGGTTAAATCAGTTCTTGTATCATCATGATTAGTTAATTGTTTGAGATGGTGAACTAAATATGAACAGAAAATTAATTCTCACCTTAATCAACTGTAAACTAGGAAGAGGAAATTGTACCAATGATGATGATAATTAATTACGATAATTAGTTGATGAGTAATCAATCTGGTTAATTAATCAGCTGAAAAATTGACACAACAATTAAGGGATAAATGAGTTGATTAAAAATTCATTGATAAAGATTCTCAATCAAGTTGTTATTGTAATTGTTTCTTAATTGTCAAAGATATTGAAAGTTAAACAAACAACAATTTAGCAATAACAATCACCTATGATAATGATTAATGATTAGTTTTGATTGATTGATTATGATGATGAGATAATTAAATGAATCAATGAAAAACAGTTGATGTCAATTGTTTACCCAAGAAAGTTGATTAAATCAAATGATAATTATCATTTGTTTAAACAATTTAATCTTAAATTATTTGGACAATTAACCGTTGATATTATTTTCATCAATCCCAATAATTAAATAGAGAAAAATAAAAACACAATTAGCCAACAATTTACTAGTTAATTAATTGTTACAACATTTCCGATCCACTTGTAAAATTACAGTAACTTAATTACTTGGGTAAATGATTTAAGACTAACAATCAGTAAATTGTAGGTAAGAAATAAACTCTTCTGGAAAACTACCCAAATAATTAACTAATTGTTGCCATGATTAAATGAACAAACAAGTCTCACAATTAAAGAGAGAGAGAGAGAGAGAGAGACAAACCTAATTATCATTAGAAAACCTTAATTGTTTGATTGACGAAGAAAACAAAAAACAAATGGTTAACATTGACAATTAAAAATTCAGTTAAATTAACTGATCATAAAAACTATTATCTCACAAATTTTAATTACTCTGATAATCTTCATGGTATATTAACTATTAGAGGCCAGTTAATCATAAATTACATGTTCAACAATCAAAGGTTACGTGAGTGAATCAAGAAGAGGAATTAACTTAATCATCTGATATAAATTTATCTCTTTATTTATTTTGGATTAATTTTGATTATCAATCAAACGTAATAGTGATTAATCAATTTTTCTCAATTCGCAATTGAATTTTGATTAGAAAAATCAACTAATCCATTGGAATAATTGTCCAACTAAATTAAAAGTTAATCTAATTTACGATTGAACATTGATGATAACAGATGGCGCTCCATTCGTTTGATTAGATTTTAATTGTTGGTTAAATTGTTTGATTCCAAGAGAAAATTTAATTTAATTTTATTAACCAATTTAAATTGTTGATTAGACAAAAATGTAAATCATAATTCAGTGTTTGATTAACAGAGGGTGAAAATTGTAATTCGAGTCTTAATTACCATTGAGATTCATAATAAATTGTTGCTGAATACAAATCGTTAATTGTTATGACATATATAAAGATTATAAGATGAATTTAGTTAATCAAAATGATAATTTAACAAATATAATCAATTAATTAACTAAACAAAAAAAGACAAATGAGCAAAAAAAAACCAAACTTAAGATGTAAAGTCTCAAGACAAGAGTTAATTGTTGATTACATTTACGATCACAATTAAATGTAAGAAAAGAAAAACTTTTGTCATTAATTAATTGTTTAGGATAAAATTAGCCCTTAATATGATTAATCACAATGGTGATTAAGTTAATTGTTGTAGGTGGTTGAAGATTAAGTAAAATCAGGTTTGTTGTTGTTGTTGTTGTTGCTTTGTTTTGATTGTTGCAATTAAATGATCAACATGATCAATTATAAGACGATAATGTTAATTGTGTCTATGAAAAAATATAAACATTAAATTATGACAATTAATTTAATTGTGATCATTCAACTGCAATTCGAGGGACAATTGAGCCTCCATTGGATTTTTCCTTAACATCCTTTAAATTGAGATCTGTTAATGATAATCAATAGAGAGAGAGAGATAATTAATAATCAATTAATCAGATTTGATTGGTAACAATTTAATCAAGGTTAGAAATCAACAACACAAACAAATCAATGATAGAGATAAACAATTAAATCAATCACCTTCATGTTAATTGTTTTCCCGGTTTAATTTTTTATCTAATTTGCTCTAATTTTTTTTTATTATTTCTAGTTAACAATTAGTTAAATTGCAAGATTAAAGTTTAATTTAAATTGTAATTAACTTGGAAAGTTATAAATATCAATTGAAACCAGTGAATAAGTTGATTGTTACAATTGATGAAACAATTTGTTGTTTCAACTGTTGAAAACATGAAACTTTTTTAATTGATCAAAACTTAAGATTAAACTTTTAATTAACTAATTTATAATCAAAGTTAATCATGATTAATTTAACCTCATCAAGTTAAACTTTGATCATCAAGTATTGGATAATATTTAATTGGATTCTTGTATCATCAAATTGTTGCTAAATAATTAAGCAAAAAATTGCTCTTTAAACACCTTGATTAGTTGATTAAGTGTTAATTTAGGTGAAGAAATTGTTTACAATTAATATTTTACAACATGGGAATTAAGGTGAATTAAGTTAATTGTAATAGGAATCAGGAATCAAAGTAAAGGTTAATTGTTAGCGAGAAGCATTTATATTAAGGTTAATTGTTGATTAATTTAATTAATTGATAAATTTACATGCAGAAAGGTTAATGTTAGTTATTGGAAATGTTGTTAATCAACTGGACACAATTAAAATTGATTGTAAGGGATAAAAAAAAAGGGTTAAGCAAAATTAGTTGGAAATTGTTATTAGTAAAAATTGAGAAGCATAAATTAAAAAGGTTAATTGTTAATTAGTTAATTAATACAGTCTCCAAGTAGAGGTGCTCTTTCATCAGTTAAGTGATTAAAAAATGATTTCCGATGATCAACTAAATTGTTGTAGTCTTGATTGTCATTAATCCAATAATCTGATGTACCTGAAAATGAATTTACTATTAATTATCATTGATAATTTTTTCATTCTGAATTTTCAAACAATTAAAATTAACAAAAACAAACAGGGATTGAATTACAATCAATTTTAAATCAAATTAAATTAGATGAATCATTGATTGATTGATTGTTGCTGTTAATCTTTAGACAATCAAGAGGACGGATCAAGGGTAATGATGATTAACTTTAAATTGAATTAATTGAGTTACAATTTCCCAATCAAATTGTTGTTTACAAATAAAAATAAACAATTTAAATCATAAATTGAATGAAAAACTTGATGAATCTTCAGAAAACAATTAAACAACAAAAAATTAAAGGCTCAAGATTATTCAAACTTAATTCAATTATTATCCTGATTAACTGACATAAATTGGATTCATTTTTGTTTTCCAATAACAATCAACTAATTTAAACAATTGAAACTAAACTAATTAGAATCGTAAACAACAATAATAATAATACACAAACAATTAAAGTTTGACGTTCAACAAAATAGCAAATGAAACAAAATAATAGTAACAAATTGTAAGCAATTAAAGTTAATCGATTTGATTAAATTTCACTGCAAATTTTCAAACAATTAACTAACCTGGAGATTCTTGTTGATTGTGAATTGGATTAGGATTTGATTTAACTCCACTTGTAGTCTCCTTTAAAGCTTCATGATCAACAGTCAATAAGTATAACCAAGCACCGAGTATACCACCAACATGAGGACCAACGATGCCCGCTGCCCACCAATAATGCCCACCGAGTGGTCTGTGAATAATTTAGAACAATAATCAGCAATTAGAATCAACAATTAAGTTGACAGAATCAACAAAAACAAAAATAAAATCCAGTCCATCATATGATAAACAACAGAGATGAAGGTAAAGTTAATTGTAGCAAGATAATGATAATATTAATAAGATGATTGATTGAAAGCTAATTTGATTATCGTCAGTGACAATATTTAATATTCAATGTGAATAATCAAGTTAACCATAAACTATAAATAAGGATAAATTATCTCTCATGTTACTTGATTGTTGTCTGAAGATTAATTGTCCGAACAATGAAGCAAAAAAAAGTAAACAACAATCAACTAATAATGTTGACCAGTGAAAGAAATAATTTAAAATAAAAAGTTATTTATATTCATTGGTTGATTGGAAAGGAGGGAAATTGAATGTCAAGTTTGATTAATCAAATAATCGGGTCATCAAATTATCATCATGATAATCAATGGTTATCATCATCATCAAGTTATAGATTAAGATAACGGTAATAATCAACATGGATTATGAGCAATTTAACTTATCAAACTGAGTTGATTGTTAGTCTACAATTGAAAATAAACAGGTAAAAGGTTTAAGGTATTTGATGGAGTAGAAAATTAGTTCCTAAAGGTTCAATTGAATTGAATGATAATCATCATCATCATCATCATCAATAAGATAATAACTGATTGTCAGCAAGACAATTCCTAGACAATGGTGATTATCATGATGGTGATTAGGATGATAATGATGATGATAACTTACTGGAATGGTTCCCATCCGTATCTAACAAGAGCGGAAAACAATCGAGGAGCAAAATCCCTGGCGGGATTGAGAATAGCACCACAATTGTAATTAAATGCTGTTGGAATTCCGGTGATAATAACGGCGAAAAGAGCAGGTTGAGCAATTAGTGGAGCCTTAATTCCGTCTGAAACTGCGAGAATACCAAATAATAGTAATGAAGTACCAATCATCTGATTACCGATAATTATGGTTATCAGAAAATTAAGAAGAAGAAGAAAAGTTGAAAATAATGATTAACTTGAAATTCATTGAATTGTTATGGGAACAGTTTTATTCATCCCCATGATTATCGTTAACTTAATTATTCATTGTTCATTTACCTGATCAACAAATGCTCCTGGAATTGTAACAAAACGAGCTGGATAAGTGGCAAATATTTCACCGGTTATATTGGCCTGATGACTTGGATCAAAATGTTCAATCGCCTCGAAATGGTCAAGATAGACAACAGCTGATGCGAGGATTCCCCCAACGTACTGGGCAACAAGATAGTACCAAACTTTTGACCATTTGAATTTACCAATTGCCGCCATTGCTGTTGTTACTGCTGGATTGAGATGAGCTCCTGTTTTATATTCAAGCAAACAAACAATTAGTAAATTGTATGAAAACAATTGAATAATATAAATATGATTCATTTCAATAATATCAATTTAATTGTGATTAATGATCTTCATGTATTAATAAAAACATTTTGACTGTTGTTCATTTTTGACAGACTAATGAACTGAATTTTTAATGTATTGGAAATTGATTCTTGATCAAGGGTAAATATTTGCTGTTTGATGTAATTAAAATTAAAACAATTAACCTTGATATTAACTGTCTAATTGTAATATTATCACTTTAATCAAGTAACAACATCCTGATAATCAGCCCGAAAGGAGGTATAAGGCAAATGGATTACAAAGTTTATTTTATCAAAGCATTTCTTTGACAAATCAACTGTTGTCATCAAATTGATTGTCATCATTATCTTAATCATGATTAGAGAGAGAGACATGAAATTAGAAGTGAGGAAATTTTTTTGATACAATGAATCAAGAGTTTTCAATTTGTTCATTCAAATTTAAACCGGATTAAGAGGATTAATTGCTGATAGAATTGAAAAAATATGACAGATAATTAAAAATTTGTTAACTAATCAACTACGAAATTGAAGAGGACAATCAACTTTAATCAAAGTGAATATTATATAGTTGATATGGTGATAAATAATTATCTCATTAAATGTTGATCAGAATTCAGAATTCAGATCTTAATCTTCATTTGGAAAGGGGTGAATTTAAGATGGATGAAGATGAAAAGACCACACACAAAATGGAAGATGATAAATGATGATGATAAGGATGAGAAAGAGGAAAAGAAAGAGTTCAAAAGGAGGAGGAACGGATAAGGAAATGAGGAGGACAATTAACGGGCTCAGACCTTTAGCATCCTCATCACTCTGATGATGAGCAACACCATCAGAATCATGAGTTAATCAACTGAATTTTTGTTTTTCATCTTCTCCCAAAATTCAATGTTAATCAAATACTGAAACCATGATAATGATGATCAAAGTTAATGATAAAAAAAACCAGGTCATTGTGACGATAATTGTGTTGATGAGGATGAGTGTGTGTTCACTGTTAGATAAATCCGGTTATTCAATTTACAGTTAATTCTGACAATCAAGAGATCAATCAAGTGATATTATTATATATAAAAGTTGTAGAAATAAATTGTTGAAGAAGAGAGAGAAAAAAAATTAAACATGAAATGGAAAAAGTAAGAAAAAAAAATCAATTGATTGTTTATCCTTTTCAAATCTTAATCATAATCTTAACAATCTTGTTGTTGTTGATTGTCATTGTATCATTACCATTGTATTTTAATTGTGTAACAATTCAAATGAATGACAAATTGATACCAGCAGGATAATTGTGATTTACAGACAGATCAGCCAGTTACATTTGTAATTGTAGTGGTTGTAACAATTTAAATAAATCAAAATTACAATTGATTAACAGGATTTATTTTAAGAAAATCAGTAAATTGTAAGCCCAATAGTCAACAACAATCAAAGGTAAACATCATTTTCATTCAATCTTAATGAGAGACAGGTCAATCATCATCATCATCATCAAGAATCAATTGAAATAATCAATTCGTTGATTACAGTTGATTAACATATAATTGGTGAAAATAAAAGTCTCAAACTAAGAGTAGTTACTTGTTGTTGTTGTTGATTAAGAATCGGAAAGGGGTTAATAATTTAGATGCTAATTGGTATTATTGTGATTAAGATTATTATTAGAATTGATTAGGTCAATAATTAGGTCAAGATCAATATTAACCGTTAAGTTATCATGATAATAAGAATGAAAAAAAAAAGGTTAGACTTGTTTTTAGGCTTATCCATCAATCGTTTTTACCGTTACTTTTTTTTCACAACGAAATCAAGTTTTGTTTCATTAATTGTTACGATTTTACTTTGACTTTGATTTAGAGGATCAACTTTTTTTTTCTTGATTGTTAAACATTGATGAGATTGGTGCTTTTTTTAATCATCTACTCCTTAACTTCACGGTTATCCTTCACAATCAAGAGCATCATTGTCAATTGATTAACAATGATAACAATTGATATTGTGTAAGTGTGAATGACTTTGATGATAAACTAGGAAGGCAATTGAATCAAAATTGATCATGATTGTCTGAAAATTTGTTGTATTACTGATTTGCTGGTGATGGTTTAAGATATGATTACTTGATGATACGATTGATTAATCATTTCATCAGTTTCTTTTTGTTCATCTTTAATTGTAAAATTAAACATTTCATCAACACCAAATTAGATATTACAATTGTTATTCATTCATTTTCTGCTAATTGTTAATATAATTATGTGATTATTATGATGCTGATCATCATCATGGCGATGATTATGATGATTAACCTTTCAACTTTTATGAAATAAATTGTGTGTGTGTGTATATATGATTTGATAGTTGACATGACAATTAGTTTGAGATTTAATTAAATTGTTTCATTGATTAACCAAGAGGATGTATTTACGTTCATTGAACTTGATTTTTTTTCTCATTAATTTTTTGTTTCTCACTTACTATCCTAATCCATTAAGATACCGTTTAAATTGAATCACACATGAGATGTTAAATTGTTACAATACGATTGTTGATTAAATAAATTGTTCATCATTAACAAACGATTGGATAACAATGGTAATAATAATGATGATGAAAATAACAAAATAACAAAATGTAACTTTGAATACAATCAAATTGATTGAATTGGTGATGAAAACAGCAAAAAAAAACAAATCACAATTTAACTGATCACAATTAGTTAATTATGATAGTATAATGACTCAGAATTGTATTAATTAAGTAAAAGTTTTCTTTACAACCTTAATGATAAATAAATGGAAACAAGTGATTAACTGATTGTCCATGATAAGATATAATATTTAGAGGGAAAACAATTAATAATAAACTTGAAAAAAATTAGAATCTAATCCAATTTATTAATTCAGGCTAATCAATTTAGTGCTAATTGTATTAATGAAAAGTTAACAAATCTAATCAATGAACAAAAAAAAAACCTATTGGGTAATAACAATAATAATAATACTATGATTATGATTATGATGATGATGATTAAGGATAAGAGTAATTAGACAAATGAAAGTGAGTTAATTCAGTTGATTGATCTAATTACCTGAGATTGAGATGGTCGCTGATACACCAATTAAAACACCGGTGGCAAAGCAAAAATTAACCGCCATGTAATCAAATCGATCACCTTGTTGAGTCCTTAATTTATATGCTGCGGTCGCTGCATCACCCAAGGCCTGAATAGAATCACAGACAATGTAAACAAAAGAGGTTAAAGGTTAACCTGTTTACTAAAATTGGAGGTTAATTGTTATTACTGATTAATTACAACTTACGATTACGAAAAAGGTACCAATCATTTCAGCGAGAAATTGTTTACAAGTTTTAGATGCTAGGGAACCTTTAACCCTATTGGAAAGTTGATTGGAACGAGAAAGAAATTTTCTCACTGGTTGATTAACTGTAGATGTTGGTGGTTGAGGTGATGGAGATGAAGACATGATTAAATTTTCGTGTTAAATTGAACACACAATTAAAATGATTGCGAAAATAAAGAGAAACGAAAAAAGAAAAATTCGAGAAAATAAACAAGATAATTTTTCTCCAAACAAAACAACTCAATACACTATGGAAAAAGAGTTTACTGTTAACAACAAGAAGGAAGAGAGTTTAACTGAACACTGATTATCCTCAGATTTATCATCTTCTATTTTAATACAACTTTTTTTTTCTCAATTTCAAAAATAGAATCAGAATCAGAATCAGAACCAGAACAAAAAAAAGAACAAAAAAACTGCGCCATCTGTTGTTCCATTCAACTAACTTTTGTTTTCGAATTTTTTCCTTTTTCAATTTACCGCTTTTCTTTTTATTCTCTTTCTCTACCATCCAATGTATCGATATAAAAATATCGATACTTGAATTCTAAATTTTGTCTCTTTTTCTCTCTCTTTTCTCTCATTTCAATTTCTACTGTCCATTTGAGCTCTTTGAGAATTTTGTTTCTTTTTCTCTTGTTTAATTGTTACAATTTAAATGTTTAATTGTGATTATTGGGTCTCTTTTAGCAATCATCTTAAATTACCTGATCTTATTAATCTAAAAAGACTTTTGCCAAATTCTAAATTATCTTATTGTCATTGTGATACAAAATTATTCTATCACTGCTGCTACTGCAGCTTCCACACACCAACATAGTCTTACTTTCACTTCTCTCTTTTTCTCTTTCTTTCTATTTTATTTTCTACTCTCTTTAGTGTTAATTCTCTTTCTTCCTTCTCTTTCTTTTTTCTTGTCTCTCTCTCTCTCTTTCTTTCTATTTTTCCCTTTGGTTTACACTCTCCTTTAACTTCTCTCTTTGGACCTTTTTACTTTTTTTCTTCTATTGCTCTCTCTCTCTCTTTCTCTTGATTTCTCTCTGTTTCATCTTATTGCTTCTTCTCCCAACTTGCTGTTTTATTTTCTATTCTGTTCTGGTTCAAAGTTTAAGGCTGGGAACACGAGATGGAAACAAGAATTCAAACTAATTCCAATAGATTCCCTTTACTCAATTTAAATCCGATTGAATGTAAAGAGGATATTGACGAAGTAATTATTCCACAATTTATTCAAATTTTCATCATCATCATCATCATCACACTTTCATCATTCTCCTATTCCCCTTCCCTTCTGAACCCTTTAAATTTTTTTTTCTCTTGACTCTTTTTCTCTAGTTATTTCTCATTAACATCTCAATCTTTTCTTATATAACCATCTCCCTCCGTTAATTTCCTTTATTTTTTCCCTCATGTTTACTCTCTCTCTCTCTCTCTCTTTCACCAAATTCATCTTTCTATCCCTTTTAATCCATTGTTTGTTTTACCTTCTTACACCAACTTTTTCTTTCAATTTATTCTCTCCTAATGTAAACTCTTTTTCTTCTCTTTTTTTCTCTTCAGCGTTTTGAAAAATCTTATATAATTCTGCAAGATTTAATCAAAGGATCTTCAGAATCAGAAGCTCATGATACATTAATGGCAACGGTTAGTTAACATTTTATTTTCTCCCTTAAAACTTATAATTAAACCTTTGATATTTATCTTTTTTCTTTCTTTCTTATTCCTCTAGGTCTCCAAAAGCACACAAGATCATGATAATGTTTGTCTCGGACTATTGACCAGTATTCTTGTTGATCCTACAAATGCTTCTAGAGTAAGTGATCAATCTATTACCTTATCCATGTTGTCAAAAATGTAAAAACTTTTCTATTCTAACATCAAATTTGTTATTCTTTTCTCCTTCTCAGTATTATCGAGATTTAACTTATGTTTCCAGAGATGGAATGAATCTTGTGATAACCTTTTTAAATCATATTATCTTAGAGAGATACCCAAAGCTACACGACGTTAGCCGTGGTCAGGTAAGTTTCTTTCCTTCTCAAGCTTTTTTAGCGTACTAATTGTGATTCTTGTTCGTTTTTTTTATTCTCTTCCTCCATCTTTTCCACTATTTATATTGCCACTCCTTTTCCCTCCTTTACCTTTCTTTTGTTCTCCATTAAAGTTAATTTGGGTTCTTAGGGAGCTGATTAAAAACTCAATTACAGCCTGTGAAACTATTGCTATAGCTTTACTTCGTCAAATAGCTGGTGGTGATATTTCAATTAAAAATTTATGGTTAACCGAGAAAATGTTGGACCTTTTAATAGACAATCGTGCTTGGCTTGATAAAAATAGTCTACTAATAGCCATATCAGTTTACACCTATTTAAGATTAATTGTTGACCATGGATCACCCAATTTAACCCTAATCCGTCAAAAAGAAATCGATTTGTGTAGCTCTTTATTGAAAGAGAAATTTACTGATTGCCTGGTCATCGGTCGAGATTTAGTTCGTTTACTTCAAAATGTTGCCCGAATACCCGAGTTTGAGAAAATATGGAAAGACATTTTCACCAATCCAACCTCATTATCTCCCAATTTTCAAGGAGTCTTGCAACTTATGCAAGCTCGAACGTCCAGAAGATTTCTTCAATGTCGATTAACTCCTGATATGGAGAAGAAAATTGTTTATATTACCTCTCTTGTTAAATTTGGCCAACAAAGGCGATACCAGGAATGGTTTCAACGTCAATATTTATCTACACCCGAAAGTCAATCTCTTCGCTGTGATTTAATTCGTTACATTTGTGGTGTTATTCATCCCTCAAATGAAGTTCTCTGCTCTGAAATCATTCCTAGATGGGCAATCATCGGTTGGATTCTTTCCTCATGTACCTCAAATGTTGCTGCAGCTAATGCCAAACTCTCCCTTTTCTATGATTGGCTTTTTTACGACAAAGAAAAAGATAATATCATGAACATAGAACCAGCCATTTTGGTCATGTTCCATTCAATGAGAAATCATTCGGTGATCACTGTTGGTTTATTGGACTTTCTATGTCGAGTATGTTGTTGCTTTTTTTTCTCCAATTGATTTACTTTCTCTATTCAATCTCAATTGATTTTTCAGTAATTTATCTTATATTATTCTGGAAAAGTCATCAGTCAAATTTACTGACTAATCTTGACATTTCTCTTATTCTTCTTTGTTTCTTTCTATTTCTTTTGAGATGAATTAATCTTTCACTTTGACTAATAACATTCAATTTATTCTTAATTTTTTTCTCTCAATTTCTCTTCAGATTGTAACTCAATTTTGTCCCAGTTTAGCGACACAAGTGAAACAAGGAGTTAGCACATCATTATCACAGATTTTAGAAAAAGAGTTTGCCCGTAAGATTGTTTTCCATTGTTTTCATTTTAATTGATTAGTTTATTCTCCTTCTAATCAATTAAATGACCAATCCTTTAATTGTAATGTAACTTTTATTTTCCCTTTGTTTTACAGATCATTATCATCACTATTTGAAAGTCCCAAATTGGATCCTGAGCTTCGTTCATTAATAAGAGAAACTTTTCCAGAATTTTGTAGCTCAGTTAACGATATAAACGTTATTCATAATTCTATTCCTGGAACAGTTGAAACTATTCCAATTCGTGATAATGTTGAAATAATTCTTGACTCACCTAAAACAAATAACCATAATAATGATATCGATATTTCAGAGAATAGGTTCAGTGATGATGAAAGTGATATCAGTTCAAATTCTAATGGGGGATCAGCTCCTCACCAAGACAATTTAGATAAAAAATTGATTACTGATAACTCAATAAACGAGGAAAGTGTAAATTGTACAGATAAGAAAACGTTAAATGGACCAGTAGCCTTTTCTAGGAATACATTTGATACAAATCTTTCTCGTTTAAACGGTGAATTAAGGTCTACAGTATTAGCTCTTGAAGAGTCAAAGTAAGTAATAACAATGCTGAGTAACGAATCTTAATCAATTATATATCTATCCAATCGACTAATTAATATTTTTCTTTTATTGTTTTTCTCTCTTCAGAGATAATGAAACTCGATGTGAATTGATGGAAAAAATTTTACAACTAATTCTACAAGATGATGAATTTGGTGATGATTCAACTTTACCTGATTGTATTTTATATGCTCTACGTGATGAGTTAGCCAAATCAATATTTCCCGATTGTCCCGATGAAGAAGCTCTTGAAGAGTCGATTGGGTCACCCTTATTTGTTATTTTTCGCAATTTATGTCAAACACCGGAAGAAAATCCTAACAGAGTTCCTATACTTTCCCTTCTCAATGAGATGTCATCAAGTCAACCCTCAATTGGTTATTTACTTTTATATTATATGAAGGTTAGCAAAAGTTACGATGGAAAGGTATCACCTTATCGAGATTTTGCCAAATCTCTAGGTAAAGATTTAAAAAACTGCCTTCTCATCGATCTAAAAGCTTGCGCAGACTATGATGATATTAACTTATTTTGCTACCTGATACCCGATATATTCAATCATTTTCCAATGATTGCCAATAATCCAGATCTATTACATCTTATTGTTTCCTGTATTGATTCAAGTCAATTACAAGAACTGGTTTGTCTTATTTTACAAGGAAGCTTGAAAATGTTTCGTAAAGATGGTCTCCTATCTCTTTTAAGTAAGTTTCACCCAACAAAGTGAATTCATTTCAACCTGAAAGTTGATCAACCTTCACCCAATTAACACTTTGATAATCATTTTCCCAATTATTGATACAATTGTGTTTCTTTTTATCTCTTTACAACTTCTTTAATCATGTAACTGTTTAATAATTGTATTTTTCTTTCTCATTTCGTCCTCTTTCAGATGCTAGTCTTGAATGGGAAACTTTCGAGCAATTTTGTCTTTGGCAACTTTTTGTTGCTCATTCAATGCCTGTTGAATATATACTTCCTATCCTTCCGAAATTGGAATTTCAAAGTGAGTGTCTATCTTTTTTTCCCTTGTTTTTTTCCTACTACTTTGAGACTAATCGATTTCTTGTATCTCTCTCTCTCTCTCTCGCTCCCTCTAATGTTTTCCCCATCCACAGAACATTCTGAAGCTCTCACCAACATATTATTACTCATTAAAAGGGAAGAACCAAGTCAGGAGCTTTTAAAACATATAATTAGCCGTGATGCCCGGGAAAAGGATCATTTTGTTGTATCTTTGTTAAAATATTGGACCAGTACTAGTTACATGGAGGAATTAGCCAAATTATTAGGCACACAATTAAATAAACAAAACGTAACGAAACGTAAAAGGTAAACAATCAACTTTTTTTCCCTTCTATGTTTTTATTTTCTATTTAAATTCAGTTTGGTAAAAAAAAGTAATTAATTGTTTTTCTTTATCATTTTTACTATTTTATCTCCTCAGGCCTGCAAATAACAAAGTCTCTTTACCAACTAGTGCAGAACAAATTTTAATTTATTTAGATCAATTAAGGCAAACAAATATGAATAGTAAATGTAAGTTTAACTAATTTTTCTTCCTCCAAGAAAAAAACTTTGACTATCTTTATATTAATTTTCTTTGTTGTGTCTTTTCTGTTTCTTAATCAATATAACAGTTTTTACCCACGAATCAATCCAAAAAGCTTTAATATCTACACAAGAGATTTGTAGTGATACTCAAAAAACAAGGTAAGTCAAAGACAAACAACAATAATTACTAACACAAAAAACATATAACATAAACTTGAAGAGAATCCTCTGTAGATTTATCTCTTTCATACATAACATTCAAAGTAAACATAAGAACCTTATTATAAGCCATTTATATTTTCGTTTATGTTTAATATTACCTGGATATTTGATCAATGTTAACCTTAACAAGATCGAGATATTTGTGAATCTTTTTAAATTGTTGATTAATTTCAAAGAGAAAGGTTTTTTTCTTCTATGTAAACACTAACTGTTGTTTTTTTTATTCTATTTTTAACTTGAATATCCATAGGTTTAGTGATCTTTTCGCACTAATAGATGACCACGATTCTAAACCGAAAAGAGGGAAAACATCAAATAAAAGAACAAAACACAAAAAAGTTACAGATACTGAAAGTGAAACAGAAGCATCTGAGGTAAGTTAATTGTGTTCACTTGATTAACAACAAGTAACTCATTTTCCGTGAAATTAACACAGTCAATCAATCATCATGATGTTAAATTATAATTGTTATAATATAATTTTCATTATACGTCATTAACAACTAATTGATTATTATTCTAATTTCTTTTTCTTTCTTTCTCTCTCTCTCTCTCTTTTAATTTGTTAAATCCAGGAGGAAACAACACCAGTTAAGAAAGAAAATAAGTCATCGACTCCCAGAAAGAAAAGGAAAACCATAGTAGCTTCTGATTCTGATTAGTATCCAAACAATCAGATACGTTTTTTTTTCTTCTCTATCTTCACAAATCATCTCAATACAATTTCATCTTTATATATGTGTATAACAATCAACAATCAAAACAAAAACCGTTGTCCTCATCTCTGTCAATTGTCCCCCTTCTCCCATCAGATCAACAAAAACTACACCACCATCACCACCCAATCCATTTATATAAAATTTTGTTTCCAAATGAAAGAAAAAATTTGTCAACCCATCAAATCAAATTCACCAACCATGACATTGTAAATACCTATGCAATCGCCTCTCATTGTTTACATAAATGTTAACAAATCATCAACTCTCTAAATTTAATAAATTGTTTACGTTTTTGCTAATTAAATGAATGAATTACAATCAAATTGATAATCATTCGGTGGATCAAGCCAAAGAGGAAAAACCATCAGCAACATGTTTAGGATTCACTCGTCAAGAATTGATCAAGATGCAACAATTAACCAAATCATCAATTATTTTCTGTATATTATATTTAATCCTTGGAGTTTACCTGATCGGTTTAATTGTTTATTCTCAAATTAATCCTGATAAACCTAAATTGTTAAAAATTTCATCGCAAATATTACTTGAAGTAATCATGCCCGTCGGCGTAATTAACGGTTTCGGTAAATTGTTAACCTTTTATTCATCATCAAAGTCTTCACAATTAGGAATGAAATTATCATCATTTTCACAATTAATTGCTATTTCATTAGACATTTACTCTTTCATCAAAGTAGTTAAAGAAGGTAAATAATATAATCAAATTTAATTGTTGAGTAAAAGTTTCACAATTAACACTCACGCACAACCAACTAAAGGTTATTTCCCATTGGGTGATGACAATGTTGATTATTAATCTTTAATTAAATGAATTTAATTCAGTTTTTCACCAGTTTTAAGTGTTTTTAATTTACCCAAATTGATTAATTTTGTCTTAATTGTTAATTGTTAGGAAACAGGATTGGAACCGGATATTTTTATGATGATTTACTTTTGGTCTCATTTATTTATTTCTGTATTTGGTTTGATTTTATTTACCTTTTGGCAACAATTGTATTAAATGTACAATTAACTGTTTATGGTTTTATTAAGAAACCTAAATTGCATCATAATTGTAATCACAATTTACCTAAATTAATTGTAACATGAATCGTGATTACTAATCAGAATAAAGTAATGTCAGTGATTTGATTAATTGTTGGATTTTAAAATCTAAATGCTCAAATTAATCCAAAGATTATATAAGAATAGGAATTAGAATCTTTTTCTGAAGAAAAAATCCATTCCAATTTAGTGAATTTCTTATTGATCGCTGGTTCGAACTCTTTGAATGTGCTTTTAAAAGACCTTTAAATGACCTTTAATTGGGTTATATTCGTCAAAATGGACTCGAAATAGCCTCAGGGCATAATTAGAATCATCCTGAGCCACAGGTAAACAATTAAAACATTCATTTGATTGCGATTTGTAAATGAACATTTTTGTTTTTAATCTTATTCTCATTGATATTGTTTTCTTTTGGAAACAGAATCGATTTGATCATCACAATTATGATTATGATTCTGATTCAATTGGTTTAGTTAATTGTGTTTATGCAATTATCAAATTGCTGAGTCTGTTAGTCTCATGTTTTATACAATTTAAATTGTTAACTTTGTTATTGTTAATAAATACATTTAATTTACAAATTAATTTACATTGGCATTCAAGTTTGTATGGTAACATTGGATTGTTTCAATTGGAATTACAAAAATTTAATTTAAATGCTACAAAAAAAACCACAACAACAATTAAAGTTAATCAACTTGTTCAAAATTTGACAAAGTAAATTGTTCAACCAATTAGTGAACAATATTCAATCAAATTATTGTATTTGTATCATATTTTGGTGCTTCAAGTTATAATCAATTTGATTGATTAACAATTAGAATCAATTATTTATCAATATAATTACAAATGAGAGACAAATATTAACAATTAACAATTAGATTTTCAACCTTTAATTGTAAACCTAATTTAATTGCTTCTCATTTGATTCATTACAATCAAATGAGAATCAGAACAAAAAATTGATCATCTGATTAACTGATTGTATTAGTTCAATTTACTATCATTGGTCATTCAACAATTTAAATAATCAAAGTAACAATTAAAATGTTTGATAAAATGGGAATAATTTATATATAATAATATATATATTGAACAATTTAGGTTTACAATTAACTTAATTTAGTTTTTGTTCATCTATTAATTTTCAACGGGTTACAATTAAATTGGAACAGTTAATTAGATACATTTAATAATAATAACAATTATAAACAATTAACTGTTTGTCTTTGATTTTGTTTTGTTTTTCTCAGGTAAAAAGGGAAAACAACAATTAACAAATTGAGATAAATTGATTTGGATTACAATTAAAACATAGAGCTCAATCATTTAAATTACAACTTTTATGTGCATTGGTTTATTGTTTATTACTCTTGGTTGATTAGTTAATTGTGATAAAAATATTGATGATAAATTATGAACAATTGAAGGATAATGATGATGATAATTGTAATAATACAAATGAAGTTGTGATCATGTTTACATACAACTGTAATTACTGTTGATTACTGATGATTACAATTAGATTAATTTAGTTATAACCAACACCAATTAATTTACAACAATTAAGATCTTTTTTTGGTTTGATTTTCAATCTTGTATCTTTCTTGGTACATAATTAATACTTTAAGTTGGTTCTTGTTGAGATAAAGTTGATTAACTAATTACGTTGAGTTGATTAGTTTAAATACACTAATTTATATATACAAAATTTTGTGGAGTTAACAATTAATATATTAGTTAGAATATCAAAGTTATTAATTCGGTTGAGTTGGAATTGAGAGAGAGAGAGAGAAAAGGTGATTAGTTAATTTGATTCCTTGAGTTAATTGTGGTTAAGATTAATTTTGTTTTCTTTGTTAATATCTGATGAGCTTTAATCAACTTGCTTGTCGATTAAATTTTCCTATTAGTTAATTGTTTAGAAATAGGCAGATGATGATTAAGGTGATTGAGAGTATGTTGATTAATTGTCCTTATTTAATGATGAAGATTGTGCTTGATTGATGATAATGATAATGATTAAATTTGATTAAGATGAGGCTAAGGATGAATGAGGCATTTAAACATCATTTTTATCTTGTTGATTTCCAGAACAATTTAATCCGGATTAATAAGATTAACTTGATGGTTACACATTAAATCAATCAGGTTAATCATGATTCCAACCATATTAATTGTAAATTAAAACAAAGCTCAACAATTTTGGTCCTCTTTCATTTAGATTCAATAATATGAATGTAAAAAAAAACCAAATTAAATTTGATTATAATCAATAAGTTAATAGTTGATTCTGATTATTAATCAGATTGGATTCACTTTTCTTTTATAACAATTAGCTCTTACTCTCTCTCTCTCTCATCAATAGTGTAATTATGATAACAATGTGATAATCAATGAGCTTATTGAGTTAATTGTTGGCGTTTTTGGTTGATTGTGATTCCTCATGAGAGTCACAATTAAGATCCCGATGGAAAGTGTGATGGACTTGATCCACTGAACGTGGTCCCTCCCGAGGTCGGTGTTATTTTGGTCCCTAATCGTGATAATCTTGGTTCGAGGACAAGTGATTGTTGGTACAGTTCATCATCGGATAAATGTCGCCCAGTGTCCAGTAGATAATTAATTGCTCGGACATTCATCTCAATCTTATAAGGTGTTTGTTGATATTGACGCACTTCCCTGATAACATGAGCAATCTGAAAGAGAGATACAATTAGTAAAGTTAATAATTTCCCATCGAAACTTTTACCAATTCAATTTAAATGAACCAATATAATGAGATGAACAATTAAAATATATATTAATCATCTTCATCTTCTTTAGGATAAAAATAGACCTCAAAAAAAAGCGATAACTATAAAGACTAATAAAAGATCAAAACTCAATTGTAATCAAATTGGAAAACCTTACAGATTGAAATTGAATGGTTATTCATTCAAATAGCCTCAGGGTAAAAAGTTATAAACAAGGATGAAATGATTATCATCCTCATCCTCATCAACAAATCAAATAAATCATATAAATTAAAGTTAATTGTAAAGATGATAATTCACAGGTTATTCACAATTTATATTAATCATTTATTTTATAATAAATTGTAACGGTTAACAATGAGCATGATCATCAATCAACCAACCTTATTGTTGATATTTTTCATCATCATCATCATGATAATCATCATTATTATCATCATCATGGCGATAATGAACTTGCTCAAGATAAGTAAACATGATAATGATAATGATAAAAAGTCATTTAAAATTCCCAGTCAATGATAATATAATTTTCATCATTGTCGTTATTACTTTTCAAGAGTAAATTAGTTTCAACTTCAATGATACAATCAACAACTCGTTGACTGTATTTAGTCAAAACAATTAAGTTAATTGTAAAAGATTCACACTGAAAAAAAAACGTATTTCGGTTTATCGATGAATAGATGATAACAATTAGTGAATTGATTGATTGATTTTCTTACCATTCGCATTTTAGAAAAGTTGAGAAGTCCATCATCGGTGAAATTTGGTGTACCCTCTTCGATGAACGATAAATCCGTTAGGTACATTCCCAGATACGGAATACAGGGAGGGTCACATCGGTGTAACGCTTCACGCATATTCCTGAATCGACCGTCAGTTGAAACGAGTAATTGTAACTTGTCGATACTTTGTTTAACCTTTTCGATGAAATGACATGGAAGAATATTAATTATCGATCGATCGACAGGTTTGAATGTTGGACTTACCGTTTTTGAGACACGTTCCCATGTTCGTTTGAGCCTGAAAACTGATGAATTGGTAAAAGCGGCGCAAATCTGAAGGACTCCATTGAAATTATGAAACATTCGGCAAATATCAGCGACCGCTGCCCACTTCTCAATGGTCGTTACACGCTTTTGTATATCACAGGCTAACATTATCTCTGAGGCGACTAATCTTGAGACCTCATTAAAACGACGGGTCATTAAAAGTATATGAGGAGCTTTGGTTGTTTTATCGGTTTTCATCCAGGCCTGACCAAGAAACTCTTCCGATTGTATTGATATGAAAATCTTATGATCAAGGTAGGTCATTGATTCAGCGATCTCCATTGCGGAAACGGTATCAAAAGTATCTTTACAACCTAATGGTGGTGGTGCAAGTAAAAGGTCAAGGTCAACCTTTTTAGATGAATCTTCCTTTGAGATCATGGTTAACAGTTGACCGGCTGCTTTATGCTCAGCGGGAAGTAGGGAAGGATTATTGGTCAGTTCTTCAAGGAATTCGGTGGTCAGTTGCATGAGACGGGCATCACTTTGAAAATCTTGAGAATGTTTTGAAATCCAGTGTCGTAGGACGTTTAGTACTCTCATTGTGGCTGCAGTTGATATAACGGATTCACGTTTAGATCGACTTGGAGTTAAGGGTAGCCTAAGTTCAGATCCAACGGCACTTGGATGACGAGAACCACGTTGAGACTAAAAAAGAAAAGAAAAGAGAAGAAAATATTAAATTCATTGGTAACAAAAAGAATTGTTAAAAAAAAAGTTCGAAAATCACTTGATCTGAAGTAACACTTACTGCGTACAACTCTAGCGCTGCTCGAGTTCCTGGATCGGGTGGGTTACTTGATGCTGCGGTGGCCACAGCAAAAGCGGAAGCTGCTGAAGCGGTTGATGATCTTCTGGATGAGGCTCGAGAAGAGGTGACAACTACTCCAGCACGAGAAGACATTGTTGGTGTTTCGGGAAGTTGAAAGCTACTTCGAGGTGTTGATAGAACCGTTGTCTCTGTTTGAAATGAGCTTCGAGGTGTAGTTGATGTACTTGCGTAACCAGTACTTTCAGTGTCACTCGAACCTCTTTTACCTGTTGCACCACGAACTTTAAGATACTGAGGTCCGGAAGAAGAAGTTGAAGTGGAACTAAAATTAATCTCTTCCCCAGTAACCTTAGAACTAACCATTCTATTAGAATTTTTATCCGATGAACTTGCTGAACTTCGACCGAAAAATTTAGGTGATGATATTCGAGAGGGAAGAATGAAAGACAATGATGATCCAGATGAAGATGAATTAGAGGTTGTGTGTGTAGGTGTTGTGTGGGTTGACCCTGGGGCACAAATAGAAACTGATGCTCGACCCTCATGATGATGAGAATGATGATGATGGTGAGAATGATGTTGTGGTGTAGATGAAGTAGATGATAGTGAAGATGTTGAATTTACCAGAATTCCCTTGATCGGTGATGGTGTTGGTGATGAGGATGCTATCGGTTGAATATTTTTACTCTTATTCTTATTATTATTGTTACTATTATTACTGAAATTAACATTGGAAACATTTTTACTATTCTTATTACTACAACTACTGAAAATATTTTCAATTCTATTACAATTATTACTATTGTTACTTATTATATTACTACTACTACTTTTGTTATCTGATGTTTGTGCTGTTGTTGTTGTGGTTGTTGTGGTTGATGATGATGATGATGATGAAGTTGAGTAATCTAATTGTTTACTTTTGGTATTCTCACTTGAATTATCACTGCTACTTTCCACCCTTGGTAGCTGTTGGGGTGGCTCTTTATTGACTGGACTTGGTCTTGGTGATCCGCTCTTGGAATCGGCGCTTCCAACCAGTGTACCTAAACTGGCTGCCGCTGAAATGATCGTTGGTGAGGTTGGTGATGAGCTTTGATCCGCTTTCAGGGTTTCACTTGATTGGCTGTGACTTGGAACACTGATTGACAATTTATCCTGTAATTCATGAAAACTTTCACTTTCACTTTGAGCTTCACTTTCACTGAAATGTTCAATCTCACAGTTACTTGAATCTTCAGATGAATTCTGGATACAACAACAAAAAAAAACAGAATCAAAAACGTTACATAAACAATTTGATTGATTTAATTTCGCAAATCAAACCGACCAACAGTACAATCAATTATTACAAATCAATTCCAATAGATGGAAAATCAAAAAAAAAATCTAGATGTAAATGATTGAGTTTCCTAGGATAATTAAATTAGTTTCTTTCCCTTTCATTTAGTTTAATTGTCTTGGATTAGATTTATAAATTTCTCTCATTTTCTTTGGATCCCTAATCATACAATTAACTAATTTTATTGATTGTCCATCGTAATTAGATTTGTTTTGATTTGCTTATTGCGTTTTCTGTTGTTAGATTGTTTTTCTCACTTAATTGTTTCATTTTTCTTACCTGTTCTTTGTCTGATTCTGTTGAATAAAGATCAGGGGGTAGATAAGTTCCTGGAACCTCAGGGCTTGGCGGTGGTGGAATTGGATGAATTATCTCTGGACCCGGGGAGAGTAAGGAAATGTTCACTGGTTCCGTTGTTAGAATACGTTGTGGGCAATTAATTTGTTCCTCTGCTGATTTAGCCAAATTTGAACGTGTTCGAGCTTGTTCCTCTTCCACTGAAATAGAAAACAAAATAATCAATCATGTGAAATTCAAGAAAAGTTCAGCAACTAAAAGAGAGCCCAAAGTTCCGATTTCACCCGAAAAAAAAAACAACAACAAAGTAACAACAAGATTCTGATAAATTTCCTTTGGAACTTAAATTGTACATTCTAATAATATTTTCGAGCTTCGATCTTTTTTAACCAATAAGTCTCAACTTGGAGAATTGGTAAAAAAAATGTTCTCAACAAAGTCTCTATTGGTGATACTCTCAACGAAGATGCTTTTACCTCTCATAGGAATTTAATAAGGTGAAACCTTTCATTGCAATCAAAATTAATCAATGTTCATTTATTACAATCATTGAATAATTGAGTCAATTACGTTTGACATTCACATCGATTCCGCTGTCTAATCAAAAATTTATTTATTAATATACTTTATCTCATATGAAGAGGTAAAGAAAAGGTAATTCAAAGGTCAACCATTGGGAGAGAAAATGTTAACCTGAAAATGCTGATGAATTTTATGAACATGAACATAATTAACCTTCGGAACGACTGATTCATATTATCATCTCAATCGTAACAAATAAATTTACTCATTAAAGGGCAAATGTATGAATGGTAAAAATCTTAGAAGAATCAAAAGTATATCGAATAATTTGATTGAGATTTACTAACAATTCATACTTCAAATTCAGGGGAATTTGGAGAGAAACAACTTGAAATAGGAAAATGCTCATCATGGAAATTGAATTGATATAAAATTCGTTTGCAGATAATCAAAGGAGAGAGAGAGAGAGAGAGAGAGAGAGAGAGAGAGAGAGAGAGAGAGTTTTAAATGCAATGGAATTGGAATCGTAACTCTAATTGTTACGTTGATTGTCCTGTTGAGGAAAGTGAATTAACTAACAATGTAAGTATCAATGAAAGTCAATCACTCCTGGTAACAGTGATAAAGATTAACTAATATTAAATCAACGATAAAGGTGAATGATTGGTTTTCACAACATTTGATAATATTTATTTATTATCAATCCGGAATTAAACTAATCACCATGAGTATGATGATTTAATCTGACAGCAGTTGAACTTGAAAGGAACTGGGTTAAGGGCATTTATGTTAATCTTTCCAACAATTTAAGATGAAAAGAGTAATAAAAAAAATATCAATAATATAAATCTAAATCAGATCAAAATAGATTCACAAGATTATGATTGTTAATCCTTACGAATTAAATATTACTTAATCTTTTGCAATATACTGGAAACATTGAAACACTAAACAGCAATTTAAATATAATCAATTTGCAAATGAAATGAATTTGCAATTGATGATAACCTTTTTTTTTGCTTATCTTTGCAAACAATTTAATTAAATTCATGATATGCAATTAAAATTACTCAATGAAAATGCAAATTATTCAGATTATTTAATAACTTTAATCGTAAATATGAAACAAAGTATTTTAATTGTGATTAGAATTGTCAAGATGAGCTAATTTGATTGTTAAGATGATTTTCGATTCCCTCCCAAATAATAAATCACCCTGATTGTGATTTATTTGAATTCTATTCATTTTGATAGCAATTATTGATCCGAATCTCGATTAATAATAATAATAATAATCTCTCTCTCTCTCTCTCTCTCTCTCTCTCTCTCTCTCTCTCTCTCTCTCTCTCAACTCGTTGACTGTTATTATTTATATTTATTATCATTATGATATTATTTCAGGTCTAGTTTTTTTATCCTGTTAACCATTTTCATCCCATTCATCTGATTCATCTGATTCTGCTCTCAGGTGACCTTGATTCCCTGGATTTTTTTCGGTGATGATTATGATGATAACTGAAATTCTGAATAACTAGGTCGCCAGGCCAACTTAACCCAGATCTACTTTCTTTCATCTTCTTTCATCTCTTTCTTTTTCTTTTTTCTATTATCATCATGATAAACTTTTCATCCCCATTCATCCATTTAAACAACTTTTTCCACCCTCACAACATGTAATTTCATTTATTACTTCATACTACTCTTTCTCTCTCTCTCTCATCTTATGCAATATCATTATCATCTTCATACTCGCATCCCTTTTGCATCATTTCCGTGTCCTGTTGTCCATTTATCAAGAATTTGCATTTTCTTTTGCATTTCTCTTATATATTACTCTTTCTTTCTATTCAAGTTCCCTTGACCCTTTCCTCCATTTTTTTTCCTTCCTAAATGCAATCATGAATCATGATGGATCTTAGGTGTAGGCGTATTGATGAAGTTAATGTTACTCTCATCAAGAAAAAATTTCTCTATGTTAATTTGCAGTTGACTCTCTTATTCATCTATGGGAATTGTAAGAACTTCTTTTTTCTGTTGCATGTATATCTAATTTCACCATGAAACTGAACAAACTGAGAAAAATATAGTTGAAAACTTACCTTTTGTACTAATCTCTGCATCTCTCTGTTGTTTCCTCATAACAAAGGTTATCTCATCTTTTTGGTCTTTGATTTATTTTTTCAAGTGCATTATCATTATGCATATCATGATAAGTACCATGGGAATTGATGACAAGTAAATCAGCAAGATGAGAGGATGATAAGGTTACCAGAACCCAAAGGAGAATAGATGAAATTTTTTTATGGAAAAGAGAGAGAGAGAAAAAAAAATTCAAGATAAATTCAGTTGATTTGATGTTAATCTCTTTCTTTCTGAATCTATCACATATTCAGAATATCAGTAATCAGTTGGAACACAATTAATAGATGAATTTCAACCATCTCTTAATCATGATTAATGGTGAGAAAATTTTACAATTGAAAGTATCTTTGGAAATGATTCTCCCAGTGAATATTATCAGTAGATATTCAATGGAAGATGAAATTTCAGGTGACTTACATTTACGATAAGATAATCTCCAGTGTTGATTGTTACGATAAACGTACTCCTGTTGAGCTTGTTGAAGATTATACAACATTTGGGTGTCCGAATTTGCTGAAACCACCGATTCCCGATGAGCATCCGAGATATCAGATAATTCTGAGGTTGCACTTATCCTTCTTGAATAATCATAATCAAGAGTAATTATATCTGATGGTCCATGAGCACCAAGTCCACTTCCTCTTCCACTTCCTGATCCACTAACACTTACAGCACCAGAACCAACACCAGTACCAGTTAAACCACTGCCACTGGGACCAGTATTATTATTACCAGTTGAACCGGTCATAACGATATCACCACAATCTGAACAGCTAACAATTAAATCATTGGCACGATTAAGCTCCTCCAATGATCCAGTTGGATCATTAAGTGGTACTAATGAGGTACTTTCCGGATAATAGTGAACCTTTTTCAGAGCCTCAAGAACGGTCACTCCGTCGGTGAAAACTCGATATGTTAACAAGAAGGTGTTTAAAAAATCGATGGACAAAAAACGAAGGTCAGTTAAACGTTCAAATAAACGTTCGGGTGAAGCATAACGTATTTGCGGCAGTTTACACGAGTTTAGAGTTCGACTGAAGCGAATGTCAACATCGTCCTTGTACAATCGAGGGTCATTTCTATCACCATGGAAAGAATCAATAACAATAATGATACAGATTTCGAATTAGAATTTATTGGAAAAAAAAGGAAAAATTTGAAATTCGAAAAAATTTCCAATCAATTTTACCTGATCGATTGAGGCATCGTTACCGATGATGAATCACTCATAGTGCTATGGAAGAGATCATTGAAATGAACGTTATCAATGCACTGAAAAGGGAGAGAGAGAGAGAGAGAGAAGGACAATTAATATATTAATTGTAATCACAATCAGTAAATTAGATTAGAAAATCAATATCATTATCCATTCAATTTAACCTTTCAAAAGCTAATCAAGCTGTAATTAAATGTTAACCAACAACATGTATAATTAACTTGTCAACATTTTAAAATGATTCTATTAATTATTGATTGATTACTTGGACAATTAAACAATTAACGAGTCATTTACCATCATTAAAAATGTACATCAATGATAATAATCACCATTGATTTATTGGTTAATTGTTGAGATTATGTATTATAAGTATTGAATAGTCAATCAATTGAAAATGAAATAATCTATTGATTTAATGGGGGAAGCAAATTAATTGATTGTTTGCAATTAAATTAAAAAAAAAGGAAAAAAGAGAAATCAAATTTCAATCAACTTAATCACTTTGAACACAATTTAAATTTGACTGTTTTCACTTAGATATATTTTTTAGAGTGAAAAAAAAACTGTTACTTTCAATATGGATGAAAATGATGATGTAACAATGAAATTTATCATGTGGATCAATGATTTTCAGTATATCATTTTCATCATCATCATCATCATCATCTTCATCTTCATCATCTTCATCTCTATATCAACACTTGAGATGTAAAAACAAACTGAAAATGAAAAAGGATGAAGATGAAATTTGAACATCATGTTACCTTTAGTAATATAAATTCAATGGTTGATAAATTGATGAACACATAACCATTGATGACATTGATTTAAATTGAATCACTGATTAACAATACATGATTAACAATTAAGAAGACCAGAGAAACACTAATGAAAATATAACAATTAGTGAGGAATGATAATAAATATCCTGTTAACAATTAATTGATTGTTAATGTCAAAGGTTTATCACAGATTTGATAGTAACATGAGACGTAAATGTTGATGAACGAAAAAAAAACCAAACACTAAAGCAAATTAATATCAACAAGATAATCAATATCTTGATTAGAAAGAGATTAGTTTAGTTAATTATCACAATTAAAAGAAGAAGAAGAGGAAAATGTATTTGTAACAATTAAGCACAAATTAATTGGAAACAATGAGAAATCAAATTGAGAAGCAAAATGGAAAACACAAAAAAAGGTAAACAAAATGTTCATCTCATGATGAAAGTAACGGTACTTTAAACGATTGCAAGTGAAAAGAAAATCATTGATCAAGACAATCAGTTGATTATAATAAATTAATCTCGTTGATCAGTAATCATAATCTAAATACCAATTTACAATAAAAAGAGATGATGAAGATACAATGATGAAAGATTGAAAGTGTTTCACTACGAAATAGGATGGAGAGAGAGAGAGTGTGTGTGTGTGAGAGAGAGAGAGAGAGAGAGAGAGGTGAGACTGTCTTGACATTCACTCACTCACCATAACAATGAGAGAGTGAGACGATGACAATTAAGTAATGATATTGACGATTATGGTGATGATTGAAGTGAATTATTGTTCTTACCTGTGATATATCACTGGTCCAAGCTGCTTTCTCTTGCATGGTTGGTGCAACCAAATGAATCGAAACGGGTGGACCAGCCTTACAGTCCCAGATTATCTTGAAATCGAGTCCACTGTAGATCTGTTTGTTTCCTGGTAAATGTAACGCTGGTAAATTTGCTTCATTGGCTCGAGAAAAGTAGCTTATGGATCCCTCTATTAGAAGAAAGTTGATTTTATTTATTGATTTTCGTGGAAAAGAATTGAAAATTTTTACTTCATCTTTTTCCAAATGAAACAATTACACCATGAGAACAGACTATAGCAATGAGAATAATAATATCAACATCAACAACAACCTCTTTTCCATCATCATTTTCATCGTCAAGTTAGTGAGAGTATGAGGGAGAGAGCAAAGGAGATGGATGAGGTGTGGATGCTGAAGAGAGTGGCAATCATATGTATTATATGATATGTTCAGTGAGAATGTAAGAAGAGACTTATAAGACTTTTCGAGTTTAGAAAAGGGGAAATGTTGTTGAGTGAAGGTGGAAGATGATGATGAGGTGGAGGTGGAGGTGGAAAATGAGTAGACGAATATTATCCCCGATGTGAACTCTTTCTTTCAGAATTTTCTCTTTTTCTTTTTCTTCAATCATTATTATTATCTGATTCTCGCTGATTCGACTCAACGTTCAGGTGAATTCATGACATTGTTTTCTTGTTTCTTACTAACTTTTTACTATCTCAATGAATTTACAGTTTTCATTATCGTATCTTCATGATTATGATAATATGATCTCTTTGTATGAATGTTTAAAAGTTTGTTTTTCTTTTACAAATATCATGGATTCCTTTCAATTATCGGAATCCTGAGATTGTAAAACTTTTTGATATTATAACTTTCAAGATTAACGATGATAAATGGTGATAATAGTCATGAATTGTTACGATAATATGAATTGAATTGAGTGAGACACTTGAAAATTGAGGAAAAAATCAGCAAAAGAAACAAATTGTTCTGGAATCAAATGTTGTTTCATTAGAACTTTTCTCTATCCTAGTTTTATTACATATATTGTATATTATTCATCATTTTCATGAGAAGATATTAAATTTACCTGAGCTCATAAAATATCCACCTACACTTTTACCTTAACTTTCAATATTACATATCGTCCTACGCTTTGTACACTCCCAGCCGACTTGATCATCTTCATCATCCCTAATTGTTATTACCTAGATTTCCCAGCCAAATACTCCGCCCTCAACATTAACCTTTTAATGAATATAATCATCATGTATTCTTGATGATATAATTCATGATTATGAACTTTTCAAAAATTCAATCAATCCTTTTATCCATAACTTGTTGTATTTCAAAATCAATTTAATTCATCTAAATATCATCTCGATTTCATCATTTTAACTCATACGAAATTGATAACTTTTTCTTATGCAATCGATGAGAAACAATCTTATCATATATGCAATTAAGATTGAGAATTAGCAAAAATTATTAAGAAATAATAATAGAAAACTAATAATAATAATAAGAAAATGAGATAATTTTCAATTTTTAAAATGATATTGAAAAATTTAACACATTCATCTTGTTGAATATCTAATGTTCTGAGTGATCTGAATTGAATCAGATTAAATAATGACATTTAACTTATCTACCATAGATGAATATCAATACAAACTGATACACTGGTAACTTTTGGGTTAGTTTCAGTTTTCAGGATTCTCTTTTATCATCATGAATTTATACACACATTCAATTGAGATTGCTGAGTAATATTGTTACATGTGCACAGACATTTACTTTCTTGTGTCAACCCAGAAAATATCGATCAATTCTAGTATTAAAACCTACATGATAATACAGTAGATATCATCATCATGATGATTACGAGAAGTGTACAGAATAGTTCTGAATAGTAACTATTACATGCAGATACGATTTCTGTAAACACTGTAACCAAATAAACAGAAGTTTGCAAAAAAAAAATGGATCATAACTTAATACATAATGTTATGCAATTGAATTCAATTAAATTGAAATGATACCAATTCTGATTCAGTTCAATTCTTGCGATTATGCAATCGCCATGAGGTTATCTTTATCTCCTCTTGAGATGAAATTCAAGTTGAATTTGCATTCGTTAATTTGACCCTGAACTTGGTTATTATGAGGCTGTGGTTCAATATTATTAATATTTTCTTGTTGTTTTCTTTCATAGAAAAAGTTTCAGATTATTTCAAGTTTACTCAAGTCAGAATAGGAAATGTTCATACAAAGGTATTTATATAATATAATAAGATATATGGAGGTTGAGAGGTGAAAATAGGCCATTCGAACTGTTTGAATACCTGGAAATGTTCAAGGTTGTTTCTTATCATCGATTCCGGGCTCAGAACTTTTTTCTTCTTTTCATCTTATCCCCAACCCTTAATCTTCTAGATAAAGACAAAATTCATGGCGCATTCTCAATTCAAAACACCATGGAAATGATAACCATTATCAACAGTTAGCCACCTAATAGATAAGGTTAATCTGCCGCTTTTATGGTCAACCAGGTCAACTACAGTCCAAGCTAAGAAATTGTATCTTCACTTAATATCAAATTTTTGAGAGCTGATCTTGAAAAAATAGTTCCAAAGCATAGCTGCTAAAATATCAGGCTAATTATTCAAATTGCTGAACTAATACTTTGAAAATTCAGTTAACTTTATATGCAAAATCAACCTCAGATATCAAAAGGTCAAATTAAACAGCAAATTGAACGCTGGTCATGTTGGACAATTGCAAAGGTTTAATATTTATTGAATTTCATCCCGAGGGTGGACAGAAATAGTCTCATGATGATACTAAAGGTAATGCAATTGGCTCTAAAGTATATTTAAAAACTCTGAATAAATTTCAATTCTTGGCATTTCGCAATCACAATGAGGTTATCTTCATCTCCTATCGGAATAGCCTCGATTGTGAAATTAAACCTTTCGCAATTGTCCAGCTTGATTTGCATTTAATTTGCTGTTTAATTGCAACCATGACCTTGGTTAATACAATATGAGTTTAATTTTCTGTCACAAAAAGTAAATAACATGACACTGAATCAAATTTGCAATTTTCATGAGATTTTTAATTCATTATCAACAGATTATATCATGAAAAAAAACATCATTAAAATTGCATCAAACTTGATTTGATTATTTTACAAATAAACAAAAATGATAAAATATTAATGAATAAAAGTAATTAAACTCTCATTGAATATATTAAAGCTCAACTACTCAATTGGCTTATTCACTCAGAATTTTGATACATTACTGTCATGAGAACCGGAAACAGTTCTGCAAGAATTCATATCGCAAATGAATGATATTAAATTTCCCTCCAGGTAAGAAAAAAACTCCAATCCCTGGGAATAAATTAATCTCATCACTTGAAATGAACTCTAATAGATGGCGTAACCGATCATTCTGCAAAAAAAAGTTCTAATTCTAATGTTGCAATTGTGAATCTGAGCATGATAATATTAGAATCATGAGCACCATGGTTAATGTACAATTACTGTGGTAATTTATTTATATTTCATAACTAATCAACTTTTTGTAACACGATGACAATGTTGTAAAAACATCGCTATTATAAATCATTCATTTCCAAATCAATAAGTTCAACTGAATAAAAAGTTCCGAGGCAAAAAAGTTATTAGATTTTATGTGAAAAATTTCAATTTCAAATAAGATATTATCGAATCATGTTTGCTCCTTTCTTGTTCTCATTCATGATGATAATGAGTTGAAATCTGATGAAAAAATAACAATAATATCATCATGAAAGTTGAGAATTACTATTAAATCTCAAAGGTAATATTATCAAATCGGAAGTTGTAACAAAGACACTTGTTGAATGATAATCTTGATTCAATCTATAATAATTACGACTACTTTGAACTTTCATCTATTAGTAACAGAAAAGTAAATATTAATCAACCATGGATTCAGTTTCATGACAAAAAACATGAATAGATTATCCCTTAGGTAAATAGGGATTTATGAGGTTTATCAAGGAAGAAATTATCAATGAAATTATCTCCATGAGATTACCTGCAAAATCATCAATGAGAAAGGCAAATTGTTCAGCGGGTTCTTCAATCAAAGTAGCCTCAGTTAAAGGTATTCGTCCAACATTCTGAAAGTAATTAATATATAATAACATTAAGAGAAAAGATTAATAACGATTAAGGTAAATTGGAAAAAGTTTTTCTTTTTCTTAATAACAATAATATTCTCAGTATTTTCTTTACCTCGACTACATTAAGTTTACCATTTGAAGCTCTTATGCAAAGTAAGATATGATTTGAGAAAAGGAAACATTGTCTGACCACTTCCTTATCACCTTTAAATGAGTTAATCCTTTTAATCACTTTAGGCACAGGTAAATGAAGGACACTTCCTTGACGGATAAAGACTTGATTAACATCAAGTAGGACATCACATCCACCAATGATAATCCTTTCAATGGCAAGGTTCTTACGGATATTTTCAGTCTCGGAGACTTCATCATGCATTTGCTGAGGAAAAAGAGAGAGAGACCAATCAAACAATAATCTCAATAATAATCTTCGAAAATAATAATAACAATTACCCTTGATAACTCTTCCAGTTTACTCTTGGCATTTTCAAGGCTTTTCCTTTCGACATGATTATGTGGTGTATGAGCAAGTAATTCGTGTAGAGTGATAATATATCGAGGAACCTAAATGAAGAAGGAAAAATTTTCTATCTCAATCTATTGTGTTCCATTTGTAATTTTACATATTCCATCAGGTAAATTGTCTTACCTGGTGCATTGGGTACGTTAGAAATGTTTCCAATGTTCGGTTGGCGATCACTGGCTTCTCCTCTAATCGCTTTAATAAGGTCGCAAATTTTTCCTTCGCCTTACATTCAGCAAGAACTTGCAATGAGAAATGATGATTTCTAACATATTCCTGGTAAATGCATAACATGGGCAACAGCATATCAAACAAATCTCCTATTCCCGTTGGTTTAAATTGTCAACAATTTGCAAATCATAACAAATGTATTGATGGTTTTGTTTTTCGCAATTAAAAGTCATAATGTGTGATAAAAGTGAATTTCAATTTGCAAACCAATGTTTTTTTTGTTTCATGATAAATAAGTGAATGAGTGAGTTTTCAATCATTAAATTGTTTGTAATTGATTGAGAGATTCAGATGATTAAAATAATCACCAAGGCAAAAAAGTGCAAACAAAAAGTTCAATTGATTGATTTAGTTTTTTTTTTCGTTTCGTTTGTTGTGAATTTTTTTTTGTTTGATTATGTTGCAAGTAATCAAATTGTAAATCAATCGCAAATTAATCAACAAATTAAGGTGACAAACAAAAATTAAAAGTCCAGGTAAGATGATGGTCAATATTTGCGAAGGTTTTGTTTTAATTGGTCAGTTTCGAGTTGGTTTCAAAATGTTGTTTTCGAGTCAAAATAAGTTCAGATCAAAGTTTTACCAGCATTGAGAATATGAATTGTGTTAAAAGTGTATGTGTGTGTGTGTTTGAGTGTTTGTGTGAGTGTTTTTCGATGCAAATGTTCAATGTCGATAGGGAATCGGGTTAGGGGATAAAAGAAAAGAAAGAAAAAACAAGACAAGAAGAAAGTGCCCAGAAAAAATAGCAAAAAAAAGGGAAACGGAAACAAATGTTCAAAGTTTTGTTTTCGTTTCGAAAAAGTTTTGTTTTCATTTAGTTGTTGGTGTTTTTTTTGTTGTTTTTCACCGACAAAAATCAATCAGAAAATGAATCAATTTTTTTTCGATAAGATTATTGAATGATAATCAATTTTATCATCAAGGTAGCATCATAATTTGATTGTAATCAAAGTGTATTATCAAAGTGTGAGAAAAAAATTTGTCAAGATTCAAAGTCATATGGGTCAGCAATTGGTCATCGGAATAAAAAGAGAGTAGAAAAGAGAAAGAGAGAGAGAAAGCAGAAGCGGGGAAAAAAGGTAAAGTGGAAGAGGAAATTATATATTCGGACAGGAAGTAGAAATATTTGTAAAGGTAACGGAAGTTGCAGGTAAATTCAATTTCGTTGGATAAATGGACCGGCAAGTAGAAAGCGAAAGGTAAAAGATGCAAATGCATTAGAAGAGTAAAGAAATGAAGAAAGAAAGACGAAAAGAAAGTAAAAACCAATGGTTAATAACGGCAACTAATACATGGGTCAGGCCGTTTCGATCACGAAAGTGACCTGAAGCGCTAAAGGTTTACAAGGTTCACACTACCAAACTATTATTAGGAAACTTTTCGGTTTCGCTAAAACTATTATATTGTATTAATAGTAGAAATGGAATTTTGATTTTGAAGTGACAAAGTTTTTTTTCATAATTCCAAGGTAACTATTCATATTTATTAATAACTGATTGTGATTAATGAAAATTTGATTAATTTGTTTACTGATTTAATGGTCAGTTGCTCACCTAATACTAAGGTTGGCCAGGATTCCATGCGAGCGGTCAAACCTTTAAGAAAAATTTGATGTAAAAACATGATTGTTTCACTATTCAAGAAGATTGAATTCAATTCATCATGAGAACAGGGTGGTTTCTGTGAGGATGCTGCCATTTTCAGGGGACGAAGGAAACATGAGACTAAAAGTTGAAGCTGTTCAACATATTCCTCTTCAGCTTCAACCATACGAAAGACCAAACTGATCAGTAGAAAAAAAATTACCCCAAAGTTTTAAGAGTTTGAATAAGAACTTTTTTGTTTTTCTTTTTCAATATTCGTTTGAAACTTACCTGTTACGTTTTCTCATATTTTCTGCATGAGGTGAGTTAATATACTCTTCGACTATTTGTTTCCATCGACGTCGACATAACCAACCACGGAAGAACGATTGAACTTTTTTGATCTTTTTCACCTCTTCCGATTCATCGTCGTTCTCAATTGAATTACACCTTTTGTAAGGTGTAAGTTTCCACTCCTTCTTCAGGGAACAGAGCTGTTTACGGTGGGTGAAAAACTTTAGACCATCAAATTAAAACAATCAACAAAAAGAAAAGAAGAAAATGAAAAGGTAAATTGTCAACAATTAGGATTAAAACACAATTAGAAAATAATTGAGAAAATATAAGTCGAAATCCGATTGGAAATCAACAACTAAATCTACCAGAAGATGTCACTTAAGTTTCTAAATGTACAATAATAGAATCAGATGAAACAAAAAAACTACTCAATTCAAACTAATATCATGAATTTCCTCATGACAGAATCATGAAGACAATTGAGACACAGAGGAAAAAGTAAACATACCGAGAGGTAATAATAGATAATATCAAGAACTTTTATTGGTAAGGGAAAAAGAGATGAGTTGAAATCGTGGAGAGAAAAAAAAAGTTTATATTTCATGAGATTTACTCAGAACTTTTTTTTAAGCTTCGATTTTAATGATTCCTTTCATAAATGTCTTTCATTTTTTTTCTCATTCCATGAGAAAAGATTAAATTGATTGTGTCAGAAAGAAAATGAAAACTATTATAATAAGATAACAAAGAAAAAGAAAAAAAAATCTGAACAAATTTGAATATTCCAAGTAAAGAAGGAACAATTTGAAAAGTTCATAAATGAAACTCAACGAATCTCTTGTCGAAGGGAAAAAGTAACGGTTATTAGGATTTTCACTTGCTTGTTTGCATTAATATCTTGATGGTGGTTTTTGCTGGAGTGTTGGAGTGAAAGGATGAGTAGGGTTGGTTTCAGGGAGAAAAGTTCTTACCTCAGCTCGTAACTTTTTTATCTCGATCGTAAGCTCTTCACATTGTTGAGTATAATGAGATTTAGCGGTTTTCTCAGTTTCAACGATTTGGACTAAATGTAAATGTTTCTGTTCTAATTCCTCCTTGAGAAGAAGCATTTTACTGAAACTGTTTACCGAAAAGATATTTACAGAATTTCCATCCATCAGGGTGAGATAAATGAAGAAGAAAAATGATATTGGAAGAAGAGAATTATTTTTTCTCATATAAATTCATGTAAGTTCATGTTCATCCCATTGAACAAAAAGGAAGTAAAAAAAAAGATAGAAAAACAAATAGGCAAGAACGAAAGAGAAAACGAAAACTGAATAATAACTCAGGTGAAAATTCATTTTCCATTTTTTTCTCCCCTGAAAAAAGAGACTTCATGATGTTGATGATAAAATGGTAACAATATATAATATCTTCAATAGGCTGGAATTTGTTTCATGGTGATTATCATGACACTGAGGAAATAAAATTCTGTGGTTTCTTTTACCTTATTCACGCGAAACAATTGTTTCTTTTTCTTTCGAAAAGATTTTTTTTCAGATTCTTACAGAACTTTCTAAGTTTTTTCACCTTAACCAGCATTCTCTTTGTTCAATCACTCAAATTTCACTCTTACAATTGAGTAAAATATCATTCCTTTCATGGTGATGATGAAGATGCAAAGAAATTCAAATTTTTCGTGTAGCCTTCATTTTACAAGCTCATTGTCATCAATAATTCTGGAAATTCTGGTTACCCTGACTAACTGAATAACTTTTTCATTCTAATGAACTTTCATCACGAATCATGATTATTCAAACTGTCCACAGGTAACTATTATTATCATATCTCTTATGAATATATATCATAATTTAGATATATTTATTGTAAATGTTTGATTTTGTATATTTCTTGTTGATTGTTGCCATTTAAAAACATCATCAACTGTTGGATAATTTAATTATTCAATAATAAACATGATAATATTTACTCACCTTGCAATATCAATACAATGAACCCAGGAATTACATTCAGATTCAGTTTCTGATTTAAATTCATATTGTTTTGATCCTTCCTTGGGAAAGCTAATTGTAAACATATGCTAATCATGTTCAGGAGATAATGATGAATCATTGGAATCCCATGTAACAGGAAAACAGAGGTGATAATTTATGGTGAAAAAAAAGCAACAGAATTGGATAAAAATTCAGGAGATGAAATTTATGTTAGTTTTTGATTGAATTTTTAAAAAGTTTGTTTTTCTCCCTCATGTTTTCATTTATTATATTTGATCAATGAGACTGAACTTTTTTTATCATGTAAATGAATTTATCTTTTTCCTTAACATACTTTATATATCTTGATCATCAATTAAACAAGGTCAACCTGATCAAGTGTCCACTCAGATTATTGAACCCTGCTGACCCTTTCGCTTCATGGTGTTAATAATTTCATGTAATATCATTTGAAATGGGAAAACTTTCAAATCTGAATCTGAAATTTCCCATGTCCAATATTTACTTTGTATCCACATAAATACAACCGATTAAGTTGTATCAATATAATTTCATTTCAATTGCATGAATCATGATAGTTTCATTGAGATAAAATCAATCAACTTACCATGATGATGCTAATATAAAGTTCAGAATTAGTTGAACTTTTGATAATATGAAAAGTTGAGAAAATATTCAAAATCAATTGAAACTATTACCAATCAATTATTTGTTATAACTGTTAATGTGAATACATAGTTAGGCAAAGTTCAGGGAATTTGATTAAAATTTATGGTGAAAATATGAATATAATCTTGTTAATCAGAATTAAATTATTTTCCATTAAAAATGGTTTGATTTTTAATCTTGTATATTAATTAGTAAAAAAGTTTAATCATTTAATCAGCATAATCGTAGTACCTTGTATATTATATATAAATTTAATCAACTTCATCATTTAAACATGTTGGTGATTCTGATTTACATGGTAAATGGCAAAAATTAAGAGGAATTAACTGATTCTCATATTGAACTTATCATGAAAATGAATGTTGCTAGTAAACTTTTCGTGACTAGATTATAAAAGCTAATAGTTGTATACCTTGAAGAGAGAGAGAGAGAGAGAGAGAGAGAGTTCTAGGAGTTCTGGTGAAGGATGTGAAAAGTGATAAGGGGAGAGATGGAGAGATGAACAGGAAGAAAAATAGAAAAAGGAAATTCGGGTGAACTTTTCCTCTTCCTTCCCTACCCACTTTGCTCTCTCCTCTTCGAACCTTTTCCTCTGAACTTGCTGATCTCTTTTCTTCTGAATTTTAGACTCAACAGATAAAAGTTCAGTTCCAATCCTCATGTTCCCCATCTGAAACCTATGTAATTACATGCCAAAGGGAATATCGCTTATGATAGATCGCAAAGAAAAATTTCATTTGCTCTTTCTTTTCATTTGTTGTATTTAACATTGCGATGGTAAACTAAATCTCATCCGAGAAAATTTCCAGCTCTCTTTCTCTCTCTCTCTCTCTCTCCCTGATCTCATGATGATTGGAAAGAGAATAGATTTCATGGAATCAATGATGTTCGAGAAAACCTAGAATTGTTTATCTCTTCATCATCAAGATCATCAGCATCATCATACTATATCTATTTACTATGATAGATTTATGGAAAAAGTGGTTTCAAGTTGATTCCAACGATAATGGAACTTTAGAGAAAGAAAGACAAAAATTCCCCAAACTTAATATCATGAATTCTTCATGAGTAAAAACATGGAACCAGAACCTTTCCATCTCTCTTTAAGAGATATACTCGAAATCCAATTTCAAGTTGATATTATTATCTTTCAATTCACTATCAGGTCAAAATGATCAGGGTGATTTTCAAGATAGTCTCTCTGAATCAGAAATAGAAATCATTTCTTTCATTTGATATATGAAATTAAGTAAATTGGTTACATCTGATGAATTGAAATCGTTTATGATAATCATCATATAATGATAACCATTTCCAGTATTAGATAAAAATTGTTCATGATAATAATCATATCATGCAATGTATATTCAAATTCATGATAATTCATTGCTCAACATTAGCCAGATCATGAAGAAAATAATTTAAGAGTCAAAAGATGACGAAGAAAAGTTTCTAACTTTTTCTATTCTTTATATTTATTTATATATCATGTTTCATGATGATCATCATGAAGTGAACAATGAAAAGGAGTGTCAATGTCATGATGAGAATAAGTTCACCCGAGATAATATATAAAGTCAGAATAGAAAATGAAATTTTAGAGAAATAAAATTTTCTTTTCTCTTGATGTTCCAGAATTTTTTTCTTCCAAAATTCTGAAATAATATTGTTCTCCTCTTTTGTTCACCAACCAAATCTTGGTGAACATGATAACCAATGGTTCTGGATATCATCATCATCATCATCATCATCATGATTATTACACGAAAGTATTATTATTATCGTTATTATTATTATCGGGTAGATTTGTTTTCTCATTGTTGTTTCAGGTTATATCCAGAGGGAATCCTTGTTTTCCAGGTAAGATGAGGATGGTGAACAAGGTGTATCAAGACTTGAGGGTGGAAAAAGGTAATAAGATGAAAGAGTAAAGATAAATGTTGATAAGAGGTTTTCTCATCTTTTACCTGAATTTTCATTGATTCACATTGGGATTAATACACTTGAGTGTCTCTCTCTCTCTCCTTCTCTTCCATTTGATCATCATTATCATCATTACACTTTTAACTTTACCTTCACCAACCTTCCTATTCACTTATCATCATTATCCTATTATCTTATTTATCACCATTGAGCAACTTTATTGTTCATTTTTTATCATATTTACTGATAACATAATTTCAATCTTTACTATGATCATTTTTTATCATCTTTATCATCAATTTTTGTCTCCATCTAAATCAATAAGTAACACGACTTATCATCAACATGATCATCATTTATTATTTATCGAGAGAGAGAGAGAGAGAGAGAGAGAGAGAGAGAGAGAGAGAGAGAGAGAGAGAGAGAAAGATTCTACTTCATCTTTCTGTTTCACTGAATTTCATCCTTTCTGAAAGTAAATTAAATTCATTATGAGCTTAACCATGTTTGCGAAAAACTCATGCACTGAATCAAAATAAAGTAATATCAAGTAATATCAATGATAGAATTTGAGATATTTTCTCTCTCTCTCTCTCTCTCTCTCTTCGTTTTCATTTTCTTCTTGATGAAATAATTTCCAGGTAAAAATAATAAAAGATTTCAACTATTCAATCTTTTTAAGAGAAAATATCAAAAAAAGTTAATTCCAAATTCAGAGAAGAGATACTTTTACTCTTTCTACTTTTCTATCTTATAAATTGATATTATTTCCAATATAATCTTACATTTTCATTCTTATCATCATCTTCATGGTTGAGTTAATTTCTATCATGAAATGAATAATAAATAAAATCAAGATGATGGTGGAAATGAGAGTAGGAAACATACGCCAATGTGATAAAAGGCTTACGACTTTTAAATATTCATCGTTATTCAATTTCCACAATTTTAACATGATGCAAATTCATGAAAACATAATCATCACCCTTTGTCTCATTAATAATGTTATTAAGTTCAAATTGTCTTTAATCATTGAACAATATGATACATAGAAATTTAAATTACACAATCAGGTAATTAAATTAATATGGAAAAGAAAAAAAAGTTAATCACATTAAAAGAATAGAAAAAAAACTTTTCTTTCTCAAAATGTTCTAACGACTTGTCAATGGTACAATCAACTGATTAATATAAACAGTTTGATTACTGATGGTTGTTTATCGATCATTTGAACAATTAACTCGAGGTAACAATTAATTTCCAAACTGTGTCGCCATCTTGAGGTGAGAGGGAAAATTTTCTACAAATTCGATTAACCCTTTTAATAATTAAAGGTGACCACTGATAGTGACCAGAATTATATGAGAATCATGATGTTGATGGTAAGAGATATTATCTCATGAATAAGGTGAGAAAAGAAAAGGTAAAACTATTCATTCAATTTCATCTGTTTTTCTTATCAACTTTTCATATGCACTAGAAGATTAAAGGGATTCTAGGATTGTTTGTGATAATTTAATTATTACAATCAAGAAAAAGAAAGGAAAAAAGAAAGAGCGAAGTTGTAATATTGGTTATTCGATATGTTTTCTTCCAGAGTGAAAGTTATCATTTGTTATATTACATCTAGAGACAGGTAACTGTTGAATGCTACGTTTCTTTACCTTGAAAAAGGAAGAGAAAAAAGTTTTCTTTGGTTCCAATTCATCGAACCAGTGGAATAGTTGAACTTAAGATATTAGTTATTATTGAATTATCCTTGTCAATGTTGGATACACAAAGGTGGAGAGAGAGAGAGAGAGACAAGAGTAGAGATAAATTTCTGAAGTTAACCTTAGGAAGATGAAACTTTTTCTCGTCTCTCTCTCTCTCTCTCTCTCTCTCTCTCTCTCTCTCTCTCTCTCTCTCTCTCTCTCTCTCTCTCTCTCTCTCTCATTCAATGAAATTAGATTTGACAACAAAATACTTGAGGGTGAAAGATCAATGAGAGAGAAAGAGAGAGACAAAGTTCAGTGGTAAGTTAACTTTCAAGGTGGATATTGATATAAGATTGAAAAGTAATCCTCCCCCACCTTCAGTTATCATTAGTTACCTGAATAAATGTTATATCATATATACATTACCTGGATCATTTTGTTTCATATAAGCTGGAAAAAAAAAATAATATCTTCTTAATATTGTAAGTGATATGAAATTGTTTCTCTCTTTCTCTCTTTGGGATTTCCAATGAATCAGCAGGGTGAATTCAATGGTAAGGTGATGGAGAAGAGCATCAAGATGAAAATATTATATGAGAAGGTGGAATAGAAAATGTTAAATTGTGTATAATATTAATAGAGAAATAAAGAAACAAAATCAACCATTTGATGGATTTATCATGTTTCCATCTAATGGCTTTTTCCTCATATTTATTCCCAGTGATATGATGTACTCTCAGTCTCTCCCACTCTGCTATTCTCTCAGCATTCAGTGATTGTCGCGAAAAAATAACAAA